ATTTTAGCCAAAAAATGAAATTTCTTCGAAGTTGCTAGAAAGATACCTGAAGGGCCTTAGAACGCATTCCAAATCGATTGCTGGACAGATTTTCTATGAAACGGGTAATTCCGTCGTAAAATTAAGGTAAAATCGTTCAAAAATTAACTTTTTTTTCTCCAAAAATTGATGAGTTTTGCCCAAATCTTCAAAATTATGCGTGTTAGAGTATTGATTGATGTTCCTCTTGCTTCCAGAAGAATTTCTGCATGGTTTTGAGAAAAGTCAATTTTTGGCCGATTTTGACTAAAAATGTAAGGCTAACCCCTTGCATTTTTCCCGATTTTGGCCAAAAAATGAAATTTCTTGAAAGTTGCTAGAAAGAGGCCTCAAGGGCCCTAGAACGCATTCCAAATCGATTGCTGGACAGATGTTCTATGAAAAGGGTAATTCCGTCGAAAAATTAAGGTAAAATCGTTCAAAAATGTCCTTATTTTCTCGCCCAAAATGATGATTTTTGCCCAAATCTTCAAAGTTATGCGTGTTGGAGTATCCATTGATGTTCCTCTTGCATCCAGATGAATTTCTGCGTGGTTTTGAGAAAAGTCAATTTTTGGCCGATTTTGACTAAAAATGTAAGGCTAACCCCTTGCATTTTTTCCGATATTGGCCAAAAAATGAAATTTCTTGGAAGTTGCTAGAAAGAGGCCTCAAGGGCCCTACAACGCATTCCGAATCGATTGCTGGACAGATGTTCTATGAAAAGGGTAACTCCGTCGAAAAATTAAGGTAAAATCTCTCAAAAATTTACTGTTTTTCTCCCAAAAAATGATGATTTTTTTCCCAAATCTTCAAAGTTATGCGTGTTGGAGTATCCATTGATGTTCCTATTGCATCCGGATGAATTTCTGCATGGTTTTGAGAAAAGTCAATTTTTGGCCGATTTTGAGTAAAAATGTAAGGCTAACCCCTTGCATATTTTCCGATTTTGGCAAAAAAAAGAAATTTCTTAGAAGTTGCTAGAAAGATGCCTGAAGGGCCCTAGAACGCATTCCAAATCGATTGCTGGACAGATTTTCTATGAAAAGGGTAGTTCCGTCAAAAATTGAGGTAAAATCGCTCAAAAATTAACTTTTTTCTCCAAAAATTGATGAGTTTTGCCCAAATCTTCGAAATTATGCGTGTTAGAGTATTGATTGATGTTCCTCTTGCTTCAAGAAGAATTCCTGCATGGTTTTGAGAAAAGGTAATTTTTTGGCCAATTTTGACTAAAAATGTAAGGCTAACCCCTTGCATTTTTTCCGATTTTGGCCAAAAAATGAAATTTCTTGAAAGTTGCTAGAAAGAGGCTTCAAGGGCCCTAGAACGCATTCCAAATCGATTGCTGGACAGATGTGTTATTAAAGGGTAATTCCGTCGAAAAATTAAGGTAAAATCGTTCAAAATGTTTCTTATTATCTCCCCCAAAATGATGATTTTTTCCCAAATCTTCAAAGTTATGCGTGTTAGAGTATCCATTGATGTTCCCCTTGCATCCAGATGAATTTCTGCATGATTTTGAGAAAAGTCAATTTTTGGCCGATTTTGACTAAAAATGTAAGGCTAACCCCTTGCATTTTTTCCGATTTTGGCCAAAAATTGAAATTTCTTGGAAGTTGCTAGAAAGAGGCCATAAGGGCCCTAGAACGCATTCCAAATGGATTGCTGGACAGATATTCTATGAAAAGGGTAATTCCGTCGAAAAATTGAGGTAAAATCGCTCAAAAATTAATTTTTTTCTCCCCCAAAATGATGAGTGTTGCCCAAATCTTCAAAGTTATGCGTGTTGGAGTATCCATTGATGTTCCTCTTGCATCCAGATGAATTTCTGCATGGTTTTGAGAAAAGTCAATTTTTGGCCGATTTTGACTAAAAATGTAAGGCTTACCCCTTGCATTTTTTCCGATTTTGGCCAAAAAATGAAATTTCTTGAAGGTTGTTTAGAAAGATGCCTGAAGGGCCCTAGAACGCATTCCAAATTGATTGCTGGACAGATGTTCTATGAAAAGGGTAATTCCGTCGAAAAATTGAGGTAAAATCGCTCAAAAATTAACTTTTTTCTCCAAAAATGGATGAGTTTTGCCCAAATCTTGAAAATTATGCGTGTTAGAGTATTGATTTGATGTTCCTTTTGCTTCCAGATGAATTTCTGCCTTGTTTTTGAGAAAAGTCAATATTTGGCCGATTTTGACTAAAAATGTAAGGCTAACCCCTTGCATTTTTTCCAATTTCCAAAAATGGATGATCAGTGGTTCAAAGTATAAGCCTTTTTAAACTCACGAATAAGACGCTCATCACATTTCACTTCCACTTTGCTAAATCTCCCTGGATGGTTTGATGGAGCCTTTGTCGACCCAAAACATTAAGGTCGGTGTCTTGTTTCGCTAAAAACATCTGCTTTGCTCAATGACAAGCTAGCGGCAGCTGGAGACAAGAAGATGAAACACGGGTTTTGTTATTTTTGGTGATCCTTTCAAGACATCACTTTGGATTAAATCATAGATTTCTTCTTTTTTTGGTGTACACATTGCCCAGTTGTTATATCCCTCGGTGAATACTGAAGGATATGCCCGCTTCTTTTAATAAAAAAAAATAGAAAGAAAAAAAAGGTTCGCAGCACCCAGACGCCGTTTCCACCTCCTTAAAGATTGTTAAAAGACCTGCAGATAATGGGCAGCCGTTTTCTCACGGCGTGTGTCTTGGAAAGCGCTCGCGTCGACAACCACAAAGGCCTGGAGACGCGAGTCAGAAACCATCCTTTTGTCCGAGGTAAAATTCTTTATCCTTTCTTGAGTTAAAAAAAAAAACCTGTGGAGTCAGTCCCACGGTGCGTGAAGCGGGCGGCGTCTAGTGTGTTCACGGGTGGGCTACCGGCAATTCTTCGGTGTGTAAACCCGTCGACGATATCTGATTCCCACAAAGGAGTGAGAAGATTGATGTTTTCTGAGAGGCATCGGGGGATCTTGGCTTGTGAGAAAACATCCACTTGAGATGTCGAGTCAGGGTCGAGAGGAGATGATAGGGTCTCAGATGCACAAAGTGGGTAAACCTGAGAGTGTTTAGGATCTCAGGAAAACCAAACACAGCCAAACTACTAGATACATGTATATATAAAAAGAGACTTACCAAATATTAGGTATAAGAAGCTATTTGTTTTTACCTTCAAAAGGGTCTTCAATCACGAATCAAAATTTGTAGAAAAAGAAAACTTGGTAGATTACAACCTCCTTACACTATATATGTAGTGATTTTTTTCGGAATATCGTTGTTTGAATTACATCACAAATCTGATAATGCTTAATTCCACCATATTGGTTTATTTTATAGTGAGAGAAAATAGGCCTTCATTAATAATTCGTTAAAACTAAAATAAACAAAAAAATCAGTAAATTATATCCTCATAAAACTTTATGCCTTCTTAAAATTGAAATATGAGTAAGTTCCGTTATCAGTTCAATGTTTTCTCATGCAGTGAAAGAAAGAGAAAGCCTAAATTGTCATAAGTAAAATTAAGGATTTCGAAAAGTCAGGATGTTATCGTTGGATTCTTCAGGAGTAGTTTACGTCAGATTGGAAGGATATCATTTGTAAATGTTATTATGATACAAATCAATGAGAATAGGTATACAGGGCGAGTCGTTGTTAACTAACTTAACAAAGCGTCACTTTAGTACCACTTGACGAATTACTAGAAATAAAATGGTTCCCCTTATAATTGTCGTGTGCTGAAGGGACATGACATTGAAGGCCAATGCTGAAGTGCTGACAAAACAAAGCAAAAGACAGAAAGTAATTTGCAATAACCAAAAATATCAATATATCCGGAAACTATTTAAGAGAAACACACAAAGAAAGAAAAAGAATCTTTACTGTTTTTTCACTTCTCCCCTGTAATGGCAAAATCCACTTGTTCCACGGGCGAAGCACTCCAAACGCGATCAACGGGGGAAGTGATTTTCAGCGGGCTTTTGTGACAGCGCGCCGCCGGCGACCTTGCCGATATACCGAGCGCTAGCGACGGAGGCCGCCCTTCAATGGAGCTAATTGCCCGTGCCTTAATGATGTCTTCTCCGCTGGGCTACACGAACTACGAAGCGCGCCGCTGAAACCACTTCAGTTCTAGAAAACATAAATTGACATATCTCAAGCCTTTTATATTCTACAGCATGATGCCAGTTGAGACACATACTTTTCTCCGGGAAGAAAGAAGCCAGTTCGTGGACTGTTTTTCATTAAGACTTTTGCTCATCACGCTTAGTTTGATACATTGAATCAGATACTTTACATTTCATACAAGACAACTAATTGCACTTAAAGTACAGCAACTGATCAAGTGCACAGCTACCTGTAATCCCTTAATTTCTTGGGTTTCCTTTTGCTAATCTAATCGTCAGTGATTTACCACGGGACCAGTGATCTTTTTGACGGCTTCTGTCATGAAGTATTCAACAATCACCCTCCCCCACCCCACACACATACACAAGAGTAACTCATCGAACTAGATTTTCTCGAACAGACAAATTAAATACAGGTAACTGATATCATTGTTGCTCTGATTTGGGATTATCACACCGTACTGAGGATAATTGCAAAATTGCTCCAACTTAATTGCATCAGTTCTCAAGTGGTCGGTCAAAGGTAATTAGGTTGATGGTACATTATAGTTAATCTCTCCTAGACCATCCCTTTCCCTCATCCAGTAATACTGCACAATATTTCAGTCATTACTTATCGTCTGCACTTGCAGCCAGATAGTTTGTTCACTTGCTTTTATCGTGGTAATCAAATGGGAAACAGTTTGAGAGCGAGCAGGAAATTCGATGCAAGCGAAGGTTGAACCTCCGACCTCTGGCACTTTGCACCGGTGCTCTACCGACTGAGCTACCTCATCCGACAATGGAGGACTTCAGGTTTACCAACAAATACCTTTGGTAGCTATAGTCTGCTACCAGCATTAAATTAATTAGGTTTGATTTTGTAGCCCCTTTTACTAATGAAAATGCTTATTTTATTTGTGTATAAATCCAGACATGATAAGTATGGTCATAATCATGAACATGACATAATTTTTAACACGAACAGGATCCTTGGAACAAATCTTTAGCAAATTACAAGAGCAACTGTCAAAAAAGTCGTTCCCTTAACAATAATTTTTTTTTAAAACCGTTCTTCTATAGCGCATATCACTTCAACAGCCATACTCAAATTTAAAGCTGTGAAGGATTTATTTGATGCAGTTTACTCACTGCTAACGAATTACGAAAGACAATTTAACAAAAAATGGGGCAAAAGGAGGATTTAATCTGCATTGCGTTAGGTCTTTAAAAAAAAGGTGGTATCCACCATGCACACTAAACGCGCGAAGAATGATCGATATTTATACTGGAAATGGGATATTTATACTAATTCAAAGTTTTTTAACTCAAATTCTTTAATTGATCACCACAATCGTGTGCCGATTTGTTTTCATGCGACTTCTCTATGAACACCAAAACCTAGGCCATGCTAGAAAGTTAGAAATTTAGTTTTTAAACTTTATTTTTCAGATGCCGTACTCATTAAAAAGGCAAACGTCGTGGGAGTAATACTCTATCAAAAACTACGAACATAATCCACCAAAATAAACGTCCGCCATAAATAATCTTAAAAAAAAATCGTTGTAACTATCAGTATTTACTTGGTTACTGAAAGAAAGAGGTATATCATAGATACAGAAAATAGGAAACATGGTTTGCGTAGCAAATAATTTAGGTATTACATTGTACATGGACTCCTCTACACTTTTTTTTTGGAATGATCTATACGAATTACATCATATCGTTTACTTTAAATGTTTGTTTTTGTTTTACAAAATGAAGGTATTTGGTTTCTCTGCAATTTCGATAATCCCGCGATAATCGAGTTACGTAATCTGACCAATAAATGCGCAAACCTATAAACTCCTCAAACTTATGAATGGTTACACTTTGCCGTGTAATCGCAGAGTGGCTTCGTTTGGAATGTTTCAAGTAATCTGTCCTGAAGAAAACCCATGCTTTTTCGGTATAATGTTCAAGGAGCAGAAATCAACAGTTCAATTTACGTTCATCTAAACCTTCAAGCGAAGCGCAAGTCTCAGCTCACAAGAGTCTGAAGTTTTAGTCGTTTCCGTTGCTGGTTTGTTTTTGTTTGTTTGTTTGTCTTCGTCTTCATTGAGGCACCGGTGTCATGAGATGTTGTGGAGGCATTCCAGCATTCACATCCTGACCAAACCACGAGTAAGGGTGATGGTGCGAGTAATGCTGCTGCTGCTGTTGATACGGGTAGCTCTCGGCGTGGCCCTGCCGAAGCGCCTGATGGCTGAGGCTTTCCCCGCTGTAATCCCAGGAAGGCACCGGGCTGGAGTGCGCAGAGTCTCCCTCACTGACAGTCTGCGATGGGTTGTAGCAAGACGATACCCCGGTTGGCTGATGGGCGGGCATAACTGACGAGCCGAGAGGGTGCGGTCCTGTAGGCGGGGGACTCAACGCATCGGGAAGGGTCGGGGTATGGGATGGATCTTGCTCGGAATCCAGACTACCCGTGCTGCTCGTTGGCGTGGAACCGTGCTGCTTAAGAATCTTTTTGTACTTGGAACGTCGGTTCTGGAACCAGATCTTCACCTAAATAGAATAGAAATTCAAATAACTGGTCATTAAAAATCTGATTCTGCATTATTTTTCTTAACTATCTTTGCCATATAACAGCCACCTCCTGTAATTCTTTAAATTCATATTCCAATGACGCCATTCGACAAAAATTAATGCCAGGCAATTATGAATGCCTGTCAAGTATGTTTAGGCCTTCTCAGAGGTTCTGTATCATGTCTACCAATTTGTTCATCAAAGATGTATTAATGATCTCGTCTTTGTGAATTCAAAATTGAATCATATGAAAAACAAAATGTGACGAATTAAAAGCAAAATGAGGAATGAACCACACTTGTGAAGATGGATGATTATGAGTACACGTACATGTACATGTACCAGCCTATCCCGTTCTCTGTTTGCAAAGCGTGCTGGTCATGGGTAAACCATAACGCGTGCCATGTTGGCTAATTAGTGAACCATATTAGCCTGGTGTCCCCTAATTAGCGTGGTTTGGAAAGTGATCCCTTGTGGTGCTTGAACATCCAAGCACAAACCCTGCCAAGTAGGGATCCCATAGACCGATAGTATCTCATGCCAAGCGTCGCAGGTTGTTTGTCGCAGTAATTGTTCACCCACGGGCTGGGTTGGTGGGGTGTTTTCGCTCATCCTAAGAGCCCCTTTGTCCCCCTCCTCTCAGACTGAAGGGGGTTTTTGGTGGTTTTTGTCCAAGTTGTGGTCAACCAGTCTGTGTGTTATTTGTGTGTTTGTTTTCTTCCGTATTTACGAGTGGTTAATGGGACCCACGTCAAAGCACAGTGGATCGGGGGTAAACTGGGCTTGAACAGAGCCACAGCGTTAAGCAAAGATGTGCTGGAATAATGTTTTTGCAGTTTAAAACCAACAACAGCTATCCAAAATTCAAACTCAAGTGACTCTCAAGTACCTACAATTCAAATAAGTTGTATCGAGTAACTTGCATTCAGTTATAGGGAGGAAGTGACCCAGGGAGATGCATTCAACCGTGGAGCTATTAAATAGCTCCATGATTCAACCATTCATTCCTCGTATTAAAGCTATCGATTTTTGCAAGTGTTTGGACCTGCATTCGTCATCCGATCTTCCTTTTGCTGAGCTGTGTGGTCAGAGAACTCCTTGTCACCGAGTCAAGTGACTCACAACTTAATTCATGGAAGTAGGATTTGAGTCATAATTCGAGTCAGTTTCCTGTCTTTCAGACACAATTATTAATATCTAATTCACTCAGCTTTAAGATCGATTAGAAAGTGGATAATCATCAAACAAGCTGCTTCACTGTAGTAAAACTTTTGGGTAAAACAGTTGGGCAATATTATGTACCGGTACCCAACCCTGGTATAAATTTACCTGATGGTTAGTTAATCTGGGTAAAAATTTACCGACTGTTGGGAACAATTTGCCCAAGAGTGTCGGCAGTTGGTATGATGACCAACATTTGTCTAACCCATTTGCCCACCCTTTTTGATATACGATTTGAAGGTTTGCATGGTGAGGATAGCTAGCAATAGCACATAGATTTAGCACCATATAACAAACCTCTTTTGTGAGTTTTGTGAGTTTTTTTACGCCCTGAACCTCCCAAAATAGGAACCTCACACAGCTATAGTTAACATTGTGTGTTTCCAAATTTCCTAAGCTATACAACTTTAAAGAGAAGAGGATTTAAAAACCAACATATGAATTTTATACGATTATGAGACAGCATTTTCCACACCAACCTGAGTTTGGGTGAGACCAAGCGAAGCAGCCAGATCAGCTCTCTCGGGTAACGCCAGATACTGAGTCTTAGTGAATCTCTGGTTCAGCTTCTGTAGTTGCAGGCTGGAGTAGATGGTCCTGGGTTTCCTCAGCTTCTTGCCCTTGCTGTTGACTTTGGTCAGGGCTTGGTCATCCTCCTCCATGTCCAGAATGCTTTGCTTTGACTGAAGGGGATAATCTGGGGGAAGAAATCATAAACACATCAGTGTCGTGGTTGAGGTATACTTTAGCTGAAGCACAAGTCATCACAAGTCCATCACAAGTCATCACAAGTCATCACAAGTCAATCGCAGTCATCCAGTCGCAAGTCTACACTCACAAGCTATTTAAAGGTGACTTATGCAGTCTTTTGATATTGGTCATCCCATGGCAAAACTTTGTGAACAATGGCAACTCCAATGATATTTATTAGTTTTGCCATTTTTTTAATGGTTATTCTGTATCTCATTTTCCCTGGGGATTTTAGTTCATTAAATGTTAATATCAGAGTGTTGATGATCAAAGTGGTAACAAGGTTTTTACTATAAAAAAAATGCCAACTATTTCACCTACAATTTGCCGTAATAATAATATTACATTTGGACGAAATTGTTCCAAAAGTCTCATTTAAATAAATATTTTTTTTAGGACAGTGGATTGGCAATTTGTTTTTACCAAACGAACCTATGACTATGTTCCTCCCCTGAATAAAAACAAGTTGAAAGTTTTAAGGAAATTATGACGATACCTTCTCTTGTTGGCGGCGTTGGATAGTGATGATTGTAGGCCGGATGGTGACCGTGATTTCCCATCGGACTCAAGGGAAAGGAATAGCCTAGATGTCTGACGGAGTGTTGCATGGACGGCGCGGTGTTATAGACCGTCTCTGGAGCGCCAGTCCCCGGCGGACATAACGACCTGGCGGGCGTCGGGGTGTACTGCATACCGGGATGCGGCGGCACGGGGTACGGGGACGGTGGTACCGCGGTTGAGACCCCAGTCATCGGGGCAGTAGGTGCCGGTGGTCCCCCCGTGAAATGATGGTGGAACTGGTGGAACTGTTGGAACTCGGTGAACGCCGACTTGGAGCCCGGTGGGTCGAAACACTCGAACATTGAATTCATGATGAAACTGTCTTAAATTGGACGCTCGTTGTACTTTTGTCGCCACAGATTAAAAATGGATTTGATTGAAAAAAAGTAGCATCCAGTTGTAGAAATTGAAGGACTTCTTTCGCCAAAATAGAACGCAGCAAGTGTCAGGGTGGTAACGATTAATCTTATGGGAAAAGAGGAGGTGATTAAAACATTAAATTACTAATTATCTTCAATCAAAGATCGTTATCTAATTATTGGTCACTTGATCCAAGATGAAGTATTCGTTCATCGCACAACTGTCGACTGCATGAAAATTGATCACTTCACTGACATTTATAAAACGATGAATGTTTGATGAAGCCTGGTCGAGATAACGGTCCACATTTCATGAAATCAGCCAGGCATTGGAGAAATTTCTGCAGACGAAATCCATCAACTTTGTAGAGCCAGAGCAGGAGAAGTGTATTATGGACAAGGTTGCCAGAGTTAATCTGCCAAATGTTTCGTAAACACGTTGCTTTATGACAGTAAACAATAACAAATCAAACAGTGGTTCGGAGCTGCGATTGAGATCACCGTGGCGCTGGTCCTGTCTCCGGCCGTGCTTAGAGCCGACCGTTGATTGGCCTGTGCCTTGTACGCCGCGAAGATCCACCAGCACTAATTACCTCTCGATTAATATTTCATTGTATCGGTGTGTAAGCCCCGGGGGTTCTAGGAGGAGCGTCTTGGATGCAAATCCAGGCCGTCTACTTCGTCGGGTCCTCCTGGTCTATTACTCCTCTCAGCTGGGTACCTGCGGACCATATCCCAATACAACTCGGGCCTACAGCTAGCCGGCATCTACTGTCCCAGGCAATAAAAACACAGACAAAACACAGACAAAACACACCAAGTACAATGGTATCAGTAAACGAATCTGACTTCTTCTATACAAATTGATTAGCCGTATAAAAGCCCACCCCCTCGCCGCAACTCTGTTGGGAATTGGCAACTCGTCCCACCACAAGCAGGTATTCTTCGTACCCCTTTGACCACTCAGGGGCACGGCCTTCCCCCACTTCCCCAACCGCAACCGGTTCTTAATAGACTCTCAACCCGGACAAAAGCGGGGAATGCTAGGACGCAAAGAAAGGGAGGTGAGTTTGGTCTTCGGGAGAAAGTGGGCGGCACGGTGGCGCCTACTCTGAAAAAAAAACCGCATTTACGCAATGTTCTTTTCTACTGCACTTTCATTCCATTCTGGTGTGTCCTCAGTTGTGTGTTTTTTCATCGGTCCTGTTTTCTCACCAGGAAGACATTGAAGACGCGATTGTCTCGGTGGCTGGTGATGCATTGAGCCGAAACATACCTTCTAAGAAAGCTTGGTTTTGTTCGGTGCCGTAAAAGTCTCCCTAGCCTCCCGACTTGCTGGTGGTCACCTGTGATGGTGCGTGTTGTCATTCTGTTGCGGCATTAACTGACGAGTTTAATTACCTGTGTAGGTAAAGCACACCCGTTGGCTACCGAGCTTTGAGAAACTACCAATGAGATGTCAGATCGGGATGACAAAAATGAGTGATTGATGAGTTGGAGACCTCGACACATCTGAGGTGGTATATGAGCTCAAAATGTGTGTGATGGACGATGATTTGAGTAAGACATAGCGACCTGATCTATACACACAAAAAACCTGAAAAACGGTACGCGATAGAAGTAAATGAAGAGGGAAAAGGAATTATTTTATATTTTTACTTCCTATAACAGAAAGTGATATTTTTGGGGAATGTCAAAGAAATACAAAATTTACAAAGCATAATACTTTCGATGACTTAAAATATCACGAAGAGAGAATTGAAAACTGAGGTCTGTTATGTTACACAAACTTCAACTAAACATTATTCAGTAAAATCCGTCTATATCCCGTTTCTTTACTCCTTTTTCCCCGATTGGCGAGTTCGAAAGATAAGTATTTGAAGTTTAGAAGCGTGTACTGCGTCTATGTGAGTGTTTGCTGCCATGGATTTTGAAGAAGTAAACTATGTGAGAATAGACTATATTTTCTCGATCTGTTATCCTAATTATGCTCGCTCAAGCTTGTAAACAACATAGGAGCACTTTACATGTACACACACACTGACAAGCAAACTCGGTTCAACAAAGTCGACAAATGGCCTATATTGTAGTATACTTCCCTTAGGCTTTGACAGCAACAATGTGACCGATAAATAGCCCGTCTTACAGTTCTAAATATCCACAACATTATTACGAAGACATACCGTGCATGGCCGTTGTAAAGGGCCGTCACTCAACGGCCCAACATATTGTAAAATTTGCGTTTTGGTGCAAGAACGTCTAGATTTTTATTATATTATTTTCTTTTTTATTCTCGTGTATACTTTTAGGATTTCTGACTGTGCCCTTCAAAAAGTGACGCATATCAAACTGGGATTTCAATCCGATTTCAAACCGGCTCACTCCCTTTGTTGACCTGAATTCACACAGGAAGTGACTACATGTAGTGACTTCATGTACTGAACTTCAATCAAATCTGACATTTGCCTTACACAAATGGCCCTTTGACTACATCATACCATTGACTTACTTAAGTACGGGTGGTGCCTTTTGAAGACACAGGGCCTAGACTCATTTTAACTCGATACCTGTGCCCACCATTCTCAATCTACCCCCCAAAAATGACAGTATGCCTTAGAACAAGGACATTTATTGTGGAAATAGTTATCCACCCCCCTGGATCACCCAAATTAACCTAAAGGTGTAGTGATATACATCGGCGTCGCGGGGGGGGGGGGGGCGCTTGCCCCTGGAAAAGCATACAAAACAGAGGTGTGAAGTCATATTTGCTATAAATTTAATACACATTTAACAAAAATGGGCGCCTGCAGGGGCGTCAATGTGGGTAGGGTGGGCCTATTATGTTCCCTTGAAAACATGATAAATTGAGGACTGGCCTAGAAAAAGAACAAGGATTTTTGGGGGAAATGTGCTTATATATATGTAATCTTAAGTACAGAATGATACCTTAGAAGATGTTTTTTTTCTTTTATAATCCTTCAAGGAGGGTTTAATGTCAAAAAGGCACAATTATTTTTAACATGCTTCACTATTCATAACATTGCATATCACTTAATAATTACATAATTCAATCAAATGAAATGTACAGGAATGGATTTAATATTTACACTACAGACAGTGAACAAATTTCAAAAAAATTAGGAATCTTTATTTACCACTCGTAAGTCCGTGCTCCGTAAAAAAATATTGAAGAATGTTTGAGGTGACATCTTTTTCAGAGCTACACATGTAGTTAAAAAAAATTGTTCAAATAAACATAGGGGTTGTGTACTCGATCATAGAATAGAAAATGGAAAAACACTCCAATTATGACAATGATCTTAAAATATATAAAGTGTGTTTCATTTGCAACAACATATTTGATAATTAATTGATGTACATTTTTTTAAAACTAGTTGAGGAGTCTTCACTCACTCAAATATGTTTATCTATTATTTCATATTTTTATACATAAAAATATGACCATGCAATTAATTTCTTTCTTTTTTTATTCCCCACGATTGGTCAGCGGCTATCGGTCAGGCTGTCTCAGTGTAAGGACTGTTCAATGAAAAAAGACCTTTTTTACAGAACGCCCTCTTTGAGAACAAGTCTCATGTATCTCTTTGATGCATCAGTAGACACAAAATACTTTCATTGTCACCGGAGAATTCCAAAAGTTGCCATCGGCCGCGGTAAGGGACATTGTGGGGGGTTTATTCAAAATAAAGTAGGCTGCTTTGTTCACGCCTGGGAACATTACATATATCACAACTATGATTTGCATTATACTTTCACTACAAAGCAATTCGGTCACGTTATCAATTCTATCACGAAGGCCCCCATCAATGGCACAAGCACCGTGATAGCTATTGTTCGGAATATCTATCACGAGCAGTTGCTTTGTGCAATAGCGTGCGTAATGGTTTCTCCATTGAATGGGGGCAGGTACTGGCGTAAAATGATCACACGCCCGGATGTTTCTTTGCCATTGCATGACGCCTGAGGGCGCTGTTGTTATTATACAACCACACAGTGATTTCTCAACAAATAATGCATCAGCAGAACCTTAGTTCATGTCAGCTGTTTTACACGATTCTTGCTCATTTACTGGGTGTCATGCACAGAGTTATAAAAAAGTAAACATTTAAAATCAACCTTAGCCAAAAACACAATCTGGCAATGTTTTTATTAAAACGGCTACAAAAAAGTGAATCTATCTGCAGACTGCATGCATTCACACATTCCCATACCGACTCTACAAAAATACTAAAAACCTATAATTATAGGAAATATGGTAGAAATGGACGTCGAAGCATATAATGGTGTTCAAATATCTCTTCTGAAAAGAACTGTGGAAGCCTTGGCTATTTTCAGAACCTCTGCTCTTTTCAGAACCATATGTGTCTTTACAGAAGAGAAGGTGGAAAAACAAACCTATCATTTATTGTACACAGGTGTTCATCAAAACTTGCATGAATCTTTCACTGAAATTCATGTGTATTGCCATGGGCGTCGCCAGGATTTTTTCTAGAGGGGGGCAAAACATTTTTTTGCCAAAAAATGCTTGTATTTCTCAACACATTCTCAATTTATCAGTTTTAGAGGGGGGCAGGGACATTTGCCCCCCCCCCCCAACTCATTAAATTTACACCACTTTGTCTTCGCGCCTCTTTTTCTTTTCTTTTCTTTTTTTATCTTCCTTTTCTTTTTTTTTTTTGCTTTTCAAAGGGGGGGGGGGGGCAAGTGCCCCCCCTTGCCCCCCCCCCCCTCGCGACGCCCATGTGTATTGCTAACTGTCGGTAAGGCTTTTGTTTTAAAACTCACAAGAAATTAACATCCCCCCATCATGTGAAAGTCTTTCACATCTTCACAAACCATAACCTCAATGTGTGGGAGATCTGGGGTCGACACCGAATGGCGAAGGCATCTTCCGTAACCAGGGGGTGTTGCGTCGGTACCCATACTGCCCGTTGAATCCAAAATTAGGCTTAGCCTCTGACATGAACTGGCCGTGCCCGTTGATTTGATCCGTGGAGTGACCAGCTAAAAACAGGGGGGGAAAAAGAAAAAAAAATTCAGGATGGTGTTGATTTCAGTGGCTTTTTTGTGCAACGTCAACCAAGAAAATTGTCTTGTCATGTTTGCCACCGTGTAGATGTTCCCCTGATGTTTCCATACAAGGAGATGGAAACCATAATTTGACATTCCTTAAAATTCTGTTTTAGATATCAGTATGACTTGGTTGCTTAAAGGGAATGTACAACATTTGCTTTTGCTGCAATTTTCAGAAATAAAATGATTTGGAGGATTAGTATGTTATGTAACATATTGTTAAACTGACTTGTTTCACGTTTTGGGCTTGTAGATGCTGGAAAAACCAAGAAAACCTATCATGTTCTGGTTCCCTGACCCCACTTAAGATGAAACGAAGCAATTAATACACTTTAGGGAATTGTAAGGTCAGAGAATCAGTCTAGCAGGCTTGTACCTCTTCACATGTGTGTGATCAATTGCAAAGAAAAGTCAGAATAACTAAATATGAAAAATTATGAACAGTTTTTGAAAAAAGCCAGTTTTCTCCAACGCTGGTTGGCTGACCAGCATTGGAAAAATACAGTTTTTTTTGAAAATGTCAGCCCACCAGGAGCCACGATTTTAAAGGATGCTTTAGACTGTCAGTCCCTAACAATTCAGTAAGGTATTTCGTGATAATTTGATCATTTCATTTTTTGATGTTTGCAAATGTTGTATTTTCCCTTTAAGGGAGTTGCAAACATGCTCATCATGTCAACAATGTGAGGTTGAACTAAACCGTTCACGCACAGTGCACATAGGTCTAAGACTTGCAACTCTCCTCATTTAAGGTCTGTCACAGTCAACACTAAAATTGTAAGAAAACATTCAAAACGTGAACCTTCTCCTAAACCTATAAGTATTATATCAATGTCTTCCTTGAAACTGTTGAGGAATAGCGGTGTAGCCAGGTTCCCACCGTAGGGGTTGGGAGGGGAGGGGGTGAATGTTACAATATTGGGATGCCCAATTTCTGTTAACCCCGTTAACCATGGTCACTTAAAGGACTACATGTACCTAACTAAATTTTGGATGGGGGGAGGGGGGCAGGGGTGGGGGCGTGGGGGTTGTTGGGGAGGGCAAGTTGCCACCCTTGCCCCATCCCCACCCCCGCTGGATATGCTACTGCACAGCATCTGAGCTTAGCCCCTGCCCCCCCCCCCAATCATGCCCCCCGACCTGTATTATGCCACGCCCCTACTCTAGGTCATATTCAAGTACATCTGCCACTCATTGATACCTTTCGCTGAGCCCGGTGCTGCATTCCGCGCATGTAGATATCTGTAGCCAGACCCGGACTCAATAAATCTGTCAATCACAGGCCCATCGATAGAACAGCCACCTTTGTCCTGTGAAAGATAAAGAAACAAAATCATGATAGTGTCGCTTGTGAATAAAACAGCATGTACTTTGGTACACTTCAGAAATTGATACAGATCTTATCTGTCTGTAGGTGCATTGTTAATGCCTGCATCACTCATACCATGAAAGCATTAATTGTGTTGCTGTCAGTGTTATGACAGACTCAGTCAACTGATCCTATTGAGTTGCAAACTAGATGTGTACAAATGATGCATGCATTTATGTAAAGCGTCATGATCAAATGAACTTTACTTGGCATAACCAGGTGATTGGGGGTAACATGTTATTGAGAAAGGCAGTGTTTCTCAAGCACACTGTACGTGCATTTTTACAGGTGTAGCTGATGGCGATCATGACCTCAGAAGTTCAAATTTTAAAAATGTCCAAAACAGCACATGCTCTCTGCAGTGGAACAATACATACACACATGTACATTGAACATTGTAAATGAAAATACATGTACAATTACATGTACATGTAAAGAACAGTTTCTAAAAATTATTGGGAAAGTATTTACAATAGTTGTATTTCCTGTGCATCTTTAACATTTCAGGGTATTGTAAACGGCTAGATTTGGACAAATTACTGCGGAACTGATTGAACATTTCTCACCCTGTAACAGTTTAAAACATGTGGCAGATAAATCAGGTGACATGATAATTGATATGCATTTGTATCAACCGAAAACAGCAGAACAAATCAAAGAATGAAATTGTGGGGCTATTTTTTTCTCATTACTCAGAATTCTGCAATTACCTGCTGTGTTTTCCGTAGTGTTTCATCTACCTGCTCCCGAGTAAAATACAGTTTAACATGCTTGTCTTTTTGCGAATTATAAGCCGGAATGGCCGGACCGAGTTTGGGCTGGCAGTGTGAATAGTCCTTGGCAATCGAGTCCACGGCAATGCAATCCAGCAGGAAACTCTTCTCCTTCTCGGCCAGTTGTTCCGGGGTTGGCTCCGGGGGACCGCGGGGGGATTTGGCCGGTTTACCCCGCGGTGACTTCTTGGCACTGCCTGGCTTGCTGCCTGTTGTTTGGTCGGGCTTCTCCTCGGCCGGTTTGTCCGTAGCCGGTGGCGGTGGGCTACTGGGTGGCGGTGTGCTGTTGGTGTTTTGCTCTTCACCGGCACCGTCAGACATTTTCAGTTAGTTTGGTTTAAATTTCAGGGCTTATTTGTAAATATTTGAAGGATTATATGATGGTGTCAGAGTCTTCGTTTCGTAACACTCTTGGCTAGTAGTAGGGAAGGTTTTAAACCACCCAAATTCACGGTAAAACACACTCACACTTGTTGCACATAAATACACCTGTTGCGCTGTTCACTTCCGTACACGCAGAGCAGCAATCAATCAGTTGCTAGGAGACGATTGGGCGTTAGCAGAAACTGGACAATTGAGGGCGCTATAACAACTTGTTGCTTTGGTTTTTCGTCATCGCAAGCGATTTTTGGTAGATTTTGCATGTAGGCCACATCCCATCTGATCAAGGTTTTACTGGGGAATTATTCGTGTGTTATGTGCTCAATTTTGTGTTTGTGTATTTTATGATCATGCCTTGTGGACTGTTGCGGTAGTCGAGTCAATTAAGTCCATATCAGTAGTTTTGTGATGAGTAAAATTCATAAGCTAGTCCGTCGCGTTACAGTTACGGCGGTTGATTAACAATAACACAGCTCTTTTTAATGAATAACTTGTGACTTTATTTGGAACTGGATAAAGTTAGAATTGACTTCTGATTGACACGTGTGGACTATTATGTAATGAGCCTGGACTTGTGATTGACTCGACTACACAACACACTCATAATAAATAACTACCTTGCAAGAATGAATCTTTTCCGATGATCTCTTGTCGGCACCCAGTGTCATTGCCAATACCCTCTTCACTCCTGGCTTCTGGAAGTAGCCCCTGGCATGAGCGTCCTCAACGGCGTCATAGGGCCGTATCAGCGGCTTGTATCTAGTGACCTGGTTGGTGGCTAGCACGCTATCAATGCAGTACCTCTCTCGTTTATCTGCCAGGGTCTCGTCCGTCGGAGTGGCTGGGGCTCGGTGCCTACCCGAGAGTGTGTTCAGACTGAGCCTTGAAGGCTGCGAGCTGTGTTGGGGCTGGGGCTGAGGCTTACTCGGTGACTGCCGAGTGGGCGGATTCAGGGAGAATGCGGGCTTGATGTTGGCGTGCTTGATGGATGCGCGGGATCTCGGGTTGACGGGGGAAGGCCTACCGCCATCCTGTTGAGATTAGAAAAAGAATCGATAAAAATTGACCATAGTTTCACCATTTGGGAGTTACAAACAGTAGAATATCTCACTGATTGAAGATATGTAACAGCTTTTTTTTTCAATCTAAACATGACAATTAGGCCTAAGATGGTACAATTATAGCAGGCCTACACTTTGTTTTTCCGACGAACGAGTGCCTTTCGTGTCCAGTATTTACAACTTTGTGTAGATTGATGTCTCGCGGACGTTTTGTACCGATGTCATATCGGAAAGCATTCGCGAATAAAATGTCAAATTGTCGACGCGAGATACAAAAACAAAGTTTCATCTTATTAACGCACCCAAAACAGCGTAATAGAACATCTTATTTTCAATCAATTATCAAATTTTAAATCCCACAATAAAATTGAACACTAAATTTAAAAGAAATCGTATTTCCCCCTGGTACATGTACACACCAAAAGCGCTGCAATAGGTCATTATTTTCCATCCCCAAATTATGCTGCCTTCACTGACGAAAGGCAAAATCCCAGTTACCAACTCAAATCATCTCATATTTTGACTGGCCTCTCACTCAAGACTGGCCTCTCACTCAAGAAGTGTTTAATCTTCAAGAGTTACAACTCTCTGTTTGTCAAACCCTTTGTGTCACTAATGCATCCGCAAACACTTTAGTGAAATGCCATTGTACCCCGTAATCCCTAAACATACTACTCAGTGACAAATACAGGAGTAGAAGTCAATCAAAAACACCTTGGTGTGATGATGTTAAAGTCAGTCAAACACTTTTGGCAAAAGCAGTTGGTGTTTTTTTGAGAAAAAAAATTGTGTTTGAGAAATAAATTGTTCAAAACATACATCGTATGGATATTTGATACGTCTGTATAAAAAGAATCATTTTAGCGCGGTAACGTGCACACAATTTGGGGGCTTGAAATCTACATTTTACCGTGCGTGTTTATAGGTTCTTAACTAGAAGAAAGGTTTTTAATCAGTTGTGCCACTTCTACGCTTGTATATTCATTTGAGAAAACAAGGACTAAACTCGGCTTCAATTATTACTGACAATTTTCATCAATCAATGATTACTTTTCACTTTAGTCTGAACAAGCGGGGAGTGATATTGATATGATAACCGGGAATATAAATACTGTTGTGCTTTTTTATTTTTGCCAGCTTTAATGGCCTTAAAATAATATAATTGTTGTTTTTTATTCTAATTTATTTGCCACGGAGAGGAACTAAATATTTTCGATATTTTAAAAAAAAAAGTGAGATTAATCTTAAGTCCGCGTGGACTTGTCTTACCGCACCGTCCAGCGTCCGTCGTAAGAGGGACTGCACCACCGGCGACTTGAAGTAATGACGTGCGTACGGGTCCCGCATCGCATCATACTTGGGGATGATGTCCGGTGACCATTTGTAGCGCAGTTTCTCCACCAGGATGCAGTCCAGTTTAAAGTTCTGCTCCTGCTCGGCGAGATGTTGGGCCGACGGTGGAGGAGGCAACTCGGTAGGGACCGTCTCAGGACGCCAGAGTGGGCTGCTTAGGATCAGGTGTGCGTGGAGAGGTTGGGCCATCTTTTTAGCTCCCGGTAAATCCCGTTAATCTGTGAAACAGTTGGAACAAAACTTGATGTTGCAATTACAACCCTGAATACAGCATAAGAAGGTTGTGAGAGAGAATATTCACTCGTTTCTTTATGACAGTCTAGACCGAGACCTTTCGAGACCTCTGTCATTGTTTATCAATCATTTCAATTTTCATTGACAAAATAATGATATTCAATTTTTTCATTGTTTGATACAAAAATACGGATATGTGCTTCAACATTTTTTTAATCGGGGAAAAAAATGAGTTTTTCAAAGACAAATTTCATCGAACCTTCTCTAGACCTTTTAGGCCTAGATAATTTGCCCCGATGAACTGATAATCCCACAGTTACATTTAAAAATACCCAACTGGTTTGTTTTTCATGTTGAAAACGAAGTTGGACTTCAATGAAGTCAATCTAGTGTTTCATTGAATAAGCATTTGTATTAGGCCAAGTCTAGGAAAAGGTCGACTACAGCACTGATCCTAACTTAATTGTCTGAAGTACGAACAACCATTTGTAACATGAAAACATCGGCTACTTTTGGGATCAGTTTGTTTTACTCTTCGTTTTGGACGGCCAAAAATAACGAAAAATAAACTGCAAAGGCTGGAATATCAATAAGTAATTGTTTTCACAAAAATGTTGGATTTTTCTGGGGGGTGGGTTATCAGAGAAGAAGCTAAACAAAAGAAAAACAGATTTTAACCTAACAATCGTCTTGGAAAGTTATCGCAATTATGCTACTATTTTGAAAATCGCACTGACAACGAAGCATCACGCTTATTAATCCACTGCCTATATCAAGACAAATTTCACTCCGAGTATTTTAATGATTAAATAAAATATATACAAGTTTTGATTCCAAGACAAGTAAAACAAGGCATCTGACAAACTACATACCTTTTTGAAAAGTCGTTTCTGTTTCTTTTCCACTACAGAAGAAAATGGCTTGCACCTCATGAACGAAGCGACAAGTGACGATTTTCTCGTCGGTCTTCGATGTTGATTCTTTAACAACCACTCGATAACTGTTACAGCACTGTTTTCACCTTGTTATTTTGACTGATAGCCGGCCAGTATTTGTGGGGTCAACACAAGGCGGACACCAACCCGGTCGCAAAGGGGAGAAGCCGACGCGTCGCCACGCAACCCAGACATGCTCGGCTCTCCGCTTACCCACACCCGATCCCTCACCCATTCAGCCTGCCTTTTCTTTGGAGAGTAAACTTGCACCCACTTTGGCGAATCGAGAATATCAAACAGAGTGGTTGGGGTAAACATCGAATTGTTGTCTTTCAAAATACAGGACTATTTTTTTCCTAGAGAGGTTTTCTGGAATTAGCGCAATGGAGATCATTTAACGCAACACAGGTTAATTGAAAGGGCCATGAAATGATTTTTTTTTTCTTAGGAAAAGTTTTTGTGCAACTTTTCTACTCCTCTTAAATGTATGAAAACTATTTAACATCTCTTTTTTTGGTTAAGTTTTTTTGAAAAGTGCACTGTATTCCTTAAACATTTAAAATTTGCCATATGCATGCTTCTCAGGACAACTGAGGCGCGGTTGGTGTGATGTCATTTCAGCAAGACACTGTTCAGTTTTAGGGGTTTTCTGTTCAAATGTGAACCCAAAAATGTACTCACTAAAAACAATTGTGAGAAAAGTTTGCTCATTGGCCTTCGGCAATGTACTGACTCACAACGAATCACCAAAGAAAAGAAAATTCTTGACAGCAGAATATCCCCTTTGTTAAGAGGAAAATGACAGAAGAACAAGAAACAGACATTTAGGGGACACACAAGCAAATAGTAGTGCAAATAGTTTTTATTAATCGTCACATAACATGTAGGAATACTGTGCACCAAACGTGTGTAGCTACACTGGGTGCGTGTATGATAGTGTGATCTGGTACACGGTACCCTGTGGAGACATGTGCACAATATATTGAACAAACGATTGTGTACGTCTCCAAAGAGCAATTTCTTTAGGTGAATACGTCTCCACAAGGTTATCACGAAATAGATATATGGATTTTACTAACAAACTAGGAATTTCCAAGGTGTGTTGATCCGTCGCAAATTGAAGTATTTTATGTAAGGGATATCAAGCCCGAATTTCAGCCCAGGAAATTAATTCTGGTTAAAATAGGAGCATTTTGAAAGTACACTTTCAAATTCGAAAACTTTAGTACACGAGAACAAAGAAATGACGCCACAAGGATACAAATTCCAGAATGTGTGCGTGTGAGTTTGTTTCTGCATTCAATATAGGGGACGTTGAACAATAGAGGACATTAGGTCCCCAATTTGGATTCGTGTACAAAATATATGGGAGGTCTTCCAGAAAAAGGTAGTAGTACAAACAAAAGATGGACAATAGGGGGTCCCCGATTGCAGGCAAATACACACTTGTGTGTGTGTGATCATCAATGATATCGCTAGTGCAATGTGCAAAAGTATGGTTTGTAAAACAATCAGTGCCATACGCTTCAGTAACCTTTACAATAAAGACGAGATAACGCAGCATGTATGGAACAATGGATCTGAAATCCATTCATAGCTCTAAATTCTTGAATGTTCCGTAGTTTCATTCGGAGATGGCAGACGTAACCTTCCTCTCGTGCGGCCACCCTGCTGGTTCTTGTCTTTGCTCGATGGGATATTTTTATTCGCTAAGAGCAGGGTGAGTTGAGCGTTGAGTTCAGATAACTCTCTGTGTTTCTGTGGAGTACGAGACACAAACACGACCAATCAGTCAATTGGCAGGTATATACCTCCTTTTGGGGGGAAAAAAATTAAAGCATGACAGTCCAGCGACACAGAACTTCTAGTGAAGCCACTCCGTGTACGGTGGCCTAGTGAAGCTAATTGGTCATAATGTTTTAGCAAAAAGAGCGCTGTGACGAGCAACGACACCATTAGCCCATTTGAGAAATGGCGGAAAAAATAGGAGGGCGCTATTTGGCTTGGGTATAGACTTTACCCACGTGATAGTGTCTGCCACACCTCAAATAGGTTAATTATCTGGGTACAGACAGTAGCAATGTCACTTTTATTGATGCAATGATGTAACACGTTTACTTCAGTTTAAAAAGCGAAAGATGTATTTTTAGTATAAAAATATGTAAGCTTACGTAAATAAACTTAGATACACGTCTTTACCCTCTCCACAACCCGACGTCGTCACAGCTAAAACAATGTGGCCAATTAAAGGTAGAGTCCATCATTTGTAATTTGTGCATTTTGTTCGTTTGAAGCAACAAAAAAGTTCAAAATCTAATGAAGGATACTGAGCAACTAACCTGATGAAGTTTCAGCTAAGCTTCAGCTGTACATTCCGAGAAAAACAGCATTCTAAGACCTCAATTTCAAATCAAAAGTTGCTGAATCATGTTTTTGAATTGTTTTGAATTGCAACTATACGCGACGTCGCGCACTGATCCGACGAATTATAACAACCGCGCGCGCGTGTGCGTCGTTCGAATACTTGTGCGCGCTGCGCTGAATAACAAAACGAACTACTAATTTAAATTTTCCTACGGTGCTTCTTAAGAATCACCGTTGGAAATGCCTTCTTTCGTTGATTACTTCAAAATGACAGCTTCCCAGAAAGAATAATTTCACAGGGAGTTTAGTCTCCTTACTATCTTTCAACCAAGTTAGTTTTTCAACAATAATTACGCCAGTTACTTTTCAGATGGCTGCAAATGATGGACTCTACCTTTAAGCCAACATTACTCGACTCTACGGAAGAAGCTTGGGCTGGCGTAGCGTATAGATGGATACAAATATTGTTGTTTTAAAGGAAAGGTATACCTATCCCCCAAGCCTAGTCAAGACTGCATTATTTCCAATTACCTATTATTCTTGTTGATACAATATATTTTTACATCGTTTTCCCCTTTCCATGTTAACACAACACACAACAGAGCTATATATCTAAAGTTAAGAAGGATGATTCACGAACAATGTTTGCAAAGTAAAGCGATTGTCACTGAATCAGAGCGGCGTACCTGGACTAATTTATCCATGAGTCCCGACGTTTGACCCGGCCCCATGTTGAGGGTAGATCCGGGTGACTTCGAGCCGCTCATCTGGTCTCGACCAAAGTGTAACTTTAATTCGCCATCTTTTGTCTTCAAAAATAATGCAACCTTTGAAATAATAAGGGACGAAATTGACCAGTTAGTGGACACAGCTTACGCGCGATGACAAGTGAACAGTACTCATAGACCGCGCGTGTGCGTTGCAGGTATAAGATGTATTTTAATTTAGTTACAATGCGCGCACAAAATGTTTGCTCGTGTCTATCACTGCGATACAAAGAACCACTACCCTCTGACTGCCTCGTCATAAAGTTGTCTGCTGTGTTTAGCAGATACCGCACGCACAAGCTATCATTCAAAACTGTATAATACAGGATGAGTAAAAAAAGAAAAGAAATGGCGCCCCCTATTTTGTAAAAAAGTTCTGCATGTAGCGCTTTCCACATCTAGGATGTGAAAACCCACTTAATAAGCTTTCTTTTATAAGAATCATTCAAATCACTCATGTACATTTTGGTTTATGGAATTTTGAACACAAACACAGTTTTATAATGTCGTTAACATGTGCATATACGGGAGAGTAGTCGGGTACCGTGCGTTATTGCGTACGTTTTGACGACACGACGATCGTAGAATTTGCAAACATATTTGCGATAATATTTGCGACATCGCAAATATTATCGCACACATTTGCAAATATATTTTGGTCATTCTTTTGCATAGAATGCGTACCCGTTGCTATCTCTGTGAATTGAGTGTCTTATTCCCTCTTTACCTTAGGAACAAAGACCAGACACAAGACCGCGGTGTTGGCGACTATGATCGCCAGGGACCTCACGGTGAAATACAAGCCTCGATTCTCGGCTAAGACGGTCAGTGTCGGCACGGTGATGGCCAAGGTCAGTACGACAACGTAGATGGACATGATGATGAAACGACCTGTGAAAAAAGAAAGGAATGTTATTTAAATTTCAAAAGAACAAAGGGTAATGTTGGTATGATATAACTGAGAAGTGCCTTGTAAAACAACACTAGAGGGCGAGTCAAAAGTGACCCGTATTAATGATTTTTTTCTTAAAGAGAAATCAAATTTGATACACCAATGAAATATGTCTTAAAAGAGTATATTTTTCCAGCTTATCTGTAAAAAAACAAGTACTGAAATTGATTCATGCTATCAGAACAGGGGCGTAGCAAGGTCATTTTTATTGGGGGGATAAAAATTTCTTGAAAAGGGCACTTGCACGGATGTGCTGAAATGTAGACACGGTTTTTTTTCTCCGGACACTTGACCTACTTAAAATCAAATAGTGGTGGGGGGGGGGCTGGTTACGCTGGTACCATCTGTCGATGGAGTCTATCAAGTACATTTTAAAGAGTCTTTCAGTATTTTCTTTGAAGTTTGAATATGAAAACTGCAAAAGGGATTCGTGTTCATGATTTGGATCATGCGTTTTTATCATTTAAAAAAAAAAATGAAGTTGCTTGATGGCGGTACACACTTTGATCCACTCTTAATAACCGTTTGTTTCGTTGCTCGAACTTGCTGTTGCTTTGAAACGTTTAAATCATATCAGCTGCCCTAAACTAATACATCAGCCACTGTATAGTCTCGTGTCTGCAAGGACAAAAGGACTCTGCTCCGAGTTCAAATCCATGGAAAAAAAAGTCCAGGGCGAAATTGCTTGTGTAAAAACGAAAAGCCGTACGTTGTATTCGAATGTCTGGCGGACTGCGTCATTCAATTACCCTGAGAGCATGCAATAAGAAAAAGATTTCCTGAGGATTTTCTCTTCACGTCAACAACTTTTTCCTTTTTTTTGTTCTTTAAAAGCAATATTAATTTTTACTGCACTGATGGTTAAACATCGCAGTACATCCTTGAAAAACGTACGCTCTAATGAACATCAGCTTCTACAGAACAGGTGCTCGTAACGTGAAGTTGTCAACTGTTCCGTCATCTTTCAATTACAATTCGAAATCCTTTAAAAGCATCCGTTCTTAGGATAATCCCACATAAATCCCGAAAAGCAAAATTGATTTTTATTTTGGAAAGCCAATATGTTGGATTTCTCATAAATAAATTCCGGCCCGAGTACTGCTTTTGTTTTATATAAAGATAAGCTTCAATGGGATGACCTCATGAAGTTTAATTTAATATAACCCAGTTCTAAAGCTTTGCGAAAAAAACAATAAAAATCCCACTTTGAAATCAATCGCTCGATTCAAGAGATTGCTGCAGATGATGCAGCGTTGGTCATCAAAGGAAAACCCTCATTTTATTAAACCAAAACAACCTGGTCAAACGCTTTTTCTGATTTGGAATTTAATTGACCCTCGAATTTAAAATGACGTTTTCATAATTTTCCTGACGTGATTAGTGTACTCGTCATTTTGATGAAAACAAAAAAGGGATAATACCAGCCACCGCTCTTCAAAAATTCACTTAATAATCATATATTTTTTCCCCTCTACTTCCCACATTCTATTCATATATTTTATTTGTTGCTTTTTAATGACAGTTGGTGCCCTATAGGTCATGCGTTCTATGTTCTGAGCAGTTTTCTATTGTAAATTTTCATGTATTTGGGGTATTTTTTGTCAGTTTTTCTGGTACTTCTTAATATTTTAATGCCAATAATGTTATTAATGGGATTACTATGTGGTACATCTTAATATTTTAATATTGATAATATTTTTTTAATGGAATTACTTTTTTCCAAATATTATAAATCATGTTCAATGCAACCCTTAGCTGCGAGTCATGATTGATTCAATAAACCATTTAATGAGTAAATAAAAATATAATTGAGCTATAGATCTAAAAGAATATTGAAATCGTTTAATGTTGATGAACTAAACGGAGCCGTTTAGCTCCAAATTCAAGGGAAAAATACAAATTAACGTCATTAATACTGCCTCTAAAGAAGAACTTGTTAAATTCGCAACGCATTAATTTTCCTATTTGTATATTTCAGGTCGATCCAGTTGGTCTGCAGTTTGCAGCAGTCCTAGTCATTTTGATGAGGCCATAATTATGTTATAAATATATATTTATATTAAAGGCCAAGTATAGGAGAAACAAGCATTTCGTTTTGATAGTGAAGGACTTTATAACTAGTATGGTCTACAATTTTGAAATTAACTCTCGAATGAAATACTGAACAATCTTAATGGAGAAGGAACCCACTGTCGTTCAGCTCTGCTATGGTGATCCGTCTCATTTCCCACGCTAGAAAGCTGCCTCCCAACATGAGCAGGCCCTTGATGGCATAGATGATGGCGATGAAGACAATCTGATTGTCCGAGGTACACTCCCGGTACATGGGCACTTTATACACCTCCGGAATTGGATTTGACTCATCTAGCTGTGGATGGAGAAGTGAACAAATTTCTTGTATAATGCAAAACATCAAAAACAGGCCCACTGCCTACCTACTCGTTGTACTGAGTAGGTTTATACAGTGGTGCATCCCGCTCTAAGCATCTGCCCCAGCCCCTGGTGCCCCCCCCCCCGGCCGCTGAGAATGAAGGTAAAGGCAAAATTAACTTTAAAGGAAAGGAAAGAGGGTGCCACTTCAGAAAATGAGATCCCAATTTACGACACTGACAGACGTCAAAAACACCATTCGTCACAAAGTATTACGAAACGGATTTTTGCGTAACTCATTTGAAAGAAAAGGAACCTTCCAACAAAAACCTAGTGACAGATTCACCATTAATCACCGTCATGGCATAATGCCTTGAAACATATTTGTTTTCTGTGGATAATTTGCCCGATGAATAGCCTGGCATGGCACGACCCATATAGCAAAATTGATAAGACTGATAAGCGCTCAAGATATTCTATTCGGCTATCATAATGTCCGTTTAGTTCAAAACAAAACCTCACAGCTGTACGCGTAAACATAGGGATTAAATGGGTGCACAGATACGTCAACATGTTTTTGCTTTCGGGGTACGAAGAAACAAGACAAGGCTATAGTAAAGCTACCCCCAGAGCGAACCAAATTTTATTCCGTTGATTTAGAATGGCTATACACTAGGGAAGTCTTTTCATACATGTGAAAGTCAGTCAGTGTGACAGTCAGTCAGTCAGGTGCAAATAAGTCAATAGGTTGACCTCTCTGGGTCCAGCAACACAAAAACACAAACAAAAATAAACAAACAAATCTGACCCAACCCAACAAAATGAGTCCGAAGTCGTCAGAGCTGTTTTTGGATTAAACCGCCCTGAAATAGATTTTTTTTTTTTTTTTTATTATTATTATTGATTTAATCTCTGGTAATGAAACCAATGATTCCTCAAAAGCGCCCTAGGCACTGCAGTTCGTAAGCTTGGAGAAATAGTGATGAGACAATGAGAAGAAGTTACAGTTTTAGAGGTGGGAGGAAAACCCCAGAAAAAATTCTGGGGGAAACCCACGGATTCAGGTAGGGACTGAAAACCCAATCCACGTATTTGCCCAGGCGGGATTCGAACCTGGGTCACAGCGGTGGAAGGCGAGGAAAGTACCGCTACGCCAACCTGATCTTGCACCGCATAAATCAATATGGACTCTATCCTTATTCCTCCTTAATAGCTAAGGAAAAGCTAACTATGCACTTTGTAATGAAAAATGAAAACCATTTAGTGAAAAGAAGTCCTTAAAATAAGACTCAATTTGTGGGATCCGGTCACATGTTTTCGCAAAGCAGCACCTAATCACAACTAAACTCTTAGGCCCCGTGGATTAATTCCGATTTGCGTGCGCCCCCGTGCGCACGCGTGCGCACGCGTGCTCATGCGTGCTACCCCGTGCTGCACGGGTCTGCCCGCAATTGCGTGCCGTTGCGTGCCGTTGCGTGCCGTTGCGGGCAACTGCGTGCCATTGCGTGCTTATGCGGGCTATTGAGCACAGGCAAGGGTTGCTACACTAATCCCTAGATTAACGCTGACAAAAGAAATTGGGTAGCCGGCCAAGGCGGCACCAGACAAAGAGGTTGTGATAAATAATGAAAGGTTTGCGATGAAAGGGCTGGAGTTCCAATGACATAAAAGACGTTGGTGCCTGGCAGTGCCACAATGCATGGTGTCTGGATTATTCTTTTATGATACGTGACATTACATGTACATGTATTACACTTTACGTACGTAAGGCTAGGCTATTTTCATAGCTTTTTTGCGTCGTTTGATTGAGCTCCGGACATATTATATTTCTTTTTATTTTTCGTTGAGAGCTTTGGTTTTAATTGAAAGACACCGAACGTTCTTACTGTAAATATGAACGTCAGTTGAAAGACTGCTTTATTTATGTCATTATTCTTAATTTATATTAATCTGCATTTTTAAGAAAGTTCCACTCCATTATTCAAGTTAAACACCAATTATTGAAAGAGAAAGAATACACATCATCAAGTTCATTTTCATCATTCAACTTTATAGTCCTCCGATCAAAAGTCATGATAGGCACTGCTGTACATCAATCATAGGCCTGCACGTACGTATCGTCATGATATGTTGATAAAGTAATAGGCCTCATAATTGGGGCCGCGCCCATTGAGAGTCAAGTTGATTTTTTTGTTGCAATGGCGATCGGTATTTTATTTGCTGTAGGCCCATGCATGCACAATTGAAGTTGAATGTTTTGTTCGTTTCATTGTAACTGTTGTATCCATTTTCTCATTGACATAAAAAAAAATGTTATGTGCTCTCAAATTTGATTTGTGAATTTCAAATTGTGTGGCAAAATATGAAATTTTTAGGGCACTTAGTGCTATTAATAAGCATATTAGTGAAGTTTTGCTTTTGGTCCCCAAAAAGTGAAGTGATGCACCACATTCCACGAAACTTGATGCTGAAATTTCCAACAACTTCTAGAGCCAAATATGAAAAGATTCCCATATCTGGCCATCAGTAATTTTTCCCTTAAATGACCTATCAGCCATCAAAAAGTGATACTATATATGTCCTAAAAAATCTAAATTTGCAGGGACAAGTTTTGAATTGAGAAAACACTTAGAAATTTTCAGACCTGCAGTCCCGTAGGGTTTGTGCACAGGGTGACAAATGATTACCAGATATAGGAATCTTTCCGACCATTTAGTTAATCCGGTGTTTATCACCTCCCGCCCCGATTTCCACGCAGCCCTGATTTTTTTGGCACAATTGCAGAATACCCCGCCACTCAATCTACCAAAAGTATAGTTCCGATCCCGCCCAGCACAACGCAGCACACGGAATATGTGTCCACGCATTATCCCTGTTTATAAAAACCACCACCGCGTGTCAGACAACGTCTGGCAATGGCCGATCCCGCTCCACACAACACGGAACATGCGTGCACGCGTTATTACTGTTAAATACCGCCAGCCAGACTACATGTAAGTCTGACACCACTTCCATCAGCGTACAATACCATGCGGTTGTAGACCAGTCTGGCTGCGTCTCGCCGTTTACAAAATTCTCTCATTTCGCTTCTGTACCCCGACCTTTAAAATTTCTTTGCGGCAAGGTGCGGCAAGCTTTTAATAATTTCTTTTGATACCACTGTTTCAATAAAAGTCTGCACTTAGTTCTGGGTACGAGTGTACCAGTCCGTACCATTTTTATTTATAAAGTTATGATAAAGACAGATTTTTCAAGTAGATTTTAATTCTACACGGTGTTTTAAATGAAAGTACCGGCTCACGCTGTAATGTTTGGGGCATTTCCTGTCCTTTCCTGGTCACTTTTATCATTTCGTTAAAATTTCCTGTCTTTTTGGAACGCGTGTAATTATTGGTACCACCAGAGTAGATGAGTCATGCTTGGCCCTGCCAAGTGTTTACAATTAACTAATGAGCGGATTAAGAGACACAATGGCTAAAGTCCAAGACGATGTCTATTGTGCATTTCTGCGGTTTGTTTGTAATGTTGTACCGCCTGGCACTGAGCCCGTTTGCGTGCCACTGCGTGCAAGTCCGTGCCAATGCGTGCCGATGCGTGCCGATGCGGGCCAGTGGGTTCAAAATCTCCTTTGTTCGAGCTTGCCTGCGTGCGCACGCGTGCGCACGGGGGCGCACGGGGGCGCACGCAAATCGGAATTAATCCACGGGGCCTTAGTGTGAGCATTCTCTTCCTACGATTTTGTGAAATGATTGCATATTTTCGGAGCCTGCGTTTTGTGAGGAAGTATCGATGATATTTGCTGAAAATCTTCTTACTATTAATTTACCTTTGATGCCAGAAGCACATTTGTCACATTCGTTGTGTCCACTACGACCCACAGCAGAATGATGATGACGTCAACGGTTACCATGGATGCGACGCCAGCCATTAGCTTGGTATCAGATATCTCCTGTCAACAGTGTTTTATGTACAGAAGACCCGATAAGGTCGTGTAAATTATAATTAAGTGTGTGGCTTTATCCTGTCAGTTTCAGCTTATAAGTCTGCAAGCCCTTAACACCTCAAATGATAATTGTCAGGATTTCGCATACAAAAAACCGCAGATATTTTGTATCATCGAGTATCATTGGTCACTGTACCGCCCAAAAACGCCCGGCCTATAACTCCCTGTAGCGCTTGAAACCGCCCGAGCACTTCGTTTGTTTTATGAAATCATCATAGAAAAACTGCACTGTAATACAATGTGGTCCAGGTGCTATAGTCAAACGTAAATTAAAGACATACTTACTATTCTCTTAGCGTGACGCATGGAGTTGGTCCAAACTAAATGAATGCGATAAGTCTTCAGGAAGAGCGCCCCAAACGCCAGAGAAATGCCGATGCAAAGAAGTGTAGTTTCAATCTACATAGATCGAAAACAAAACAAATTGGTGCATAAAGTCTATGAATTTAACGTTAAAATTTGACGTGAATTGTACTTTTCTAAACAATTAAGTTATTATTTCCGAAATATATGCACAAATAAGCCTATATACGCACGACCCCCAACAGAACAGAGACATAAGGACATCACGCTTTGTTTACATGTGCGCTTTCCAAGTTTCCATAAGAAAGCGCATATCGTGACGTCATTTGTCTCTCAGGTCTATAAACTTATTATTGGTAGGCCTAAAGACCATGTGTGTGTGCCATGTGACGTCATACTGACATGCAACCACCGGGCAACCTACACATTAAAGCATCTTTTGCATGTTATTTGGCCAACATCAAACAGTTTATAATTGTCAACACTTTTAAATCATTCACAGTTTCAGAGATGTGAATATAGTGCAACTGAGAGAACCATTTACTGAAAGTTGACATTGCGTGACCACGACATCAAATTTTGTCAACACGTGTCACAGTCATGCTCTATAGGTTACTGTTTTGATCATTCATGGTTACTTATCTAAAACTAAGAAAGAACACCGTCTGCACATAAGGTTCATATATCACCCAAAATTTGAAAGCATTCAACATTTGCACACAAAATTATGAGGTTATAATGGCTTGCAAATGCACTCCTGGTGTGCACATTATGAATACGCACTGTTAATTAGTAATCTGTGGCATATCAGGAGTGCATTTGGCGATGAATCAGAATGATTTGTCTTCACGTACAAAACAAACAGTGATGAAGGTGCCCTCCTTCAGCTGTGACACGTCCAAGCCGAAGACGAAGACAGACGCGTAGAGAAACAAACATCCGCCGACTATCAGGTTGTTCAGCATGGGACTTGATAACTTGATGGCCCTGTGTGATTGATAAGAAATCTCATCTAAACATACTAAATGAAGCTGAAAACATTTGGGGTAAATGCTGCTGAACGACACGGCACGAAGATGAGAAAACGGTTCCATATATTTTGTGTATGTGTGTACTTGTTCTTCAAAACCCCAGAGGACAGACACACAAAGGGAGAACAACAGATCCTTTCAGTCCTCGGGAGTTGGGTCTTTTTTTCAAAACGGTCCTCTGTGTTAGGCTTGTGTGCTTAGTCTATGGGAGAGTGTTATATTACAGGGACAAAGGAAAACACAAAGCATTGTCCTCGGGAGTATAGTAAAACAAGAGTACGTGTTTAAGGGCATGTTTTGATAAAAAGTAGGGATCATTTGCTCTTCATGCAGTTTGTTACTCATTTCAAATAATGACACCACTCGAAATCCAAAGAAGACTGTTCGGGTTGGTTGATATTTCAGCTCAACTGATTGCTCTCTTCTGAATGACAGCAAGCCAAGCGGAAGAATTTTATAGGGTGTTTAGTATATACCAGTAAAGATCTTTGATCCAAGTTAGTTTTCGGTATGTTACTTTTGGGATGTATGCGAATGATTCTATATGCCTTTAACTATATTATTATCTACAGGTAAAGCAAAGGTGTATCATCTATACGGGTACTGCACCCTGTACCGTACCGCCACATTTGTGGGTCTACCGGAGGCCAAGCAATGTGCCTGTTCTAAACAGGCACATTTTGAAAGGGCACTGCACTAGTATTGATAAACAGAGGATCATTTATCAGATCCTGCACTCGGCCTATGGTTTTGGTTGCATCTTCGCCCGCATTGCCATTATTTCAACAAGCTACCCGTCTTAATTGTGTCTTCCAATAGTTCATAAAGTTGATTACTGTCATGGATAAGTTGCTATCTGGATATTGCTACTGCCTTTTCCCCAAGCGTAATTCATAAAGTGTTTGGTACATTTACATTGGCACTCTACTGATAGCATCAGTACTGATATCCAGTGACTCAGTGCAAGTCAATATTTGGTTGACATATTTATTCTCTTTGTCTGGACTTATCTTTTCTGTGGTTTTTGGGTTGTTTATAGCGACAGTTGGCCTACCTTTTCTGCCGGTATCGAATGTTGATCGTCAGAAAGAACAGCGCAAGTAAAGTGCCCAGTGCGGACAGAAGATAACATGGGACTTTACTGGCAAGAGGGACGGTGATCCATTCTTCAATCTCGGTTATACCGTCTACGGGAGGGTCATTACCTGCCAAAATATCATTGGAATCGAGTATTAGTTTGCATGTCAGTAGTCAAGACAAAGTCCATTCATGCACTCATTTCTACGACCTTTGAACAATAACTGTCCTGTTTTTGCTTAAGAGTAAAGTTAGCATCGATTTCATTTGTGAAACTGCAGCTGCAGGTACAGACAAACAAATAAAACCTTCTATTAAACCTATACATTTCGAGCTTTGTGGGCCTTCTTTTTTAAGTTGCTTTTGTGACCTTGTTTGCTCGCAGGCTTAAAGTAGACTAGTTTCCAGTTCTCAATTGAAATAATCCAAACTGATACGGTGGCAGGAGCAAGTACCCTGTGACAACTGAATCATTGTCCGGCTGGAAACAAGTTTAAATTGGTAAAGTAATTATTTCAGCCTTAAAGGGGAGCCATTTTTGTTGGTATTAAGTCTCAGAGGTTTTTTTTTCAGGGTGAACTCCCCCCCCCCCCCAAAAAAAAAAAAACCATGGAGAGTTAATCTTAACATAACCAAATAATTTATTTATTTTATTTATTTATTATTACTATTATTATTAGCAACCTAAAATGGTTGGATTAAAAACATTTTGAAAGATATTTAAATTACATTTGAGTTTGAAATATTAAAACTTTTAAATAGCAATGCACATTAAACATTAAAACCTCCTATAAAAAAACAACAATTGCCAATAAACGAACAGTCGTGGCACATTAAAATCACTATCCTTTATACTTCCTGATGTTTTATGAACTGTTGATTAGCCCTCCATTTCGTGCGTATGTTCGGCTATCAACAGGACTCATCTCTATGGCGACGGATCCCATAGATGTATTATCCCACTAATTCAGAATGTCATAACTATTTATTAAATTCCACCGAAGTCATCTGTTCACTCTCAAAGGCGCAAGGGGGGGGGGGGAGTCCGGGCGAACCTTTACAAAGCCCTTTGTGTACGGTTTGTAAAGCGATATTGTCATTTTGTCAAGGCAACGCAACAGGTAATTAGCTCATGGTGCATTTTGCTTAAGCTGTTGAAATATTCAAAAGTGCGAGCTATAAATTATTACCTATGCTTTGATATAGTGCATATATGTGCCTCTGTTTTCATGCGCGCATAAATGTCATTCCAAATATTCCCAATGCTCTAGCCAGGGTGAAATTACAGCGTATGTGGGCATTTGTTCGTCAAGGACTAAATGCGAGCGCAGAGCGCCAAGCACTTTACGACGTGGGGTGCGGGGTTTGGATTATAGATAGTCTGTGGTGCAATCTGAGGTGATTCCACTTTCCCCTGACTTTTTTGAGCAAAAGTTTAAAAGATTATAATATAATATAATCAGTTATTTAGCGATATATTTGAAATTCAGTGTAATTTAATCAAAAAAGTAAAACTAAAACAGAAAAGCAATAACATTTCAACTCCATAGCTAGCTTAACACTAGTTTCATTTCATTTCATTTCATTTCATTTCAGAAACATTTATTTCCACATGACTAAGCACTTTAGAAAACAAAACAATTGTTACATGAAAACTACTAAGTGGAGGCATTACACAAGAAGCCGAAGCTTATAAACGGAATGCCTTAAACACACAAAAAATATATATATATATAAACAATACTGAAAAAGGAAGACTAAATTCAAAAGACAAAACACAACAAAACAAAACAATGAAACAGAAACAGACAAACAATCGGAGTGGACGTAAACTTAATAAACTTTACAGACGGACATACTGGAAACATACTAGTGATACAATGACACAGTTTATAAAATGGATGATGCAAGCAAAAGAAAGCACAATTAAAGCAAACGGTATGAATGTAGAAAAACCAGCAAAAGACAAAGCAAACTCAAACTATGCTATATACTGGGAGATAAGATGGTTCTTGAAAGTGGTTTTAAATCGGCCAACAGAGGACTGCGATTTCATAGACTGACTGAGTCCATTCCATAGACGAGGTCCATGAAAACGAAGAGTGTTCATTACGTATGATGTGCGTGCAAGAGGGATGTAGTAGTTATTATGTGATCTAGTAAGGTATTGATGAATATCGTTAATTGAGGTGAAATATGAGGAAAAAGTGCGAGGAAGAAGGTTATTAGTATATTTGTACATTATTATACCAGTTTGAAGTTTATTAATGTCGGTGATTGTTAGTGTGTGTAATCTGGCGAACAAGGGTGCTGTGTGATCACGAGGATGGGACAGTGTGCAAATACGAATAGCCCTTTTCTGTACGGTAATAAGAGATTTAAGTTTGTTAGTGCTTGTGCGTGCCCACACAATATTGCAGTAGTTCAGATAGGGGAGAATGAGAGTATTGTAAAGAGAAAATAAAGTGGTAGATGGGAGAAAGGAGCGGAGCTTAGAAAGTACACCAGTGTTTCTGCTGATGACTTTGGAAACAGTAGTAATGTGGTTGGACCAGGAAAGTTTGTCGTCGATGGTAACACCCAAGAATTTTGTGGAATGGACTTGACTAATGGCAGTATCATTGATTTTAACTGTTCCATTACCACAAAAATTCTGAGACCTGGAGAAGACCATGTATTTAGTTTTGCTAGAGTTGAGAGAGAGTTTGTTGGCTTGAAACCAGGAAGAAACTTTAGTAAGCTCGGTATTGAGGTTACTAACCAAGGAATCAAAGTCTGTATGAGACGAAAGAATAGTAGTGTCATCAGCAAAAAGAATAAACGACAAAGTGTTAGAGGAGCAGTGAAGATCATTAACATATATAAGGAAAAGAAGAGGACCAAGAATAGAACCTTGAGGCACGCCATGATCAATTATTTTAAGAGAAGAAGAAGATTGTTTGATAGTGGTGAACTGTTTGCGGTTGTTAAGATAATCAGAAAACCACTGATGACAGATGCCTCTAATGCCGTAATGTTCAAGTTTAGAGAGAAGAATAGAGTGGTTGATGGTATCAAAGGCTTTAGAAAGATCGATAAAAACACCAATAGAAGATAGCTTATCAGAAAGAGAGTTGGACAGAGAATCAACAAGTTGGATCAGAGCCATATCAGTAGAGTAACTGGTCCGAAAACCGAACTGCCGGTCATAAAGAAGATGAAATTGAGAAAGGAATTTGAAAAGTCGCTTATAGACAAGCTTTTCTAAGATTTTTGAAAAACAGGGAAGAACAGAAATAGGACGATAGTTACAAAAATCATGGCGATCGCCAGCTTTGAAAACAGGGGTAACCTGAGCAATCTTAAGGTTAGAAGGTACAGATCCAGTTAGAAAAGAGAGATTAAAGATGTGAGCCAGTTGATGAGAGATAAAAGGAATAGAAGACTTGACAACAGAAGGGTTGTCCATGGCATGACTACAAAAATATATATATATATTTCCATTAAAAATTTTCAAGAATTTCCTGGGTTTTAAATTCAGTCAAGTTCAATTTTTGTGCCTTACGATAGGTTCAGATTTGTTGAAGGCCAAACCATCGGCAAATAGGCGGCAAAATAAATTGTGAAAGACTCATCGTAACTACTATGGATACAACTGGCGTCCGACATCGACATAAATAATCATCGGCGATTGTAACTTGCACACAGTACAAACCAATTTGAAGGAAGCATTATCACTTTTTAATGTAGAAAATATGCCAAAATTTTTGTAGGTGACGATGCTCAAGCTGAGAATTGAGACATTTGGGATGTTGGGAATTGCTATTGCTATACCATGGACCTCCATGGTTACACCGTACCAGCGAACCGTTCTTAGTCGAGTAATACAAAATTGGCGCGTGCACGTGCACACCGCGTTCCGTCTTGTCGGAGCATGCCTGGAGCACTGACAGGGCTTAACGACAACAATTGCTGATTGTTTTTGTCCTGAGCAGGAACAGGTCCCTTTTCAGAACGAACATTCTAAGATCTCTTTTTCAGCAACAAGTCGTAACATTAACAATCCATTATTTTGATTGCGAGTTCCTATAAGTATAGGAACACGGCAAGAACACGGCACAACACTATACACGTCTTTATTGGCTTTTATCTCAAGAGTGTAGCCTTCCTTCTCATAATTGTGATGGGCTAGAGATGGGATAACAGTTAATCAATGTGAATTATAAAGCAGTAAGCCAACTTTACGCAATCGTTTACCGAACTGAAATACATGTTGAATGTGATATATCTGGTCTTTCTGTTCACATACCTGACCACATGAACGTCTTTCCTTGTAGAAGTGTCACTGATTTCTTTTCAGCGTCATATTTGGCAACCTTCACATAAGAACCATTACCTGCATAAGACATTTGTGACATTTTTTAGTATATTTCGATATGAGTGCATGAAAACCACCAAAAGTACTATGGTTCAACAAAGGGCAACACATTTTGCTCCAATTAACAAGATCCACGTATCTTGTTCTGTCTCAGTTTTTCCCAGTTAAAATGAAACGTGGGCTATAAAAACAAATTATCTATTGTCCAAGGGCACGTAAAACCTGACATCAATAGGGAGTTCTGGTAATTAACCTTTACCTTGACTCTGCTCAATGTATACGTACTCCGTGAAGTCCCTCGCCCTGTCCTTACCAATAACCAAGTGATCCTGTTTCAGGAAAAATATTTCATTAATAAAGGTTAGTGTGATGTCACGTAGAAAATGGCTCCATTCTAATTCAGTATAAAAAGGCTAGCCGACCGTGCAATTGCTGGGGTTTTTTTTCCGATGCGACTAATTTAGAAGAAAATGGCGGTTTCTTAGGCTGTACGCTATGTCCACATCATGTTTACATGTCGTTTACAAGCCATTTTAACGGTCGAAGAAGACCTAGACAATATAGGATATCCCTTTTTGTTTCTATGGTTTTCATATTTTTTGCCTCTGAAGTAGAGTCGGTCGGTCGGCAAAAACATATAAAGTTCGCGTAACTTACCGTTATGCCGTACACGTCGATCGCCTCGGCGTTCCGTAGAAAAACCTGCGTCATCTCCCTGTCGCTGAAGTCAAACGCGTCGAGTCTCCTCGGTGGTATCATTTCTTTCAGGTCCGCAATGGAAGAGTTAAGAGCTAAAGCAATGACGAAGAGGGCGTCGTATGCATAGGCCAGTGTTGCCCAGTTGTTGTCAATGATACTCTGTGATCGTAACCACTCCAGGTAGGCCCGTTGCGTTTGATCCAACTGCGGCCTCTGCGTCAGAAGATAAGATTTCGGTTTAGATTTAAGAAGGTTTCCAATTTTAAAGAAGGCTTCAAAGTCAAAACAGTCGGTACTACAAAATGTTCCTTTCGTCGAATTCATGTTTAGACGTGACAAACATCCTCATGGTTTGTAAAAACAAAAGAGTAAAATAAACCCTGATTGTTCGGATAGTGTATGAATTATGATTGCTCATTCACCGTTACGCCAAATTATATATCAATCAGCACTTTGCGAGACATCCTACATGATTATTTAAATGTAATAAACATGTTATCAGTCATTTTTACTGAAATCAAACTTGAAGCAGAAATATACACACTAGTGGGGCAATATATCACCAAAACACGAATTGTACCAGCTATATCGATTACCTTTCTTAACGACACAGACTAATGCTGAATGATGGCACAAATCGCTTTGCAGATCCCCTCATTTGGTTTAACCTTGCAAATTACGAATTTCAAGTTAGCACTACAACCGAGGGCATCAGTGCTGCCTTTTGTTGAGAGGATTAGAAAAAAAGACGTCCTCCATGTCATACAATGGCTAAGCACTGACAGCCTCGGTATCAATTCCAATTTGAAATATGCCTATTGTTTATGGTCATAGAAATGTGTTATCCTTGATTCAACTGATTTCAGAGCAACCGAGAATACTCACAAAACCCTGATAATCCATGCGGTTTACGTCGTCAATAATCTGAACTCCACTGACGAAGATATGATACAGCAGGAGTTGTTCCAGCTGTTCAGCTGAGCAACCGTGAGTTGTGACTGAGGCCGTTAACCACCACTCCGCCGCGTACCAGCCAGGGACGACCCACACGTACTTGGGTCCTCGTAAGCCGCTGTTGTAGATCTGATAAAAAACGTCATTTCATGTTTGTTATTAAAAAGTGTCTCTCCGTGTCAAGGAATACCTCAGAAATATTAGGCTGAACAATTATATTATCATACTATTCATATCATGATATCCGAACATAGTTTACAAATTAGGTGCGAATGTGTGCGTCAGCCGGAAACATTTATTAATTTGCACTAAATTTTTCATCAGAGTTGCCTTTAGAAATTGTCACGTCATTTCGATCAGAAATGTGGACTAAGCTGTTGATTGGTAAATTTGGCTGACTTCCTTGTGTTTTTTTTGTAATACAACAACAGATTACGGAAGACCCGATTGAAGGCGCCCGCTGAATGGTCAGAATCTCGAGGTCAAGACGCAGTCTAGTCGCATAATTAATCGCCGAATCTGCTGGCATATCATTGACCATTGCTATGCAACGGGTATTTCACAGGCTAACGCTTGAGTAGACATCTTGTGGATTCCTTGTTTACGAATTAATGTAAGAAAACACACCTCAAAGGTGGCGACCTTTACGTTAGTTTACACTAAAAGCATTTAAAAGAACGGCAGTCGTCGAGCTGTGGCTAACGAGATGAGTTATGGATTAAAAGATCCCTGGTTCGAATCCTGCTATGTCCATTTTGCCAACGACTATCTGTCTACTCCGACTTCATCGATAGTTTTGATTAAAGGGAAAAGCAGGAGAACGAAAACGTGTCTTGCTTCGATTCTATGAAATTACTGAATTATTCAAAGTGGCTTCACCCACCTACGGGCAAACAAATTTGCGCGCAGCACGCGCGATGCCGAACGGCGCGCCGGGCTCCATTCCTGCAAGAACTTGCCGAGAGAAAAAAACGGTGTGACGTCACAGGAGGGTGTTAAATTAAATAGAATCATCAGCATATTCCAGTCGCAACCCTTTCCCAAGCTCCTACAAATAACGCAGTCACCTGCTGCTTGAGAAAGAAACACAAACATCCAGCGAAAAAGAGTATTTGAACAGCAGGGCAACGTGTGGTGGACCTGCGGCAAATCACGTCCTTCCTGACACTACAGGTGTGCGCAAAACATCAATCTTCCTAAAAGCATGCATGAAACGCGGATTGAGTGTATAGCCAGGTTCATGGCTCCAGATCCATTTATCTAATGAAGTTTGTCGTACAAACAGAACGTTCATTACCCGGATTGAAATGCGGAACTCCTTTTTGCAAAGAAATCGTTTTTCTTGCCATTTTCTTGGAGATAATTTAAGTGGTAAACTAAACACCTGCCAATGTTAACTCATTAGTCTTGACCGAATGTTGAAGTCTCATTAAGAGGGATGGCGTTTCTATACCCCACCCTAACACAATTCGATGCAGATTCAACTAGCGGTTTGAAGTGCAACTATACAGTCACATTTTGCTGGTACGCGGAATTGCCCACTTTGTATCATGGAAGCAAAATAATAGTTCAACAAACTCTCGTTGATTAATGAGTTAATATTAATTATACAGGGTGAGTCAAAAAACAGAAAGTGGCATGGATTAAAGATTGTTTTTCTTAAAAAGCAATCACATTTTATACAAGAATAAAGTATGTCTTAAAAGAGCATGTTCTTCCTCTCGTCTAAAAATAATACTGAACTTGATTCATGCTAGCAGACGTTATACATGTTTTACTAAAATAACCTATTTTTATAGCTATTTGTGGAATGTACTTGGAAGCTATTGAGCTGAGTGATAATTACAGATTACATACAAGCATTCAAATACAAATGGGATTGTAATCATTTTATTCAAGACTGAAACATTATTTTTAATGTCAGAATTTTTTTTTTTTTAATATAAGAAACAAGCAAACTTTTTTTGTCTGCTTTCCTCTGCGAGTTCATTCGTTTTCGTTCATTCATGGAGGTAGGAAAATGTTTGTGTTTCATTGAATTTACTGAGTATTCATCAGTTCGTAGAACGGTAAAATGACCAGTGGTGGACAGCTGAATTTTGTGATCTGTTTTATTAAAATATGCATAAGTTGGGAACATGGGAGTATGCCAATTGCGTGAAATATTCACAGTTACTATTCAATAACATGTACTCTATCCCTATGTTATTTTATGAAATGGAGCAAACCTCAAGTTTTAAGAAAATAAATGTCTATATCTAATTCCGTCACTTTCTTTTTGACTCACTCTGTACATCATTTACCTGGCAAAAGATATATTTGGCCGCCTCCTGGTAGAAGCCCATGAAAATGATTCTAGCATCATGTTGCTGAAGGAAAACATGTAGTAAAAATAAATGTTATGTAAATGGCAACCTACAATCAAAACCACAAACGTGATGCCATGTACAAAAACCATGAATTTCAAATTACTAGAAAATTGTCACAATCCCCGTAAACATCTAAATGTAGGTAATGGATAAACTACCAGAAGGCCTAATATTACAGGACAACCCTGTCTAGACTGTCTTAAAACACAATTTTCGTCACTAGAAGTACTAATCAAGCTCCTGGAAGAAATTAATAATGCATCTTTTGCTTTCGTTTGAATGCTCATTTTTGGTGAATTGAATGTTGACTTTCAGCTCGATTTGATTTCGCTCTAAAGTGAACGACACCTCATTGAAATTGACTGATAGTTTAACAAACAAGCCTCTGGCGATATGTACTCAGACATAGTAGACAAAATAATACGATGAATAATACGAGGCTATTTTCGAGTAGTAAAACGATGCTCGAACACAACCCTGATTATAATAATGTGCCCACCATTCATTTCATCGTATAGCTTGATATTGCACTTAACAAGATAAATGTGCGCGTTTACAATTCTGCACAATAGGCGTCCTGATCGATTGTGCTTCTTTTTCTCCAATTAAGCAAATTGAAAAGGAAAATTATAAGGGAAAGCCTTTGTCTTGTTCAACCGAAAAGTACAAGTCCCAAGGCGACAGTACGGTCCCTATAGGGAAAGTACAAGTCCCTAGTGAGACTTGTTCAATTAAATTTTTGGTCATTTTACTTTGGTCCTGCAAGGTTAAGTTCCGCCGTTTTGAATGTAGAAAAAAGTAATGACTAAAAGGATCTCCGGTATACTCAATAACAAATGAATGGTTATCGGCAAGACCGAACAGATAAAAAGGCAGGTCCATTCTCATCCGGAAGCGAAGACAAATTTGTGACGTCAAGGACAAGTAATTTTTGAAAAAAAGTTCAACAAACTTCAACTCATCGAACTTCGCTGCGAACGTTTCGTGGACAAATTCGCTGGGTTCGTAATGACAGAAGTGTGAACTAACCCTAAGGCAGTCACTTATACGTGGGGATAATCATGACAATTATCGCCCCGTACATTTCCAAAGTTATTGAAGCAGCCCTGAGACAGTGTGCCCAGCAGAATCTACTCGTTTTTGTTTTGCAAGTCCAATAAAGTCAGACCTTTTGATTTGTGTTTAATCCTAATAATGTTTATTTTCACATTGTTGTGAACTTGTGATCAAATTTTAAGGGATCGATTACCTCGCAAATCAGGAAGCAAATGAATGATAATAACCTGAAAAGTTTTTTTGACGAACATGTTCTTTGTGAATTTATCAAGTTTGAGTTGGCATTTTTGACAAGTCAATCCAAATGAAAAGAAAAAAGTTTAGAGACAAGACAAATATAGACAAACAACAACAATCTGGGACAATACCCTCAGGCTTTTGATCTGTTCCTGAGACTGCGTGACGTCTTGTACCGTCTCCATAGCAACCACGCTGATACCTGAGGTGCGCAGAAGCTCAGCGAGATCATCGAAATGCTGTCAAATCACAGAAACAGGACCAGAAGTCAAGCTGTTGGTCTGGACGGATTACATGTAATATGAGTACCCCAAGCGCGAGGTGACACCTAAAAGCAAAACGGCTACATTGGTGCATGCAGACATTGTTATGTAACCCTATCTACACCCAAAAAAAAATGATTCACAAGTCATAATAGCTAATTTCAAGTAATGTGCCTTTTACAATGCTTCCACTGTGGAAATCGATACCAGCAGTCAACATCTAAACCAACATAAAAAGTGAATAATAAATCATGTTATGTACATGTACATATATGTCACTTTCCAGTGCACAAAATAATTCTAATATAGCTCAAAAAAGGACACCCAAATGGTGCCCTCAAATAGCGCTTTCCAAATCTAGGATATGAAAGCTCAATTAATAAGCTTTCTTTTAGTGAAAGAATCATTCAGATCGCTCATGTACTATTCTTGTTATGAAATTGTAAACACAAACACCGTTTGTTAAGCTTGTCCACGGATAACAATAAATAGCAGTGTCTTAAGTTTTGAAATTTCGTGAGAATTAATGTTCCGGATAGAATCTGGCTTCTGGCAGTTTATTCCAGAGAACACCCAGGTCCAATGTGCGAAAAGGCCCGGTCGCCATACTGTCCTGGGCCAGGGACCATCTAGGACTAGTGGTAAGGAGCCTGAGCGAAGTGAGTATAGCAGCACTGCTTTACCTTGAGCAAGTCAACATCTTAAAAATCAATCCTATTTGGACTGGAAGCCAGTGGAGGGATTTGAGAGATAGGGTGATGTTTTCATACTTTTGACATGGCCAAGAATCCGCCCTGCATTGTTCAAAAACCTCTGTCACCGAAGTACGGACTAAACAAAATTAATTACGTATTATTTAAAAAAAATAATAAGACCAACAACATCTCAAAGTGTGGTTCCGGTCACATATAGGCCTACACCGAATTCCTCTGCCTCATGTTCAAATTTATTTGGAACACAACATCGCCTTGCCTTGAATAAGCAAAGGTTGTCCTCAATTCTGTGTACCCATTCTGAGCAAACATTCGAAGCAAACATTCGCGCAGAAACGTAGGCAACTTTACATCGAACAGAGTAAATCGTGCCTTCGGTGTTCAAGCAGTGACCCTCAGCGTTATATAGATCTCTGCATTCTAATCCGGAAATAGCTTTTATACTAATAACGGTTAATAAGTAATTTTGGTTTAAGATATAGAGAGTTCCGTTTTTGGACCTAATTCAATTTGTGCACGCCTGCAGAGAAACTGTGGTTCCATGCAGCATTGAATAGCCTGAATTACCTCGGATTAACAAGGTCCAATGTTCACGTCACTGTTAATCATGCAATTTACTGCCAACAGAGTCTTTGTCTATTTCACGGACACCCGTAAGCAGTAAGCACAGCAAGAGTCACATTAAACCTTAGCGGTTAAAAATTGCTTAAAATTGGTATATATATACGTGCTTTTTCTAAATTTCCATTTCTTTTCTGAACAAAATTTAAAGGAATATGTCCTGCAACTAATAAATTTGCAGGCCTTTTTTTTGTAAAAGTGGTTTTAAATAGCGCGCTCCAGTTCAGAAATTGCGAACGCTATTCCGTATGAACTAGGAGTGCCCGCTCTTAATTCAAAAGTTGTAATTAATTAATTGATTACCTGTCGTGGGCTGAAACCTCATTAATAATGTAATGCTAGAAAATTGTCAATTCAATTTGAAAAACTATTTTTCAAAATGCCACACCCAAAAAGCACCTATACACCAACTTGAAGTTATTGACGTAACAATAGAAGTCTCCCTTCGCACGCAACTGTATATAAAGATCCACGCCGTGACTTTTATTTTTAGAAGAAAATGCCAAGCAAAGGCAGGGAGGGATGGTCCAAAAGGACTCTCTTGACAAAAGAAGGAGACTAGAAGAGTGATTTATGAGATCGAGCTTGTTCGTGAAGCTCTTGAAAGACTGTGGGGTTTTGAATGGGTTAAAGGATGGTGGGAGGCACGATTGTGAAGGATGATGAGTGGGATGCAGTGAACTGAGGCTGTGAAAGGGTGACCATTAATACCCCCCGCCCCCGCCCGTTGCTGCTAGAGTTACCTTAAGGGGTACTTCCACAAAGGGAACAATGGTACCCCACAAGTCGGCCTTCGTAAAACCGTACCCCAGAAGTGAAATTCTAATGGGATAAAGGGAGAACAATGCAAGTACCCATAAGCCCCATTAGTAAATAAGGTTGTGCCAACCTTGTCCTCTTTGTGTGGACCTGAACACATGATAGGTCCACATATGCAGGTTGTGTGGACCTTCTGTGGACTAAGCCAGGTCCACACAAGGTTTCCCCCTCTATGGTAAACAGGTTCAGATGAATTTTTGGGTTAGGGTTATCCGTCAAAAATGAAGAGGGACACTCTTCATAAAACTCAATGAAATCATGATTTAAAAAAGAGTGGGCTGAAAGAGTATTCACAGTGCGAGTAAAATGAATTGTTTTTCTCCGGTTTTTCTTAACTAAACGAATTCAAAGGAATGCCCACAGTCGGTATGAAAAGTAATAAGCATCTGTACTGATGACGTCACACTTTGTTTACATGGGCACTTTCCTATGGAGCCAGTGGGGGCCCACGGTCCACTGAGCACCATAGGAAAGCACACATGTAAACCAAGTGTGACGTCATCGGGACAGAGGCTTATTATGCTGGATTATCGAGTGTGTGTGTGAAAAGTGCTCAAAGTTATCACAATTTTCCGGAAAGAAATTGCCCCTAACTGCGGGTGCTCACTAAATACTCAATGTTGTGCCTCTCTCCGTCTGTACCTGTCTGAAACTTGACTCATCGAAGATAAGGCCACACCTTGACCAGTTCATTTTCCTCATCAAGGCCACTCTGGCAGGGTTGACCTCGTTTTCCTCCTCCCAAATCCGTATGGTCAGCGGGTAGCTCTGCCCTCCAAGGGTCGGTGAATTGGCCAGACCGATCTGTGAAAAAAAAATGTGGTAAAATAATCTCTTCAAGGACAAATAGATACATCATTTTCTGTATTCAATGCACAAATTCGATCGTAAATAAAATTAACTTGTATCATTTTATCTCCTAAACATTCCAGCTACATTCAACACTGGATTCACAATTCGCTTTTGAAAAAGGTCGATATTAAAGTGCGCTGTGCATGCACTGCATGCACGGAGACAATTTTGGCATTGATTGAGCAGTGACATTGACATGCAAAGCAATATCCTGACTGCGTAGCGGAAGGGATACAAAAACAAAGGGTCTTGGAAGAGCTAAACAGTCCCGCGGGGAAAGGGAAATTGATAGAGATTAGTCCGACGTGGTCGACGGGCCCTGACGCCGGGTTTCCGGGAGAAAAAAACCCACAGGCTTACAACCAAATGTCAAGGCTTAAACCTCCGTTATCGTAGTAAATGATTTACAACCTTGGCTTTAACAACCAAAGCTTGGCACGTGTGAAGCTTGCTATATTGAAACTATAAAACAAAACCAGCATTAGCTTCCGATTGTTTCAGGCATGCATTGATACAACGAAAAAGATTATTTAAAAAAAAGCAAGCTTATCAAGCTTCATTTCTAACATCAATCGTGTTTTATTATTCAGTGGGGAAGCCTGTTAACATGACAAAGCTGAACATGGGCGTCGCGAGGGGGGGGGGCAAGGGGGCACCAAAAAAAAAGGAAGAAAAAAAAAAGAAAAGAGGCGTGAAGACAAAGTGGTGTAATTTAATGAGTTGGGGGGGGGGGGGGCAAAATGTTCCTGCCCCCTCTAAAACTGATAAATCGAGCCTAATGTGTTGAGAAATACAAGGCAAAAAAAATGCTTTGCCCCCCTCTAGACAAAATCCTGGCGACGCCCATGAAGCTGAAGCATCTTTGGAGGGGCACTACTCATGCCTCTGTGTTAAAATCTGAGAGTTACACCAGACCAGTGTTCATCAGGTGCATGATAAGCACATTCCTATTTGGCATTTTGAAAAGAAAAAAAAACTGACTGAAGGTTGAAGTGTAAGAGTGAACAGTTTCATGCTCGGCCTTGATTCTATAATTACTTTGATCAACTAAAATATAATAATGATGAGGTTTATATATAAGAACAAAAATTCAAGTCTCACATTATACACTGCACACAAATAACTCGATAGACTGAGGTTATTGTCAAGGAACTAAAACTTAATTATGCGTTCAAAATAGCTCTGAGTTTAATTACCACAGTGTGCGATATAATTTTCCTTGTTTTAGATCGACGTAATTAAATTGAAGCAGTGCGAATTAAATTTTGTTGTTCACACTTCATTTAGTAAATACCTTTTTTCGTTACAGCTATAAAAGACTACCGTACTACTATACCATCACAGTTCTAGCTACAGAACCTTGCCAAATCCTGTCAAGTTAATTTACTCTCTACATTCCAAAGAGTGAAAATTCACTCCATTCGAGTGAAGATTCACTCCCACAGTCGTGAACTAGGGACTAGACGTTTTGGAGTGAAATTCTTTCAATCGTAAAGATTGAGTTTTCACTCGAACTTCGACTAAAGTGGTTCTTTTTTCGGCTATTGCAATCGAAAATGAGAGTGATTTTCACTCTAAAACGTCTAGTCCCTAATTTCACTCTTTGGAATTAAGAGAGAAGTTTATTCGTATTTTGAGTTTAAAACGGGGTGGGTGAGATGAGATCCCCCCCCCCCATTAAATCATAATTTAATAAATCGAACTGATGTGATATTGCAAGCTTTTCAAATACAAATGACGATAATTTTGCCTTCACCTTCTGGTGAATCGAACTTTTTAAACTTGTAAAAGTTGTGGTTAATTCAGTTTTGTAACTGTTTTGTTGTGTTTCCACATCAGTTTTAGATATTTGATTTTACTTTTTTTTTTAATTTGGCATTTTTATTTTTGTTTTCCTTATTTTTTTTTAATTTGGCATTTTTTTTTAAATACCCAACATCTATGGATTGGCTTCGAATTGCAATGTGAAGCAAAAGTGCGTAAGATGTTTGTATTATATTTGTTGATGCTGGTAACAACTCAATTGGTATGAGCAGAGGGACCCAATGTAAATAAGCCTAGTAATTTGCTAATGGGGTAAACCATTATCTCAAGTGTCTTGGATTATCTAACCCTGTCACAGTGTTGTTTTGTGCAATGTGTTTGGCTGACCAACAAATAGTCTAAGCTAAAGCACTGGCTTCCGGCTTCCGCTTTAACTTCTAACTATCGTCGCCGATTCTTCCATGTTTTGAAATGAAATTATCTTCAATCCAAATGCTGAATATCGTCTCGGCTTTTCTGCGGGTATTTAGTAACGTACTACTGTATTTTGTGAGCCAACAGAAATATTCAGGTACCCGCAGGAAAAATTCATATCTTGATCTTTTGTCTGCAGTAGAAACACACTTTGAAACAAAACTAAGTTGGCATTATAATATAGGCATATTCACTTGAATAATTTACGGACCTTTTGTTTTTATCCCCCCCCCCCCCCACACCTATTGATTTTCGGAGGCCTAAGTGTCCGGAGAAAATAACCTGTCTACATTTCAGCACGCCTCCCTATAAAAATTCCTGGATCCACCCTGCTAGCGGCCCCCAAAAATATTGGCTCTAGAACCGCGGCTGCGCACCAACCATTTTCTGTTCACATGTCAAGCTATTAAAGAGAACATTTTCGAAACTGTTTCAGATAGTCAAACGAAATTCGATGGTTGTGCTCAGTCTTACCTGAATGAGGTTGTATCTTGCGGCTACTTCGTTCACTACTATAGCCTCGCTAGATAACGCCGGCCCCCAAGTCATTAGCACGCGGGGCTCTGTGTAGATGAAGTCGTGGAGAAGTTGCAGTGCATTAGCGGGGCCACCCTGTAAATTATGTGACAGAAAACCAATAAAGTAATGTATCGCTCGATTAGCACTCCGTATTGGCCAAAGGGCAATTAAGGTAGACATTTCCGCCCAAGATCTTGACTGTTTCAAGATGACAGGAGGTTTTGTTTTCCGGTTTGGTGGATGTTTTGTGTGCACGATGAATTATGTGCGTTGGAAAAGGACCAGCAGCGAAACGAAATACACCATTTACCGCCTTATTTGAATATTCCGTGACTTTTCCATTCGAAGCGAAGACACCCAATTATTTGTCTCTATATTATTCAGAGATGGAATCCGCAAAGGTTAACTATGGTTGTCATTTTGCACAACTGCTTTTGTTTTAAACATTAGACCCACAGCTTTCTTTTAAACATCGTGGGGCAAATCAGACAATTATCTAAAAAAAAAAAAATTCATATACAAAATGAGTGGCATCGTATGGTTTAGTTTGTTTGGTATAATGTCGAACCACTAAATGCATTTAATACTGCGCGGTCTTGATTCGAGCCAAACCATTCTTAACCGATTGTATCAACAGCGGATTACTTGAATTAATGGAAATTATGTCGTGGATGACCGTAGGCGTATAGTCTGCTCGTATAATCATTCAACACGTCGATTTGTAGTCCACCTTTCGAATTATGCCCGATTAAAGATAAACACACCGTTTTGAGCTACAGCAAATGCAGTTAAGGGGTTTTACTTTCGTTTTGCAAAATGAAAAGTCGACATAAATTAACCGTTTATCAATGTGAAAGTTCAACGTGATACGCGAACGTGCAAATAAACAATATTGAAATCGAAAGTCAAATGCAGTCATGGTACCATCCAAATTATATTAATTTGGAATATTATATTAATTTGGATAATCAGAATATTTTAGAGGGCACGTAGGTCACAAAAAAGACTCCTTTCTCAAAGGCAAGTGAGATTGTTAGGCATGCAGTAATGAAGATAAAAAATACATGTATCGCCATTACTTGCGATCTTCACATATTATTGCCACACATCCTGGTCCATTCCCTAGCCGCTTAATCCCTCATTTGTCTTTTTCCTTCCAACCTCCCATGTTTGTGCGTCCCCTAGACCGAAACCTTGGGCCTCAAAAGGTTGTTGATTTATATATTTCAGGTCAATCAAGTCAGTTCAAGGTGAGTAAAACAAAACCGAAACTCAAATATCCGGACCGTAATTTTAGTGAAGTTCTGCATGTAGCACTTTCAAAATCTATAGGATATGAAAGCGCAATTCTTAAGCTTTCTTTCATTACAAGAATCTTTTAAATCACTTATGTCCTTGTCATGTACGGAATTTGAAACACAAACACTGTTTTGAAGTTCTGTCCAAGGATCACAAAAAAGGTAAGTTGTTCTTTCAGCAAAACAAAACAATTCGTACAAACGGCGCTGTGTTAAAACAATATAAACAGCATTTTTTATCATCGGAAGTCGGACAAGTTGAACGACCTTTTTTTCGAAAACTTCTTGATCACAAAGCTTCCAAATTTTGGAATCCCAACAATTGGTGTCGGAAGAATAATTAAATCCCTTGAAATAAAGACCACGGTTTTCTCATTTACTTATGTCGTGCTTTGATCGGGATAAAGACTGGGGAAATGAGTGAAGAAAACTAGTCAGCATACTTACATTGGTCCATTCCCATCTCAACCGTAACTCATAGCCATCCAGCAGCCCGCTCATATTGTTGACATGATCGATGGCTGTCTGTACCGTATCAGGCAATAAGTCATACGCCGGGTCGTTGAATTTCGGGAAGAACCCCCCGATATATATGGGGTGCCGCTTCACCGGCACGGTCGCTCCGCTAATCAAGATGTGCCTTGTCAGATGTACGGACGCTAGGAGAGCGTACAGTGCCAGTAGAATGAGACACCCAAACGAAAAACCTCCGCGAGACGCAAGTTTCATTGTAAACTGCATCTCTACACCGTGGTCGCTTGCTGCAAACTGCCCGCTTATGTATCCGGCATCGTGTTATTAATAGTCTTTGGGTACAAGGTACAGTTATGTGCAGTATACGTACAGCAAGTTTTACAGTCACTGGTTCGGAACATCAAATGACAGCCGACCGATCACAGCAATTTCGCACTAAGGCGAACCTTCAACGACGGTTTCCACAAACACTCAGTGTCGTCAATTTGTAATTACTTCTCAAGTTCGTCTCATCTTAAGAATTCACGTGTGATTGGACTTTCGATTTATTGGTGGACAACGATTATCGCTCATTAAAATGAGCTCGTCAGATGCAATGACACGCCAGGCCGCGGGGTAAATACACCAAAGTAGCTTGACTGAACAGTATTTCCATGGTTTTTGTACCTTAAACATGGCAATGCACAGCGGACGAAATATTTTTAAATATCATACATAATATTTATTCGATTTTACAAACCTGAGGTATACCTGCACTAATCTCAGTGTATTTAACTGTTTGATAGAATCAGTTTTGCAAATTAGTAAATTAGGGACCATTGGCTACAAGCTGTGCTTTCTTAAGTGCATCCCTCTGAACTATCACAATAACTTTGCATCTAGATTTCTTAACGCCTATATACATAGATTTCTTTGCGTCAATTTGTAAATGTACTTAGTAAAAATGGTATATTTGTATTTGATTTTCTATAAATGATCTTGTAAATGTTCGTTGTTTCTTAATTCTTATTTTGATACTGTGGAAAATAAACAAACCTGAACCTGAAACCTGAAATTCAAATTTGAACAAAACCGTGACTTTTTATTAGTTTCTATAATCTGATACCATGTGCACATTTAACAAACAAAAAAAGATACAGAAGATGAGGTGTTTCGACAATCGTAATCCCCCTATTCCCGTCATTCACACATGTATATCTGACTTAACATCGTTTGGCCACAAACATGCATTCGACAGCAAAATCAATTAAGATAACAAATGTTTTGAACTCGAAACGGTATATTGTTTGACCATTTAACTCCATTGAAAACAACTGAATAGAGCGCATCTATAAGTTCCCTAAAGATGACCTTTACTTGATAGAGAATGTCTGAGCATAAATGTATGTACAAAAGTAGGCCTAATAAATTATACGACGGCTATAATGATGGACTATTTAAAAAAAAAGTGTACGTCCAACCCGGGAACTCGCCTACACTTTACAGGCAGTGATTTTAATTCAATCCACAGAAAAGATTTGTTTCCTCACGCACTTTGATGTCTTCAATCAATCCCAGCAACCAAAAAAATGGCTTTTAAGTCACTCAATTACCAACGAAGTGGAAAAGGTCAAGGCTCATCGAAACGGCACCTCTTGCCAGTAGACTTCCATTTATCTCTCGAAACCTCGGACTAAAAGAAACCACTCTCCGCTTTTGCGTGACGGGTGCTCGGGGCTTGAATTCTGATGCACTCGATGGGGCACGCGATATAAATGTTGTTGAAATTTAATAGCAGGAAGACATATAAATATGCGAGTTTCACGCCCATTACCGACAATAGCTTGTTTCAACGCGTGAGAAAGTGTGGCACACAGGCCTTGCATATCTTATACCGTGTTGGGAAAGAATGCAGCGCACAAGAGATTAATTTGGTTCAAACCTATGGGATAACTTCTCTCTAAATTCCGAAGAGTGAAAATTCACTCCATTCGAGAGAAGAGTCACTCCCTTAGTCGAAAACTAGGGACTGGACGTTTTAGAGTGAAATTTCTTCAATCGTATAGATCGAGTTTTCACTCGAGCTTCGACTGAAGTGGTTCCTTTTCTCAATCGAAAATGAGAGTGATTTTCACTCTAAAATGTCTAGTCCCTAATTTCACTCTTTGGAATTTAGAGAGTTACATTTTAGGTGATACATGTATTTACGCAGCCTTAGTGTCGCATTGTTTGGCACCCTTAGCGGCATATATAGCCATGGTTCTCATCCTAGGGGGAGGTGGGGGCTGGATATTACAGGGGGACTGCCAATTTCATCCGTGCTAAAAAGGTAGATTTTTTTCACTGGACAAAAAGAGGGGGCTTGGGGCCGGACACAATTTTTCCATGGGGGCGCTGTTCAAAACCAACACATGGCAAATGTCAGACAATAGGTGGCGCTATTCGTTTTTCACGGCATCCTCCCCCCCCCCCCCATGACGCGGTTTCTAAGATTTAATGTAATACAATCAAAACCGAACATTTATATTGGACACGTATTCTTGCTCATGTTCTTTTCCTTGTTATAGCCATATGTGTGTGTGTCCCCCCCCCCCCCCCCCACCCCTCCACCTCCCCCTCCTTCACATACATTAATCAGAGGCGTAGCAAGGTCATGTTTATTGGGGGTGGTGTTAAAAGTCAACATCGACAATTTAACATTTAGTAACTTAACTCATCCCTAAAGCATTAAAGCCACAAACTAGTGGTTTACCAATGTAATACAAATGAATTGTGGCCCAATATGTTTCAATAGAGTGTAGAATTTGTTTAAACAAATGAAAAGGACTATGAAGAAAAGGACTAGGAGTCTAAACTGAAGAGAAGCAATGAGTGACAAAATGCCTTGCCCAAGGGCACACGCACCATGACCCCAGGCAGGACTCGAACCCACAACATGCAGAATTGCCCGCAGACTACAAATCCGATGCTCTTAACCACGTGGCCATAGCACTCCACCAGATAGCAACAGTAAACTCCCTAAGACCCACTACCAATTAAGAAGTACATCTTGAGCATCACTCATTGTCTTCCATTGGCTCTTTGATCTTTACTTGCAATATAACATTCTTAGTATTATGCTTGAAATATAAAGAAAGAAAGCTTCGCCATCCTCGTTACGTGATAGACTACCACTACTAAAAGACACGTGATCATATGCATTTATCCCAAAAGTAACCTACCGAATTAATATATATTTAATAATGAAATTGCTTCGGTTGAACTTCGAAGCAAACAGCCCTTACATAAAAACTTCAAAATGCGACCATTAAACTCACCATGAAAAATTAAGCGTATTAATGAAAGGGCCATGCAAAAGCCACAAGAGGGAGCTGTTCGCGCTTTACAGACGGCGGATGGTGTACACGTCGCAGCCGTAGCCCACGCAGAACGAGTCGTCGAAACTGATGATGTCGACAACTTCCCAGACACCCTTCTTGATCAAGTCGTCGATAGCTGACTGAATCTCGTCCATTACGCTGGTGTGTTTGTCTGGAAATATCAGCTTGCTTCGGGTGAAGACGATATAACCACCTAAAAAAAGGCACATACAAAACCCCAAAAGAAAAAAAAAAAATTATCTCACTGAATGCTATAACAGGACGAATTTCCCGTAGACTTGTGTGCAAACCTAAAATGTCACCTAACCCAAGTTTATCTTATCCTGCCTCCACGAATTACGGTTTATGTATGTTTTGGACCACGGGGAATCGATCTGGATGGTTTGCGGTGCCAACATTCCTTGTCCTAACCCGTTTTAACAATAGGGCGACACCAATTTGTCACCCCAACAAGGCGTGTCGCCGTAATGCAGAGTCGATTAGCAAAATGTGTCGCCCGTACACAGTATTCAGTATAATTATTTGATCGTGTCAACTAGCAGCAAATAAATTGAAGTATGACACATTCTCACTTTGAGGTCTTAGGATTAAATTCAGTAATACCAGCTTGCGTCGTAGCCTTTTGATTTCATTTCTGATGCATTAAACGGTTCTGGGGTTTATTCCTTCCATTGACTCATCTTTGAATGACATCAAAAAGTCGCTATGACGTCATCGCTCGTAATTGTAATTTATATGTAAATTTGGTTTTGTGGGGGTAGTGGCATTATCAATTGCGTTCACTGAGTTACACAAGGCACATGAACTTGACAACTTTCAGTGGGGGAGGTGCAGGCGTACCTTTTTTGACAATCCTGTTCCATTCGGGGAAGACATCACATGACAGGTGTCCGACTGATATGGCACCGACGCAGATCACAGCTGAGTAGTATCCTGTATCCAAGGTTTAAAAAAAGGCGCGAAAAGTGTCATTGTTGGGTTCGTTTGAAAACGGTGGCAGAAAAGGAACTTTAGGTGTCCACTGAATCTATTTAGCTGAAGCATAGCAGCTCAAAAAATGAACATGTATCGCCATTAGTCCGTTAGTTAAAACAACGTTCACATTGTATATTGGTCCGCATCTGTATCCGTATCATTATAGTCGGTAAAGCATCCAATGGGAAACATCACACCAACTTAGAGAGAAGACAATGAGAAGAAATTACAGTTTTAGAGGTGGGAGGAAAAGCCCAGAAGATATTCTGGGGAAAACCCACTGAATCAGGTAGAGACTGAAAACCCAATCCACATATTGGCCCAGGCGGGATTCGAACCTGGGTCACAGCGGTGAAAGGCGAGGAAAGTACCGCTCACGCCAACCTGACACCCCTATTATGGTCCTATTATACTTTGACCAACCTAAATCAAACCTTGTCAAAAGTATCAGTGGCCCAGCCAAAACCTGTCACATGACCAAACTGGAGTCAAATGTCATCATGGGGTCACTCTGGTCAAAAACCTTACTTTCAACTCAAAAGAGTATCCTTCCAGAAATTACATAGCACGATCACGTGTCTCATGCATGACCACACATTCGTTGGCCCGAAGCTTCCGAAATAGTTCCTATCAAGTGGGTTTTTTTTTCAGGAACAATTTCTTTTGAAACAGATTTCATCATCCATTGCCGTGGTAATGTGTTTTCTGAACGCCATAGGGAAAGGAATGTTGAAACCTTGATGACTTTAAGAAAACTATTGGCTTTCAAAAATCACAAAAATGCAATACAACGACAAATTTGAAATCTTTTTTTTTTCCCATTTCGTCAAGCACGATCTAGCAGTACGCCTAGTTTCTTGAAGTTTAAATTACCATCTTCAATCTCCTTGATTTTGTTCGAGCCAAGTCGGTCGCAGATGAGCTTCTCGTAGACTCCTTTCGAGGCGCTGATGTCCAGACACTTCTGGGAGAAGTCGACCGCGTGGATTCTTTTGAAGCCGCGTTGAGCCAGCTATATTGAGATCGACCGGAGCAGTGGGAGATAGTTTGCGTTAGTGTGCTTTTGGTTTTGGACTGAGTACATCATTCAAGTCTAAAATCGGTTTTGTGCTGCACCCTGCCAAAAAAAAGGAAAACTGTCAGAGGCATGGCAAAACAAGAATGTAGCAGAACTGAGGCCAATTTCACGGCGCTGCTGAGCACAAACATTTGCTTAGCACAAAAAAAGTCTGGCTTATAAAAGTAGGTTGTCAGCCAAAACTCCATGTGAGTTTCATGCTAAGCAAACAACAGCTGAATACTTAAATATACGTCAAGTAATTTTACCTCGGGTCAATACTTGCGCACGCGCAGACGAAATATCTGTCACGACATGTATGTTACCCATAATGCTTGTGATTTCCTCGCAATAATTTGCATAAAGCCATTAGCCGTTACCAGTGATATTCGATATGACGGTCGGTTCTTTAGAATGCTTTTTCCCAAAAGTGATTATGTCATGACTTGTTCTAAAATTACATGGTTCTGATCTACATTTCAATGACACATAGTGATCAGGCTGTTCCGTTTCATTTGACACACTGTTCCATTTCATGTTCACGTAACTTTGTGTCATTAAATGATTGCCCCCACGTGCATACCTCTTCGCCAACTTTTCCCGTCCCTGAGGCACAGTCGACGATGAGAGCGCTCTTGTCTGTTAACACTTTGCGGAGTGCTTCTGCGCCAAATGCTGGGCCACCGTAATGCGACGGACCCATGTCCTTGAAAAAAAAAAAGAATAAAATTGTTTTTAATCTACAAATTAATAACACTGAGCTGAATGCTATTATCTCGCATGCCAAAATCTGATCACTTTGTAGTCATATAATGTTGATATTCCGTCGGCTCACCTTATCATAGCTTTCAGCCCACTGCTGGTACAGAGCTTGAATTTCATCTTGGGTGTTTCCCCCTGCGTTGGCGAGATCGTGAATGACACGAATGTGCTTCAACGATGCGTTCTTTGGGGAGTCCGATGCGTCCATCGTTGGGTTGGTATAAGGCTGCAGCGCTCTCGGCACGTACTGCGGGCACTTGCGTCAGGTATTTTCTGCCTTGTGTGGGCCGGGTTTCGTTCGCAGTTACACTCAGTTCACGGATTGAGCTGAGCCTTCACTAGACCTCAGACAAAACAGAAACAGCACAGCCCCACTGCGTTGAAATGTTACGTAACACATTCTTGGGTGTCCCTCACCGTGTTGTTAATGTACGGAAGTGTATTTAGGACATGACCAGAAAAAAATGTCTGGCCCTCTATTTCGCCCGGGCGGATTACTATTTCGCCCGGGCGGATTACTAATTCGCCCGGGCGGATTAGTAGTCTGCCCGGCCGGGCGAATTAGTAATCTGCCCGGGCGAATTAGTAGTCTGCCCGGCGGCGAATATATCCGCCCGGGCGAATTAGTAATCCGCCCAGGCGGAATAGTAATCCGCCCGGGCGTAATGCAAATCCGCCCGGGCGAAATAATAATCCGCCTGGGCGTAATAGTAATCCGCCCGGGCGAAGTAGTGGGCCTAAAAAATATTTTCGGTCATGTCCTAAATACGCTTCCGTAAAACCCAGTAATCCATGGCAGGTGTGTTACGCAAGAGGGATTAGGAAAGAGGATTAAATAAGAAGGGCATGTAATTATATACATGTAGTTAGTTCTGGCAAGCACACCCATCGGAAGAGGGGAAAGATACGCTGTTGTAAACAAGTTTACCAACTGTAGGCAAGAAAGTGTTAAGAATTGTGTTTAGCCTACTCGCTAAACTTACACCATTTTTTTGAGGACCAAGCAATTATCCCCACAGAGGCAACTAGGCTACCTTAATTTGTCCCAATGTCTAAAATTGAAAACTTGGTCCCATGGTCAATTTTACTCATTACAAATTACTCATCTGTCAAAAATTATCAGATTTGGACGTTTAAAGTGGAAAGACGTATCTTTCAAACTATACATATATTATTTTTGTTGGTTAATTCCAACGTCTGTCATTCCGTATTGTTGGCATTTGTGTAGACACACATACTAATGAACCACACGTGACCGTGTTTCAGCCAACCAGGATAGAAATCCAGCAAGTCAGATTTGTAAGCAGGTCAGATTTTTACCTGACCCCTTTAATTGTCACTCCTGTGCGTCATGCATGAAAACTAATCCAGTGAAAATGTCACCAAACTAAGCAGGAAGAGTTACTCTAAAAGTACATATGAAAATATCTTAGTTACTACAGAATAATCTATGGCCAGTTTTAAAAGTGTATAGTTTTTTTACTCACACTGTATGCAATCAAATGCGTCGCTCAGTTGTACAGCGAACAAAACTAACAAGGCGGTTCTTCTCAAAACAAACGGCTTTTCACCCCAACCAGTTCCAAAACTTCGTTCCGTGAAAGCAAAAAAATCCAAATGGTCTAGTCCACACCAGTAAAATCCAGTTCACAATCTATAATAGACTGTTTATGTAGTCCAAGGACTACTATGTATTGATTAATTATGTCCCTGACGCTGATTGCATATCGTACCCAAAAGTTAAAAATAGCAAATACGATAAGAATTAGAAAGAGAACCTAATGTTGCCCAACCTCGTCCCCAGGGTGTCGAGCAGTACGCGCCCACCACTACCTGCTCTCTCAACCTGGTATTGGATCATTTGCATGTGCAAGATTTTTGAACACGTATGCAAATGAGGAACAGTCTGGAGCCTGGATATGCGTTACACATTAGCGTTTGCTTTTGTATGCGGTGTCTGGGGTAAAAACAGAGTCAATTCGAAGCAGCGCAAGCACGGCGTGAGTTACGAAAACACGATTTTTGAAATCAAACTGTTACGATCTTATCGAGACAACATGCAGTATCATATTACATATTAATATGAGCAAATTGGAAAGGAAATTAGTATTTTCGAGAAGGCGTGGACGCATGATCGCGAAAACACGTACTGCACGTTGTGAATAATAGCACCAAGTACACGATAAAAATCCATTACTAGCCAATTGCGGTATCCAATCAGGAAACAAGAAGAAAGTTTCCTATCCAGGGTTTACTATTGGAAACGCGGTTGGAAATAAAGTAAGCACTGGGGACGAGGTTGAATGTTGCCTGATGGAAATGGAGCACGAAAGATCAAAATACAGTTGAACCCTGATAAGAAGAGCACTGTTAATACAAAGTCCTGCTTGTAACAAGCCTGACATTTTAGGTCCAAAGTCTTTGTTGAGTTGTTGGGCACAACCCGACCACTCTTTGGATATGTTGCGATTAATTGGCTTTTCCGCATAGTTGCTAAGACAGTTTACTCATTCCTATTGGTCGAGAGCCCGTCACGTGGCCGGTCTTAAATGGATGATAAAGACATGGTTAGCTGGTCCACACCATTAAAATCCAGAGAACGACTTCTATGGGAATGTATGTAATATTCCTGAACGACTAATAGACTGTCTATGTATCCCAAGGACTACTATGTATTGTTTAATTATGTCCCTGAGTCTGATTACATATCGTACCCGTACATTGAAGGTTGTTAATAATAGCAAATACGATAAGAATTGGAAAGAGAACCCAAATGTAGCCTGATGAAAGTGGATTAGGAAAGATCAAATACAGTCGAACCCTGATAAGAAGAGCATGCACTGTTAATACAACGTCCTGCTTAAAACAAGCCATAAATTTTAGGTCCCAAGTCTTTGTTTTTATTTGTTTTCCAATACTGTTAATACAAGGTACCTGTTATTACAAGGTAATTTTGTAAAGTCCCAAGGACCTTGTTATAAAGGTGTTCGACTGTATGTGTATGTATATGTTATATAACTAAAGTCTTATGATAACGGTTCCTGTATATGTATTCAAGTACTTGCAAAAGTTTAATTAATCAGTAAGTTCGGGGTTTATATTACCCATGAAATGATAAGATTAAATCAAGAATCCTTGGAGGTAAATACTTTTTTGTAAACAGGATAACACTCAGTTGATAATAACAATATTAATAATAATAATGATAATAATAACATGATTTATAAAGCGCTATTCCATCTAGATCACGGCGCTAAAGCAAAAACAAGATAATGAAAACAGACATATTAACATACAATTGGAAACAGGTGAGCTTTTTTTTCTGATAGAAAAGGATCAAATTCCAACTGATACAACCCATTTTTTATAAGCTCTTGCACAAAGCAATACGATGTAAAAGGATAATTGTGTTTAGTGCAACAATCTTGATAATTATGTCAAGCAGAAAAAGATTTCAAAGGGGAGGATGGACAAACCTGATAGTAAAAAGAATCATGACAATCAGTATAAGTTGTAAATTTTAATTGCGTGTGATATGTATTTTTATTGGAGTCTATACTTTTTGAACTAATGATCATCTACATGATTTTAAGTCGCGACCGTTGAGGGCGTCTGTAGCAATCTTTGCTCCTGTACGTAATGCTTGTGTACCCAATTCTTTTGCAGCCCGTTTGATGAAAGGCATTGCTGATCTGAAGATATGGGTGTTTGTATCTCCGTGACTATGATTAAATGTAGGAACAATTCTGAGTAACGGTACGCTAGCACCTCCAAGCAGTTGAGATTGAACTATATCGCTGTATGCATGAACGCCATAAAAAAAAAACATTATACAACACCTGAATAAATCCCCGTCATCTGATTGGTGGATCATTGATCACGTCATTGAATTATTCGTACCAATGCACGACGCGCGCATGGCGCGCAGCACACATTGCAAACGGTGTCATTGCTGCTGGTGGTGGCGCTGTTTTAACTCGAGATAAATTGAATATGATTGTTTTTATCCTGTCGAACAGTTTGCATTAATATAAATATGATGAACTTGTCGAACTTTTGAACAGTTTTTGACCTGAATAAATTGGCTATTAAAAGTCAACCAATCACATGACAAGGATTTATTCAGGTGTTATATAAAACAAATAATTAATGTTTCACGTTCGTCTGTCCCCTCATGAAATTATTCTTACCATTGCACTCACAAACATTCATTATTTTTATATTATTTATATCCGGCGGAAGGTGTAACCTTGTAACATTAATTCCGAAAGTAAGGCATACTCTATAGAGACATCAAAATAAGGACACTCAAACAGTTCAGAATTTATTTCGACATTATTGTAGCATTCAATCATCATCTTTATATTACTTCACCAAATTCCATTTCCACATAATGTGCATAACTTTTATCATAGGTGGAAAGGGATTTATTAAACTAAATTTGTCACCTGAGGCGCCCCATACTGATCTAGAAAAAGGCCAAAGGTCACTTAGTCAGAAGTCACGACAGCCGCAAAGACAGTGTGTGATTCTCTCTCTTTATATCTAAGTTTAGATAAAAAAAATATAAAAAAAATTCGGGGCCCTTAATTTTACCCCTTTTTTTTCTGGATCCGCCCTTGTGTAGCCACGCGCGTCAGTCATAGAGAAAGATAGCTTCGTCATCCAAATTTCGTGGTAGCCCACCACCACTAAAAAGGCACTAATTCTGATAGCTTAACCTATACCGAATTAATACTTAAAAAGAACTATTAAGTAGTTCAAAGATGGTACTTGCACTAAACACCAAGTGAAATGATTCGTTTGGCTTGTTGCCATTTAAAAGAAATCAAGGAAATGAAGGTGCTCTCCAAAAATCACTCAATTCTCGTTCCGTGATTCAAACGGTCGTGGAGGGTTTTCTCTTAAGTTCTCAAAACAGTACTATCCACTGGGATGAAAATTCAACAGGTTAGGTTTTGAACGTATGTCTTTGGATTATAAGTGGTGTTATTAAAAAAATGCGTGAACAGCAAAAGATCCTGGAACATATAAGACTTTGTAAACCCATATTAGCACAATATGTGACAGCGGTACCCTACCCCCGTCCCCTTTTGTGCAGTCAATTTGTTACCTGATGAATCTCAGGAATTCTTTTGAGATATCTATGGGGATGTTTAGGTGACAATAGTCTAGGGTATGTACGGTATAGGGAGATTGGGGGACCCCTCGGTCACATATCGAGCTGGGTATATTGCAAACTGAACTCGGCAAATCATTCAGATGCTCTGAAATTATTGGAATTTAATCGATAAAGATTGCTATTATATCAAGTTGCTTTATAAAGCATTGTCAAGCTCAAAATTTGATTATCGATTAGTATGTTTTAGCACCACAGAGCTTCCCGTCAGTGCAAGGACCACTTATCAGGGGCCGGAGCCTAGACAACCTGAAATCGGAGGAAAGCAAGCAGTGTAAGGGCCAAAAGCCACGGTCGAAAGGAGCTGTTGGCAATTTACGAACGGCGGATGGTGTACACGTCGCAGCCGTAGCCCACGCAGAACGAGTCGTCGAAACTGACGATGTCGACAACTTCCCAGACACCCTTCTTGATCAAGTCGTCGATAGCTGACTGAATCTCGTCCAATGCGCTGGTTAATTGTTTGTCTGGAAATATCAGCTTGCTTCGGGTGAAGACGATATAACCACCTACCAAAAAAACAGCCCCCACCAAAAAAAATTGTTATTATTATTATTATTGTTGTTATTTAAAATGTGTTAATGTACAGAATCCCGCAAAGCAAACGGGTGACAGTTTTTTTTAAGACGCGTCTGCATTAGGGCGACACGCCTTATTGGGGCGACAATTTGGTGTCCCCTATTGTTAAAACGACCCTCAGGACAACGAATTTTATAGTCGCAACAATCTAGATCGATTCCTCATGGTCCAAATTTAGTTTAAAAAAATACCGAATTCCGTGTAGAAAGGATATGGAAGACTCGTGTTAGGTAACAGTTTATGTTTGTGAACAAGTCTATATGGGAAAGTCGCTAAATTGCCACAATGCGTACAACTAAAAAAAAAACAGCAATACAAAATTTACTTAAACTTTTACCATCATACATACAAATATTTGAACACACATTACATGAATACAAAATGAGTTAAGACGCAGAACGAGTTGCCGACAATAATTATAATAACAACCGAAAAATATGTCATTAGGGAGACTTTCCCATAGACTTGTGCACAAATAATGACTTTCGTGACGCCTAACCCCAATTTCCCTTATCCTGCCCCACGAATTTCGGTATTTTTACTAACTGGCCCTTGAGCAATCGATCTAGCCTATTTGTTATATTACAATTTTGCCTCTTAATAGGAGCTGAGGCATTAGGGGGGGGGGGGGGGGACATTGAAATGTCTCCCTAATTCCACGTGCTTCCCACAGGTAAACTCCCACGCACCCAAACGTGTGTTCACCGTAGACCGTGGACGTTCTATTGTCCCTCTTTTGTTTGTATTTCAACTTTTTAGGAAGACTCCCATAGGTTTTGTACACGACCCCAATCGCGGACGTATGATGGGAATCGTGGACGATATTGTTCTCTTTTGGTCTCTGGTATTTTTCGTCCACGGTTTGAAAAGATGAACACACACAATTCCCCACAGCTTCGCCGCTGGTTAGGTGACATTTTAGGTTCGTGCACAAGTCTATGGGAAAGTCGTCCTATTATAACATTCAGTGAGATTACAGTCGCAAATTTTATCATTTTGGGTAATTTTTGGAGACACTTCTGCGTGTGTGAGGGGGGGGGGGTTTGAGGAGGCATGAGGATCCATTGTAAAGGGGATTCAATAGATAAGAGGATTACCGGGTGTATTGTGTAGGGATTATATATGAATTTGTTTTGTCTGGATGAATGGTGTAGTTGGAGCCGCCGTAGTTTAATGGAGCCGCTCCGCTTACAATACATGCAATGGGTCACGTAGCTCGCTCATATTGTGCATGGGGTGTACACATGATGTATAAGCCAACGGGACCACAGTATTCAATAGTTTAATTGTATTAACTGGCAGCAAATAAATAAGAGAACTTAAATATTCTTTCTCACTTTGAGGTCTTAGAATTAAATTAAGCAATACCAGCTTGCATCACTCGTAATTGTAATTTATATGTAAATTTGGTTTTGTGGGGGCAGTGGCATTATTACCGCTCACTGAGTTACACAAGGCACATGAACTTGACAACTTTCAGTGGGGGAGGTGCAGGCGTACCTTTTTTGACAATCCTGTTCCATTCGGGGAAGACATCACATGACAGGTGTCCGACTGATATGGCACCGACGCAGATCACAGCTGAGTAGTATCCTGTATCCAAGGTTTCAAAAAAGGCGCGAAAGTGTCAGTGTTGGGTTCGTTTGAAAACGGTGGGGATGATGAACTTTAAGTGTCCACTGAACCATTTTAGCTGCGGGATAACAGCTCAACAAATCATCGTGTCTCTCCGCTATAGTCAGTTAGTAAGTAACAAACGTTGGCATATTATTGTCTATTGCTCCTACATATTTTGACCAATTTCAACCAAACTTTGTCAAAAGTATCAGTAGCCCAGCCAAAACATGTCACACGACCAAACTGGGGTATTGGCTGAGGCTCTTAAAAATTATGAAAATGCAAAACCATGACAAATTTGAAATCTATATATATATTTTTTCATTCCTTCAAGTATGATCGAAGTAGTACCCCTGATTTCTTGAAATATAAATAATTTACCATCTTCAATTCCCTTGATTTTGTTCGAGCCAAGTCGGTCGCAGATGAGCCTTTCGTAGACTTTTTTCGAAGCGCTGATGTCCAGACACTTCTGGGAGAAGTCGACCGCGTGGATTCTTTTGAAGCCGTGTTTAGCCAGCTATGGAGGTCGACCGAGGCAAACAGTAAGAGTTAGTTTACGCTTGTGTGCTTTTTTGGTGTTGGACTGAGCAGGACATTACATCATATCTAAAATCGGATTTCTGCAGCACCCTGCAAAAAAGAAAAACTATCGAAGCATGCAAAAAAAATTGCATTTCGTGTTCACGTATCATTATGACATTAATTGAATTGCCCTTCACTTCCCACGAGCATCTTACCTCTTCGCCAACTTTTCCCGTCCCTGAGGCACAGTCGACGATGAGGGCGCTCTTGTCTGTTAACACTTTGTTGAGTGCTTCTGCGCCAAATGCTGGGCCACCGTAATGCGACGGACCCATGTCCTTGGAAAACGTATAAATTAAATTGTTTTTTAATGTACAAATAGCATTGAGCTGATTGCTATTATCTCGAATTTAAATTTACATAATGCCAAAATCTGTTCACTTTAAGGGGCCATTCAGAATTTTCAATGTTTTAAAATTTCGACTTTTTTTCCAAATTATTTTGACCCACCCACCCACCCCTAATTTCGATTAATAAAAAACTGAACATGTACATGTACATGCACTTACATGTACATGTACTTGAACACCATGTATATGTGTGTCTAGTTCAGTGACGGCGTGAAGTTGTCGGTCTTCCTCTTTTATGTGATAAAATTATGTGATACCTCACCAACAAGTATCTTTTAACGAAATTCAATCAGAATATTTATCTTTCTTTTTTTTAATGTTTAGTTGTTGTGTTACTTGTTGGTGTCCCTGCCACACTGTACGATGGTGTAGCCGTGCGTTATGCACGTCGTTTTGACGGGGACTTTACTGAATAGAGTCTGGTGACTGTACATAGAAATTTCTTTGAATAAAAGTCGAATCGTTCATTCATGTGCACTTGTTATGCAAAGCAGGGGCAGTGGTTCACGGATATCTATGTCGACTTGCAAAAAGGGGAAAAGTTCCATACTCGGATGCCAATTTATCTGCTGCCAAACATATTAATTGTCACCTCACCTTGTCATTTGAACCAAGAGAAATCCAGGAAGCTGTGTTAAGGTGAAAAAAATTTACTCAAAATGTGTTTTTAGAGCACATTTTGGATGCATACGTCGTGCAGAACTAACTTGAAGCAGCCGGTCAAAACTGATTGTAGTGGCTGAAAGACAGCGGTACGTTATACACGTGACATCAACAACCATGACGTCGCATGAGCCTGCCAATGATAGTGCAATACGTCATTATGAATATTTATTTTCTCATGAATATTTAGTTTATTTCAATGGATACTTCAAATACGTCCAAAGATTGATTATTGCAACAGCGATCGTGCGCGGCCTAGCGGTTAAGAGTCTCGTGTGTCAAGCAAGCGTCAGAGGTTCGAATCCCGATGAAGTAACTGACTGATTAATAAATAGAAATTAAGGAGAGGAGAGGGTGAGAGTAGAGGAGGGAAAGTGGAGGAATAACCATAAAAGATGTAACTTTTGGCGCTAGAAAATTAATTGAAAAAAAGTGACGTCCGAGTATGGAATTTTTTCCGATATTTCACTGTGTGACACAGTGAGAAACTTTGGAATCATAATGGCGTCAGCGATACTTGCTGGGGAGCTCTTGCGTACGACTTTCTGAACTTTGGTACCGTTGTTTCCAGGACAATTGTGTGTACGGTAACCCGACGTACCCAGATTTTTAAAGACGAAATTGCCGACCTCAAACTTGTTAGTGCCATATTTGGCAACTATATGTGCGTTATTAGTTTAAACAAATGAACAGGTTAATTAAACATAGTACCATTGAAGGTACCTGAAAGTAAACATAACAGCATAGAAGACCGACAGACGGCGACAGCCCCCCCCCCCATGAAACCTTGTCGCCCCCCAGTCGCCTCCCCCACTGAGATTTTGAGTTTCTAAAAAAAATTATCATTGATCTACATGACGCCCCCCCCCATACATGTTCCAGCCCCCCCCCCCCCCCCCCAGCGCGCCCCCCCCCCCCCCCGAAAAATTCCTGGCTACGCCACTGACAGTACATACAGGGGACGAAGTTGAAAAAGAAACACGCATCGCGATATTGGAACGTTTGCGCGTAGTTCAGGCAAGTCAAAAGATCTATCTTTCTTTGTTTTTTTATCTTTTTTCCATGGAAAGTGAATTTCGATTTTCAATTATTTAGCTTGACCCACCCACCCACAATTTGGAAAAAAGATCGAAATTTTAAAACATTGAAAATTCTTAATGGCCCCTAAGGTCACATTTTGTGTCCGTTGGCTCACCTTATCATAGTTTTCAGCCCACTGCTGGTAAAATGTTAAAACATCATTTTGGAAGTTTCCCCCCGTGGCGGCGATATCGTGAACGGCACGCATCTGCCTCGTTGATGCCTTCATTGGGGAGTCATACACGTCCATCGTTGGGTTGGTATAGGCTGCAGCGCTGTGGCACTTGTGTCCGGTATTTTCTGCCTTGTGTGGGCTGGGTATGTTCGTCGTCCGCAGCCACGGATTGAGCTGAGCCTTTATAGACCTCAGACAAAACGGAAACAAATTAGTGAGTGCGGCAATGCAGACTTCTCCACGTGAATTCTACATTACATAAGTACAGGGGCAGCCTCGGTCATTTAAGTTTGTATAAACAATTCTATGAGGTCAATGCTTTGTGCACAAACAGTAGCAGTGACCACTGACCAATCAGCTACGTGGAGGCCTTCCATAGCCACACCTCACCGGTCGTGGTTAATGACTGCAGTTAAGTTTGTGACAATCAGACAAGTATTATCTTTACCTGTGTTACGGTTGTATAGCAGGCAAAATGTGTCTTATCGGGCGAGGAATGAATTCTGCGGCAGTGCAGTGTTACGCAAGGGTAGAAAGGGCGTGTCAAATTTGCATAAGAAAGAACGTGTATAGAAACGTGCGAGGTGAAGGTGTCGTTGGATCATTCTAGCTTGCGACTTCAGTTCAGTTAAGCAGTCATGTGGTTGCTAAGGCAAAGCGTCTGCTGTTAAGTTAGGCAAAGCTAATCCGATTACCGTTACGTACTAATAGTAGACGCTAAAATCAGTGGTGCAGCCACGGGGGGCGTGGGGGCGACAGCCCCCCCCCCCCATGAAACCTTGTCCCCCCCCCGTCGCCCCCCCCCCCCACTGAGATTTTGAGTTACTAAAAAAATTACCGTTGATCTACATGACGGCCCCCCCCATGAAATGTTCCAGCCCCCCCCCCATGAAATGTTCCAGCCCCCCCCCCCCCCATGAAATGTTCCAGCCCCCCCCCCCCCCATGAAATGTTCCAGCCCCCCCCCCCCCCCCGAAAAATTCCTGGCTACGCTACTGTGGACTAATGCGGCATTGCGGATTTTTTTCTGCAGGCTTGGATTGTACAGCCGTCACAAGACAATAGAAATTCCTTAAAAAATAATGCGAACCCCACCCCCTGCTCTGACACGCCAACAAATTGTACTGGTGATAATGGCTGCCTGTGCACAAAATGCAGACAGCTAGTGGGACATCATTTGAACCATTGATCTCCATATACACAGACTGGATAGGACATCGCGCCGTGTTTGTGCACGAATGCGCGGCCGAACAATGGCGGCGCGTTTACTGTCAGACGGGTAAACGCGCATTGTGCTTTCACTTTGTTTACTTTGGAAAATGGATTGTTTAGTGAAATTTTTCTTACAGGAGGGAGTTCAAGCGCTCCTCCAAAACAATCTTTAAAAAACCCTGAACGATGAAGAGTTACCCTCCAAACAGTTTTTCCACACTTTCTTGATATACACTTTCTTATTATGCATTTTCGAAATTCAAGAACCCCCCATTTCCTTTTCCCTTATTTTTTTTTTAAATCCCTTCTCCTCCCAAAAACGATTGTAAGTAAATTGCCATTTCATCTTTGTCACATTGGTCATTAGAGTACACTGATTTACTCCATCAACGAAATGAATAATTGTATTAATAATATGCTGAAATGACATCATATTTTTTAACTGAACACTCACACGAGAAATTGTATGGAGATTCATTCAAATGAGTGATATATTTATTAAAAAACCTGAACATAAACCAATTACAATCTAAAAGGTAAAAAAAAACCTAATTTTACAAAGTAATCAGTAAAAACTTCTTCCCGTCCCTAGATTGATCAGGGAATGACATCGTTTACCTCTTTGTGATATTTTGTAAAAGGAGATGAATCACAAACCAAAATAGTACTATACTAATTTTGTCAAAGAATAATTCAAGCTACGCACGGTCTTGCAATTAAATGTTTAGCTATACTTCTGAAAATAAATATAATTACTTGTAAGTGTAATGGGAATCGTTTTTGTGAGCGAATATGACGGTGTTTATGGCTATAGCTAGTAATCTTATATAACGGCGTACACAACATAATTTCAAACCGTAAAAGTACTCATTACTTTCTTCACCATACAAACTGTCAATAATGTGACAGTCATCTTGGGAGCTTATAAAAATACTTGCGTTGAACTCCACAACTTCTTTCCAAAACCAAAATCAATCAATGTTAACAGTTCCACATCGTAAAAATTGATTAAGTCAAACGCTAAGATGCTTATCACATCGCATGTTCCATTCAGTGGATGATACAGTCGATTCCATCCCTCCGTGAAGTTCTCCATTTTCGTCCGGCTCGGTCCTGCAGCTGGTGGTTTTTGCTATATGGCTTTGCTGAAGTTCTTTGTTTGATATGAAGGTCAATCGGCCAGTTGTGCAGTAAGTTAGCATAAACCATCTCCTCGGTTTCTCTTTATAAAGAAAAGAATAGAAACATTTCGGTAGGCGTTAAGCCAAGGCAGACATAATTCAATCAGGTTTTGCATATAAAAGTTATTCGAATAAACTATCTTAAACAAGTCAACTTTTGTTCATTGCCATTGCCGGGTTAATCATGCACGTTTAGGCCTATGTCTTTTAAAGAAAAATGATGCCGACCACTGAGCATGACAGGCCTAGATCGCATGGAATTTGAACAGAATATCTCGCTAGCTACCACACAGGCCTCCATCCCCTCAAACTCACAGCGACATTAACGATATTATAATTTGCTTTGTCATTCCCGTGTTCATATTCCTCCATGCCGTGTTGTATAGGCCTCGTTAAAAAAAAACTTACTTGCGAATAATTGTCCTATTCTTCAACGTTCCTGACTTCCCGACTCCAGTAATATCTCATGCTGCGCACACCTTGACTATACTCTTCGTCGATTTTGATCAATTTAGATCTCTGTTTCTTTTATTCTTTCAAAAATGACAAAGAAACCGAAGAAAACCCAACTTAATTTTTTAATCCTCCGTTCGAAAGTGTACACAATTCGAAATGCGTATTTGTGTTCTTTTACCCTTTTCAAAAAACGCGTGCGCGGACGCACGTTCGTACGCGATGTCCTATCCAGTCTGTGTATATGGAGATCAATGATTTGAACAGCGCCTCCATTGAAAATGCACTCGGCGAAGACGCGCCATGGCGTTTTATAGTTGGTGGAGGGCGCTTTTAGTTCAGCGCGCACATGCATCCCCTGCACGCTTTCCGCGCTAGTAGTACTTTATAGTACTAAATCGATGCAGCTAGCACCGGTAATGAAGTTACAATGAAATGGCGATATATTGGTGTACACGGTAAAGCGTGACATGTACATGTATGGACGTATTTGCTGTGTTACTGTGGCACACCTAAAGATGTTTGATATAAAAATATCAATTATTCACGTTTAGGGTGAGTTAAAAATCAGAATATGGGGATTTATGGGGAAAGAATGTTGCAACGCCAACGGCCCTAGGCTGAGCCTAGCCCGACTGCGTCTGGCCGTACAGTACTATCGCAAGCTCTGTAGTACGGCCAGACGCCCGATGCTTCCAAAAAGACTGAATTTTGTTGGCCGCCGATGTAGCGATTTTGCTACATCTTTCGATCGCGATTATCTTTTCATCCAGGACACAAATTTCCAAAGTTAAGGTTCGTAGTCGTAGAGCAACTCATACCTTTTCGAAAAAACGTTCTTTGGTCTCAATATTTTCATCCATCTGGCCACAAGACGAATTTCAGTCATCAGATTCCACAAATATCGTCCCCCATGCGATCCCCCATGCGATTTCAAAATGGCGGCCGCGCTGTAATGTATGCAATATGCAGGCGCGCCCGCGCAAATCATGAATATGCATAAACAGTCTGTGACGTATGACCTCGTGACGTATGGCCCCGCACGGGCCGCACGCACGTCCAAAAACACGAGGTCATACGTCACAGACTGTTTATGCATATTCATGAGTTTGCGCGGGCGCGCCTGCATATTGCATACATTACAGCGCGGCCGCCATTTTGAAATCGCATGGGGGATCGCATGGGGGACGATATTTGTGGAATCTGATGACTGAAATTCGTCTTGTGGCCAGATGGATGAAAATATTGAGACCAAAGAACGTTTTTTCGAAAAGGTATGAGTTGCTCTACGACTACGAACCTTAACTTTGGAAATTTGTGTCCTGGATGAAAAGATAATCGCGATCGAAAGATGTAGCAAAATCGCTACATCGGCGGCCAACAAAATTCAGTCTTTTTGGAAGCATCGGGCGTCTGGCCGTACTACAGAGCTTGCGATAGTACTGTACGGCCAGACGCAGTCGGGCTAGGCTGAGCCATGCCCATAGCCCGACTGCGTCTAGTCTGGCGATAATACTACTACTGTACGGCCAGACGCAGTCGGGCTATAGCCATGCTAGCAGGGCTACTGAACTTACTCAAGCTAACTCAAAAATGACCTTTTCAACCTAAAGCAAACATCTCTCAAATTCTAATGTCAATGACACCTTTTTTGCAATTATGAACAGTTTCTTAAGGTAGAAAATAACGAGTTTCCTACTACGCATTTTACAGTTGGTGCCGTGCAATTCCGCGTGCCTTGCACATTCGCATTGCGCAGTGATCGCCATCCTTATGTTCATGTTGCGTTTTGTCCTTGTTATGGTCAATTTACCCTCCAAAATTCAAAACCCTGTATTCTTTATATATATGACCTCTATATATGTCATACCTGCATGTTCGTAATGTTGCCAAACTAGCGTGGTGGGTCAAACAATTTAACAGTGGATTTTGTTCCAAGGTAGTCCAGAAAATATTTTAAACAAAAGGAAGGAGGAGGCCCTTTTTATTTGGCCTGTGTTTCAGTGTAAATTCTGAGAGAGTTGTCCGTATCGACTGCCACTGACTTCAGGATTTTCTCGAGATCATTGTTCCTCCAGAGTGCCAGATATAATTTATTTCAATAAAATGGACAAATATGTATTCTAAATTATTTATGCTGAATGTAATAATAATAACATTTGTAAAATCTTAATGTTTCCCTCCATCATGTCTGTGTTTTTAATCTAGGAATGTTCTACTTTTTTGTTTTGTTTGAATCAATCAGGGCGACTGTAACTTCAAAATGACTCAGAGGAAAGTTTTCCCGCTTCAAGTGATGAGGTCCTTCATACAACAGTCCACGTTACCCGTGCGTCCATTCTGTAGGAGTTGGTCTTCGGTGACCACATCAATGAAGAAAATCCCCCCTGCTTGCAAATACCGTCTTCCAAGTCTCCAAGCTACAGCACACCTACATACAGGGCAGTCGTCGGGAGACTGTGACCAAGCGGACTATTCCACTGATGATGTCAGGGTTGGTCCTCCTTGGAGGGTGATGTTCTTTGGCTCTGACAACTTTTCGATTTCAAGTCTGAGGGCACTGCATAAAAACACATATGGAGAGTGGGTGAAATTGCATTTTTTTCAAGTAATTTAGCGTTCGATTATTCCAACTTGCACTTGATCAGTGGCATACTCCAATATTCAATTTCAAAATGCACTCGTCAAGTTAATTAAACATGTGGCACCCCAGACTGGGACCTGGACTGCTCTGAAACATGCAAAACTAAGTCAGGCCAACTTTACTCATTCTTTATAGCCAGCAAATTTCTCCAAAAATCCCATTGGGCAAAGAAAGGCCTTCAGTATTTCACCAACCAAGTTTGCAGACTCAATTCAAATTTATAGGAGACACTTCTTCAATATTTTGCATATGAGAGGGAAGTCAAGTGATTTCAAATAAGGCTAAACGCTAGACTGGTACATGTCCAACCATGGTCCAACTATTTGAAAAGACTGACCTTTCAGTGTCATTAGTCTGGTGGCTGACTTTGGAGAAATGTGTAGTAAATAGAGACTAGTTCCCGGTTCATGCCAAATGTTTCTTTTGGCACAGTTGACTGATGCAGCACTGAAGTAGTGTTGGACTGGTTGTTTCAGGTGCCATTCTATTTTCTTGTATTGCATGTTTTCAATACCTTAAAGGGACACTAGATCCTGGAACAGCCCAATTGGGCTACAAAACACGCTTTGAACGAGATGATGTTAATCGGAAATAACATTTAAAAGTAGGATATAAACATCCACACAACTATCCTTTCAAAACTGGATGTTTTTGTGTTATTCCTGTATTATGCGTGCGAGAATGAATTTCAGGGTCCACTTTTGCGACCCCATAAATTCGAGCTGTTTTTCGTCTTCTCTCGGGAACGGTAAGACATTAGATTGGTTTCCTTTCAACCAGATGTTTGAAATAGGCTAAGTAAACAATCCAAAACATAAAATTTCCGGGGATTTCAGGACCTAGTGTCCCTTTAAGTATTTGGACTTTCATACACGGTATTGAGAGTTAACATACATGCATTCTGATTGGTTGACAGGAATGAGGGTAAACTCGTCGACACTTTGCATGTGGTATGCCCGGAAACAAAGGTAAGCCCTGGAGAAGTGGACCGATGATGATTTACTTGAGAGGCTCGGAGTGGGTTTGTTTAGAAACAAGCCAGCCGCACGCCCTGTGCATGTACAGTACATAGATGCGTTTCCTCTGCACCGCACTGACTGTATCGCTTGCTCACGAGAGGATCGTCTTCGAAATAATTTGTAATTATATTGTTTTAAAAAAAAAGGATTTGTGGTCATTTTGGTGGAGTCCCGAGTCATGCAGGTCAAGACTGATTCCAAGTCTGAATCCTCAGGGTTGAGTCTGAGTCCGAGTCAGTCGTCATCGTGACTCGAGTCCGAGTCATGGAAAATAAGACTCGAGTCCGAGTCACGAATCACACAAGTCTGGTTGGACCAAATTATGGGGTTGGTTTGTTGCTTAAATCGTCCCATCCCCGAATTGGAAATCCATCGTTTGGCTGAAATTTAACAAAACATTACGTCTTTTGCCAAACAACTATCTCTCACAATGATTACTTTCCAAATCCTACAGTATATCAAACGGAGGGGTAGGACGAGGGTGATCTCACCAATATGGCAGTACTGCCATGACAACGACCTGACAACTATCCCGTGGCCAATCAGAGGTGAGGTCAAAGGTTACGATGTCGGTGTCCTGTCGTCCTTTGGTCACCTGGTACCCGGTCACCTGATTGACAGTTTCCCATAGTGAGTGAGTGCCATTGTTGAAATGAATTATTAATACATGCAGTAATGAGAAGGCAGATGTGTCGGTTACCAGTGGTCTCCCCAAACTCTCTCTTTCGTGCCGTTGAGGGGGGTACTTGTGCACGGAGCCCATACGTGTAATCTTAAGTTGAGGCCGAGTGCGCGTGCTCTCTTACATGATGTAATGGCTTCTTATTTAAGATGAGCAAACGGGATCACTCAGAGAGGAGACGTCTCTTTTGTTACAAATTCATTAAAAAACACAAGAGGAAACTTAGCAGGTACATCTTCTCTGAGTGATCCCCGTTTGTTATTTCCCAGCTTTGTAGCGTACTAATTGTTGCTAGCATCGTGACTTCGGGCGTGATACCTGGCTATGGGTTTATGGCTTTGAGTAGCGCCCCTGGACAAAGACAAAGACAATGACAAATTGGGGAGCCGTCAACTTAGGGCTGGATAGCTCAGTTGGTAGAGCACCGGAACGGCAATCCAGAGGTCACAGGTTCATACCCCACTCCAGTCAATTACTTTATTCATCTTTTTAAAGCAGGTTGTTCTCCTTGTGGTTTACATGTCTTTGAAAATCTGGCCTTTCATCATCGGCTAGTTAAAATCGGCCCAAAAATTACACGCTCTTTTTTTGTCCGAATTTCTAGTGGAATTGCCAACATTCATCCCAGCCTGTTGCCCCGATGGAGGGGGGCTTCCCCTATCACCCATGCCATCTTGGAAGGGGACAAGACGACAGGTGTCTCCATCATGAGGATCATGCCCAAGAGGTGAAGGTTGTAGGTCGTTCACTAGGGTCAATCCGGTGTCATAAACCTAGTCTGGACACAAGTTGAATATTCTGTATCAAACACCAGATGTAGAGTCTGAGAACAGCCAGCGCATCGTTGGCAAAAACTTGCCATAATGACCTATGACATACTGGGTCAACTTTAAATATCCACACAATGTGCAAAGAGGGCCATGCATTCTGCGTAATGTATAATTAAGTATCCTAAAGAAGTAGTCGGCCAACCAGACTACAGGGAAGCAACATCGTCAAGATGCATCAGAAGCTTCGAGGGTACTGCCTCTAGGATCCTCATGTACGATGTGTCACCGACTACCACAAAATGAACTGAAAATCCCAAATTGGCAACTTGCAGTTCAAGTGATCGAGCCTCAATCCCTAAATTCTCATCTACCTTTCACCATTTTTTTTTAAACGTTCTATCACTCCAAGATCCTCACATTCATTCTCCTTGTACCTCTTCCTGTCAAGGTTCGATGTAGGTCCCATCCTCCTTCAAGAAAGCCTTGAGATCCCAGAGAGAAGCACGACGGAATCCTTACAAGGAATCCTGGCCAGTAAAGGAGCAGACATGGTGAGTGAAATGACTTCCATTTCCACCAACCCCCCCCCCCCCCACCAAAACACACAAAGAAACATATCAGCTGCATTAGGATTTTGCAGGTTTGCAACTTTTCCTCGGATCCGCAGATTTCCTCATTTTTAACTTCTCATGAATGTCTTTACAAATTGAAAAATCAAAAATACTGTACAAAGTCTTGTTTGATTTTGGAGTTTCCTCGTTTTTTTTGTAAATTCCCTGTCGCATGCCTGATTTTGATATTGGGTTTTGCCTTGTACACTCAACACTTTACAGATCTTGTGCAGATATAACCTTTGACAAAGTCCTACTAGGATAAACTATAAAACCCTCTAACTTTTTTGATTAGCTCAAACACATGATCCTCTTCAACTAAATGATCAATCTTTACAAATTCCCATATGAAATGCAATAACAATTGGACTAAGCTGCCATTTTGTCCCTTTCAAGCCCTGAAGTAAAACAAATGGATTGGATGTGGATTTTTCTAAGCGTGATCTTTCTGGATAATTTGCTATTCAGATTCTGCGGGTGCTTGCCGACTTGCCGGCATTTATTGAAAATGGAAGAAGTCAGACAGAAAAAGGCGTTACTCTGTGTAAGTATTATATGTGACCCGCTCTGCAAAAATGAGTCTGATGTCGCATAATTTGAATTCAAGCTTTTGCCATTTTGAAATGGAAACAGTAAAAATTTGCTCAAAGTTTGGATTTTTTGTTTTTGTTTTATTTTGGTTGTTTGATAGTTTTAGTTCAAATATCTTACACAGAAATGTAAATATTGTAAGAAAAAGAAAAACAATTATGAATCTTTGGTGCTTTTCTTGGTTAGTTACAGTGTATTTGTCATTTTTCAAACCCTTTTTTCTCCATTGAGACACTTCTAGCTTTGCAAAAACTTTACAGAATGAAACAAGCACAACAATGCAACCAAATGTCCTAGAGAGGTCCGTGATATACCAAATGAAAGCTTATTTCATTCCCATTTTATTAATGTAGTTAACTCAAAATGTCAGTTTTGCCACAACAGACTCATTTTTGCGGAGCGGGTCACATATGCACAGCCATGTCCGAACTGGGTAGGGCTATGGCTGTACACTGTACCATGTCAGTGGCAAAACCAGAAGCCAAATCCACGAGTACTGATTGAGAGAGTGAAGCAGACTGCCGGTGTTACAAAGTTACTGACCAGTAATTTTAAAGATTCAAATTATTTGGTGTACAATTTTCCAGTTGCTGCCTTTGTATTTTTGCAACCAACTGTCTGACAGCCTACATTTAACAATGAAATTCAGAGCTGAGATGTCTTGCAAACACCCAAAAACCCGACACATTCAGGGGTGGATCCAAGTTTGGCTCAAGAGGGAGGGGTGTATCTGTCAAAGGGGATGTGGGTGTAGCAGGCATCTGCTATATTTGTTTCAGCATGATTTTCCTTTGTTTGTGGTGGTGGGGGGAGTGTAGACACCCCCCCCCAGCCAGCCCCCCCCCCCCCCCCAAAAAAAAATTACTTCACTGAGAGGTTTAACAGTACCATTTTTTTCAAAACATACCAGAATACTAAGGTCGTGTAACATCACCATATATGTATTCTGTACTTTAGTTGTATGGCATCGCACACATTTTAGCATTCTTGTATTGCATTCACATGATGATCTGATACACCATGCCCTCTGGAGACGTGTGTACAATAGGAACAAAAGATTGTATACGTCTCCACAGGGCAATTTCTATAGATGAATACGTCTCCACAAGGTTTTCATGGAATAGATATATGGATTTTACTCAAAAACTAGGAACTTCCAAGCTATGTTGATCCGTCGCAAATGGAAGAGTTTTAGAAAAGGAATATTAAGTCCAAATTTCAGCCAAGGAAATTAATTCTGTTTAAAATAAGAGCATTTTTTAAACTACACTTTCAAACTCGAAAAATTTAGTAAACGAGAACAAAGGAATGTCTCCACAAGGATACACATTCCAGTATGTAAGCCCCCTGTTCATGAGTTTTATTTTTTTCTGATGATTATTCCTCTGAGGAGCTACTACAGGATCTTTGTTCTGAAGTGGTTGAAATGGTAAATGTTTTGTTGAAAAGTTAACGTGTGTGGACGTACTTCAGTGTATTATTGCCAATCATCAGAATTGATATTCCTATCATGATGTTGACATTTGTTAATTATTATTATCGGATTCACCCTATATTGTTGTAACACATGTCAGTACAAAGTGGTCTCTTGATAATATTGGAAGTCTTTGTGCTTAGTTTTGGTTTATACCTCAGTTTGCAGTTGTGTTTGCTGTTTAACGCTGTCTTTTTTTTGGCATATTGTTTTTTGGCTCAATGTTTCCGTATACCAGAACCATCTGTTATTTTTACATGTTCCCGTTGATGACAGGCGGTAAGGTAGTTGCCAGCATGTCCATTATTGATTGGAGTCAGACTTCGTCCGAGATTGACCGATTACAGCGAGCCATCGGCCACCAGGTCAGTTAATCCCAACATTTTGAGGGGCCATGATACAAAGTTTCATCTTTTTTTGGATTCATATTTATTTAAGGTTTTGGAAGTACTTGTTTAAAACAGGCCAAGCACATAATTATTCAAATATTAACTCGCATCTTTATGCATTATTCAGTGTTAGTTTTGTTTTCATTATCTTTCAGTTTCCGCTTGAAACCAGTTGGCATGGTAACCAGATAAGACTGAGCAAAATGGCGGATCCCATGGACACGGCAGGTGTGTTTATACATAGTTGGAAATTATTGTCTGGGTCAGAGAATGAAGACAGATTTCAGAAAACTTCCAAGCATTTTGCCTCAAATTAGTCGACCAAAACAATATGTTTATAACCTTAAATGTAATACACAGTATTTGCAAACATCAAAAAAACAAACGTATTTTGAAATACCTTACTTGACTGTAAGTGAATAACCGTCTCAAGCATCCTGAGAAATTATGGCACCTGGTGTGCTGGCACTTTTCAAGAATTATTTGTTATCAATTTCCAAGGATGGTCGGCCAACCATCTTTGGAAGGAAAAAAAAGACTTCATTGTATTTTGAAATACTGTCCCCAATTCACCGAATTTAGTTAGTCCACATGTTGTTTGCAATCTGATTACACATCCATATGAACGGGTGCAAGCCAGCTAGTCTGGTTCCCTGACCTGACAATTCCTTGACGTCTGTATAGTGCTCTGTTTCATCTGAAGTAGGGTCAGGGAGCCAGACTGCAAGAGTAGCTTTTTTTTTCCTTGCTTTTCCCAACATCTTTGATCACAAAACTTGATACATATATCGGGTTAACAATAATTTGCTGTAAAATACTCGGCAAATGTTTAAATGCTGTGACTTTGTTTTTGTATTTTTTAAATATTTTTTGTCTGAATTTTATTTGTTTATCAATTTATTATTTTTTTAAATTTTTTTTGGCAGCATGGGAAATCAAAGTGGCCAATCCAGCATTAGGTGAAGTGCATTACGACAAAGCAACCCAGCAGCTATGTGTCTGGTGCAAGGTATGTCCGTAAACGAAGGTTCTCTAAAAACGAAAAGAAAACAAGATCTTTGAAAGTAAAATCGTTCTATATCTGTTAATATTTTCCGAATCCGTGGAGGGAACTTTTAAAAAATAGTTGGCTGCACTCATTCCCTGGTTAAAATAAAAATGTAAAGCAAACTACAATTAATTATAAATCATGCCAAAGTGAAATCTTGGCAACGCTGAACAAGGGAAGTGGAAAGAGGGGCGGAGTGCAATTGAGTGTGGGGGGGGGTTGGGACTGGGATGAAAAAGGAGGCAAGTTACACTGTCTATTGTAATTTTTGGTGCATGTTTGTTTTTACAGCAATGTTTTTGTGTGAGTTGGGGGGGGGGGAGATGCCCCTTCCCCATGCCCCCCCCCCCCCCACCTCATTGATTCGCCCGAAAACCCACATGTCTCTCCAACTCATGCAGGTGTAAATATTTCACACATACACGGAGTCAGAGGTCATGAGGACATTATCATGGGCGTCGCGAGGGGGGGGGGGGGCAAGGGGGGCGTAAAGAAAAAAGAGAGAAACAAAAGAAGAAAAAAAAGAAAAAGAGGTGCGAAATCATATTGTTTTTAATTCAAAGGGTCGGGGGGGGCCAAATGTCCCTGCCCACCCTTGAAAAAATGATCAATCCAAAAAAAGCTGGAAAATATAGGGATTTTGTGGGGAAAAATGTGTTTTGCCCCCCTCCAGAAAAATTCCCGGCGACGCCCATGGACATTATGTTATCTGTTCTCTTTATCCAAGAGAAGATGTTCAATTCAATTTCAAATCACATTTATTACCATCATTGTTTTTCATCTCGGGTTTGCAGGATGGCTGGGTGGGCTTTGGTGAAGTGACCTTAAAGAAAAAGATGACAGCGCAAGACTTCTATAATGGTTACTTGTCAGGAAAGGACAGAGGCCGGCAGTATTTTGTCTGACACCATGCTTTGATGGCTTGACAGCTATTTTTAAATGATATCTGACTTGAAGTGGCAAGGGAAGACAACGTGACGTATAACGTCATTTTCAATGGGATTTATTATGTGTCTTGTCATGAAGTGATAATGGGGCAGTGTATGTAACATCACTGGCAATGCTCCATGAACATGTACCTGTTTGCTTGAAAATCACAACTCTTGGCTTGGATAGACGCCATTTCATGCAGCAATGCACTTAATTTGCAAAACACTTCCGACCATGAGTATACCACATGAAGTTTTCTGGAGAGATGTATAAGTGCGAGGCTGTAACCCCCCCCCCCCCCCCCCAACATTTTGACCAGGACAATGGGTCATTGGATCGTCCCCCCCCCCCCCTTAGGTTTTTGTAGTGAGTAATAAAAAAAAATGACGATTTTAAGGTTATTTTCTAACTTTCCAACAGCCCTGAGTGCATGAAATACGGCACTGAAAACAATGGAGAACAAATAGTAGAAAATTATGCACCGTTTTGATGTAAGGTTATAAGTGTAAGCTCTCAAGTTTGCATGAGATGAACATTTGTATCATGAACAGCGCCCCCATGTGTCGTGTAGTTCCCCCCCCCCCCCTCCCCTTTACGAATTTCGACGGCTGGGCAATGTTAGGAATTTGTCATCCCTCCATCCCGCCCCCCCCCCCCCCTCTATTCGCCGACACAGATTTACCCCACGGTATAAGTGTATTTTAGATAAATGCCTAACAGTAACATAAACCGAAAACCATTCTCTTGATGTTGAAATATATAAGTGGTCCATAAATGTTACGTCTTGTGAATTAGTTACCCCAAGAACTGTCTTCATCATTTTGCGGTACGCGTGAAAATTGATATGCATGGATTTACAATTCCATTACTGGGCGTTGGCTATTTTAAGATGTTTCATTGGAAGGCTCATAAAATATCTAGCTCTAAAAAAAAACCAATTCAATTTGGAAAATTAAATTATTCTGGTGCCATACACTAACGAAAAAAGGGTTAATTTTTTTTCCGCAAATACTTCAAAGAATTGGAAAAGCTACATTAATAAATTACATTGCACTCGACATGACATTTAAAATGGAGCAAATTTGAAATTGAAATTAGCAAGTGAACCCAACGATATTATAAAGTAAATTTTCATCAAATTCGCGTTTATCCGGAAAATAAATAAATGTTCTTTTGTTGAGTTGCATCATGCTTTGTGGTTAAAAGCACCAGTTTTTTTATTGAGATTTAATTACGGATGTTCGATGTTAAAAAAAAGGTCTAAAATGAAGTATAACCAATTAACAAAGCCTCAACAAGATTCGGTCACGCTTTTCAGGTTTTTCATTGTAAATTTTAGAAGGTTGGTTTCCAGCGTGAGCATCTTCAACGCAGCAATTCTTAAACAGTCACTTTGCTGGCCTTTGTTGCATTAATAAAAACCCGTTCCCTTGGGTGGATTGATTTTCCTATAATAGAAGTGCAGGCTTTTGTTGAGGGATTTTTTTTTACGAACGGAAAGATAATTGAGGTCTGGAGTGATGGACAAGAGCTCTGAAGTGGCTATTAGTCGGGTGGCTTAGATCCATTTTTTTTCCTGACGAGATTGTGACCGACTGGTCCAAAGCACCAAGCTTGGCACTAGATGGATTCTTCTAGCCCCATGAGAAGATCCTTAGAAGGGATGACAGCTGAAATGTTTATTGGAAGGGTGACTTAATATTTGCATAGAATCCTACAAGAAAAACAAGAAGAACAACTACAAGACGGCGAATAATGTTCAAATTGGCGCAATGTTCTCAAAGATAATGTTTTTCATGAACGTTATCTTATGCGCAATAACGATACGTTTTGGAGTGTTTTCGTAGAAAAAAATGTAACATTACCCTGATAAGAAGAGCACTGTTAATACAAGGTACTGCTTATAACAAGCAACATTTTAGGTCCCAAGTCTTTGTTTTTCTTTGTTTTCCTTTGTTTTCAATTACTGTTAATACAACTTGGTACCTGTTATAACAAGGTAATTCGTTAAGTCCCAAGGACCTTGTTATAAAGGTGTTCGACTGTATTCAAAGTCTCAAAGAAACAAATTTGCCCAAAAAAAAGCAAAAGAAAAAATATCATTTTTTTCCCCTTGCCCACCGTTACTTCAGAGGACAAGTGAAATCGTTGCATGTAATGCAGTTAAAGATCTGCATACACTGGATGACAGCATCATCAGAGTTTTTAGGCACGTTACAAAAACGTGACACACAGACATCAGACAGACAGACAGACAGCGTAGGATCATTCTTTTAGTATAGCATTGTGTGCAACCTTCGTGTGTAATCAAGTCATACTTTTCAATGAAATAATAAAGTTTCAACGTACCTTTTTTTTAAGTTAACTGAAGGCCATGGCCATTTCAACGACAGCTGAAGCATGCCCGTTATGTTCGGTGACTTCACTTGATTGCATAATTAGTATTTGCAGACCGTACGTATGAATCGTGTAGCTCAACTTGAGCCGCATTCGTGCGAGTGGGAGTTGCGCGCGCAGTTCCAGATCTAATAACCAGGTATCGCATAAAACAGATTTTACCTGGCATCTCTACACTACCGTCATTGATACACCTGGTCGTGTGGATAGACCAAATCGCAACATATTAACACGATAGGTTCCATTTCGCGAGCGCTTATCCCAATAAGATTTTGTCTTTAATGTAAAAAACACTTTTTTCCCCCAAAAACATTTTTGAGAAAAGTAAATTTTCCTTTTGCCACGATGCAAACTTGGAGATGTTGGTTCGTTTTGATTATCGGCATATTGCCGTATCTGTTAATTTCCCAAACAAATGCACAACCCGATCCCCCTGCCATGCATCTCGGCCTCATGCTGGAGACCGGCGGGAGGGAGATCTTTGACCGATTCCGCGTCCAGCCCGCCGTGGATATCGCCCTGGAGACGGTCAGACGTCGGGTGGACACCGGTGCCTACCTAAACTTCACCCTCACCTACGAGTTCCAGTCCACGGGGGCCAGATGCACCCCGTCCTCCATGATCGCCCCCGGAGTGGCCTCCAATATGTTCCACCAGCGAGGGGTGAGAGTGTTCCTGGGTCCGGGCTGTAGCTTCCAGTGCAAGGCGGTGGCTGACCTGGCAGCTTACTGGAACGTCCCCGTCCTCTCTGGCGCCTCAACCTCGGGCGATCTGGACAACAAGGCGCAGTACAAGACCCTGACGCGGACTGCTTTCCAGATGGGAGTCATGGGGCACTTTTCGGTGGCTCTGTTCCGGAAGTGGTCTTGGACCCGATGCTCTATCATATGGGATGATGTGAGCGTGTGGAGGATCATCACGGGCAGCATCAGGAGTAGACTTGAGCAGGCAGATATCTACGTGAACCCTGTCGTGCTTGGGTTGCATGAATCCACGCAGCATGCCTTAGATGCTGCAACACGGAGAGGAAGGAGTAAGTCTCAATGCAGAGTAGTTGGTGCATATATTCATTATTCTGAATAGCTGAAAATGTTAAGTGTCATAGCTGAATGCATTTCATTTTATAATTTTCGAACCAAACAGGTGAAGGCCTAAACTCTTAAAAACACGCGTTTCACCTCCCAGCCGGGAATGCATTTTAGCCCCCCCCCCCCCCCCCCCCCGTGACGGTGGATGATTACGGGGGTGGGGGGGGGGTACCCCCGTAATCATCCACCGTCACGACCGTCAAATAACATATTCTTAGTTAACATGTATAGACAGTTCGTCTGCATCTTTCCCCAATCGGACATGCTGCTTTATTAATTATCATCATTAACAATTGAAAATTGGGGTCCAATGCAGGAACATCTCTTTGACATTTAGAGGCATCACAAACGTATACAATGGTGCCATGTTATGTCTACAGGTTGTTGCAGCCCATTTAGAGCCATCCAATTTGAACGACTTTAAAATGAATGGCTTGATTAGGTCGAGTCGCCTTCGACTCCAGATGTTCTCATTAGCTGTTCGTAAAGTTGCCGTCACTTGTCTATTAAAAACATATAGGAGCATTTGCATATTTGCCAAAAGTAACCCACCAAATATATCATCAAAAATCTTATTTGGATTGAAGATCATATACTGGTACTAAACAAACAAAATGCATCAAAACAAATGATCAAATATGCCTCAAAATTGTGCTTAAAATTCTTTCGAGTTTAAGATCGCATCTTTAAAATGTCTCCATGTTTTAACTTGAATCCAGTTATATTCGTGATTGCTCCGGTGGGCGTGGTCCGGGATATCATGATCAAGGCGTACAAGGCAGAATACATCAACGGAGAGTTTGTCTTCTTCTCTGTGCACTTGTTCAACAACATGTGGCGCTTCGGGGACTCCTCCTGGAAGAGGGTATGCTAAGCAGTGGCCTGTTTCATGGGCCTTCTATAAGCACATACTTCAGCTAAGAATTGTTTGCTTAACAAACAGGTCACCTGCCAAATTGCTATTTAATCTAGGCCTAATATTGCTTGACTGGTACTCAGGTGGTTTATACTTACATTTAGCAATATTTTCCGTTAAGCAGTTAGACCTACATAAAATTGGGCCCAATTTTTGAATTATAAGATGGATCTATAATGAGCGTTTCGAAATATGGTCTTCATCTTTGTCGGCTTCAGGAAATTTAGGGACACTGACCAGGAGGAACTATGTATATGAAAGCTCCTTAATTTTACCTGATCACTCTACACAGGGTGTCTTCCGCCCCCCCCCCCCCAAAAAAAGGTAACCCACAAACAAAGGGATAATATGAATAAGCCTTGAACTTATTGACCATAGTATATGATTTTATAATAAACTATAGGGGCAGAAAGCTCTCCTAGTTTTTGCCCCTTGAACCTACCTGTCTTGCGTCTGGCTGTGTTGGTAATCCATTCAGACTGAGGACCTGGGACAATGGGGCGTGTGCGATTTCTACGGGCCCGAGGACCTGGGCCAGGTCCTCGGGAGAATTTCGTGTACAAACCTCATGGGAGCTGTCGAGAAAAGTAAGAGTACGAACAAAAGGAAACAAAAGAAGGAAAGGATAAGGTCCTCATGAGCATAGTAAAACACACATGGGTGTGTCCAAGACGGTTTTCAATTTTCACATACCATTTTCAAGACAATCTAGCTCAGTGATGCATAACCAGAGGAATGCATCCACGATATCAATGGAAAGGTTACTCACTGCCCCTAGTTTATGATAAAACCATATAGAAATGGTCATTAAGTTCATAGCTTGGTCAAATTATCCCTTTGCCCGTGGGCTACCTTTTTAAGGGGACTCACTGTATAATCATAGTCCCATTTCCGATTTCTCTTCTATTCATCAGTTAATTGAGAGTATTCTTCAAAACTTGTTTTCAGGGAGACGAATTTGACACCGAAGCTAAGAAGGCGTTCGAGGCTCTGATGACGTTTCGTTTATTCGAACCAACAAGCGACGAGTTCAGAGATTTTCAGGAAGACTTGGAGCTGCGTCGTAAGCGCGATTTTAATTGGACAAGTCCGCCAGGAGATGACGTAAGCAGAAATTTGATATCTTTTCGAAAAACAAGCTTATAATCAACGCAAAGATTGAGCCTTGTATTAGACAGTAAACAGAAAAATAATGATAAATCCTCAAAATTAAGCCCTTAACCTTTTACAGTCAAGTGTATAGTTGTGTTCGTATGTATGTGCATGGATTTGAGCGTTGGTAGGTCTTTACTAGTACTAGAAACTGAAAATGTATCTGTTTCTTGTTCATTAAGTTGCTGCTGTTCCTTGTGCCACCCCTTATTAAAAGTACTAGGTCTTGTATTTGGCATTGATTTATTGTTTTGATGGTTCATTAGTTTTGGGACTTAGTTTTGGTTTTAACTTTCGTGCCGAAGGGACCTGTTAAACACAATTATATTTTCACAATATCCGGTGATGTCTTGTTCAGATGTCAAACTGCCCCCTCAATTGCAGTGACAAACATCTCAATCGAAGCGTTTGTTTTTTGGTGTAAATCGAGGACACACACGTGCAACGTCATCGATGAATCGAGGACAGGAACCCAATCGAGGACTCCTCGGTTAGAAAACGTGTACAAAACCAATGAGAGCTGTTGCAAAAAAAAAAAAAAAAAGCAACGACGTGCCTGACTGTAGTAAAATATTACACACAATCTACTAGCTCCATGTCCAATCTGATCGGCCGTACCTGCTATCGACCTGGATGCAACTTGCAAGTCAAAACTGTTTTTCCCCCCCATCGGATTCCTTTGGGAAGAATTCCATACTTGGACATCATTACTTTTCCTGCAGTGACATTACAGCCATCATAAAGCGATAACATGTCCCAAAAAGTCAAATTTACCAGAGAAAATATTGAAGCATTTACTGAGAAAACACTTTTCACACAAGTATGATTGGATTTGTGCACAGAGTGGTACGTGATGTCCACGCATGGCACTCTTTCTTTACTTTGATATGGAATGTTCGATTGATGAGGTCCGTTTCCACTCGAGGTTATCTCGTCCACTCTTCCAGATTACAAAGTAAATGGAAACCTTGCAATCTTAATAATTCCTCCCTCCCTGGCCTTGCTGCAAGCACGCAGCAACTATTTGTTTTCATAAATAAAAGTGACTTCGAGCGTAAAATTGAAGGCGAATAAACAAGACCTTTCTCTCTCGGAAGAAATGAAATCATACCAGGTCAAGGTCTTCATCAGAAAAATGAAATTATATGCTGCAATATTATCAAAATTAGAGTTCCCAACTTAGGCCAATATTAATTTACAGTCTGTTTAATTACGTTTTTATGTTAAAATTCACCCAGTGCTTCTATTTTCGCAAAAAAGGTCTAATGAAATTGCTAAATGGGTCACTGTTTTTGTAAATTACATTTGTTATGCGTTTTCACTCGATAACGCTGAAACGTTTTTGTTCCTAATTTACAATGACCCCACTGGAAGAATAGAATAATTAAAGTGTGAGCTGTGCTCGCGTTTGACCGAGCTTTGCAGTCCACGAAATTGACGCATTTCTGGAGAACAAAAATTGAGTTTCCTTTTTGTAACTTTGGATATTCTCGGGAAAAGCTAACTCGTCAAAGGATTGTAATAACTGATACAAGTTTGACATTGGACCGAAGCTACTCTGCGCTGACCTTCAAAGCAAGTGGATATTGACATTCAGTACTTATTAAAATTGACAGTTGAAGTTGCTAGAATTAACAAGTGATCAAATTTGCCGAGAGAGCTCAGGAAGTTGTGATCTTCATCTGCAATGACAGTTACTTCAAGTAGATAGATGACCCTCATTGATTTTGTAGACTGCGCTAACTATGTTTTTTTTTTCTTTTTTTGTAGTGCACCAAATTTCGCAAAGGTCTACCAAAAGAAACAGATGAAGGGACAGTAAATTGTATAAGTAAAAACAAAAATAAGAGTATAGGGCTGTCGGAGTAAGCCTAAGCTTGTAGAGAACAGCATCCCTGTGTGAATCGTTTTCGTTTTGCTGAAAGAACACTTTCCTTTTTTTGTGATCCGTGGACAGAACTTCAAAACGGTGTTTGTGTTTAAAATTCTGTAACTTGATAAGTACATTCAGTGATTTGAATGATTCTTGTACTAAAAGAATGCTTGTGAATTGGGCTTTCATATCCTAGATTTTGAAAGTGCTACATTTAGAACTTCACTAAAAAATAGTCCCGACATTTGGGTTTCGGGTTGTTTTTACTCACTCTGTACATTTACTTTTGAAACAATTTGATAGAAACGCATAACAGGCACGAATTAGGCCCTAGATGCATATTGTGAAACAGCAATCATGTACCAAATTTGTTATATTTGTTTATTTGCCTGATGAAAACAAACTGAGTCGAAGCTTCAGCAACGAGAATTTGCCTACCAAGTAGAGAATTGGTTTGAGCAGATGAGCGGTGTCATCAGATGGTTTTTTTTCAATAAATTTCAAGTAAAGCTTTCAAATACCGACATTTCTTATCGTGCCGATACAAATATAGACGGCATGCAAAGACATGTGGCTACATGATTGTTTTCCAAGCAATATTATTTTTCTTGCCAAATAACGCATCAATTTTCCATTGTTGAAAAGTTGAAATCGAGAAGCAAACAATTTTTTGTCGACAGATTGAGCAAACAAGCAGTTTCTTAAGGAATAACAGACAAGAGTAAGGACAATCCCATTTTGACTGTCAATTTAAGTACGGGGTATACTGACGATGGATAGTTGTATAGACCTTGGGTTGAATGGACATCTCCAGCTGCCGTTACAGCATGCCTTTTTTTCTGGAGACTTCATCATGAGCTCCTAAAGACGTCAAAACCTCTCAGGCTGAATCTTACACCTGTGTCCCAGGTGCATCGAATTAAATTACCACTTAAAACACTTAGCTATATGAGTAAAACCGGAAAGGACGAACCATTCTGAATAGTGCGTTGCCACTTGGCAAGCAGGTGTATAAAGCTGTAAGTTTCATTAAAATGCTCTTTAGAAAACACATTTCCAGCGGCTTTATGAGCTTTTAACGCCTCGACATGAATGCGCGCAGTTACCAATTTAAGCACTTCTTTTTGAAAAATTAATGAATTGCGCCGATCGACACTGTAATTATACATCGATAGTATAAATCTTATGTCGTGTCCTTTTTTTTCACATAGTTCAACTTCTTTACAAGTGCCTTCCATGACGTCATCATCTTGATTTCTCTCGCCGTCAACGAGACTTTGGGCGAGAGTGGCAACTTGTCCGACGGCTACACGCTCACCAGAAAAATGTGGAACAGGACATTCGAGGGTAAGGGAAGGAAACTAAATTGAACGAGGACAGCTCACTGTCAGACACGGGTAGAGAAAATAAATTCATTTCTGTAGTTGTTATTATTGTGGTAATTGAAACATTATCATTTTATTTGGCCAGCTGGTTTTGCTGGGAAGAAAACGTCGAGGGCCTATCAGCAAAGCTCATTACACCACTGAAGATGTTACCCTGTTCTGTTTTCTTCATGCGCTGCGCTGACAGTGCTTAAATAGGTGGCTACCGTATCCGTGGTCCTAAGTATTGAAAGGTACCAAAAAAGGTTATTTAAATAATTCACTTCATTTGTGAATTAAGATTTCAATGCTGTAATAAAGTTGTTTCATTTTCCTTATTCACCATTACTCTCACACTCGAACTTTCTTTAAACTTGCACTTCCGTGCTCGTGCGCATTTGTTTTGACGATTTTTCAACTTATGTGGTAGTTTTACAAAGAATAATGCCTGTTCTGCCATTTTTTCTGGGCGTCTGCAGCTCTCTGATACAAGGCTGTTATTTTGAATTGCTATTGCGCAGAAACCCCGCGAGAACTGAATTATTATTGTCGGGGTGCAAATAATGCCAGATTTGTAGAGTAATTATTCCATAACTGAACGTGGGCATAATTTCTTTTTCGTTTCAATGTCTCATTCAAAAGTGGATAACCTATAGGGAAAAGGTAATTTAAAAAAACAAATCTATAGTTCGCAGTGAATCTGAAAAATGGCATGGGAAGAGCAAGTTTAAAGTCGGTAAATCCGTGTTAATGGATTTCTGCCTGCTGAAGACTTATGGACGATCAGAGCACTTCTAGAATGCCTACTCTGTTTTGTTTTATAGACATATATAATATGCACCTCGCACGAACTTAGATGGATATACATTAATACCGTAGGGATAACGGCCTAACGTTCCAATGATAACCTCCGCCAAGGAGGTTGTTTTCATCGAATTTTAGTTTGTTAGCTGGTTGGTTGGTTTGTCTGTTAACAAGATATATCAAAATGTTATGTCGGAATTTGCATGAAAAAAAGCTTTTAGGAGTGGTCCTTGGTACAAGTACACATCGATTACATTTTGGAAGTGCTCCGGATCTGGGTCCGGATACATGATTGTACTTTAAAGATTCTTTATCATTCATGCAAGTATTTCTTTTGGGTGTACTGACAATATGGCGGGGAATTGTTAAGCCTTTGCGCAGGTTTGCGCTTTTTGAGTGCTTTCTAGTTCCAAATGCGAAAGTTATACTATTTCACCTCGGCTATTAAGAATTTCCAAACGTGTTGGGTTTTTGTCGTCGTGCTACAACAACAAAAAATCACCGAAAGCAATAATGATAATCAAGTTGACAGTAATTTTTTTTATTGACCAGGTATCTCTGGCTTGGTCACGGTCAATGCGAACGGTGATCGCGACGCCGACTACTCTCTATGGGACATGACGGTGAACGGAGAATCGACGGTAAGCGGAAGCGGAGATATTTTCGTCAAGAATAATTGGCACCATATCGCACCCCAACAGCCGATGTTTACTGTCTTGTGACCGAGATCAGATTCCATTTTCTCCATTCTCAAACATGCAATGAAATATAATTTTGGTATCCTTAATAACACATCCGTGCTTAGTAGATAATTATACATAAGTAGTGCAATCAAGCGAAGGTCTTTAATATTACCGTTATTAATGATAATTCAATGACCATTATACACGAGGAATAATTCTGTGAAATATTACGTAAGAATGTCTCAATGTGCAAAGGAAATCAGCTAAAATATCAAGACCCAACATAAACAACATGCTGGCGGCCTGAGCCCAAAGGCGAGGGTTATTATCAAGGTCAACGTCCAGGCCCCTAGCTGGTTTTTAACATACTTGTTTAATACCGGCCAAGCACATATTTATTCCCATTCACAAATATCTTTCGGTCAAAAATTAAAACAAGTCAAGAATTCACAATTTTCCGATGATGTTGTTCAAAAATTTTACCTCATGTTTTGTGAAACAGAGCACACCCCTAGTCCTCTTGCCATGTCTAAGGCATTGAGCCTCGCGCACGTATAGTGCAAAAAAAATATCCCATAGGCCAAAAAAAATAAGTCTCCGGTTTCTGGTATGGAGCTTGCCTAAAAAGTGGTGCGGCGACGCGGCTTTTTTTTTTTTTTACCTGATTTTTTTTTGCCTCAAAATGTAGGCTGATGACTGCAAATGGTGCCCGACTAGACTTAGTGCAAATATATGGGAGTCCAGAGAGGCCACATAAAGCTTATTCTCGATCATAATCCCATCTAAAAACACGTTAAAATTGAGCAGCAGCAGGATTCCAGTCAAACCAGTGAGTTTGGCGGTCTTGAGACATCATCTTTCATTGAAAAAAAAAATCATTTTGCCGACGCGCATGGCTACGGCGACGCGCGCGCATACCAGAAACCGGAGACTTTTTTTTTTGGCCATATGGAGACCGTGCTGGATTCTGCCTCAGACAGGTTTTAGTTGCCTTTGGGTTTTTTTTTGTTTTTTTTTAATATGTCTGTTCAACGAGAAAGAGTAACAAGAATTCATGTTGGCGAAATGCGATGGGTTATTCGTCCCCTATTTGCTCAATAAATATTACATACGTTCCGTTACGGCCGAATGGATTAAGGTTATATTTACTTTTTCCTTCCCCTTTTCAAGATGCCAGACAGACGTTTAAGCGCGAGCGAATACCCTTGGCGATTTTGCTTTGTATGAAATTTACTTAATCGGATTCGTCCTCCGTCGAATTCAGTAAAATGATTTTGTTTTATGTGTACAATGATTCAAACCGATTATAACATGCATACCGGCAGTTGATTACAGACGTCACTGAACATAATTAGGTTAGTTTCCTTTCAACCATATGTTTGAAATAGGCTAAGTAAACGATCCAAAAACATGAAATTTTTGGAGATTTCTGGACCTAGTGCCCCTTTGACAGAAATGGTTAACGGCCATCCTATCCACGTTCCATATTTCATTGAAAATTTACCCCGTATGCTGTATGGAATGTAAATTAATGTAAAAAATGTCAAACTAATTTTGTCAAGCACGGAACCTCCAAGGGCGTCTTTTTATTGACGATCTTTTCAGCGTTAGCCTCCACACAATAATACCTGCAGTCGCATTTGACTGATCAGCAATGAATGGGGTTAATCAGCGACATGCGTATGGCGTGCGTATAAATTATAAGTGGAGTGTAATAATTATTGGAAAATACCTCGGAAAATCATTCAAAATTACAAACAAAAAATTATGGCAAATTGTATGTATATCATTCGCCATGGAAATGACTAAAGTTGTAAGCAGGCGTAAAATGCTGACAAAAGAAGTGGCAGGATGTTTTTATTCCCAAAACATTCCAAGCATTAAACGAAATGTTTAATATGCCGAGTATTATTCAAATAACGTGTAATATAATATTCTGAATAATATTATTGACATTCCGAATGCGCATCTCTAATATTAACCTAGTCCATAAAAAAAGTTAGCCTCACAATTTTTTCCCCAGATTTTGTGACAGGTTTGTACATTTTCAAGTCGTTGGGTAATCAAGAACATTCGTGCCATTTCTTGACAACATTTAAGTTGTATTGATTTTTCCCCCACTGCTGGTGTCTTGTTCGTTTATTTCAATTTGTCTATTGACTGTTCAGGTTGTGGCTAATTTTTACGGTGCGACGGGTGAGTTGGAGTTTGTGGGTGATATCGCCTGGCCAGGAGGGGCTACCGACCCCCCGCCTGACACTCCGTTCTGTGGCTTTGAAAACGAAAATCCTGCCTGTCAGATACAAGGTAAGATAAAAAAAAATCCCAAACTGTCCAGGTGTTTGGAATTTGAAAGGGGTGGGGGTGCGGATGCGCATCATTTTGGCGCGGTTCATAATTATGACAGAAACTTGTAAGCACATGAAGGGGCTTTGCGTCAATACCCAGCGTCTTACAGTCTAATTTAAAAAGAGAATTCGTATCGGCGCTCTTTATTCATTTTTTTTTGGGAAAAAAAAATGGGGATGCAAAATTTTTGAAATGTGAGAATGTATCCTCCTCCCGCCCCCGATTTACGCCCTTGTAATGGGACGCTAGTCAGAAGCAGTCTAGTCAAATTCCACTCCAGCAGTCCATTTCTCTTTTTTCAGTCAAATGTTACACTTTTCCCAACAGACTCTGTCTTGACGATAACCATTATCGTATCGTGTTGTCTTCTCCTGGGCGGGAGTGCCGTCATCCTTGCAGTTTACAGGTGAGCGGTCCTCTTGATTTCATTGCCAGTCGGTTTTTTTTGTCGACGAGGGAACCGTTTGACACTAACCCGGCCCGTCCTTTCTCCACTACGAGTACTCATCAATCTACTCCGTCGCGATATACATACACTGCAAAAACTGCAGTGTTAAATTTACACCATTTGTATCTATATAGGACCATCTGTTGTTAAATTGTACTGGTGTTGTCCTATATAGATACCGAATGGTGTTAAATTAACACTACAGTTTTTGCAGTGTAGATGCAGCCCATAATTTATAATGGGCTCTGCTTCCACTTACACGGAGGCATTACTTTTAAGAACCCGATGATGAGAAAAAATGCACTTTGCGCGAAAGCAATTTGGCATTCCCGGAGGAAAATGGCACCACCACGTACCGAAGGAAGCTTCGTAATTGCATTGAAATTTTGATCAAATAAACAACGTCTAGGCCTGAAACAGGTGGTGCTGTGATGCAGAAAAGTCGTTTTAAATGTTTTTTTTCCCTGGTAACGAAATCGTCGGTGGCACCACGAAGTGCCGTATTGTGTGGCGTAACTGATTAATGAACAAAAAGAGTAAGTTACTGCACTTTGCCAAAGATGGCTTTTAATAAATTTTTGGGAACTCCATTTTAAAAATGGTCAATTCAGAAATCTGAAATGCTGGCCAGTCAGTTTCTTTTAATTCTTTATCTTTTCTTTAAAACACTTTCAATGTTCACTCTGGAAAATAAATCAGACGATTGAAAGTGACCGTACGACAATTGTCGTTACGGTAGCTGAATCACACTTGTTATCGTATTTCGCCAAGCAGAATTTTAATAACTCCTACCTCGGAAAAAAATAACAAATCTAATTTATTTAAGCCACTCGACCATTCGGGCTATGCAGAATCAATTTCCGGAATGTGCGTTGAGCCAGAGAATAATAACACATTTCGAACTCTGAAACATTGGCATTCGTAAAAAGACGTGATTTTGAAAGAATAATAATGATTAATGATAATTATATTCCCATGCCCCTGCCTGCCTGCACGTGCTGCTTGCAAATACAAACACCATAATTTTGAAATGATAAAATAGTCCCCACATTTGTTGCCTTGGGCTCAGCTGAAGTGGACATGAAAAGAACACATCTGGAGACAACCCGATCGAATTATAGTCCATGTAGCAAACGGGTATTCGCTTCAGACGAAATGTTGATTCAATAGGCAACATTCTTGGAGCCGCACGTATCCCGTAAGCGCATGATTATTCTAACGGTCCCTAACGTTTCCGAATGACCGTTTGATAATTCACGGCAATATTGTATGGCAATATTTTTGTTAATTTTGTTCAAAAATATCTGGAGATCAATCAGTTGAATAATTGAAACCCCCATTTCATAGTACACAACAGTTCTCATTTCTGTTGTAAAATAAAAAATTAAGCGAAAAAAAAATGTGTCCGATTGAGGAATCTTTACATGAACTATTAGAGCTTATATTTTCCTTTAACTCTATTCAGGAAGTTAAAAAGAGATGCCGCTATCCAAAGTAGGGCGTGGCAAATAAAGTGGGAGGAGCTACAGATGCAAAGTGACCACGCCCGTGGATGCAGAACCTCTTCGTTTTCTCTTGTAAGTTCCCCGGCCACAGACACTTCAAGATTAGTTTACTTTCATTTTGAAGTATATGACCGTGAATGTTGTCTGTATTTGTTGCGGTTACCTGATTGTCGAATGAACAAAACCATAAAGGTTGCCAAGCCATTCAAAATTGAATTCCGATTTGCCTAATTTAATAATCTTTGTTATTGACTACCTGAATTATGTAGGGCAATGCCGAGAATATCATTGTATAAGGCGAAGCAGGTACCGACAAAAACATCCACAGAACGGCAATACTTTCATTTTGAAACCTTGAATCGTTCTGAGAAGAAGTTAATCTTGTTATGCCAACCTGATCAAGCAGGGTTGGGCTCCAATAAGCCGCGCAGCTGTGATCCTGAGGGGAATTCTGCTGCACATTAATCACAGTTCATTCAATTTTCAATGTCAATTTCCCCTCAATGGAAGATGTCTCCCTGTCTGTCAGCCGTTCGTTGTCACAAAAAGAGTTCCTTTTTTGTATCAGTTGTTAAAACAAACTGTTTCATTTTTTTTCTCGTAGGGGAGTGTTTCTTTAAAAACGGAAGAAGGAAAACAGGTTTTTACCCAGACAGCATTTTACCAGGTGAGAGTTTGAGAAGTAACCTAAAACAAACAAACGGATGCAGGCAGTTTCTCAAACCTCATTTCGTTCGAGTTTCGGCTTCATTATCTTTTCCCGTGGCGGAAATTGATCACTGTCTCCAAAGTCCAAAATGGTCATTAGTCTCCAAAGTCAATGGCCTGAAGTGGAGCCTGAAGCAACAACAGGAGACGGGGCCGATGTTTGAGTAATGGCCCTTGAGACTTTGAAGACATCCAACAAGGTTACCATGTTTTCTGCAAAATCATCACTATCAGACGTAATTCAATGACAATGGGCGTTAAAGGAAATATACAACATTTTGCTTTTGCTGTAACTTTCAGAAATGGATGGATTTGGGGGATAGTATCATATAGCAAATATCATTACTGAACAAGTTCTATAGTCGCATTTGAAAGGCTACTAAAAGGGGGAGCAGTAGATTATCATTTTGATGCAAAGTACAATTGAAATAAGCAAGATTTCCTGACAGAATCGGTCTCATATATTTGGTTAAAAAAAAAAACAGATGCCAGCGAAAAATTAACTCACACAGAGGATATTTCATAGAGTTACATCCTGGGGAGGGGGGGTGTTAACTATATTATAGGCCCCTTAGCTGACAGTAGATAATACTCGTCTTAATTGTCTAAGTATTTTGTTTTCCCTTGTATTTTTCAACAGGGTCGAACTGTTGCTGTCAAGAGGATCTCCCAAGATGAAGTGAAGATGAATAGAGAGATTCTCATTGAGCTGAAAAACGTAAGAGGACATAAGGGTTGATCATCTTTAACTTTCGCTGTTGAAAAGGATATAATTACGGACACATTTCTCTGTGAAATTTGAATGAACACTCTTTGAAACGAATAGCTCATAATTATTCTCAAGGAAATTTCTGTCCACAGATGCGGGATTTGGAGCATCCCAACTTGGCAAGATTTATCGGATTGTGCGTCGACGTTCCTAACGTGGCCATCGTCAACGAGTATTGCCCCAAAGGAAGCCTGATGGTACGTTTTCTATTTCAAGACCCTAAATAACAAATAAGTTAGTGTCGTAACGAAGGTGGGAGGGAGTAGTCCTGTCTTATTGGTTTTAAGGTGGGGAGTAGACAACATACGAGGATTTAGTGGACTCTTTTCATATTGAATTACATGTATTTGCATTGGTGAACTGAATTTGACACATTGCCGTCCATCTCACGCCAGGCAATGTTTGCCGTTAAATTTGCTAACACTAATATAGTTGGAATGTTCTTCCCCCATTTGTGGTTTGTGTGTTGCGCAAGTAAACAATTTCTTGTAAACTATTTCTTTGAAGAAAAAAAACAGTTTCATATAAATAACCGAGTCGAACCCAATTTTCATTGATTTCATGGTCGGCGTAAATGGTATCGGTAGCTTTATGTTGAAATACTCATGACGTATAAAATAAAGATCAGTAAAGGCCTGTGACTTATATACATGGACGAGTTGAATGTAGAAGCCAGACGTTGAGGCTTCTATAGATCCGCTCTGTCGTTATTCTGTCCATTTTCCTGCTTTCAACTCTGTGACAATCAAAATTTGGAGGATTCCACTAATTTAGAATAGTTGATATAACAATGTCATCTGCCCACCACAAGCAGTAATTCAATATTTAATTCTTGTGAATTTGCAGGACATTCTTCAGAACGATTCCATCAAACTTGACTGGCTCTTCAAGTACTCCCTTATCAGTGACGTCATCAAGGTATTTGTGGTCTCAATTTAAATTCATTTGAAAGCAAAGATTCCTGGAGGAAAATCAATCCCTTTTGAAGAAAAATCTTCTTCTTTTTATTCCTTTGAAAAGCAGTAAAATGATTTGATTTCCCAGGATACTGTTATTCAAGATGTCTGTGTGCCTATCCGGTTGAATTGAATTGAATTAAATTGTGCGGGTCTTACGCAGTTTACTTTAAGCCGTGGAAATTTTTCAACGTGAACTGTTGGAGCATTTTTTTTTCGCTAATCAATAATTAAGCCTTAGTGGTCAATAACAGAATCTGATTGATCAATGCAGGGAGTGCAGTACCTTCACCGCAGTGAGCTGTCAGTCCACGGCCGACTCAACTCCTCCAACTGCCTCGTGGATAGTCGATTCGTCCTCAAACTTATCGACTTTGGCTTGCCGTCCCTCCGAGAGGGCGCTTCGCAGACCCTCGGTGACCACGCCCTTCTGACGAGTGAGTCATCACATCTTCGAAACACAAAGCATTGTCCTTCATTTTAAAAAATGCATACTCTAGATTCTTTCATAAATACAGTTTTTTCTGTTATGTTTATCTCTAAGTGAAAATCCAAACGGACTTGCTTTGAGAAGAGATTTTCTTTAAAACAAAATGAAAATAAATATGTAAGTGTACTTCTGGAGAGATAAAAAAAAAATTAAGATGTAGGCCTGTTTGTATCAACCAAGATTTAGCACATTGTCAATCTCCTTTCTTTTTGATACAAAGTAAAGATTGTTGTTGATTTTCAATTTTGTTCGTTATTGCCTGTCTTCATTATTGGAGTAATTTCATCCTTTATTCTCAGAGTCGCTTTATGGTGCCCCAGAGCTACTCCGCGATCCAAAGCGAGGCCCAACCAAAGAGGGCGACATTTACAGTGTAGGGATGCTCATGGGAGAAGTTGCAACCAGGCAGGGACCGTATGAGGCCGAGTCGAAGAACATGGAACTAAGTGGTAAAATATCGAATTTGTAAGCTGTAGCCAACGACTAGTTGAAGTTTATTAGCAATCAATTGTTGCTAAGAATCAACAATGCGAATTTGTGAAGCGCACATATCCATCACAACTGGTGCTCAAGGCGCTACATCATTATTACCCTTGCTCACTGGGCTAATAGAACGTACCAAAGACCATCTCAGCTCCCTGTGAAGTATTCAGTTGGATGCTGCCATTTTCGGTGCACACCAGCCAAAATCAACCACAATCACCATATATCTGCCCTCCCAGGAACCCATCTAGTCCTGAGTGGGGAGAAGTGTCTTGCCAAAGGACACACACATCGTAACGCCACAGGTTGGACTCGAACCAACAGCTGGCAGAGCTACCCTCAGAACTTTAATTGGATGCCTCAGACCACGAGCTATCGACTTGCCACTCCCTAAACATCCGTAGCAAAATGTTCCCTTTGTATACCTTCTCCACTATTTTTCTAACGGTGGTTGTCAAAATATTGATTTTGTTTCCCACTTTTTAGAGATTGTTGACAAAATCAAGTGTCCTCCTTCCGGCAGCCTGAGTCAACCATTCAGACCACAGGTTGCCGGCGAGAACGTCGACTCCAGTATATCCGAGTTGATCAAAGCGTGTTGGGCGGAAGACCCTAAAGACAGACCTAATGTCAACTCGCTGAACGCATCCATCGTCAAAATCAACAGGTGAGTTTAATACAGTGGCTAAGCACAAAGTGAACGCAATCCTAGATGATATCATTCACCAGGGCCCAGTCTCATGTTGGTGCTAAGCAGGAAATATCGCTAGCAAGTTGATATGTTACGCAAAATTTAGCTGAGTACCAGGTAAAATCAATATACACAGCGTGACGTTTTTGGTTGGTGCCCTGCTTTTGCTAAGCAAAATTGTTTGTGGCTTAGCAATTTGTTTGTTGGAAGCGGCTCTTTCAAATCAACTTCTGAGTATTAATGATCTAAAATGCTGATGATTCCTCGGAATAGAAAGAAGAACACAGGCAAGGGTATCCTAGACAACCTGCTGAATCGGATGGAGCAGTACGCCAACAATCTGGAGGAGTTGGTGGAGGAGAGAACCGCAGCCTTCCTGGAGGAGAAGAAACGAGCTGAGACTCTGCTTTATGAGCTCTTACCCAGGTGAGAAATATCTAAGAAACTCTTGAATAGCTTCCTAAAAGATACACAGTGAAAGATATGCATACACATTGTTCTCCATAGAACATAACTGCTGTATTCCTGTTTTGTTGAACTGCCTTTCTTGATGTCCACAAATTTTAACCTCCCTATAATCATTGACCCATCTAAGAGTTATCGCCTGTGATTCTCTCTTGAAACCTTCCTCTTTTAAAGCTACACTGCAAAGATGGCGATGTTATTATGAAGACATAGATACAGACACTCACGGTTTCATTACAGGACTGCCGATGTAAAACTTTTTAATACACCTTTTTTTTTCAGTGTACGCACTCCCTCTAGTATCCCGTCGCAAAGCACATTTCTTTAACCTGTTTCATGTCCTTTGCGCCATCAGTTTTATGGAAGTCTTTGACATTGGCGTCTTTCCTGTAATTTGCCAAGTAGGCCTATCATGACTTTGTACATGTAGAGTAGTAACTAAGCATTTGAAGAAAAGAAAAGTCTTCAATATGTCAATGATTAGCTTGATGTCGATCTTAAAAATCGGGGAACTTGAGAAATGCTAAAAGTAATTTGTGTCTTTCAAAATTGTGCAGGGTCGTAGCAGATCAGTTGAAGCAAGGCAAGGCCGTCGACCCGGAATCTTACGACAGTGTCACCATCTTCTTCAGTGACATCAAAGGGTTCACTGAACTCTCGGCACAGAGCACGCCTATGGAGGTGGTTTTAAACTAATCCCTGATTCGTTCTGTAGATATCTCACGCTCGCACCACAGTTTGTTTTGAAATTGTACAAGCCGGCTTAATGTTCTAGTTCAATTTATGCATCTCGAACCGCCTTGCTTCAGTGTGTTCAGGAGGCTATTATTCCCTTATAAGGAAACTATTTCTCAGCGAGTTCACGTGTAGGGAACGTCCCACGACATTTTGGCTGATGATTTGATCTTGCTAATTGACAGCTTCACGAAATGTATCCTCAAGAATTGTATTAAAATAGGTATTAGCAAAAGTGATTTGTGTTTATCTCTGTGCTACAGGTGGTCATGTTACTGAACGATCTGTACACCTGTTTTGATGGCATCATTGAACATTTTGATGTGTATAAGGTAAGCTGAACTTATAACCTCTGAAACCAAATGATGATCTGCTCAATTTCAGCCTCTTGTAACTTGTTGTTCCGTGTTGGGATATCGTAGGAAGACTTCATTTTAATACATTTTGTCTGCGTTTCTGTTCAGGTTGAGACTATTGGGGACGCCTACATGGTGGTGTCTGGTGTGCCAGTCCGCAATGGCAATGCGCATGCGCGTGAGATTTGCAACATGGCGCTGGCCTTGCTTAAGGCAGTCGGCTCCTTCAGGATTCGACACAAAAGAGACCAGAAACTTCATATGCGGGTGGGAATACACACAGGTATAGGAAACCAATAATCATTATCATGGCATGTCAGTCATTGTTGTTGATACCGCATTTTATTTGGCGAATATACGGGTCAAAAGCATAATGATTTGCTATAGACGCATTGAAGCACTTCTATAATCCTAATAGGCATAGATATAACTTTTACAACGTTATGGTCCATCAAGGAACTTTTGAAACCGCGCCCTTTTACCTGATGTATAGACGTTATTCAAAGTTGAAGCGTTACAGCTTTTTGACATCCTAAACAAGAGAAGGTGTGGGGGTTTTTTTTGGGGGGGGGGGGTTTGTGGGGGGGGGGGGAGAATTTCCTCTTTTCTTTGAACGTGTAAGATAGAATGTTGTGTTGGAAGATAGAATGTTGTGTTAGTAATGGTTATAGAAAAATGAATGTGTCCTGCAGATATCAAAACTTTAATTTTGTTGTAATTGTGACTGCAGGTCCGTGCGTAGCTGGCGTGGTGGGGCTCAAGATGCCTCGCTATTGTCTCTTCGGAGACACAGTGAATACGGCATCTAGAATGGAATCAAACGGAGAAGGTATTTTTTTAAATATATATGTTGCCATGGTTACCCCGCCATTTCGTACTGCACGCTAGAGTGGTCCAGTTTCATAACTTGAACTTTATAAGTAGTTCCCCTTGACGACTCGTAATTTAGATTTCAGACTTCGCCCTGTCGGCAATTTGTCGTTGATGGCGCTTTTGAGAGTTTGTCCTGATTGATGAATGACCTCCCGTTTACCGCTTTTATGGATTAAAAAACAGCTGAAAAATTATATAGAGTTCAGGTCGTTGCATTTTGATAAAGCTACAATTTCCGCCCAGAAGAATTTTTTTTTTCAACTTCAAAGAGGTCTACTTATGAGAATCCCTGTGTGCAATTAAAACACGCAATTGCTGCAGTACAGCAATGGAGATGTAGAAAGATATGTGGCTATTATATCTATTAAACATTTGTCCTTTGAAAAAATATAGGTAGAATAACAAGCAATTTTCATAATTTTCAAAATGGCTGCCATTGCTTGTTATTCCACCTAATTTTTTTCAAAGGACAAATCTGCGATGGCCCTATAGCCAAATATATTCTTAAAGCTATAGTCCATCATTTGCAGCTATCCAAAAAGTAACTGGCGTAATTATTGTTGAAAAACATACTTGGTTGAAAGATAGTAAGGGGACCAAACTCCCTGTGAAATCATTCTTTCTGGAAAGCTGTCATTTTGAAGTAATCAACGAAAGAAGGCCTTTCTAATGGTGCGTCTTAAGACGCACCGTTGGAAATTTCCGTTAGTAGTTGGTTTGTTTTTATTCGGCGCAGCGCGCAAGCGTTGACACGACGCACACGCGCGCGCGGTCGCTATAATTCGTCGGATCGATGCGCGACATCGCGTAGCTGTAATCGGCTCTGTGAGAACGTGTCTCAGACGCTGAATTCAGGCCCAATTCAAAACATGATTCAGCAACTTTGATTTGAAATTGAGATCCTAGAATGCTGTTTTTCTCGGAATATACAGCTGAAGCTGAGCTGAAACTTCATCGGGTTAGTTGTTCAGTACCCTTCTTTAGATTTTGAGCACTTTTGTTGCTTCAAACGAACAAAATGCACAAATTACAAATGATGGACTATATCTTTAAGACATACTCTGACTGCGTGCCAAATGCCATGCTTGTAACATCAAAAGCACAATCATATCACCTAATTGCCGTAACAGCTATAGTGAATGATGAAATAACTCAGGCTTCTTTGACCCTACTTGTGGTTCTGCTTATAACTGATTTTCCTATATACATGTCTTTATCTGCCTCCACCAAGCTTTGAAGATCCACATCAGTTCGGACACCAAGGTCATTTTGGAGGACTTTGAAGGCTTCAACATTGAACTCAGGGGTGCAGTAGAACTAAAGGTATGAGTGAGTTTAATTCAAGCAGATCGGGTTCAGTCAAGTTCTGATCTGAGAGTATCCAAAGCTAATTCAAATAACCAAACAGCCTTTATTTTTTTACTTTATTTCAAACTTTAAACTGAACCACGAAAGGGAAAAGTTCAACCAACATGTCTAATGTCACATAGAAAACACATCAATTACAAGATATCACCGTCCTATTGAAAGCTGAGTGCATTTTTATCGTGTAAAAATACATGGGAGGTTTCTGGTTTTCTGTTCAAGAGTTTGAACTGTAACTTTTTGCAGTTTTTTCCAGCTTTTAATAACTTCGCATTTTTTGTTTTGGTTGGGATTGCATTCTATTCTCGATAACAGTACACATTCAGTTGTTTTCATTTGTATGTACCCCCATCTTTTCTTTTATCCATTTCTTTCTCCACCGTTATTTCTATTTATTTAAGTTGTTGGCATTGCATCCAATAAGTAAGAGGATTCGTTCTTTTTTGTATTTGCTGACCATTTTCACAATTTGTTTTTCTCCATATTTTTGCATTCTTGATTTTTGAATTTGTTTCACCTTCTGTGGTTTCATTTTCAGGGAAAGGGCGTCCAAACCACCTATTGGTTGCTAGGCAGCAGTGACAAATGTGTGAATGCGGTTACCGAGAGCGAGTTCACCTAATTATAAAAATATCATTGAAATATTATACGGACTCATTTGCGATTATTGTAAATACATGTGTATTAATATACATTTTCACAGGCCTGGTGTTTTCATCCACAAATGGGGCATTTGCTTTCAATCTTTTTACCCTTGCACTTGTATATTGAAATATCACATCACATGTACTTTGTCTTATATAAACTATATAAATTATATTTTATTTCCATATACATTGTATTCATAAAATAATATATGCCCTACCTATATTTTCATATATTTTCATAATTGTTCGTTTTCAAATCAAAAATCAACCTTTTCTGAGGACAAGGATTACGAATTTGGCACAAAGGATGGGAAATTACAACAACAAAAACATAATTCGACTATTATCATTTACTATAAAAGTACTTTTCGGGTAGTACAATTTTATCATGGTCGATTCGTGTACAGTAGCTCAAAGAAGTAAGAAACTGATGAGCATAAAGGATAAACCCTCAAATTGAGTGTTTCCAACAATTACTCTATCTACTTACAACGTTGCTAGGCTACGTGTTCTCTTTTAATTATAAGAACGCGTGAGGCCTCCTCCTACTATACTTACCATCAATTCTGTACAAAATATATTTATACTTAATTAATATGTAATGTTTTCATTATTTGTGTAAACCAGCTGAAAGAAACCCAATGTAAAATGAAACATGAAAATACTATAACTATATTTTGCACTATATAATTATATTGTGATATCATATATAAATATCTACCGAATGTAATAAGGTTCCTATCCATTATTGTGTAAAGTAAAAATCTGGAGAAAATCCTCCTTCACGAGTTATTAATTGATAAATGTCACCCTTTTTTCCGGCTTCGATTGGTGGATACCGAGACCCACGCCAAAACACGCCGAGTGACGCTTATGAATATGCTAATTTGCCATACGGCGCTTTGCTGAACAATGCACGTGGGTTGGGTACTTTAAAGTGTTTGACTGTAAGTGCGAATTTTCAAGTTGACCACTAATATATAACAACAGGCACGCCTAATTCCATTAATTCAACAGATACGTTAATACATTAGATATCACATGAGGTATGCGCATGATGCATTGGAAATGTTCGTGTCTAGCTGAGAAGACAATGTATATGACCATGTACAAAATGTGTCAAATAGCCTACAGTGCATGCTTTCAAAAATATGTTCTTTTTGCGTCTGGACCCGATGAAATTACTGTACCAAGCGGAAATCGGTTTAAAACTATAGTCATCAGCAACTGCAACTCTTGGCATTTTGATTGGTGAAGTTTTACCTTTGGGGTGCTGAGGTCCAATAGTTACGTGTTCGACTCGTTTGCTGGGGTACATGGGTTCGAATCCTGACGGGGAACATGGTGCTTGTTCTCTTGAGCAAGGCACTTTACCATTATTGCTTCGTCCTTTGGATGGGACGTAAAGCCGTATGTCCCGTGTGTTGTGTTACGCACGTTAAATGACCCAGTAACACTTATCGCTATAAAGAGAAGGGGTTTGCCTCAGTATTTCTGGCAGTGGCTGCATTACGCGCCGCAGCACCTTGTATGCCCTTTATAAAGGTGCTACCTATAGGTCTCACATTTCTCATAAACTTCATTTACCTGTCCTTAAAAAATTACATAATTACCAGCGCCTTGAGTACCTAATTGTCGGTAGATACGTGCGCTATATAAGACTCCAGTGTTGTTTTTATTATTATTATTATTCAAATCTTCCTTGCTTAGCTGCTCAATAAAATTGGCCTATGTCTTCTCTTGTCAACCTGATTCACACAAATAGATACAGCCTCAAAAAACCCCATGTTCAGCCTGTTGAAGTTGACCAACTTTCAATTCTCGGTAATCGACATAGGCCCATCGTCGAGTGTTCCCTCAGGTAGACGCTGATTATCGACAAGCGGTCGATTTAACCAGTTTTCTGTGTTTTTTAGTCGACTGATGTCGAGTTCTCCTCTTTTGGTCAAAATGTTGTTGCTTTCCAAAAGCCAAAATGTCGTTTGAGTTCCCTTACCCTGTCGGACATTAAAGAAAAAGCATTTAACAAATAATAAAGTTCACTAATCAGCTGAAAATGAAAAAAAAATGCTGTATAACATCAAATCCTATATGATAACTAAATGATTATCACGTGTAGATTGTCCAGCATCAAGTTTATAAACTCCTTGTATGACATCGATGTTCATTTCTGTGGTAATATGAACTGTAAAAGCGAGTGGAAACAATGCCAGTAAATACAGGATTTTCTTTAAATTCTGACATGAAACCATATTCGTCATCTTACCTTCATCTCCACAGCTCCCCTCAACTGAATTTGGAAGCACCCAAAGCTATCCAGTATGACTTTGGTGTCGGAACTAACATGTATCTTCATGGCTGAAAGAAATACAGTAATTTGATTTTGTAATTTATAAAATCTCCTGATGTAACCCAAAATAAATAATTTTTAATGTAAAGCAACCTCGAGCTTTGCTCGGCGGAGAACATGTCGTTTCTTGTTGGCAAATATGCCGTCATGAATAGCGCCATCAAGTGTCAAGTAATGCCCTTTCCGTCTACAATAAACAACGTCCCTACCTATCACATAACGTCGTTCTCCACCCCCCCCCCCCCCATCCCCCACCCCAATTATTTTCAATTTTTTTTAGGAATCTCTGGCGGTCAAATGAGCCCTTTCAAATTTGTTTTGCAACCCCCGTGTATAATATAAACAATACAATAGAGACCGTCAGAAATTGTACGCGTACGGGATACGTGATATGCGGCTCAAAAAAGTGGCCCATTTAACCACCTTTGTATGTGATAATTTCACCAGAGTTACGTAATACATTTCAATATTTTGATGTGACATGTACATTGCTCGTAGTGTGCCCGATGAAATTACAATGCAAAAAAAAAAGAATGCGACTTCTTTCCGAGCTGCATACGTATCCCGTACGCGTAACATTTCTAATGGTCCAAAATTCCTTCCCTGCGTAAACAAAGCAGCCTTATAAGAAGATGTACATGTACACCAAATACCTTCTCCGTTTGATTCCATTCGAGATGCCGTATTCACCGTATCACCAAACAGACAATAGCGAGGCATCTTGAGCCCCACCACGCCAGCTACGCACGGACCTTAGTTGTGAATTACAGACAACCAAAACAACCAACAGTTAGAAAACATTTGTTTGCCAGGATTATATCAAACTGATAGGGAAAATACAGCAGGGTAATTATGTCCTATGGTATTCAGTTTTATATATCCCACATAGCGCGCCGCGCCCTTAGTAAGGGCAGGTATTTTTCCTCATTGGTATGCATGCGTGAATAGTTTGTACTATCATTATCACTGGATTTAAATTACAAAACCTATCTTCATTGAGGGCGCTTTTTACAATGATCTATAGGCGTAACGTCATTAACCGTAAATACATGTATAAGGAAAACATAAAATGCTTAACAATGTAACAACGACTACCAACATGTGCCTGTACAGTAATAGAACACATTACGAAACAATTACACATAAAAACGGAAATAATCAAAGGAAATATCAATACAAAGTTTCTCCAATTCTTAATGAAAATTCCAATGAATGCAATTTAGTGTTAACTTACCAGTGTGTATTCCGACTCGTAGCTTCAGCTTGGTGTCGGGTTTGTGTCTTATCGTGAACAAGCCTACGGCCTGGAGTAAGGCCAGCGCCATGTTGCCGATTTCTCGCGCGTGCGCATTGCCATTGCGGACGGGAACACCAGACACGACCATGTATGCATCTCCAATGGTCTCCACCTGCAAATAAATAACACAAAACAGTAAAGGGTAAAACAGCTGTTCAGTGAGCTTTTGTCTTATTGATACCGCGAAACCAGCGTTAAGATTAGTAGAATTTATATAAGCCTCAAGTTCTTAACACATTCAAATCGTGTCACTGACAACATAACATAATAAATAGTGTATACATTTGTATAATTGTACAGGGTGACCCAAAGTAAATGCAAACCTGAAACATTTGCATTTAAAAAAAGGGATCGTTGGATTTTTATGCTATGGGTATCAGATTAAAGCTGAGAGCTTTTTCTTTTAAACACTGAAACAATCATGAAAATGCCAATTATGTAAAAGTAGTCATTTTTCATCCCGTACACAAACAAATTACCACAGTAAGGATTTTCACTGTACCTATTTGTGCATGTCCTAATCCTTACAAACAACATGGCACATAAAATGACAACGGTACAAATGGATTTGATGGAAACACCTTTTATTTTCCACCTGAACAGGTATCTCATCCTTTTTAGTCCTATTTTAAACCTTTTGGCATCATAAATATGTCAAAATATTAAAGACATTGCACAAATGAAGGATAATTGCACATATTATGCAGTAGGCTTACAGTAAAATGTTTCACTGTTTGAAGAATTTGTGTACAGGATGCAAAATGACTATTGCAAAATTGGCATTTTCTCAGCAACCCAAAGTGCTATTTTCATGATTTTTTTTCTTCAGAATTTGAAAGAAAATGCTTTCAGCGTTAATCTGATACCCAAAACATAAAAATCCACCGATCCCTTTTTTTAAGGCAAATGTTTTAGGGTTGCATGTTTTGAGTCGCCCTGTACTACAGTGCATCAATTAAGGGACCGAGTTATATTTGACAAAGGCGCTCCAACGAGTAAGTCGAACAGTGACGACTGCAACATTTTGCGTAAACGGAAAGATTTTAAAATAGACAAGGCACGGGTTATTCCATTTCACGTTGGGCTGACAAGTCTAAATCTCTAATCATAAATTCTAGAAATTCATGCTTACCTTGTACACGTCAAAATTCCCAATGATGCCATCGAAACATGTGTACAGATCGTTCAGCAACAAACCACCTAAACCATAAAAATATACACAAAGTACATTCAAAAGGCACGTAGGTTACATTGTCATCGGAATGTCTCTTTCTGAGACTACTGTTGGATGACCATCTAATGACGGACAAACTATGAAAAGTATCATGCTGATAAAATGCATATATTCAAAACATAACGAATTTCTTTTGCTTCTCTGTGTTTTAATAGTAATCGTTTGCTGTTCTTAGGTCAGCACATCTGTGGTAGGTCACTATTGAAAATGTAGACAGCAATTAAATTCATGAACAGGAAGCCAGCCTGCACGGGTCATAGATGATTTCGCACCGGTAAATCTAAGATTTTCTGTCAGAACCTCCAGTGGTAGATGCGATTTGGTATGTCACTATTCCAGGAAGGAATACATGAATGAAACAAACCTGCATAGGCGTGCTCTGTGCCGAGAGTTCAGTGAACCCTTTGATGTCACTGAAGAAGATGGTGACACTGTCGAAAGATTCGGGGTCGACTGCCTTGCCTTGCTTCAACTGATCTGCTACGGTTCTATACAATAATGAGAGGCAAGGCAATTGAAAGTTTCCACAATTAGGATTTTTGTAATGTCATTTGCAGATCGTTGTAGATCAAATGAGGCGCAACTTGGCTGGCAGGTTGCTTAGCTGACATTCTGTTTATAAGTATATTTGAAGCTGAAATATCAACTTCAAAGGCAGAACTATGTGTAAAATATTGTTTGAAATAAGTCATCATTAAACGACGGAAGAAAAAAAAGTAACAAACTCAGATCTGCACATTTTGCTTACCTTTACTGGAAAAAATAAACTTCGTTCAAATTAGTGTTTCAGTATAGCATATTTTGTCTTGACTAGAACCCAACTCTTTTATCTAGATGACATCATTTTCTGTGGTGTTGCGTATTGTGATAGATGCTCATACCAGAACGCAGAAGTAATCATACGCGTGTGACGTGTTTGGAGAACACTGGCCATAAACTTCGTTGGTTCTCACCTGGGTAAGAGCTCATAAAGCAGCGTCTCAGCTCGTTTCTTCTCCTCCAAGAAGGCTGCGGTTCTCTCCTCCACCAACTCCTCCAGATTGTTGGCGTACTGCTCCATCCGATTCAGCAGGTTGTCTAGGATACCCGTGCCTGTGTTTTTCTGTCTATACCCGGGAAATCACCAGCACGGAGATCATTAACACCAAGGGGTCATTTTCATAGAGATGCATGCTTACCTCAGATACTTGCTAAGCATAGAAACATAAGCTCAGGAAAAGTAAGTTACGTACCAGCCGAAAGATTATTGAACGATATTGCTTTAGACTGGTGCTCAGCTGAATTTTGCTTAACATATCAACTTGCTAAACGAATATTTCCTGCTTAGCACCAACATGATACTGGGGCCTGGTGAATGATATTATCTAGGATTGCGTTCACTTTGTGCTTAGCCACTGTATTAAACTCACCTGTTGATTTTGACGATGGATGCGTTCAGCGAGTTGATATTAGGTCTGTATTTAGGGTCTTCCGCCCAACACGCTTTGATCAGCTCGGAAATACTGGAGTCGACGTTCTCGGCGGTTGCTCGTTGCCGGAATGGTTGCAGGCCAGCAGGTGGCAACTTGATTTTCTTCAATATTTCTGGAAGGGGAATAAAAAAAGAAAATAGAAAGAAGGCGGTATTAAATCGGATCGTTACAAATATGACTAAACTACGAAAGCGGTGCTTAAATAGCGCTTCATAGAAATGTCTGAAAGCCGTTCACAGTTATTTTGTCCTGTTCTCTAGGCCATCAGATCAGTTTTGCAGTAGCTCTTAATAATCGCAATCTGTCCTCAGTCTACCCTAACAGGTTATCCTCCTGGCTCGAGAGAAGCAATTTTGGTAACGTGTCTCCCCCAAGAACACATACACTATATCAAACTCTGGATTCGAGCTCGCATCCCGCCACCCAGTCGGACACCATAAACATTGGACCATGCATTGTGGCGCTCTACAAGAACTGAGCTTGGATGTAAAGGTTATTGGTTGATAAATAATTGCTACTTTGTTTCACTTTCGAAATGATAGCGTATTGGCTTACCACCGACATCCATGTTCTTGGCCTCGACTTCATACGGCCCCTCCCGTGTCGCCACTTCTCTCATGACCATCCCTACACTGTAGATGTCGCCCTCTTTAGTTGGGCCTCGCTTTGGATCTCGGAGTAGCTCTGGGGCGACCCATAACAACTCTGTGTAAAACAAATGGTGGTTGGACAAAATCCCTTTTCTTACCGTCATGTTTCATTCTTAAGTGACTATCACCCAGTATTCGATGTGTGCGGTCAGACTGTTCCAACTGAACGACTACCCTGACAATCCATAATATAGGCTACCGAAAGAGAGCTCAAAAATCACAGTGTCTTCAGTTAATTGTTTTCCCCACAACATCAATATCTCAAGAACAAGACTATTACTCCTTCTCAACACCTAGAATGAGACACAAACAAAAGTTCTCCGAAGGAACAAAGTAATGGCTCGAACTGCGAGACTTACTCGTCTGCTGCGCGTGGCTTCCGCGAGGTCGCGCAGCACCCTCCCGGAAGGACAGCAAACCAAAGTCAATAAGTTTAAGGACGAATCGACTATCCACGAGGCAGTTGGAGGAGTTGAGTTGGCCGTGGACTGATAACTCACTGCGGTGAAGGTACTGCACTCCCTGGACATAAAGACCATGCAGAGACAATTTAGGGCTTTGTAAGATGGAGAGTATACAATGTGGAGAAATTGGCAGATGCATCATAATTGATTCCCCTAGCCCCAGATCTAGGAGTCTTGACATTCTCCTCATTCTACGGAGGACAAAGCAAATTGATCGCAACGTCGACTAGCAGCTACGGTTCTATCAGAATCATTTCTCTGATTGTGCCAAAGTCCCTCAAGACCAAAGTATTTGGCTTTATTAACAGATTTGTCGACTGTGGGAAAGAACCAGCAATTCTCCAATTAATACCAGCAAGTAATTTTGCAATCCACCAAAAAACAGACAAATATATCGAAGAGCCCGTATAATCCATCTGCTTGTAGAAGTCATTGCTTCTTGGGAAGTTCGGTTGTGTTTTTGAAAAAAATATGTTTTTGTAGCTCGCTTGCCAGAACCACACTTTCCTCCGTACAGCAAAATGCTACATACATTCAGTGTAGACATGGTTTTTCATCTTGTTTCACTTCCACTGCTTCCTGTCTCCAAATGAAAGCAATAATGAGAGTTTTGGGATTCGTAAAGCACCGAAAATCAAAGCAACGCAGACTTTTTGCCTACCTTGATGACGTCACTGATAAGGGAATACTTGAAGAGCCAATCAAGTTTGATGGAATCGTTCTGAAGTATGTCCTGAAATGGAACAGAGGCGAATACGAAGAGCGGACATGATATTCTTTAACAAATCTTCACCAAACGTTTCATCAATAAAGAAGGATAATGTATCGATTACTATCAATTTGGAATTACTGTTCTTGGGGGACACGTCGACAGTTTTCAGCCCCTAATTTTAGATTTAGGGTTACATCATACGTACCATCAGACTTCCTTTGGGGCAATACTCGTTGACGATGGCCACGTTAGGAACGTCGATGCACAATCCGATAAATCTCGCGAGATTGGGATGCTCCAAATCCCGCACCTAATGTAATATTTTTTAGGAACCACAGAGAAAACAGTTTAATTTCCTAAACAAACAAAAAAAGACTATAGTAAGATTTTGATGCTGCGGTAAAGTATTACAGATTTGCGGCAATACCACGTGAACAACTTTTGTTGAGGGTGAAATTGTGCTTCTGTGAAGATTCTGTAGGTAAAAGTATTACAAATAGGAGCATATAACAAGTTTTTCATCTAAACCAAATGCGACTGGTTTGCACACAATGTAATGGTAGCACACACAAACTAGCGGACTTCTTTTTATAAGTTCTAAGCTGGTATCTGGAAGAAAACCAGCCTAATCTTTGCACTGGGTGTTAGCCTAGACAGCGCCCTCTTCCGATCGCAGACTGAGTCCACACATGAATCGTTGTATTCTTACGGTTTTCAGCTCTATCAGCAGGCTCTTAGTAAGATCCACTTGGTCCGCGGCGAGCCTCTTCACAGCAACAGTGCGACCCTAACATAAATGGGGGGAAACGAATGACAGTTGGCCTATGTGTTATTCATGTCTCCTGACAGACTACACTCGTTATAAGACTGGCGTATCAAAGTCGCGCCGAGCCAACTATAACCATAGGTGGCAACCTCACATATCAACCCAAATTCATTTGGGTTAGCGACAGGTGAACTTTACGGAATATAATTTTCCCATTTCCAGTCGATCTTTCGACGTAATCACTCCTTATCGGTTCTAAAATAATTCTAATTGTCGGAATAGTTCGGCGCGACTGTGGAACGCCAGTCCAAGACGCTTGCGTACAACTTTAAATTTAAAAGCATTTTGCATAATAATTATGCAGGTTCTACTATTACTATCACGCCACGTAAAATGATGTTATCTTATTCAACTGCATTTTCAACTCTGTGTTTTTCATAGGTTGACATTAACATCCATTAAGAATCGTTAAGAATTGACGGTTAAGGATTGACAGACATAAGTCTGTAACATGCAAACATTTACTCTGCAAAATTCCATTGTTCATTATAAAAATAGATGTTATCAAATCGATCCAACTAACCTGATAGAATGCAGTTTTTGTGAAAATCTGCTTCCCTTCATCTGTTTTAAGAGAGGCACTACCCTGTGCGGTAATGGGCAAAAACATTTTTATCATGTCAATTACAAAACGGAGCATGTTATTTGTATAAAACTATACAATTATGTCGGAGGTCATGTCATTTCATTCACATGTCATATTTATTGATTTTGTTATTTTGCTATGTACCAGATTTCTTTTATTTATGGAATAAATGTCTTGACTTGACTTGACTTGACTTGACTTGACTTGACTTGACTTGACTTGACTTGACTTGACTTGACTTGACTTGACTTGACTTGACTTGACTTGACTTGACTTGACTTGACTTGACTTGACTTGACTTGACTTGACTTGACTTGACTTGACTTGACTTGACTTGACTTGACTTGACTTGACTTGACTTGACTTGACTTGACTTGACTTGACTTGACTTGACTTGACTTGACTTGACTTGACTTGACTTGACTTGACTTGACTTGACTTGACTTGACTTGACTTGACTTGACTTGACTTGACCTGACCTGATCAGCGAATGCCCTGTCTACAATGGAATTATAACTCTATGGAATGTTTCCTCAATTAATATTTTTTTGTCAATTGACTCGAATTACCAGAGAAAAGGCTGAGCTTCCCCGTCCACGGGCGTGGTCGTCTTGGATCTGTAGCTCCTCCCACTTTATTTGCCACGCCCTGCTTTGGATTTCGGCATCCCTTTTGACCTTTCTGAATTTTCAAATGAGATTGCTACATTTTACGAACACGGGTGTACTGCTTAATTAATTGGCTTTGAAGACACAATATGGTTGTGGAACAACAAAAATCCAATTTGTTTTCAAGCCATCGAAAATTTCTTCCAAAATGTACAGACTTCTCAGGACAGTTTTACTATTGCCATCTTTCTACAACATGGCAGAAGTTAACACTTTTTTTTTGTACAAAAAATGAAATATTACTTTGCTTTCACTCAACACCCTTAGACCTACGGTTCCGAAATAATTGTTTAAAGACATATATTCATTTCAGCGAACTCTTGGAGGCTCTTTATTTCAAGTTGTCATCACGCTGTCGTCCCACTAAATCCCACATAATCTTCCTTTCTTTTCAAACCATCGGCTATTATTTCTTTATGACCTTTTTGTGTGGGAAGGGGGGTTGAAAGCTAAATTTTTGATGTCAGCAAAATTTCCAAGAAAAAAAATAGTTCGACTGGAATTGGATTGACTCAGATCAGATTGAAACAAATGTCATCATGTCTCGAGGTATCCCAAGGCCTACCTGTCAAGTAGCAGGGCATTTTTTTTCAACGTGATTTTTCTAAAGGGTCTTTTTTATGGCGTGGACATCATTCGCAGATTTAAATCGCCTGCCGAAAACCTCATCCCAAAACTTAAGCCCATTCTGTCAATTTGTCTTTCGTTCACAAGATTGACTATAAACCCTCTGCGCTTCCGGATAAACATACATGAGATGGAAAGGAGCGATGAAGGTCGAGCGTGACGTACTAAATCTATGGACCGAGATCCATATAGTTTCACTCCGAATTCAACCTTTTTCCCCCTTTCAATTCGCCCAAAACATCTATGCCAAATACCAAAGTCTTCATGACATCATCTTACCTGTATATCGCCAGAATTAGAATTGCACCGACGATAAGAAGACAACTCGAAACAATAATGGTTATCGTCAAGGTTGAATCTTGTGTAAGATGTGGAGAAAAAAAACATCGTTAAGGACTAAATATAAACATTGAAAAAGGGTTTCTCGGATGTAATACTCGGCCTAATGGACTCGTTGTGGGTCCACCGTCAAGGGTAGGCCTATATAACACACCAGAATGTCAATATCAAGCTTCCTACGTCGAATGTGAAATCCCTGAGCCTTTTACCACAGATTAACTCATGTTTTCATTTCATGGATCCGGAACATAACGGCTAGGCTCGTACCTTGTGTCCGACAGGCAGGATTCTCGTTATCAAAGCCACAGAACGGAGTGTCAGACGGGGGGTCGGTAGCCCCTCCTGGCCAGGCGATATCACCCACAAATTCCAACTCACCCGTCGCACCGTGAAAATTTGCCACAACCTGAACAGATAAGAGGCAAATAGAAATAAACAAAAACAAAGACCAAATACACCAGCAGGAGACCAAAAAAAAATACAAATTTAATTATGTTAAGAAATGACACGAACGTTCTTGATTAACCAAAGACACCAAAAATGTAAACAAACCTATCACAAATCCTGAAAATAATTTGTGTGAGACAACGGCTTTGTTTAGCATATTTTGTTTAAGTAACTCTAAAAAGCGGTAGTTGGAATACTCAAGCATACTGGAAGCTTTCATCTCAGCCCTAGAAAACCCTGCTACATTTCAAAAATGTGATTATTGTGAAATGACCTATAAACAATATAATATCACCTTTGCTTGAAATCTAACACACGATGAATTAAAGAGGCATGGCACATATAAACACTGGTCTATAACCTAAATTGCACTGATCTCGAGATTAACTCTCAATTATTGTACTAAAGCCCCGCAATGTCGTTAAAACAGAATATAGTTAAGGCCTACGTTTGTCGATTTTTTTTTATCAGTTTTTTTTCATTTCTGAATTTGTTTTAGCTATAATCTATTTTCATTTGAATTTCTTTTGCAATTGTTTTTATTGGATGCCTGAGCATTTGGAAGCTTTGATAAAATAGATTTGAAATTCTATTTTTCGAACTATTTAATCTTATAGGCTCTATTATTCATTTGCTATCCCGGCCTCAGTTGTATCCAAAGTGGATGTCAATGATTGAATTCTGGAGGAATTAAACGAAAATAATCCAATGGATTGAAATGAGATTACCGATTAAAATTTATATGTACAGTTTTAACTTTGCAGACATTACCATGGAAACTCGAAGTAATGCCAGTGCTTCCTGGTGACATCCTTGGATAAAGATTACAGATAGGAAATGATCACATAGGTCTGAATTACTGGGACAGTATATTAATGAATTTTAAATTTTTGCTGCGGGAGGGTTTAAGTCTCTGACTCGTGCATATCAAGGAGAATCCGACCCCGGCTTTGAGGAAGGATTTTGTTGCTCCATTGGGCACGATTATGGAAATTTCTTCTTGCACATAGGCAGTTTATCTTGGTTTCGTGGAAAGACTAGAAACCCCTGGCATATAGACCGGAATGATATGAGTCTACGCTGATCTAGCCTTTTCAAAAGCCATCGTTACTCTGACAGAGCGGCGAAGCAGTAGGGCGCATTGAAAGGAGACTTGTTTGCCGACGCCGTCTACACTACACCTGTTCCGTGTAGTCTCCGCTCAATTCGCCTTTGTTGCTTTGTCCCTCGATCAAAATGTGCAACATCGCGATGGCCTTGTAGATAGAAAGACTAAAATTGATAGTGTAAAAAAGGAGGAGACTCTCAATCTGTTTGTCTACTGAGGCGTTCGCCTGTTTGTCTTCTTCTTTTACATAGAAAAGAGTAATATTATTGTTTCTGTTCCAAACATTTTTAATTATTTGGAGGGGAACATTTGAGTTTTGTTTCCTAAAAATTTAAGAAAAAAATGTTTAAAATCATTAGGGCTTTAACTTCCAAATGGCATTGGAAAATTCGTAAAAGGAGCCATAATTCTGAAATTCTTATGAGCCGGTTAAAAATTCTTCATAAAGTAATGGTAATGTTTTTGCATTTAATGATAACATGTTGTGGTAGGCTACACTACATTTTAGCAAATTGTTAAATTATGAACGTTATTTATTACAAATTTTTATTTCAATTGTTGACAGGGACACATGCCAAAAGTCCTTTCTAACAGAGCTATGAAACAGGGCCAGGGTGAAACACCCATCAAACTGCTTACCGCAAAATCCCCGCTCTTAGCGTCTGTCATGTCCCAAAGAGAGTAATCGCCGTCACGGTCCCCGTTGGGATTCAAGGAGACATTGCCAAAGATACCTAGAAAGAGACAGCAACGATTAGAATTTAGTTGTCGTTATAATTGTTGACCTCTGAAAAACAGTTTGTCCTTAAATGTGTACTTGAAAGCATTGTCGATAGAATTCGGTCGTTATCATTAATCTTGGGAATCCAACGAATGTATAATGCAGTTAAACAGGCTGGCACAGTATGCCTAGATGAATGTGGCATAAGAAGTTTTCAACGGAAGGTCCTGAAAAAAACTTAGGGCCTTTAAAAATGTTATCTCTCTTCGTCCTTACCCTCGAATGTCCTGTTCCACATTTTCCTGGTGAGCGTGTAGCCGTCGGACAAGTTACCACTCTCGCCCAAAGTCTCGTTGACGGCGAGAGAAAACAAGATGATGACGTCATGGAAGGCACTTGTAAAGAAGTTGAACTGCATTGAAGAAGATTTAGAATCAGACGCTTTGTAGCGAATTTCCATGTTTTATCGTCACACTCCAGAAATAAAATCACAAACGCAGATCCGTTTTTGTCAGATTTGTGGTTGGCACAACGTCATGCTGCTTACGCAGTGATTGTTTTTCACAACTTATTTCTTCACAGAAAAAAAATCACTTTTCTTACCTAATTTTGTCGAATATTAGCATTATGAAACAGAGAGATAGAATCTAAAAAAAAAAAACCTGCAAGACAGAATTGTGGCTTACGTCATCTCCAGGTGGGCTCGTCCAATTGAAATCGTGCTTACGGCGCAACTCCAAGTTCGCTTGGAACTCTTTAAACTCTTCGGTGGTTGGTTCAAATAAGCGAAACGTCATGAGAGCCTCGAATGCCAGTTTGGCTTCGGCATCAAATTCATCTCCCTGTGTGCAGAAACATTTAAAGGCCAATCCCTGAAAATTATCACACAGTAATCAAGTCTTAAAATATTTTAAAGACTTGGAGAAATGAACTTCTGTCCTTTGCTCGTCCCACCGACACATCCAACTCTAATTTCTTTAATCTCTCATCGAATACATTTTGTCCTCATTTTATAGCACGTGACCTGGGATCAGCATTGCTGATTAAGGTGATGATTGCATTGCACGTTAAGGTGGTGATCTATCCACAATACTTTGCGACGCTCCGTTTCCTTCAACGAGATAGGGATAAGTGGTCGCCAGCGCTCTCTAGTTGGGCGGCGAGGACTAGCGAAGTTTTCCTTTTATCAATATTTTTTTATTTTCCATAAAACAACAGTTGTAACAGGTCTCTGCCTTTGCAAAGAAACATCATGGTTTTCTTTTTTTTTTACAGCAAAAGAAATTCAATCCACTGCCTGAAGTTGCAGCCCCAGGCTGCAGAACCAATATTTCCCCTCACCCCACCATTTTCCCGGCAGATCATTAAAGATCGTTAGCCAATCAATCATACCCACGCCCAGGACGAGTCCCCAAAGCGCCACTTGTTGTTGACCATGTAGATGGAGAAGAAGACAAACTCTCCGTTGATGTATCCTGCCTTGTACGCCTTGATCATGATATCCCGGACCACGCCCACCGGAGCAATCACGAATATAACTGTTCGGAGAAAAACAAGGAAAATCATCTTCTTTTTGATTCAATTTTCAAACAAACAAAAATGGAATAACACCGTTCTGAACACAGAGGACGAAACCATGGCAACGGTATAACACCTAGTAACCTAGTGCACTATCCGTTTAACTTTTATAGTACGGAAGACAATTTGTGCCAATGGGTAAATGGTGCACAATTTCTTTGAGGCAGAGTAGCTTTTTATGAGCAATCTCGCGACCCCAGAATCTATTAAACGTGTGTTAATAACAACTTGATTATTTTCAACTTCTATTGTTGAGATATATTCTATCATTAATATTATTCTCATAAATCATTACAGAAGAAAATACCCTCTATTTAGTTTACTTATTTAGGATCATGTAGGTTTGTTAAAATTAATAAAAGTTTTTCAATAAACTTCACTTCAAGGGTTCGGATTTTCTTTAGTCAGGTGCTCTGGGTAACATATCCAAAACATTGCTATCTAAATTCCAAACAGTGAAATTAGGGACTAGACGTTTTAGAGTGAACATCACTCTCATTTTAGATGGAAATAGTCTGAACAAAAACCACTTCTGATCAGTCGAAGCTCGAGTAAAAACTCGATCGTTTGGATTGAAGGAATTTCACTATAAAACGTCTAGTCCCTATAGTTTCCGACTGTGGGAGTGAATCTTCACTCGAATGGAGTGAATTTTCAATCTTTGGAATTTAGAGAGTGACTTTCATTGGTCAGTGGGATCACAGTCATGGAGGAAGTGTTTGGGTTTGTTGGTAACTGAGAGAGCGTACAATAATGTGGTATATTCCTGCAACGTGTCTAGTTTCTGTTTTTTGGAAATGAAAGTTGGTCACGAAAGTGAAATATGTCTTGATATTAATGTTGCCAAAAAAAACCTTAAAGCAATCTGTGAACGCCATGGCTGGAACTGTCTTAAAGACCTCCGAACCACCTTCATACAGGTGCGAGGCACCTTGGGTGACTCGGCAGCTAAGGAGCTTCCCTTTAAAGCCCGGTTCATACTCGGCGCGAAAGCGAAAGCGAACGAGAAGTTGTGACGTCGTGGCAAGTATTCGTGCTGCGAATTCGTAAAAGTTGAACATATTTCAACTCGGGCAAATTTCGCAGCGAACGTTTCATGACGTCAAATTCGCTTCGCATTCGCATGAAGTATGAACCGGGCTTAATGAATAATGGTATATGTATGCGAAACCAATAGTGGGGAATTGGGAGATACTGGTCTCTATATGAACTATTTTCTTTCAGAAAGCCTTACCACTATAGCGATCCAGGCATTATAGGAAAAATGTGCTCTCAATAATATTTTTGCCCTGCCATGATAACCCCGGAATAATTTATTGCAGGTCTCATTCAACAGACTTAATAACCTTCACAGAATCAGTTACCACGATGTAGCTGATCAAACATAAGACTCGTTCATCACCAAGAGAATCCATTATGTGCAATGTTGCTATTCATACCCCTCCCCATTCGTTAATCTTGTCTCGTTTAAATTAAAACCACAGTGAAGATTCAGAACGATCCTGACAATGCTGCATGAATACAAGGCCAGCACTGTACATGTATACTCATGATCAGGTAAATATATATTCTCGCGCTTGATTGGAAAAAGCTCAGATACACAGATTATGATTCTGCAATTCCGACCTTTCTTCTGCAGCTTTTTTTTCAGTTAACAATATGGCTGAACCGAAAATCGGCGCTTTTTATGGAATCTCCCCCTTTTTTAATTCAAGTCATAATCATTTAACGGAATAGTCATATTTAGAAATCATTTTCATAGAACATATGATTTATGGTTTTTTTTGGAATTCAACTGTGATCAAAATTTGTCATATTAGGCCCGCTTTGTAAGTTGCATTATCGAGAAAGTTCTGTTTGGAAAGTTTCACCCATGTGAGTCTTTCGAGGCATTCACTTCTGTTTCATGTACTGTTTCGACGGTCTTGTGTGTTTCTCCCACAATGTTAACTCTATGCAGAGAGCAGGTTTGCACAGTGCTCAAATTGCCCATTGAGATTAACCCATTGTGTCATAGTCTATTAGCCATTATTTTAGCCAATATTTAAATCACAAACTATTTAAAATTGCACATTACTAGGGTAATAGGTGCACCATCAAGTCGAATTCACGTTTTCAAGATTCTAACTCCTAAGCAATATTCCCTGTATATCCAATTTATTTAGTTGTTGAATAGAAATCAATCATTCGAATCTATCTTGAGAGTATTTTTTCGAGTTGATTCTCGTTTATTTCCAAACATCCCTTTCTTAATTGCAAAAGAAGTTAATCTTTAATGAATAATTAGGCGGACCAACCACCCTAAGGCCACACCACCCCACACGTTAACCGTGATGACATACAAAGAAAGCTGGCTATTTACACAATTGCTCCACAAAAATATCAGGGTTTTTTTTAATAATTCAAAAAAAACTTACTTCTTCCTCTGCGCACTGCAGCATCCAAGGCGTCTTGTGTTGATGCTTGCAAGCCCAGAATGACCGGGTTCACATAGATCTCTGCCTCCTCAAGTCTGCTCCGGATGCTGCCCGTCAGGATCGCCCACAGCCCGATATCCTCCCAGATGATGGAACATCGAGCCCAAGACCACCTGTTGAACAAGGCAACTACAAATTGCCCAAGTGCACCCAAGTGAAATGCGGTCCGAGTCAGGGTCTTGTACTGTGCCTTGTTGTCAAGACCTGCAGATGTCGCAGCACCGGATAACACCGGAACGTTCCAGTAAGCTGCCAGGTCAGCTACCGCCGCGCACTGGAAGCTACATCCCGGACCCAGGAACACTCCCACCCCTCGCTGGTGGAACATATTGGAGGCCACTCCGGGAGCGATCATGGAGGACGGAGTGCATCTGGCTCCCGTGGACTGGAACTCGTAGGTGAGGGTAAAGTTCAGGTAGGCACCGGTGTCCACCCGACGTCTGACCGTCTCCAGGGCGATATCCACGGCGGGCTGGACGCGGAATCGGTCGAAGCTTTCCGCGCCTCCGGTCTCAAGCAAAAGACCCATGTGAATGTTCGGTGGGGCAGCTTGTTGTCCCCCAACGTGGAAAAATTGTGAATTCATAACCACGACAACCACAAACAAAACATCACTATAAACGCTCAAAGTTGGCATTCTGGTTTATCCTAAACAAGTTGGGTTTTTTTGGATAGTGTCGATCGCTTTGCAAATCATTCGACGCCAATCGATGAAGTGAGGACAGCGAGAATTTGTTTCGCATTTTTGTATACCTTCACATTGTCCAGTAGAAAACTGCGCATGCTTCATTCTGGAAGGGGTAATGTTAATTTTTGGAGGCATGGAAATTTGACATTGATGTAACAAGATGCAGCATGTTGCCATCTCTGTCCCATGACGGTCTTTCTGTTTTGATCGATCTTCTAATTGCGTGGTTTCCTGTGCGACTTAGTGGCGGCTCTATCAAAATGTCCATATAGAGGAGGGGGGATGGTCCTCAAACGGGGGCGTCTTTTTGAGCCAGCAAGCAATAAGTACAGGTATATCGACATAAGCGATGATAGCTACTCTTTCATTAGATTCTCCGCCCTAGGCACCGGCACCAAATTCTTGTTGATGCTATTAAAGTACAAAGCACTGTACAAATCAAGCCAGGCCAAACTGGTTAAGGTCCTAGCTCTAAAAGCCTGTTGGCACCAAGTGCCAACTGTGCCTATTGGATAATCCGGGCCTGGTGTCATTTTACGGAGGGGGAAGAGGGGGTTCAGCGGCCCAAGTGGGGTGGGGGCGGCCTCCCCACCCCGCCCCCTCTAAATCCGCAACTGGCATTATTCATACTGCGTGAATTCAAGACTTTAAAAGGGCTGAAGTCGTCAAATTGCTTCGACAGCACTTAAAACAACTCTGAGCGAATCTTGTGACTCTTTGGGGCGGGGTGGGATGGCCTGCCCAATGCCCTTCCTTGAGAAAACAAATTTAAAGAATTGGCCCGACAAAAAGGTATTTAATTGGCTATTATTTTGGTAAGTTGGTGTGATTCAGTTCAGATGAGTCGCTTCATATTCCGCTCCAAAATAGCTGACAGGTTTATTTCACAAATTAGTTTTCAATTTTAGGATCTATGTGGTTCTATGCAAAGTCTTGAGCTCGACCTTTATGATTGAGTCTTTCTTCAGCTTGAAAACCCACTTTACCTTAAATAATTTATAAAATAATGTAATGCGTTAAAAAAAAACTTGAAATGTACCCTCACTACATGAAATCTGTTTTTAAAAACTTGGATTAAATATTTGCTGAATGATCGGATTCGAACTGGTCAGCCGACCCCGGCAATCTCAGTAGTTGAGTAGTTAAGACCTACCTCTGCACTGGTAATCTGGAAATCATGAGTTCCAGTCCCAACCGAGTAATCTAGCTTTCAGAAAAAAACTGAGTATACACTGTGAGCGACAAATCCAAATTGTTAATAAAATAATACATCTCCTTAACAAAAACAAATCCACCAAAGGCCACTTAATTTACGTTTCACACAACCATTTCGTCGTTATGGTTAAATATGATTACGCCCAATTAACTTTCCCGGCATGAGACACCTGTACACCCAGTACCCATGGAGATAACGCAGCTACTTATTGCATCAACTTCCTTGATTTCGACACAAAAGCAGGTGAAACTGATAAAAGTTGCGTCCTTCCCGGGCAATTTGTACAAAAGGAATTGAGAAAAATTACTCAAGCCGAAGCCCCCAAGCCCCCATGACATGAGCCCACGTGACATGAGCGGGGTAGCAATTATGCATCCTTGGGCAGAAGTCGCCGGACCGTGCTGAGTCAGACAGCCCAGAAGACCGTCGCAGAATGTCCAGTTTTCCCACGGAAAGCAGTTTCCGAAAAAATCGACAGTAATTCTGTTAAACTGACCCAAACACACGCTCCTGAAATTAATTTATCACAGCTTGTTTTCATTTCAAGATCAGGACTTGCGTCAATCCGATTCCCTATCCTGTCCCGAGACAGAAGTTATTTAATTAAATGTAAACTCCGTTTGAAGGGGGTAAAGAGTCATGGCCCGAACGGCATTCCTCTCCAGCATGTTTGCGTTCACATGTCACAGACGCGCTATTTTTTAGAATGTTTTTGGAATGTTTTCGGGCATACAAAAAAGGTGTTTAGACATGCCAGGTGTTTCTTTCGATAAATTTTGTTAAAAAGATAATAGTTTGAAGGAAAAAAACCTGCTGTTGAGCAGTATATATATCCCCCCTTTTTGACCAGGGAGGGTGGGCTTTTGAATCATGCTCCCCACTTTTCCGTGATGAGAAAATAAAATGCTTGTTTCGAGGTATAGAACATCCCAAGAACCAAAAATGTTTTCATAGCACTGAAAAGTGAAGAAAGAAAGTACAAAAGCTTTTAAAATGTGCCGTTTTGATGTAAGCGCGAGTACACATATCCGATGTACATATATATCTTGAAGAGCGCCCCCTAGTGTAATGTGGTGTCCGCCCGCCCCCCCCCCCCTCCCCCAGTAACATTGCAATGTTTTGATTTCTAAGCTGTCCTAAAGAATAATTCGTCACTGCGGTACGTTTTTTTTTTTTGCATACTTGCCATTTGCTTCATTAACAGGTTTTAGACCTAGGCCTTGATTTCTCTGCCGCTTTGATTAAAATGACCTTTGACCAATACATCTCTATCCAACTTGTCATACGTTTATTATGGGGAAAACCGTTCTGCAAAAAATCACTTGGAGTCATCTGCTCCTGGGACGGGTGTCTGTCTTTTGTACTCGTGATGCCTAATTCGATTGATGTGGCTCATTCTCAGGGTCCTTAAGATGAAGAAATGCTTACGCCCAAGCGACCAGAGAACATGCATGTCTCAATCCTGCACGAATCCAATTACATGGACAGGGGCACCCTTGAAAGAAAATTTAAATACAATTTCTATTGTGAACCTAATCCAGGGGAATACGCGTGGCAATAATGCAAAGATGCACAAACTTTTATTGAAAATGTCAAAGCTTTAGTCCTTTTTTAATTTAATGTCAACCTTCCCCTTTGTTAACGACCTAGTTTTAAAACGGGGGGGGGGGTGTTTGTTACTGCCTTGGGCAAAAATTGTAATTTGTTTATTGGCTCGTAGGACATATTGAAAAAATCGATAAAGCCATACACAAACATACATGTTAATTAAATTATGGTCTCCGCAACGTTGAACATAATTATATCCCAACGGCTCTTTTTATCAAATTAGCAACAAAAAAAGAGAAAAACTGGAAAATTAAAGGAAAACTAACGTCTCACACAAAGACACTTATTGACTAGGGAAAAGGGTCCACCGGCGCTTTCTCAATACATAAATTAAACCAAAGAATTGACAGTTATAGGACATATTTTGTTATGTTTGTCTGGGTTTTTTTTAGCGCATTTGAACATTTATAAGCTCATCGAGCTCAGACACAAACAACGTATTAGCGTGCAGCATCATTCAGCAGAAATATTTGCACTCTAGTTACCCAACAAAAATGTCATGCAACGCGAGTTTCAAGTGACCGGTCATGAGCTGATTGTGGGGTGGCAAATAATTGGCGAACCCATCTTTCCTGCTTAGCAACATTATGAATTTGACCCGAAGTGGCTCCCTCCTTTCTTCAACACTGCCCGATCCATGTTCTTCTATCGGTGTATTGCTTCGGTGTCCTGTTCACCCATCGAACGAATGCCGTTTGCGGTTCTTGTAGATTGACGCCCAGATGATGAGCCCGACCAGCCCGGTCAGAGCTACCCCCACGTACAGCAAATTGTTCTTAACCTCTGTGTCAATACAGAGAAATGGAAAATCGAACAAATTAAACAACACCTGACTGAGAAAAAAAAATGGAGCACTGTCTTTTGGTTACACACCTATGTTCCGACACCCCTATGTCCCGACACTCCTATTCCGACACCCGGAATATTGCATGATATGCAATAATGGTAAGAAGGGTTGCGGTATAAACACGAGGCTTATAGCAAAATGATATCCACATAATTCTAATCGAAACATCTAGTTCAACAGCTCTACCCACAACTGGAAATAAAAATAAGTATATGCTGCGGCTAACAAACCCTCCTAGTAATGTCAGTTTTACCAAGCAAACCTACATTGCAGTTCATCATCTCCAATCACGATTCACAGAAGACAACCATTATAACCGAGGTACGTATATACATGAAGTTTTTAACAGTTGCGGTGAAACTACATGAAACAAAAAAGACGAGCAGCACTTACTATTGTTCACTGTCACAGGTTCCATAACTGAGAAATAAAACAAATAAATGAAGTGAATTATAATATCATATATAAAATATATTATTTTTTAAAATACCCATGATATAATTATGAGGTTGTTTTACACCTTAAAGTTGTTATTTAGTTATGTGCTTTTTGGGTGTGGAACCCCGAAAAAATAGATTTTCAAATTGAATTGATAATTTTCTAGCAAATGATTATCTATGAGCTTTCCAGTGAGACATCGCACGAAAAAAAATCGGCCTGCGATAGGTAACCAATTAACTAATTTCAACTTCTGCAATAGAGGCGTCCCGTCTCTACCTTTATTTTTAGCTGCGCTGCGGGATAGAAGCTCAACAAATTGTCATGCATCTCCGTTGAGTCTGTTAGTCAGTTAGTTGGTAACTAACGTTGGCATTGTCTATTGCTCCTACATATTATTTTGACCGATTTCAACACCCTTTGGTCATGTCACATGACCAAACTGGGGTCAAAGGTCAGCAAAGGGGTTACTGGGGTCAAAACCTGATTTTGTTTTACTCAAAACACTACTTCCAATATTTACATGGCACAATTAATCACGCGACTCCAGTGGCGTATCCAGCTTTTGATGTGGTGGAGGGGCGGGGCGGGGGGGGGGGGAGGAGGCAATCGCACCCGCACATCCGCGCCGAAATGTAGACATGGGTTTTTTTCCCCGGACACTTGGCCTCCGTAAAATCAAAAAGGAGGGTGGGGCCTAGTACACATCTTGGAAACTTTACTGGGAAATATATGCCGATTTTCAAGGTGCATTGTAATGGATTAGGAGCTTGGTTTTCTTCTGTTTTTCATGTCAGAATTCTATCACCATTTATGGAAATAATTACGGAAAAAATATCTTTCAAAAATAATCAGCCTCTAGATACGCCACTGAGTGACTCATGCATGAAGACGAATTCGTTGGCCCGCAGCTTCCGATATCCGACCGAGCTTGGCTTTTTTAATAAGATATATCTTTTGGTGCCTAGAGAATCCCAGTGCATTTCAGCTCAATTCAATTCAATTAAAATAGACATTTATTTCCATGTACAGGTAATACACAATATTATGATTGATTATAATCATACAAAAATACACTCCGAGATGAAAGAATACATAAGAGACCTAAAAAAAAAAGGAGAGGTGATGCTGATATGGAGGCATATTCTGAAGACCAAAAGGCTTATGTAGAAATGCCTTTACAGACAAACAAAACCAGACAAAGACAAACAAAGACATAATAAAATCACGAGAACAGATTGTACGTATACTATAATAATATAAAAAGCACAAATTAAACAAACAATTAAAAGAGCAATGTTTAAAAGAGAGAAGGAGCTACGAAAGATAACAGGAAATAAGATGTTTATTCATGGATTTTTTTAAGCAACCCACAATGTGGCTGGCTTAATTTCTTTACCATTGACCGTCATGCGGGCCACGGGCTCATTGTTGTGATAGCAAGTATAGACCTGACCGTCCTCCGGCACGACATTGCGGATGCGTAACACGTGAACGGCGTCAATGTTCACCCGCTGCGTCCGTAGGCGTGTCTGCATCAGGTGTTGGGTGCCGTTCTGCCATCGGATCGCGTCCTGTAACCCGCCACTAGAAATTTACACAAACAGCATGAATTTGATTTAAGAAGATTGGTTTTTGCCCTCTACAAATGAAATTTCACATAGGGTACATTATAAATGAAACTTCTCATGAAATGAATCTTAAAACCAAATGTTGTCCGACAGCTTGTGCGACAAACTTGAAAAGCTTACTTTAGTGGGGCTCCAATCTCAGACATAACTGGTGAAACCGCCTTACCCACTCGACCACCGAGCTTGCCGGGTCGGCCGGCTGGTTAGTATGAAATTTTGTGTTGGTAAAAGGCAAAGCCTTAATATTGAATTTAGCAAGTGAAGTAAAGTTGTATTAACTTTTACGGTTCTTATAGATCCACCTCTCTTTTGGAAAATTGCTACTTGGCACGGTGAAGCCGCAAACGTCTTGACCTCTGCATGAAAAGCTTTGAATCGCAATCATTGTTAAGCGAACGAGCAATTAATTGTGATGCATCATGCTCAAGCGAGCTGTGATATGCATATATCATAGATATGTGAAGAATTACATGCATGCATCTTTGACAGTCAGTCAGGCCTTAGTCTAATTTAAAAAAAAAAATTACTTGTTGATTTTCATAAAACAATGAGATTCATTAATATAATTATAGTTACCCTGGACAAAACAACTCCATAGAGCTCCCCTGGTCAATGTAAAGTGTTTGTTTTTTCACTGAAAAAAAGAGAGAATAAAACATGTGTATAGTCAGTACATATTTTCATTGACTTTACAGCTCTATATTTTACATTTCACAATTAAATAGCGTTTGTCGCTCTATCTGTCTTACTTAAGAGAGTAATTGAGCTACACAAAGCATGGTTGATTTAACGAAAACAAAATCTTATTGGAGCGCAAACTCCATGCAAAAGACATGAACGTACATTCCGTGCGCCACCTCAAACTTTAATAGTCATCTGCTTCTGGTTGAAGGATGACAAAGCCGAGGAGTCGAAGGAGACCTCTTGCGACATTATCCAACTTAATAATAATAATAATAATTTGAAAGGCTAATCATCCTTACTCGCAGCTGGTATGCTGAATTGCGAAGGACGCGGCTACAACGTGGTCGGGCCGCTGGCACGTATAGGCGCCTATGGCTGCCGGCCACATCGACCCATATATGACCAAGGAGCACAGCCTGAGATCGAAAGTGTTTGATTTTTCCGGAGGGAGGGAAAACCGGAGGGCCCGGAGAAATACCCTCGTGGCACAGGAGAGAACCAACGCACAACTCTACTCACATGTGATCCGCGGCCAGGATTCGAACCGTGGTCACCTTGGTGAGAGGCGAGCGCTTTATGCACAAGCCACCCATGCCAAAAGTTGACGAAAAACAGGCGGGGATGAAAAAAAATAGATACATACTGACCCTCTGGTGGAAGTTTCGGACGCCCCAGGTCGAAATCCACGTGATACGTCTCCATTGCCTTACTATCAGACATTGAATTACCCTCTTTACCTGATTAAAGGAAATAAATACGATCCAAGTCAGATTTAATCGATTTATGTTTATGTTTTTTAGTGTTCTCAGTCTCCTTTATTTAGGCCTATTTCACACGAATATTTATATTTATACAAACCCTACTTTTTTCGTTTGAGCGTCTAAAAGGGTTACTCGTTTGGGTTGTGTTTTTTCACTTCTAATGACAAAAAGGTCCGCTCTATTTTCAAAATATGTTAAGTAATTAAATAAAGTTTCATATCCTATTAATTTTTTTGTTTTTATTTTATGTTTTGTTCGCTGTGTTCAAAGTGGATAGCTTCTGTGTCGGAACAGAAAGATAGCAATGAAACAATACTTTGGTGTGAAACTCGATCGAGAAGAGGACGAACAACGAGCATACAAGAAAAATGCTAGGAAACCAGCCATAAATTTCTTATCGAATGGATTTGAGTCCACTGGAAAAAAAGTGTACCTTTCGGACAAGCCTCTTCGCACGTCCTTATGATTTTTTCGTCTCGCCTGTATGAGAATAGTTGCCTCTCACTGTACGTAAGGACATTGGATCGGCACGGCACGCCCTCTGGATACTCCTGTTGACGGTAGCGTGCATAGCAGTAACCTTCAATCAGAACAACCGAAGATGAATCACAATACAGGGATATTGATCCGAGTCGCCAAGACTGAAAAGAACGTGGCGCTTCTTCGCCGATCCAAACGGTTGGTGGCAGCAGACGCCGGTACGCGCACGCAACCGGCGCGCAAGTTTCGTTCACAAATATTTAAAGATTAATGACTACATTTACATTCTGAATGATTTTAAGTAAAGTAGCCGCGAAAATGAAAAGACAAAAGGGTGCGGGATTCTATCGTTGCCACACTGCACACTCGATGTTATCGTTGATATGCGATATATCAGGCGATTCCAGGCGTTAATAGTTGATTTGTATTACAAAATGCCTAGGCAGGCATGACGTCCCGAGAATTTGTAAGTCTCACTTACAAAATGTGACGCCTGCTAAGCGTGATTTTAAACCCCATATTGGCGTTGTTCCCAAGAATGCACTTGAGAGACGATACCGTGAGAATTTTAAGTTCAAGAGATCTAAATCTAATAAAAGCCCCTACCAAACTGGAATTTCTCTCCCAATTCGCCGCAGTGGTTGCATCCAGTCCAGGTACTCCAAAGCGTAAAGAGAGTCGTCCCATCCTTAGCTGTTAAACAATGCAGGGCAAAAAAATAAATCGGGTATCACAAACCCAACCAGGCTATAAATTGCCATTTTAAAATAACACCAAGAAACTCAGTTGCACTACACGCAAGTAAGAGACTTCATTGTAAAACAGACTTTCCCGGATATTTTTTTTTTCACAGTTAACATATAAAATTGCTGGATATAAACATTAAGTTGGTTTGACAAAATTATTTGCCATTAATCCTCATTGCTTCATTGGATTTCATTGGAAATCGGTATATAAACAAAAAGAGTGGCTTTCCTCCGTCTTCAAGTTTCTGTCGTTTTTTTTTTTTTCATTTTGTCCACCAAGGTTCAATTGTAAGAGCGAATTCGGTTTGTGTGATTCACATTAATGCAGTGGTCATTCCTTTAACTTCTTTTTTGATATCGAAAAAATAATACGCGTGTAAAAACAAAACGGAAAACATATACTTCTTCAGCTTTACCTTGTTGTTCTCCATAGGGTTGGTCGTTTAGAGATTCGAAAACTGGAGAGAAAAAAAGTAACAGTAACATTATGAAAGCTTTCAAAACTGAGTGACAGAAAACAATACATGAATGTTATCGGAGACATGTGGCAGGGACAATAATAGTTACTCCATATCATTTTTGTCAGGCTGCTAAAGGACCCTTGGTCCTCACCATTCTTATGTAATATTTGTAGTCATTGCCCACTCTAGGCTATGGCAAAAACCACAAACCAACTGATTAATTACAATATTCTCTGTTCATTTACACGAAATGCAAAACGATTTTCTTTTGTTGTCCTTTTACAAAATATTGCAGTACAGAACTTTCAAATTATATCCAGATGCGTAACTTTTATATTATTATTATTTTTATTCATAAAGTGTTTATGACAAGTGGAAAACTGACAAGTGGGATAAAAGAAATGGAAATGAGTTAAAATTTGCAGCCAACACAACGACTAGTGAGACGCCCAGGTACAACCATTATCGGATTCACAGCTGCAGTAAGTGTCGAACTTTGTTTGTAAAACTCCAAAACTTGGGTTTTGAAAGATGAAAATGAAGCATCTGATCCGGCTGCAAGGGGGAGCCTGCCAGCCTGCCAGCCGCCAAGGGCGGATCCAGGGGGGGGGGGCAAAGAGGGCCATGCCTCCTCCCCCCCAAAAAAATCGTTTACTCTTTTTTTTCGTGACTTCGCAATAAAGGCAGGCAATGATTATACACCATCATCTTTTCTTCAAAAAACAATTGTTAAAGTGGTCAGAAATTGCCTCAGATCACGCAACAGAGCATCTAGAATCCATAAAAAAAAAATTCGGGGCCCTCAAGCGGGCCCCGAACCCCACGCCGTAATTTTTTGGACACACATTTTGGGGACCAAATTTTTTTTCAGAGATTCAGAAGTTGCAATATGTGGGGAACGGATAATGACTGTATACTTACGAAGGTGGAAGTACGGATCTTCGATAACTGTGGAGGGAAAAGGGGAAAAAAAAGTGTGTTCCTGAATGTAATTGTCAGTCACAACGGGACGAAGCCATTATTATTTTGTTTCAGTGACAAGTATTAAAATTGATGTTAAAGTAAAACAAAACTAAGCCAGGATCTAACATTTCTGTCATGAAAGAATTAATCGTAAGCTCTGGAACCAAGATCACAACCTGACCTGTTTGTCTTTTTTTCGGGGGGGGGGTATCGAAACAATTTTTTGGGTACCATTTCAGAGACACAAGGAATGTAGAGTCACTTAATTTAACTAGCAGCCAGTAACGGATCTAGAGGGAGGTCAGAGTGTTGCATGAATCAAACCCTTCCCCCCCCCCCCCGCCCTTCGCTCCCCCTCCCCCAAAAAACCCTCTCGGGGTCCAGGCGCTCAGTAATGTTAGCGTAATGCAAGGTAATGTAACAATAAAACGGGCGAAAATAAATTATGGAATGTTATTCTTCTCTCTACTCTCAAATTTATGCAGGGGAGAAAACTGTACATTTCAAAATGTTCCTGGAGGTAGGCCCCCGAACCTTCACCACCGCCCCCTTCATATTATGCCCCTTCCACCCCACTACGTTTCCGGAAAGATAGATTCGCCCCTAGACTGGCAGCTCTAAAATGTCCCGATTTTTTTCGGGGGGGGGGTCAGGTCGACGGGTCGAGGTCCAACATTTATGGTAAAATTGCATTTGCGTGGCAACTTAGCGAACCAAAGCCTGACGCTCTAACCTGTCACGTCGTATTTGCCAAACAAATCGCCTCCACTCTCGGGTTTACAGAAATATTTCCCAGCATTCCTCTGTCCGATAGTCGGAAACAGCAGTTGTCTCTTGTCTTCGTGGAACTCGTACCCATTCCGGAGGCCCTTCACAGTGTCCATGGTTTTAGTGGTGGTCGTTCCGTTGGGCTGAAAACTCCAGCTGACCGCAGAGCCTGGAGGTACGGGTCTATCCTTGCTATTGAAGAAGGGCGTCATAAAGTAGTGCACGGTTTGGAATTCCTATAATGGACTCCGCGCACGACCAGTAGGTGGCGCTTTTTAACACTTTCAAAAGCTCCACAATCAATTTAAGCATTTGGCTTTATTACGAAACTGCAGACGTAATTAAAGCCAATATAGATACAGTATATACCTACCAAACTTGGCAATCTAGTTCCAGCTTCATGCCAGCGTACGCCACAAGAGGGCGTTGTTGGTCAGGGCTTTGGCATGTACTAGTACTAGTAGGGACCTTTTTCTTGGGCGGGGCCTTTTTCTTTGGCGGTGGCGGGGCTCTGCTCCGTTCTTCTTTCTCCCTTTGTTCTATCTCATCAAATTCTATTTCACCTGAATAATATTGGGATTTTTTTAACCAGATGTAACGAAACATAGTAACTGTTAAATACATCGAAATCGTCAAAGGGTCATGTGACTACATAAAAAAAGAATAACTGGACCTGGGTACTGACAACAGTTTTAACAATCGTCTCCTTTTTTTAAGGTTTTGATGGTAAGTTTAATTAAAGACCATGAACAATCAAATCGGTTTTTCCCCTCTAAGGAATTACGGTGCCTGACCACCAAGACATTTTCAACTTAATACGGCCCATGGGAATGTATGTACTCGTAAGTTTAAATGTCAAATAAAATCAAAGGTGACTTAATACTGTGTATTATTAATTAATATAAGCTCTTTGGTGCCACCACACTGAGATTTTAGTCACGAAAATAAGAGAGGCGCTCAGTGAAGATGGATCGTGAATAGGCCTACTGCCTAAATATTGTTACACTCGTCTGCGTCTCATATTTATGTGGAGTGCGACCTTTTGTGCGACTTCAGATGTTTTGTGAATACAGCCAGAGTGCTAACTCCTCATTCCCACGTACAATACTGCATGAATTTTCGCATTAATGACGGAGCCAATAGTGCCACAGAGGACGTGCCGCAAAATGCCTTTCTAACACTCTTATTTTTATTGGATAGATTATTGCAGATTCGTATTTTGCAGAAGGACACCTTTTCGTAGATTATAGTCTTCAGCAAAAATTGCAAATCACAGCAAATGTTTTGATCTCAAGAGGTCTGATTCCTATATTTACTGTTACTATACAGGGTGAGTAAAAAAAAAACCGAAACCCAAATTTTTGGACCATTGTTTTAGGGAAGCTCTGCGTGTAGCACTTTCAAATTCCAGGATATGAACGCCCAATGCATAAGCTTTCTTTTAGTACAAGAATCATTCAAATCACTCATGTTCTTTTACGGAATTTTAAACACAACCATGCACCGTTTTAAGGTTCTGTCCACGGATCACAAAAAAAGGTGTGCGTTCTTTCAGCAAAACGAAAACAATTCACATAGGGATGTGTGTGAATTGGTTTTCCTTTTGCTGAAAGAACGCACATTTTTTTGTGATCCGTGGACAGAACCTTAAAACGGTGGTTGTGTTTAAAGGGAAAATACAACATTTGCAAACATCAGAAAATGAAACTACCAAATCATTTTGAAATACCTTGCTGGACTGTTAGTGAATGACAGTGTAAAGCATTCTGTAAAATCATGGCACCTGGTATACTGTCATTTTCAAGAAAAGTGGTATTTTTGTATCAATTTCCAACGCTGATCGGCCGATCAGCGTTGGAAAAAACTGGCTTTTTTTCAAATACTGGCCCCAGTTGACCATCGCACTTGTTTGCAATCGATTACACACCTATGAGCGGGTACAAGCCAGCTAGACTGGTTCCCTTACCTTACAATTCCCCAATACATGTATATGTAAACTGCTCTGTTTCTTCTTAAAAGGAGTCAAGGAAACCAGACTACAGGAAAATGATTGTTTTTCTTGATTTTTATAGCATTTTCGAACCCAAAACCTCAAAAAGTCAGTGTAACTATATTTGCTATATATTTCCAACCCCCCAATTCCGTCCATTTCTGAAAATTACAGCAAAAGCAAATGATGTTTATTCCCTTTAAAGTGATTTGAATGATTCTTGTACCAAAGAAAGCTGATGAATTGGGCTTTTATATCCTAGACTTTTAAAGTGCTACATTTGGAACCGACATTTGAGTTTCGGGTTTTTGGGGTTTTTTTTACTCACCCTTTGGTGTGAAGAATTTCGACTGTCTAATAGATGTCTTCAGTTCACCTCGCGTGGTACTGGGAACATTTCACGTCGACCCAAGAAACGACAAAGGCAACTTGAAAACCTCAATTTGTCTTGTTTCTTATTTTAAAAAAATCCTGACAAATACCAACCTAATTTAACTAACACGAAAATTCCTCTCCGGGTGTCTGTCAACTCGGCGGGTGGTGGTCCATAAAGCCGTTGATACCGCTGACCCCCTGAAATGGAAGAACGAACAGTGTATTTTATTATCATTGTAACGCACAAGATATCAGGGGCGGATCCAGGGATTTTTGAAGGGGGGCAGGCCCGTCAGATGTTCTGTATGTCACAAATCAATGCTGAAACAATGTAGACAGGGTTTTTTTCCGGACACTTGCCCTCCGTATAATCAAATACTGGGGGGGGGGGGGGGCATTTTGTTAATGGGGGCGTTTTGACACTCGGCTTTCGTAAACTCTATAGTGTGGGTAGTGGAGGTACCATTTTCCAATGGGGCGCTGTTCAAAGTGGAAGATCATATAAACATCCACACAACTGTCCTTTAAAAACTGGGCGTTTTGTGTTATTCCTGTATTATGCGTGCGAGAACGACTTTCGGGGTCCACTTTTACGACCTCAAAAAGTCGGGCTGTTTGTGCGTTGGTGATTGGTCACCGCTGTTCGCGAGCGCGGTGCTGAAAAGACACACACAACGTGTATATCCAACGTGTATATTGTTATACCTCTGTTTTGAACACTTTATAAATTTTCATTGGTCTAGAACGATCACGTGTTAGGTTTATAAAAAGTCATGGCACACTCTCTGTGTGAAATCACGTGCGTGATATCCCACAGGGAGTGTGCTATGAATTTGTACGTATACGCACAGTGGGCCAGTTCAAGGTCCAACTGCGCCAGAATGTAGAAAAAAGTGATTGTTTCAAAAATCAATACCTTCAATTTTTGTTAGTTCCCAATGGTCCAGGGGGACTCTAAATGCATGAATTAGGGACAAACATTGTTACGTTTAAACATGGGCGATACTCTGATGTTTTCAATTACAATCCAAATATTGCTGGTCAGTAAACGTAATGCGTTATTTAACTGGCTGTCTCGGTCGCTACGTAAAAGAAATCGCCACGAAAATTTACTTGAGTGTTGTTGATATCCTATATTTCATGAAAATAAAATTCATGATACGTCTAGTTTTTTATTTACAGTTTAAATTATGCGCCCTATGGTGTTCAAAACGCATATCCCACATCACAGCAGTTGTTAATTGGCTGACGGAACGACAGGAAAACGTATGCGTACTCGATCGTGTCCGATGTAACAACCGGGGGTCGTCTTTTTTCGGGAACGGTAACACATTAGGTTGGTTTTCTTTCAACCAGATGTTTGAAAGAAGATTTTATAAGCAAACAATCCAAAACATAAAAATTTCGGGGATATCAGGACCTAGTGCCCCTTTTATGCGTGTTTGTGTCGTTTGTTTAAACAAGATATCGGGTACGTAACGTGGGCCTCGCTTGGAAAAAAAACAACAATTTGACAAGATTACCTTCAATAATTCAAATAATTAAAAAAATAGTGTAAATTGGTATAACCGAGAAATGACAATTTATTAGAATACTTACCTAAGATTGCCAAATGCATAAATTGCTCTTCGCTCAACCTGCCAATTTCCTCGTCCGAAAGTTCCCGCCGTTTTCGGGTATGCGAGTGGATAGTGACCGATCCCAGTTTGCTGCCTGCGCATATTCATTATAAATCCACAACAAAAGCAACCCATCAACAAATATAGTGCTCAATCCTTCTCGTTGATCAAGACAATTTTCGAGACAAGACGAGAAAATCCGAACTTCAATGATGAATTGTGCGGATGGACTAGAACTCGAGTTCTAAAAAAAAAAAAATCCGCTGAACATTAATACACATGGTCCTCTCCTAGTTTCACTAATGCAAAAAAGAAAGAAAGAAACCATTCCCATTTCATAATTTGAAACTTTGAAGCTCTAAGTCTTAATATAAATGCTTTTGGAGTAGCTGTTGTAGAATAAATCCCAGCCTTTTAAAAGTCGTCTGTATACGGAAGCCCGTTCATGCCAGGTTTTCAAAGTAAAAAAGAAATAAATTATTCCAAAATAAGGACTTTTGCGAAATAACGCAATCGTATTGAATAGACACGACTTGAAATACGTATGGATTATGATACGCCGTAAACATTTTCGTCGCGTCTGATGTAAACAATCACGGACTTTACGTCTTTTCTCGAGAACGCTAAGACATTTGGTTTGTTTCCTTTCAACCAGACTTTTGAATTAGTTTAAGTAAACAACGTAAAGCATGATATTTTCGGGGATTTCTGGCCGTAATGCCCCTTTAAAAAGTGTCTTTTCGTCCTCTATGTGGAGCGGGGTCCTAGAATACACGACTACCTATTTCGTAATAGGCCATCAGCCTCGATCCAAAATTTTGGCCACCGGTATCAAATGAGGGGAATAATCGTCATAGCGATTTTTGGCAAGGTTTACACCTCAGGAGTTGGTAAAAAAAAAAAAAATGAGCGACTTGTGGGGCGTGCTATATGCGCAGAATGTAATCCTCCGTACAAACCTGTTCATTCTCAAAACACAATAACCACCATTGTGTTACCTTTTATTAGTTGTAGAATTCCGCTGTCTCCTGGCTGCCAAAAGTCAGTTTGGACGGCTGTTATTTAAATTAAAGACAATAATTTACAAACAGTAAAGCGAAAAATGAAGTTTAGGAACCGCTGTCATATTGTTTTTACTCTCTAAAATTTCGTAACCGTGCATTTTTAAATTTTACATAGGCCTAGCCTACCACTTTTTTGAAAAAAATTTCCCCAAATAGGCCTAGGCCTATAGGCTAATCATGCAAAGGTGTGCAAGGTGTAGCGGTAAGGGGGTCCACCTGAGCTAATTAAGTCATGAATTTTTAATATTTTTTTTGGATAATGACAAGAAATGAGATGTCTGGACAGTCCTAGCTGAAGCTATTACAATTTGTTAAGCTAGACTTACCAAATGAGCTGTCACAGGCATGATGTGGAGTCGATTAACACCAAACACACGACAAAACATAGGCAAACATACTTACCGTCAGCCCATAAACAAAGTAAGAAAACCAGCTGAAGAAACCACGCACGAAGCAGATTCATACTGTTCACAGATTTGTCAAGATTACAGTCGTGATACGATGTCAGTTCAATGAATTGAAATCCCTGCAGCCACCACTAAATACGTCTTACGAAAGACTTCACACTTAATGAATAATGTACGTAAATGTGATGCGCGTCTCCTAAAGAATTCTAAAATGCTACCGTAAATGTGTGCGTGCCATAGATATAGAATAAAAAGACGCGTGGCATGCGCGCGGCATGCGCGCGGCGCGGTGCCGGGCGCGCCACGCGCGCCGCGCCCCACAGGACTCCGCGCAGACGCTGCTTGCAGCCATAGATATCGTAAGTACATGCCTGTGTAACCGTGAAAACTGATTCACTGTGTGGAAACTAGCAAAAACTAAAACTCGATGGGGATAAAACTAAACTAAACTCAGGATCTTTGAAAGGAAAAGAAGTGAGGAAATCGAATTCATAGAGACAAGGGACACAATTCTAGATTTCAAACCAAAAAAGACCAAAAAAGAATTGATTTACTACAACCTCAAAAGAAAATCAAAATGACGAAATAAGAACTTTATACCAAGTTAAAACCTAAAATCAAGAAAACTGAGACTTAAAACCTGAAACCAACACAGTGTGTAATAAGTGGATTGTAAAGAAATACACTCAGACAGAAAATCTGTAGGACAAGATTAGAACAATAAAGAACATAATAAGAAAGAATGCCTCGGACAGACATTGTATTTCTGTGATTATAATCTGTTTTAAATTGAATGCGTAATGTTATGTTCATTGTTCTTGGTAACGATATATGGAGATTGTCAAATAAAAACAAACAAACAAACTAAACTGAGAAGACTAAACAGGCAATTTTAGAAAGCGCACCGCACGTTCAAAAATGTAAGCCTCTTCAAACATATTAACCCCTCTAAAAAAAACCACATATATTGGCTCCGCCCATGGTCAGCAGGTTCTAGACTCCGATCTCCACTTCCTCCTCCTTAGTATAAAGGAATGCTGGATTGGGCAGGTTGAGGGCGCTCTCCTCATCTGGCCGATCACCATTCTCGCTAACAGGTGCTGTATCCTCCTCGTGCGTTCTCCGCATGCAACGGCATCTGAACCGAAGAATAGAAGAACACAGTTGGTTTTACACTCTGAAATAAAACTTGTGAAACGACCTTTATCAGCACAACTCCCCGCTTTGTCTAAAACGTCACGGTGACATCAGATGGTTCTTCCAAAGTAAAACGGTGTACGGAAGAGCATATCGCATGTGAAATCGCATGCGAAATATATCTCTAGAAAATTCAATGAAGCCTTAAACAAAATCATGGCCTATGTCTTTGCTTAGATTCCTAATAGGAATACATGTACAACTTTCTCAAAGAAGAATACCTGGTTGCATCTACAACACCAACACAAGCCAAACTGCACAGATCACTAGTTATGGTTTGTCGACGTTAACATAATTGTGCATCGGCCGAGGTGCCCTTTCTTCATAACTCAATGTGTAGAGCAATGTTTTGAACCGTAAAAATAAAATGGGGGTGGGGGGGTTGGACATACTTTCCTATTTCCTCTCCTTCTTCCAGCGTCTGAGGCAGTTTTCGTCCTTTCGTCTCCGGTAGAAGGAGCACCAACAATCCCGCCAGAACCGCGCTCGAGCCGAACACGATCAGGGGTAGACTTTCCAAGTAGTCCCCTAACAGTAGAATGATTGGGGACAGAATTCCACCAAGTTGCGCCGCAACTGCACCCATGCCCACACCAATGCTCCTATAAAGTACAAACAAATTACCACCGGCATTTCAAATTGCCTACTTTCTTTCTGGAAACTCAAATTAAATATGAGGGAATTGTTAACTGCGATCGCTTGAAATCGATTGGTTCTATAACATTATTTTCCATTTTAGTCGATTAGATTGAGAATGCATGCCTCGTCATGGAAATCGCATTTCGATGCACTATGCAAACCACTGTCTTTGTTGAAATTCCTAAACCAATTGCGAATACATTTTGTAAGATGAGTGATAAAAATACAAACCCTGACTCAATCCAAGTTCTCAAACAATGAAATCCTTTTAAACAAGCAAACTTTTATATGGGATGTGGAGTCGGTTTCTTACAGTATATTATAATCACGAGGCATTTTTACCGTCTCTAAATATTCAAAATAAAGCTAGTCCAAATGGTGTTTGAAAGAAGTCCAAAGGATTATGTCCGAAGGACACAGCGAACTCGCACCTGACTGGCGTGGGGAACAGCTCCGACGTGTACAAGTAAATTATGCTGTACGAGGCGGACACCCCGAATTTGCCAATCATGGCCACCACGGTGCGCCAAATACCCAGTGCTGAAAAAAAGAACCCAAAAAAGCAATTTTAAGTTGGTAATTTTTATGAGTTTTCGCTTCAAGCATTGTCGACACATGAGAGGCAAAGAACGTGAGGTTTGCCTGACTAAATTGTTGAAATTATTTAAGTCCACAAGTCATGTCATCATTATTGATAAGTCACTGAAAAGTCAACACAAAACTTCACAATTTCTGATCATATACAAAGCTTCAGGAGCTTGTAAGCATGTCCCTAATAAACAACCCTGAACGTTCTTTTATAGCACCACTTACGAATGAAGATCGTAGCCAAGCAGGCGATACCAGCGATGAGTTCGAGCACGGCAGTGTTCCTCTTGCGACCGAACCATTCAACGCCGAACGTGGCGTAAATCAGCGCTGGGATGTCCACGGCTCCCGATACGAAGAACGCCCAGTACTCATCCACGCCTAGATTGTCGGTGCTTTGTGCGAGGCCGTAATAAACAAGATTGTTCACAGTCCTATTTGAAGAAACGACATAAATATTATTTTGGTTGTGATTAGGACGTACTACAAAATAATGCAAAATCAATTGCTTATACATTTTGTACCTATGTCGTCGTAGTAATTTTTTTCACGTCATGGCAAAGTGTACACAAAGATCCCCTATGAGTCTGATTACTCTTTTTATTGAAAAAAAAATCTTATTACATGCAAAATAAAATAGTGTTTGTTAAAAAAACAATTAAAAAGAATATACCAATTTGCTTTCTATTCGTAAAATTGTCCAATTATTTCTTCCAATGTGGTGTTCATTACCAATTGATCATGATAGTGGTGGTCTTGGCCGCCATGTTGGGTGTTTTGAACAGGTCAATGACAGATGGAGGAATAGCTGATGTCTTCGATTCCTTTATAAATAGGACAGGGAAATTGGTGGAAACAAAACAACAAAATGGTACAGTCTGAGGGATCAAGACGAACCATGTCGTTTCATCTGCGTAAACCTATTCACATCGTGTACGTCGACAATTAAAACCAAAATATATTATGACATCCCTGAGCCCGCATCTTCAACTAACTATTTTAAACCATTAAGATGCATGCATTAGGCCACATTACCCTCGAGTTCGATGAGGTCGGAGTGTATACGGATACGACATTAAGTCTAAGCTGCTAAGGATAGTTTAAGTTGATTCAACGCATTCGATGAATATAGTGTTCGGATGCACAGCATAGCCGGACAAAGTACGACTGAATTGTGCGGATATTTTGGAAGAAAACAAGTGGGCTATAGGCTCGAGTCCAAATCCTTCAGCAACCCTGTTTGCCAAAAGATAAGTTGTCGATTAATTACCTATTTTCGAAAGCTGGATTTAAAAGTTTATACATTTTCAGTTGACGAATTTCAGGAAAGGATGATAGATTCAATGTCGGTGCATTTGTATTCACAACCCCCCCCCCCCCCATAACATCACAACAAATCATACTGTTTCGTCCTTGATGTCGTCTCTATCGAATAAGACGTCTGGCAGCGTCTTCCTGTTGATCTTGGCCACTCTTCTGATGACGACCTCAGCTTCGTCAATCCTTCCCTTGGAAACCAACCAGCTTACCGACTCTTGAATAAATCTGTCCAAGAAAGGGGGAGCGTAGGGGGATTTGACTTTGGTGATATGTATGTGGCCTATTTTCGAGTAGTTTAATAGGGGTAAGTGGTGCCACCAACGTCAAAATAGCCCCCCCCCCCCCCAAAAAAAAAAAAGAAATTGTGAGCCCCCCAAAAAAACCAAATCCTGGGTGCGCCACAAATTTGGCTCAGTTTCAATATCAGTAGAATGTGCAGAGTAGTGTATGGATGTGTGCGTTGCGTGATGTAAACGTCACTTTTTGTTGTGGTTTGGTTTTTATTGCACCAGGAGATTCATCGCATTCAAATCATCCATTTACCCTGTTGTTACGGAGGTTGTGGGTTCTAGTACGATCCGAGCAAAGTCACAAAGGTTTTTTTTTTTTAAAGGTCTTCTGAAGCATTTATACCGGTTTCTTTGATATTAAAACCATGAAGAATAAAGAAGTCTGCTTTTTCATATATCAGTGGAAACAACATTCCATCATTGGGGTTTGAACCCAGCCAGAAGACAATGATGACAGACACCTGAGGTATAAGTGGCTTTATCATATGTTAAATTAAACTGTAATACATGTAATTGTTTTAATATATATAACTGAAACCCTGTCAGGACTCAGGATTTCAGCTGCCGGTGCAGTATGAGTGCATCTCACTTTGACGAAGCTACACTGCACATACTCTTGAAGGGTTCCCAGCAAGGGATGGGTTTAAGTCTCAAAACTTCCTTCTACGAAATATATGCAGGCGCGGATCCAGGGGGAGTCAACTCCCCCCCCCCCCCCCCAAGCTCTGTCCCCCAAAAGTCCATAGAAATTCATGAAAAAAAATGCGAACCCACCACCCTGCTGTGACACCCAAAATGTGTTTACTGGTAATAATGTCCGCCTTTGCACCCAATACGAACAGAGCCAGCTTGGTTAGGGGGTATATGTTCAATATTCTGTGATATAGCGCCCCCATTGAAAGTATCCCCCCCCCCCACCCCACCTATTGATTTTCGGAGGCCAAGTGTCCGGAGAAAAAAACCTGTCTATATTTCAGATTGTTTTGCCGATGAAAACAAAACAAAATCTGCGAAAATTCCTGGATCCGCCCCTGATATGAATATCCAGAGTATGACAATAAATGTGTGCTCTTGTTTTGCATTTATGTAAAAGAAGACGCCTTGGTATTGTCTTGGTACGAGCACTTACAGCACTGGGACGAACAAAGGGAGCAACGGCAGCGAAACGATCATAGAGAGTCGTCGCCAGTCCCTGATGTACATAGCAGCGGTTGCCAGGAAGAAGTATCCACACGCGTATAGAATGCCCAAGGCCATGGTAGCTGCAGTGCGCCAAGAGTTACCAACAAATTCAATGACTGCAGGAGTAAACAAAATAAAAAGAAATTGCTAAAATCATTGTATAGATAGTGATCCGCCTCCCATTAAAACTGAGTATAGGGCGAGGTTGGAATATTTGGACTTTTGCCAATGGACCTTATTCAAGAGGAAGCCATTTCGGTCGTGTTCCCGAACGTATTTCATAAATTGTGAACTGTTGATTGGGATTAAGATGGTGCCAGACTATTAATGCATTCTAGCCTCACTTTTACTTTATTTTTAAATGTGGTTTAACACATTAACGGTATGTTTAATCACACATTTACAAATTATCTGTCACAGCAGACTGCTATTTATTTTGTAATTAACTTATGTCATTGCTATCACTTCGCTTCGCAAGTTCCAAACAAATGAAGATTTTACCTTTCACTTTAATATGGCCGACTCGTGAATTTAGCCCATGGACGGTGACACCTAAAAGTTCATGGGAACTTGATTTTTAATTTCTAATCCATCTCTGTACGTTTTGTTCTGGTCAGATTTTATGCTCTATTTGTGGCCATCTCGTTTTCCTGGTTTTTATTGTTTGTGTTTTTCTGTTCTTGCTTTTGTTGATTGATTTTGTTTTAAACATTTTGTTGTTTTGGAATGCAAGAGGACATGGTTGTCAAGTGGGTTTTGCGAAGAGGTTATCCAAAAGAGGTTGTGTGTATGTACAAAAGCATGCAGAAGCCTCACCAATAAGTTAGGTAACATCGCTATTAATAAAGACTCTTTGGTGATATGCAGTTATTTTTTGGTAATAGGGCACAGAAACGCCTTACCTGGCGCTACCTCTTCTTTTGCAGTCTAAAATATAACGGAGGGATGGCTATGCACAGCGTCCTCTCTTGTTAGCGTATGGGGTTAGTCCAAATTTGAAATTGGGGCTTAACTCCCCGACCGTGTGAGTATAGCTTGGACAAGGAGTCAAACGTAAATTACGACAGTACAACCCCTTACCCAGTACGTATAGGGGAATGTAGAAACCCATGTTGCCGAAGCCAGCGACGAAACGGAAAGCCATGTACATGTAGATGTTCACGGAGAATGTTGTGACGATTGCGCCACAAGCGAGAAGCAGCAATCCAAAGATGACGGTTTTCTTGCGACCAATCCTACCAATAGAAGGAAGAGAACAGAGGACGACAAGGGTTGCTGTATTTTGACTACCACAGGCTAATTGGTTGACATGATTATTGCTTGGTTGGCTTTCTTTTTTGCAGGCCTGGTGGAAGGGTCTTGGCCTTTTTTAAACAAAAGTAGTGGACCTTTTTGAGTAAGACTTTACCATTTTTTTACTCATAATTATATGTAACAACGGATGTGCAGTTAAAGTAATGTCAACATTTTCGATTTCATAGTTCTTAAAATTACAAACAGGCAGCTAAATCGACCCATGTCAAATCTGGGCCGGGTTGACAGGCGTCCTTAACCGAACGTTTTGATAGTCAACCTGTCGACCTACAGCAACAAGCGAGTAATTTTTTTACCAAAAAAAATATGCAATCGCTTATGAATTCGCCTCTAATAAAACGTGTCAGGTTAAATGTTACAAATTTGTGTTTACCTTGGCCAATTTTTACCCTCCCCAACCAAAAAAAAAACTATGTCAAGCTCATACTGTGGGGGACCGAATCGTGCAACATGCTTACCAGTCGGATAGAGAGCCGAAGATGAAAGATCCAACCAAAAACCCAGCGAAGTAAATCGACTGAGCGAGGCTGCGCAGACTTTTCTTGTCACACACCAGGTCAAACTGAGGAGTTAAAAACAAAACGTAGCAAAGTGGACCGTCAGTGTGTGAGTGGGCACCCCGACACCCTCCTATATGACAAGACGTCACACCCCTTCCAGTTGGAGCTACTCTTCGTAACGGAGTCCATAGGGCTATGGCTACAAGCGATGAATTTGGAAAATAGCCCTCCGAATGGAACACCGAAGAACTGACATCGTAAGGCCTACCCCCCTCCCCTTTAGAAAATAGTAAAGGAGTCTATATGCATAACTATAATTTGAGACTGGTAGTTAATCACACTCATCAGTACGGTGGCCCAGGAACGACATTTTAATATTGACCTTCTTAATATGAACCTTCTAACTTCTTAATGTTGACGTTGTACCTTCGCAATATGCACGTTGCACGTAGCTTAATATCGGATTGTGGAAGTTGTTCTTTCTCAATGTGAGTGTTCGATATTGTTGATGTTCACGTTTGATCTTGTCAATGTACACCATTGATCATGCTTGATGTCAACGTTGCACCTCGCTTCTTGGCAATATGAACCATGTACATGTACCTTCGCATTGTGAACGTTTGACCTTGCATCTTGTTAATATCATTGTTGAACCGTCCTCCTTCGCAATGTGAATCATGCATTATGAAAAGTACGAAGTCCTTGCCAAGCCCTATATAGTTAAACAACAAATTATGATGGAGTTTCAATCTGACGGCTGTTTAATGTCACTTAACCTGGGTCTACCCTGTAGTGAGTCTTATCATGAATCAAGGCTCTCTGTTTTATTTCACTCATCTTTTATAATTCATGTTCAGGCTACTGAGCACTGTTTCACTAGAAAAGAAGTGTTCAATTAATTAATTAACTAATCTATACGGATATGAATATGGATTGAAGGATGTAAAGTATAATGATAACAGCCTTCTTAACGTGATCACAGAACACTGCATTATTGTCATTGACGGAGAGTGTACCGTCAAGAAATTAATTAGTCTAATTAATTGAACACATCTTTTCTAGTGAAACAGCGCTCAGTAGCCTGAACATCAATTGTAAAAGATAAAGTGAATTAAAAAAGAGATCCTCGATTCATGATAAAACTCACTAGGGTAGACCCAGATTAAGTGACATTTAACAGCCGTCAGATTGAAACTCCATCATAACTTGTTGTTTAACTATATAGGGCTTGGCAAGGACTTCGTACTTTTCAGAATGCATGATATGCACATTGCAAAGGAGGACGGTTTAACAATGATATTGACAAGATGCAAGGTCAACCGTTCACAAGGCGAAGGTACATGGTTCATTTTGCAAAGAAGCAAGGTGCAACGATGACATCAAGCATGATCAATGGTGTACATTGACAAGATCAAACGTGAACATCAACAATATCGAACATTTACATTGAGAAGGAACAACTTCCAAAATGCGATATTAAGCTACGTGCAACGTGCATATTGCGAAGGTACAACGTCATCATTAACCCCATGCGTACGGGAATTAAGCGGTCATGGCCGCGGCCGCTAATCCTCATTGGAATGCAGTTGCCAGCTGCGGTATGCCGTGGCACACGACTAGTGGGTAGTTCCACAGCTGCTGCTTTTGTGCAGTCCCGCTACCACACAAAGGCTGTGCAGTCATGCGGGCCACTTGCTCTATGTGTGGAGGAATGTCCCCATCACACCCCGTCCTTAATGTTAAGAAGTTAGAAGGTTCATATTAAGAAGGTCAATATTAAAATGTCGTTCCAGGGCCACCGTACATCTGTGATGTAGCCGTGGTCACATCCTGCATTGAAAATCTTGATCTGGAACCGTAAGTCCAAAACTCCATGTGAAGTATATTGCTTGTGATTAGTATGCAGCTGTTGTTTGCTTAGCATGAAAATCTCATGGAGTTTTGGCTGGTTACCTGCTTTTATAAGCCAGACTTTTCTTGTCCTAAGCAATTTTTTGTGCTTAGCAGCGCCGTGAAATTGGGCCCTGCTGGACTCACATCTGAGATGGTTGTAGTCTCATACTGCGATGTGTCGTATTCCCATCCATCTTTGCACGGCACCCGACCGTAAGTATGATTTTCAACGTCACTGGGTGGCTCGTATGGATCGAACTCGTACCCAGGTGGCAGGTCCCACTGCTGGCAAGTGGAATAAGGATACTTGCTGTCCTCGTTCTCTGGAGGAGGCAGGAGGATGGATTTTTTCACGTCCGTGCAGTTGTCTTGAAACTCCACCCAGCTGGAGCAATTTTCCTTTGGCAGAACTTGGCACCAATGGTCCGTTTCGGCTGCGAAAAACACGTCGGCGAAAGTCACCATACCGCCGACCGCAGATAACACGCCAGCGTATAAGACCACAAATAACTGATAGCGCCCAAAATTGCCCACAAGGGGAATGATTTCCTCCAACTTCATCCTGGATTAGCTCCTCAGCTCCAGGATAAAAAGGTTCCACAATGTTCTCAACCTTCAGCAAGAGAAACAACTGGACTTGGTCTATTGCATCAAGACTATTATTGAAAACCTATTACACCCAGCAATGATAAGAACTGAACTTTATTCCCAATGACATTAAAGGGAATATACAATATTTTCCACTGATATAATTTTCAAAAATGGATGGATTTCGAGGTTAGTATTTTACAGCAAATAAATTCACTGACTTGTTTGTGTGCATTAGTGCTAGAAAAAAAAAACGAAAAAATGGCTTGTGCCATGCACAGGTGTGTAATTGATTGCAAACAAAAGTCGGACTGACTGAATATGGTCAATTAGGGGCAGTATTGAAGAAGAAAAAAACAGGGTTTTTTTCAACGCTGGTCAGCCGACCAGCATTGGAAATTGGTAAAAAAAATACCACTTTTTTTATAATGCTTTAGACTGTCATTCACTAACAGTTCAGTAAGGTAGTTCAGAATAATTTGTTACTTTTGTTTTTTGATGTTTGCAAATGTGGTATATTCCCTTTAAACAATCACAGTGTCAAGTGGTGCCATGATTAAAGGTATTGTCATCATGTGACATGGCCCACCAATGTTATTATGAGCATCACAAACTTTGGCATGTTATCTAAAACCTACACTGAAAAATTGCCTGGGTTAATTTTACCAAAGAAAGGGTGAAAACTGGAACTTCCCAAACTTGGGTTGTTCTATAACCAATATTATTGTTTGGGTTAGAATTTCTGCTAAATTCTACCAAAACCTGTGGTCGTTCAAGACCAAATTTAATTTGGTCTTGTATGACTACAACTTTTGGTTGAATTTAACATAAATTATAACCCAAACAATTGCTTATAGAACAACCCAAGTTTGGTAGCAATTTTTCAGTGTACAAATAGAAGTGCCTTCAGAAACGTTTTGCTACAATGGTCCAATATGGAGGATCTACGGGGGAGTCAACCCCCCCCCCCCCCCCTGCGCCTACCTTTTGCCCCCGAAAATAGGAAAATCCTCCGGGTAAAAAATAGCACATGCCTTAAAACTGCCCCGTGACAGTTTATCTGAACAATATCTTGCACAATGCTTTCGCCACTGACTGGGGCTTCTGAGGATGTGCAGTTATAACGTAATCGGCGGATTACTCTAGATATTGTAACGGCGACCCAAAGAGGCCGACCGTCGGTTGGGTGGACTAACTAATTGATAAAAAAAATACAGCATGATGATCACCACATAACAGACAAAGGGACAAGTATATGCAATATCAGAAAACAGCAATAATGACAATTGAATTAGCGCTTCTTCGCTTACAAAATAATTAACCAGGGGAGAGTAAGCAAATAATTATGAATAATATAATTTCAATGACAAGTTACTGACAGAGCCAAGAACTCAGACTGGGGACCACTACGATGGAACACTGTAGTCTACTAGGCCATGTAAAAACTACTGGGTGCAAGGGGGGGGGCTAAATTGGAACATACTCACAAGACTATGCAGACCACTGAACCCTTTGGTGTGAAGTAATGGTGGTGGTGGTGATGGTGAAAAATTAAAAGAACACAGTGTCTTGCACATAAACAAGGCCAAACTAAACCAGGCTTCCACCTTCAGCCATACATGTAAAAGAACTTGGAAAATAAAAAACTAAAATGCACACCACCATCCACCACTACCATCCACCACGGATCCTAGACACCAGGATAAACGACTGTTCTGAGCTCTAGTACAAAATGCACACAGTGGACTTGCGGTCCATTAACAGCGGTCACCCCCACACCCGGTCATTATCACGCAGTGAAGACCGGCTCCTCACACTGTTATTCCCTTATTAATAAATACCTTGGAGAGTTGATGGTTTCTGATTGGTCGAGACTCGATCACGTCGGGGTGTATTAACGGTGATATAAAGACCGGCCTCAAAGAACAAGCGAAAAAATGGCCCCTGAACCAGCATTGATCCAGCCCCATGGAAGGCAATGATTGGCCAAATTTACAACAGTCATACACTGCACATGCGCTCAACCACCTTCGCGTGAGACTGACGCGCGCCTACACAACACAGTTGCTATGGGTGCGCGCGCGTAAGGAAATTTTGAAACGACATCGTACAGCAGTGCAGTATACTGAGAATGTTTACGTTATTCATCCCGGCCGTAGCGCGGTAAACGATATCCTCGCTAGCGCTATATGCTGTATTTTTAATGCACTGCATGCATAGACATAATGATCTGACTGCATGCATAGCGCTAGCGAAGATATCGTTTACCGCGTAACGGCCGGATGAATAACAACTAGCGCCTTGACCAAGGCTACGGTCACCCCCAAACCCGTCCCATTATCACGCAGTGAAGACCGGCTCCTCACACTATTATTCCCTTATTAATACCCGTTGGCGCGTAATCGCGGATTTTCCAGATGTGCCATATTGTGTTGGGTTTTTGCACGACATCTAAAACGGAAATATTCATAAAACTGTAATTAAAACTACTTCTTCAGGGGTGAATGGTCTGGCTGTGAGGGCCGGGTGCCTCAAATTACATGGGGTCATGGATCGATTCCCACCAGGCAACAGATAGTATTGTGCAGTTTTTGTCGTCATAGATGAAGTATTTACCCGGGAAATAAACGTCACATTTCGAGGAGAACACCGTTTACCCAAATTTCTTTTTTAATTAGGCTTTTATTAAAAAGTTTTAGAGAGATATGATGCCGAACCGATGAAACAAAAGTGACATTTCATTGTTCATCTTAAAGCTAAAGATACTGTGCTCGGCATTACCATGGTTATGTAGTTATCACTTATCAGAATTCAATAATAAAGACCAAAAACGTAGACACATGAATATTCAAAAATATAATTCGCTGGCTTGACAGACTTCGACGCCAGATCGGGCGAAGAGCCTTGCAAATCTGAAAGCCACCGCGCGCAATGGTCTTTGTTGAAAAGTATTCATGGTATTTGCCACCAGTACAGGCCGTTATCACGCGTCTAACCGGGAGTTGGGCCAAGTCGTTAATCCTTGTGTGTAGGATCCGCGCATCCACCACTACCATCCACCACTACCATAATCGCAAGTCCCCGCCCTACTGGGCTTTCAGAGGGGTTTTATAGTGCTGGGTCAAAATATGCATAACGATTTCAAGATTAGGAATACGAATGCAGTGTGTCTTTCTTACTGGGAGATATTTGCATGAACACTAATTACAGAGTTATGGAGGCAATTAAGGAACTTATATCCCAATACTGTGAGAGTAAACAATAAAGACTACCGTGAGAGCTTAGTCTGTGGTTTGACTGCAACCCAAATACTATATATTGTGGGCTATTAAGTTGAACAAAGTAAGCTCTGAAATAGTTTTGTCCGGGCATTCATCTGACTTGAGAACAGGTGCAATACATAACCGCTATGGATTACTGTGGCCTAAGCGCTCTCCATTTAGTTTAAAGGTGCAATTGGGAAAATAATAAAATATGTTTTTGTTACAATATCTTTGTAGTGTTTATAAACAGTAAGTGCCAGTTTGTATGGTCCGCTGTTGGGGCATAAATTGAAGCCGTTGTTGGCAACATATTTTTCCAAAAAAGTCCTCATAACATCCTCATTACATAAGAAAAAGACCTTCTCAGGACGTTTGTTGATAATTTTGTATTTTCAACAATCAAATAACAATTATCCAACTTTGAGCATTAATTAATATGATATAAGGTGATGGGAAAAAAAGACTGTGGAGATGTAAAAACAAAGTGGATAGGGATTAGTCTCTAAAAAAATGTGATCAAAGTGAAAATAAACTACTTTTTTTCTCGCACAAAAATGGCGCCTTAAAGCGCCGTCATTTGGGCAACTATAAGCTAAAATCCAAAGACAGATCTTTAAGATGCATTATATCTGATCATTCCCGGGGACTTTCTTTATGTCCTCATCTTCCACTGCCTTGGAATCGAAGGCTAGGTTTGATAAGGCGAGAGCGCCCTCTTCGACCGTCTGGATTTCACCGAGTTTGTGGTTGGCAACGGTGTCGACATTTCGGCGCATACATCGAAATCTGACAAACAAACAAAAAACATTTGTTGTTTTAGCAAATGCCTATATATTTAAAATAAATAAATTGACCCAAATGATGACTCGTTTATTCTCCTTGTGAGAGTTGTCACATATGTCACTTTGAGGCTTCCGTACATGTACCGATATGCTATGCATGCAACATTTATTAAAGCATTGCTTCAGAACCCACACGCTAAATACACAAATACGTTACATGGTGTCAGAAGTGGGATCCGAACCCACGCCCCCATGTAATAAAGCATTGCTTCAGAACCCAAACGTGAATACACGAGTATGTTACATAGTGTCAGAAGTGTGATCCGAACCCGGCCACGCCCATGTATTAAAGCATTGCTTCAGAACCCAAACGTGAATTCACGAGTACGTTAGAAGAGTGACTCACTTTCCTATTTCCTCTCCCTCTTCCAGCGTCTGAGGCAGTTTCCGTCCTTTCGTCTCCGGTAGAAGGAGCACCAAGAATCCCGCCAGAACCGCGCTCGATCCAAACACGATCAGGGGTAGACTTTCCAAGTAGTCCCCTAACAGTAGAATGATGGGGGAAAGGATGCCTCCAATCCGAGCCGCGAGAGAACTCATGCCCAAGCCAATAGACCTGCGAGAGGGAATAATTGAAAGGAGTGATTTATGATGCAGTGCGCCATAAGAGGTTGCCCTATGATGCATAATCTAAAGCCCCAAATGCCTTGCATTCCCTTTCCAAGATTTGAGACAAAATGTTGCCATCAGGAGATTAGAACAATCCTGTACGTTCACAAGTATAATGTCACATTTGTTAGAAATTGTAATGCGTAATTAGGTTTTCTTAATATAGGAGATGTTCTTGCAATTTATTTTCTGAAAAACCATTTCGATCTCCCTCATTTGTTTGTTTTTTGATTCGAACTATTTCTGTTATCTATTTTCAGCTTTCATTCTACATGTACTTGTCAGCGAAAACGATATTTTAAATCACTTCGAGGTTTAGGCCTCGGTTTACTGCAAAACTGTATTTTTTTATTACCTGATTGGTGTCGGGAACAGTTCGGCCGTGTAAAGGTATATGGTACCAAATGTAGCCGAGATACAGAATTTGCCTGCCATGGACACCACAGTGCGCCAGATACCGAGTGCTGGAAGGAAAAAGTGATTGAAGGGTTTGAACGCCCCCCTCGACTCGCTCTCTCTCTCTCTTTCTCTCTACAATAATTCCTCGATTAATTGCATTTTCATCTACTTCTTCTGATGGTATTCTGCAGTTTTCCTCAAAGGTGCCATATACAGGGTGTCCCAAAGAGGTAACCCACAAGCAAAAGGAAAATACTAACTTATTGAAGATTACTATGGTTTGGGCGGGGGTATAGGGACAAAACTCCTTCTTTTTTTATTAAATTCGCTCAAGGTCTGTGCGCCTCTTCCCCTTCTTCCCCTCAGAATTTGGGTTAGGAAAAAATAACCCTTTTTTAAAGTCATGCTTCAGAAAAGTGACAATCTATAAAAAATGAGCGCTCTTTTCCGAGTGACTGTCTGTAACTTAGGCCCAAGTCTATGCACTGACTATTATTTTCTTAAGACTATGTCCAAAGCACTTACGGATGAAGATCGTGGCCAAGCATGCCACACCACCTATCAGCTCCAACACCGCAGTGTTCCACTTGCGACCGAACCATTCGACCCCGACCGTGGCATACAGCAGGGCCGGGATCTCCACGGCTCCCGAGATGAAGAACGCCCAGTACTCGTCCACGCCTAGATCACCAGTGCTCTGTGACAGGCCGTAGTAGATCAGACTTGTAACCATCCTGAGAGAAAAAAAAATGCAGAAATGGAATTCAGTACGCCTTGTTAACTAATTATTTTGACAAACATGTATTTATTGTTTATACAAAAAAATTGTGTACACAACTTTGTGTGTATTTTTTAATTTTTAAATGTCTTTCACTAAGAGCTGTTAACAGCAAAAATGTCAATAAACCCATCTCCAAAATATATTTAGCTTCGGCTTCGGGAGATTTTAGACACCTTACTTGGGGACACGTGCTCAATAAGGATGCATGTTTTGTGTCAAGAGCAACTCAATCATGAATTTAATTGAGGCCAACGTTTTCGAGTTTCTCCATTCGGTTTTGGACATTAATGGCTTCTTCGTGTACATGATTATGTGGCAAGAAACATACAGCGGGGTTAGCGACGAAGCCAATGTTTCTGAAACATTCATAATCACACCTCATAATCACCAACAACATGGTGTCCAATTTTTACCAGTAACTAATGACCGCAAAACACAAGTACTCACCAATTGAACATCATGTTGATGGTCTTGACCGCCATGTTGGGTGTTTTAAACAGGTCGATGACAGACGGGAGAGCACGTGACTCCTTCATTTTCTTAATTAAAAAAAAAGTTAAAAAAAGTAAACAAACCGACACATCATTTCCTTTTACTAAACCTTCAGTTGATGCCTGGCAAACAGAACGTCCATTCCGTAATTAATTCCTTGCTGTATCCAATCTACCACAATTAATACTTGTTGCACCTTCACCAAATCCACCCAATGAAGCTTCTTGACACAAACAGTACATGACAATTTCTCAGAAAATTCGACGGCATCAATATTTTCATTCCTTCACAATGATCAAGCCAGTGTATGACTCTCCTCAACAAAACCTCTAACTGAAAGCACAATTTTTATGATTGCATCTGCACCGATGCCGTTCTTTTTGACTTTCAATTTGACTGCAAGAGTCTACACGCCAATACCATGTCTTCCCTGATGTCCTCTTTATCGAATAAGACGTCTGGCAGCGTCTTCTTGTTGATCTTGGCCACTTTTCTGATGACCACCTCAGCTTCGTCGATCATTCCCTTAGAAACCAACCAGCTTACCGACTCTTGAATAAATCTGTCAAAAAAGAGCCATTTCCATGCGTGAAAAGTAGTCTCAATACTCAAAGTTAGGTAAAGGACACGTTCAAGTATTGAAGGTCTGTTCTCCTTTTGTGAACAGTTCTCTTAAAACGTACCTTCATCCTATACCTCCTGAGATATTTTTAAGAGATTGATTTGTTAGAACTCTGGAGGAAGTTCAAGATATGGTTGGATTTATTAAGGGAGCAGATAAGTAGGACTTTAACTTGAAACTTTACAAGTTGAAATGAATGCTAAATGGGGTTTCCCATCTTTTAACTTCCTATAAGTGAAGTGTTTGGTCTATCGCTCTTTCGAAGAGTGGCCCTGTCCATCCTGTCAGAACCGGTTCTTTTATAATCCTCTCTGATAGTCGTATGCTGTCATATGCAAATTTCATTCTCAATAAGCAGGGAACACTGACAAGTGAAACGACAACCGGTTTTTTTTAAACAGAGGTTTAAAGTGCCTCGTCCACATGTCGTCATGATTTTGTACGAAAACATCATGCATAGCGCTTCGATGAGTGTTCTAATCTGAAGAATCACAATATCCTTTTAATAATCGTTACTGCCTCCCACATTCGAAACATAATAGGTATCATTCACGGATTCAGACTGACTGGCACATACTTACACAAGCGGGAAGAAGAATATCAGCGTCGAGAGGGAGATTATCAAGGAGAGGGTCCGCCACTGTCTGACGTACATCGCAGCCGTTGCAAGAAATAAATATCCCAACGCACCGAAGATACCCATCGCCATTGTCACCGGCGTACGCCATGACTTTCCAACAAACTCCATCTCTGCCATAAGAACGATCCAGAAGTGATGGGTTATTACTCTGTACACGTTTGGGAACCTTTTTCCTTGCAGAAACAGTGCTTCTGTGTGCGACCAAACACACGCTCCTCAAGTCCCACTTATTCCATCGTTTATTAGCGATATTCGTCAAGTGCGAAAACAAACAAGGCTAATCCATACCAAAGGTGAACCTTTTGGCCACCTAAACCCTGCAGAATATCCGACGGAGCACAACATTCTCTTCAGAAAGTATAGTGCAAACGAAAATGTGCAAAAGAAGGGCAATCCAAAGATATTATATTATACCAATATGTTACACTTAAGACATTGGACACTAGTATGGTTGCATCTAAAAGGGTTTATCCCCTATCTTGGAGCCTGCATTCATGGATGATAGGTCGAGGCTAATTTGTCAATTTCTAAAGCCTTCTGGGAGCAGTGTGGACTATCCACCTTCAGACCAAGTTATTTGTTGAATATGTCATAAATATTCTTACCAAGTACATACAGTGCGATGAAAGAGCCAATGTTGCCGAGGCCTGCGATGAAGCGGAAAGCCGTGTACATGTAGATGTTCACAGAAAATGTCGTGACGATTGAGCCAACGGCGAAAAACAACACACCAACAAAGACGGCTTTCTTGCGACCAATCCTATATTTGATTTGAAAAGGGAAATATGATTGAATCGTCAACTTCATTAAATTTCTATTTTTGAGCCCTGCAACATTTTCTATATCACTGACTGACTGCCTGGCTAGTTGACAGCATGGTAGGCTAGCTGGCTGGTTTGGCTGGTTGGCTGGGTCGCTGGCTGGACGGATGGGTAATAGGCCCTGTCTATTCCACGAGCTTACCAGTCAGAAAGAGAGCCGCAGACGAAAGATCCCACCAAAAATCCCGCGAAGTAAATCGCCTGAGCAAGGCTGGGCAGACTTCTCTTGTCACACACGAGGTCGAACTGGATAATAAAGCAATAATTTATACCAACAATTATTAGTGCGAGGCTTACTGCATTTACAATTATCATGACTTTCCATGATAAACATAATCCCTTCTTAAACAAAATTTCTGGAAGTTGATGGCATTTATATTAATCCATGTTTAGTCTCGATCTATGACCCCATTGGTTGCCCAATGAGATCGGTTTTGTTTTATATACTACATTGGGCAATGCTATATGGTCGACCCGCAACCTGATATAAAATTACTCTAACTGTTATTTAAAATTCAAGTTGATTTTCCCACCTTTTGAACAGTGTTTGCAAATGAGGGTATGGACGTTGATTATGTGAGAAACAAACAAAAAAGAAATTCGGCAACAAAATCTAACTTCTGTCATTTAATGTCAATGTCAATATTATTGTCGACAGAACTGGGGAAAGTCTACTTTGTTAGGCAATTGTGTTTTTGTGTTCATTACTGAATGAGAGGTAAATCTGGTTGACTGTTTTGTCACCAAAACAGTGTGGCTAAATGTTGAATATTTGCATAACGTTTACCAGGTTTAATTCGAAATCAATCAAATAAAAGTCTTATACGTCCAGACAACACATTGAGCAAATCTTACATCTGAGATGGTCGTGGTCTTGTACTGCGATCTGTCGTATTCCCATCCATCTTGGCACGGCACCTGACCGTAAGTATGATTGTCGACTTCGCTGAGTGGCTCGTATGGATCGAACTCGTACCCAGGTGGCAGGTCCCACTGCTGGCAAGTGGAGTAAGGATACTTGCTGTTCTCGTTCTCTGGAGGAGGCAGGAGGATGGATTTTTTCACGTCCGTGCAGTTGTCTTGAAACTCCACCCAGCTGGAGCAATTCTCCTGTGGCAGAACTTGGCACCAATGGTCCGTTTCGGCTGCGAAGAATACATTGCCAAAACTCACCATGGAGCAGACGATGCACAACATACAAGCGTATACGACCACAAATAACTGGTAACGACCAAAGTTGCCCACAAGGGGAACGAATTCTTCCAGCTTCATTCTGGATTAGCTCATTAGCTCCATCCAAGACAAAACTGTGCACAAGAAACTCACAAAAGTCACAGCTGAACTAGGTCTATGACTCTGTTTATGGTATTGCAAAATGGTTTGTATCATAAGAAAAATATTTGAACAATCAACTCTTTCAGATAAGCATCGCCTCTAATGACATCAACAAATTAAGTTACAGGTGTTGCCATGAACGAAGTTCAAATTCGTTGCAATAGACCAAAGGTGAACTCATCAAACTGTCTGTTTCAACAAAAAGATATTCCAATGAGTCTGAACATATTTACACTCGTTTTTATCGTTTACATGTCTTGTCGAATCGATTTTATTCAGCCATTCCCAAATATATGTACATTATATTACAATCATACAATCGACATAAATGTTATAATTTTCATTCAAAATTTACTTCAGACCAATTGTCATCCGTATCCCCAATGTACTAGTAGACAGCGTGCTGTGTTCGACATGAATATCTGCACTGAATAATGGTGCTGTTTATAGCAAATATACATAGGTTGAAAAAAATCTACCATTAGTTTTGTGTGCTTCGTACTTAGGAAGCTTACGAAATTTAATGTGGAATTTCATTTATATCATTATCAAGTTTTTAGGAGATATAATTAAAAATCATAGATTCTCGCAAATGGTCATTAAATGCTACCTACAGCTTAGGCAGGGACTTAATATGAAGTGATACACAGGGGGCATTCAATGCTGAGTTCTGGTGGTTTGTACCTATAGTTCGACCAGGTCACACGATAAAGACGTAGGCCAATCTCCTTATCCTTCAAGTCTTTTGCCCTCCCGCATCTCGAGAAAAAGACTGGATATATTGTGCAAGTAGAAGGATGGGTGAAGCATCCCAAATAAAACATATAATAGAACACATAGAACCAAACACTCCTCGTGACTGACCAGTGGATTGATTTCTTACTGAAACTTTTAGCGGATATTTTGAATTGGAAATGAAAGCAAGTAACTGTTGCCATGATAATGTTTCGATCTTGACAGGAGCTTTGTCAAAGGAAAATGACAGGCGTATACAGAAACAAAGAAGTAGGGGACACACATTCGTGCAAGGGAGGAGGAAGGAAAAGCACAAAGGATTGATGCGGGGAAAGGAACAAAGGAGCGGGGCAGTGGGTAAAGATCTAACGGGGATTTGGTTTAGTTTCTAAACCTCACTACAACTACATGAACATATACTCTTGACTTTCAAGAATACTGATCAAATACAATTATTTACATGACGCATCCTTTCTTCTAGTCTTCTGCCTGGATTGTCTTTTCCTCTTCATCCTCCAGCTTGTTATCAAAGGCCGGGTTAGTTAGGGCGCCCTCTTTGTCCGCCTCGATTTCATCGAGTCCGGTGATGGCCACTGTGTCGGCATTTTTGCGCATACATCGGCATCTGACGAAACAAAGGGGAGGATTGCTTTTTGTTAATCGACTTAATTTGAACATTTCAGAAGTCCAATAATAAGTCCTCCACCACACACTCTATCAACGTATAATGGACTCCGACCACAAGAATTCCCCGATGGTGGAAAAAGAGTGAAGATGAATGACACTTGCGTCCATTCATTTACAAAAACGCCACACTTGAAGGTCAAGGAACCAAACTATTCCAGAGGGAAAATTCCTCGCGCGCGAGTCAGTGCGCATCACTGATTCCTTACCAAGATTTCCTTATTGAAAATTACCTCTGCTTCTTAGCTTCGAATACTGGCTTAATACTCTCCTCGCTTTGTAAGAATGATAGAAATGTAGACTGTACTCACTTTCCTATTTCCTCTCCCTCTTCCAGCGTCTGAGGCAGTTTTCGTCCTTTCGTCTCCGGTAGAAGGAGCACCAACAATCCCGCCAGAACCGCGCTCGAGCCGAACACGATCAGGGGTAGACTTTCCAAGTAGTCCCCTAACAGTAGAATGATAGGGGAAAGGATGCCTCCAATCCGAGCCGCGAGAGAACTCATGCCCAAGCCAATAGATCTGCGAAGGGGGTAGATAATGGAAAACGATTGACCATGAATAGCGCCACCAACAGTAAAAAAAAAGAAAACTTAAATAGCTGCTCCGCCTCAAAATGCAGTGTATTTATTAAAGGAGCAATGCCTTGTGTTCCTTCAAAACAAATTAAGAGAGAGATAGCAGTCAGGGGCTAACCATCAGGAAAATACGTTCACACGCATGAGGTCACAGATCTTGTAGACTGTCAGGCGTATATACTGCTTGAGATTACATTTATAAGTTTCATATTCTTGCACATTAACTGAGGGCTCTGTTCTATAAAAATATTATTACAATTTTGAACTTTGAACCTTACGGTAATTTCGCCCAACACACATTATTCGCATATCCTTGAAGTCTTAATTTAAGCAGGAGATATGTTTGATCTCGTCCTTCCCTTAACCATTTCTGCTATCTTTTTAAGCCTTTGATTCTATATGGCAGCGATAACGAAAGATTAAAATAATGTGCATGTTATTAGACCTTGGTTCACTGCAAACCCTAGTGTTACCTGACTGGCGTGGGGAACAGCTCGGTTGTGTAGAGGTATATGATACCGTATGTAGCTGAGATGCAAAATTTGCCTGCCATGGACACCACAGTGCGCCAGATCCCGAGCGCTGATAGAAAGTAATGATAAAAATTAATGACTTCGACTCCAACGGAATAAAGAATCAAAGTTAGCTATGAATGCTGCACTCATTGGTGTTTAAAAATGTTACTTGTGACATAACACAGAAAGCAAACACGTCCTTTTCAACATCATGTTTGTAACATTTTCTAAACCTCGCTTCAATACCTTTTCACGATTTTTTTCCAAAATATATTATTGTTGTGACACATTTCGGCAAAATTTCGTTGCTTATAGTGTTTGATATTTAATGTGATAAGCGCTTCCGTTATTTATGTATTTATTCGTCCATTTTATCGGCCTGCGTGGGATTCGAACTCTGGTCAGAAAGTTGAAGGCGAGGGAGGTACCTCTGCGCCAATCTGACTAACCGAATTTAAATTTGACAGATTAGAAGTTGGTATTAAGTGATGGCCTTAATGTGGACTGAACTCTTCAAATTACACGTAAGATTTGATGGGATTATCAATTACAGGATTGAGCCTTTTAAGACCCATATCCAGATACTTTCAAGTAACTGTCAAAGGTATTCTTCAACTGATTGTCATTCATGACATTCACGACGTAGGCTGGGAATGTGAAGTTCCAGTTGTCTATTAAGCGTCGGGAGAAGAAGTCAGATTGGACTATAGGGCAGCCAAACGTTCCCCCAGATCGTACAGATATTGTGTCATGGGATGTCTGAAGCACTTACGGATGAAGATCGTGGCCAAGCATGCCACACCACCTATCACCTCCAACACCGCAGTGTTCCACTTGCGTCCGAACCATTCGACCCCGACCGTGGCATACAGCAGGGCCGGGATCTCCACGGCTCCCGAGATGAAGAACGCCCAGTACTCGTCCACGCCTAGATCACCAGTGCTCTGTGACAGGCCGTAGTAGATCAGACTATTGACCAACCTGAAGATGAAGAAAAGTGAGCGTTCTTAATCTTGTTTTAGTGCAAGGTTGTATTTAAAAAACAAACATTAGAAAGGGACCTTTGTGACTTGATGATCTTTCGGCTGAGTTGTACAAAATGTAATGAGAAACCCAGAAAATGTGCTTCAAATTCAGTATCATCACTGAATCGTGACCCATTCTAAACTTTACAAACATTTAAATTCCATCTTCGGCTAAGGTAATTTCAAGTCACTGACATGTTCACTCTGACTCCAATTAAACGGGTATTTGTTTTGCGTAGTTCTATAATGAGGACAACGACTGCGGGTAATTCCATTCGGTTGAGATAACATTGTTCTAAAGCCGGAATTTAATAATTTCTTGAAAGTTCTGGGGCATGTACACAAAATGCTGGTCACATTTGACTTAACACTCTTCTGGGTCAAAATGACAGTTGTCCTTGTCAAATCGACTTGCCTTTCGGAAAAAAGGCCTAGAAAAGTAGTTCAGAGAAGTGTCATTTTGATCCGAAAATGTGCCAGGTTTGTAATCCCCCAATCACCATCAGTGTATAGTTACAAAGACTGGGAGTAAAATATACCAGTACTTACCAATTGTACATCATGTTGATGGTCTTGACCGCCATGTTGGGCGTTTTGAACAGGTCAATTACAGACGGGGGAACACGTGACTCCTTCGATTCCTTTATTCAGAAAGTAAACAAACCAATATTATATTCATTTTATAATCTTCCTTTTTCATCCTTGCGGGGTTAAACTTCGGCAATGATATTGTTTTGTTTATGCTGTAGTTATTCGCCGAGTCCACGGTTACAAACTGTGCCAAGTAAAATGATGCACACAAAGCAATAATTATTCAAAGTTCGTTCGTTTGTCTCTTCAAGGCAAGGAATACGACCAACTCATCTACCCACTGAAACATCGGGAAATATCTCAGAATATATCCGGACTTCTAAATGGTTTCAATTTTATTTCAATTAGCAGACTTTAACATTATTTTAATGCTCGAAATGATGTTGCGACTTTTTCCAGTTTACATGCATATGGCGAGAATTTTCAACGCTTGTCTACTCATTTGGTTAATAAGAATTATTCGTGAATTTCGTTGGTGTCGCTGAGTTCAACATAATTTGGCAAAAGCTTACCAGTCGTAACCGTGTCTCGTGTTTAAACCACTAAAACTTCACCTCGAAGTCGGCGCTCTGGTCAGTATATAAGTCCTGAAAAGCCCCCTTCCGGGGAAATATAATTTCATAATTGTATTGACCTCATTGTCCTGCCTCAAATGTGCTCAAGTTTAGAGTCCGTGGGCAAATACCGTTTCTTGCTCAATGTCGTCTTTATTCAATAAGACGTCTGGCAGCGTCTTCTTGTTAATCTTGGCCACTCTTCTGATGACCGCCTCAGCTTCTTCGATTCTTCCCTTAGAAATCAACCAGCTTACAGACTCCTGCATGAATCTGTTAAAGAAAGAAAAATATCAGCGATATTGAGTTAAAAGGAGGCAATCAACTGAACATTTGGCGAAGTGTTGATGATTTCTTGTTTATGAAGAATGGTATGGGCACCATACCATTTGCAGTCATCCAGTCGACATTTGAAGCAAAAAAGTCAGGTAAAAAAAAAAAAGCCGCGTCGCCGCACCACTTTTTGGACAAGCTCCATACCAGAAACCGGAGACTTTTTTTGGCCTTACAGGAGTATTTTTAGTGGTGAAGAAATATAATTTTTGAGAATTCCCGGAATGAAGGGTTTAAATAAGGAGCAGATATTCAAGCATGACTTGAAACTTGGGGTTTGCGAATGACAGGTGTTCCTTTTTGTCTCTTCTGTAAAGAAAAGTCGCTCTGAAAGAGCCAATACAGAGAGTGGTTTCCTTGACGTTAGCGATGTTTCATCCTTTCCGTCCTGTGACAACAGATCCATGAGAATTAACACAAATCTTCACAGAAAAAAAAACTAAAATAATTGTCATCCGCAAACGTCATTAGCTTCATAAATATCATGGCTTCAGATTGGCTGACAAATACGTACAAAATCGGGATGAAGAAAAGCAGCGTGGGGAGTGAGACGATCAAGGAGAGGGTCCTCCACTCGCTGACGTACATCGCAGCCACTGCAAGCACGAAATATCCAAACGCAAAGAATATACCCGAAGACATTGCAACGGGTGTACGCCATGACTTCCCGACGAACTCCAACTCTGCAAATAAGAATAAAGAGTCAAATGTGTAGCATTAACTCGTTTGAATTTCGACCCATCGGCTGACTGAACCAACGAGCCTGAACCCCGCACGCACGTACTCAAGGTTCTATCCCACGGCATAAATCGCAGCCAGGTGAAGAAAACCAAATTATCCCTCAAATCATAAATAAGAGCATATTGTATAAGATCATGCATGTATAGGCCTAATAATAAAGGCCTAATCCCTCGTTAATGGAAGTTGACATTTCCCGAGTCTAGTTTGTCTATTTCCGACCCCGAGGGAGCCAAGATGGACTATTCAAATTGTTCCAAAAGGTGACAAAATATTCTTACGAAGTACAAACAGTGGGATGTAAGAGCCAATGTTGCCGAAGCCAGCGATGAAACGGAAAGCCATGTACATGTAGATGTTCACGGAGAATGTCGTGACGATTGAGCCAACGGCGAAAAACAGCACACCAACGAAAACGGTTTTCTTGCGACCAATCCTATAGATTTCAAAAGGGAAACAGAACACTGATTTCGTTTAATTTGAATATTTAATTTGATTAAATTTTCAATTGTTATGAATTGCAGAGTTTTTTTGCCGGGCTGAGTTTGCTGGCGGGTTCATTGGCAGGAAAATAGCTTTTTGTTGGAAGCATGGTTGACTGGCTGCAATGGCCGCTGGCTGGCTGGCTGGCTGGCTGGCTCCCCTGCTCCCCGGCGGGTTGGCGGGCTGGCTGGCTGGCCGGTTAACTGGCTTGCTGGCTGTTTGACTGGCCGGTTCGCCGGCTGGTTTGGCTGGCTGACAGGATGACTGTTCGTTGATACTTCCCTCGTTATTTGTTGAATTGTCTAATGATTCTATCCAAATTACCACATCGAATTCAACTTAATGTCTTGATTGGCCCAACCTGTTAAGCGAGCTTACCAGTCAGAAAGAGAGCCGCAGACGAAAGATCCCACCAAAAATCCCGCGAAGTAAATGGACTGAGCAAGGCTGGGCAGACTTCTCTTGTCACACACCAGGTCGAACTGGGAAATTAATGTCAAACAAAATGTCAGAAATATCTTACATCAAGTATATGATTTATTGTATTTACAGTTCAAGCTACATGGCCTTTAATATGGGTCGCGCTGCTTTTAAGGTCGTGTTGTTAACGCCAGTGATTGCATTTTAACTGTTTGTCCCTTTTTCATCTATTTTACTGTCTTTACTGTTGTTTCACCTGTTTGCTTATTTAAAGGTAGAGTAGATCACTAGTTATCCAAAATGTAACTGACCGAATTTAAAGAAAGTAATGCACATGACTCCCTGTGAAATTATTCCATCTGTCATGCTGTCATTTTGAAGAAAACAATAACCATTTAACAATAGTCATTTCCAAAGATGAGTCAAGTGAAGCATTTTTGGAAATTTCCGTTTGTTCATATAGTTGGTTTGTAATTGGGCGAATCCGTAAATGGGGGCGGGCAAAGCGTTGGCAGGATGCACACGCGCGCGCGTGGTTGCTACGATTCGTCCGTTCAGTGCATGGCATCGACGCGTAGCTGCCATCGGCTGAATGAGAACGTGCTCCGGATGCTGATTTCCGTCGAGCGCAACTCAAAATATGACTCGGCAATTTTTGAATTGAAATTGAGATTCTAGATTATTGTTTTCTCAGAAAATGCACCATTCATAGAGCTAAAACTTCATCACGTTAGTTGTGGAGCACCCGTCTTAGATTTTGAGCACTTTTGTTGATTCAAACGAAAAAACATGCACAAACGAATGATCTACTCAGCCTTTGACATGGCGTGTTCATTTCCTCACACAAGTGGCTGTGCACACTCTGTCACAGTCTTTGACGACATCGTCATAAACGACAACGTTTTGTTTGACTATACAAAACAGTGACACAATGTTGAATATTTTCAAGTTTGTACTCGTCCAAAAAATAAAATAAAAATTAGTCTCATACGGCCAGGCTACGCAGTGAGCAAATCTTACATCTGAGATGGTCGTGGTCTTGTACTGCGATGTGTCGTATTGCCATCCATCTTGGCACGGCACCTTGTAAGTATGATTGTCGACTTCGCTGAGTGGCTCGTATGGATCGAACTCGTACCCAGGTGGCAGGTCCCACTGCTGGCAAGTGGAGTAAGGATACTTGCTGTTCTCGTTCTCTGGAGGAGGCAGGAGGATGGACTTTTTCACGTCCGTGCAGTTGTCTTGAAACTCCGCCCAGCTGGAGCAATTTTCCTTTGGCAGAACTTGGCACCAATGATCCGTTTCGGCTGCGAAGAACACATTGCCAAAACTCACCATACATCCGACAATACTTAGCACTCCAGTGTATAAAACCACGAATAACTGGTAACGGCCGAAATTCCCCAGTAGGGGAATAATGTCCTCAACCTTCATTTTGTTTTTAAAAACAACAAAAATGAGGTCTTTACAGAAACTAAAACACTGAAACTAACCTCTTTAAAAACCACTGTCGCGTTTCAAGCAGAACTCGAACTGAACTAGTTGTCACTGGATCCACTCTTATGTCATATTGCTGGGTAAACAGTCCTCTCATTATTGAAAATAATCTCTTATAATGTTATCTAACAACCAAGGATGATGGCGTGATATCAATGTGTAAGCAAAGTTATCGTTGTCCAGAGACCAAACTGCATAAGATAACCCCATCGGTAAAGTGTAGCGCCATACATCACAGATTCCACTGTTACAAAATCATAACATGAAAGTCATTAATTGGCTATTTCGGTCACTGCTTGTTTTTTATGGAATTTTATGAGTGTTGTGAGGAATATTTTAATAATAATGATAAATAATGATAATCACCAACGTCTGTTTTTGTGGTACAAAGTTCAACTAAAATGGGAGCCTATTAACAGATGAGTATCGCTCAAGGTTCATTGTCTTAGAAGCAAAACCAAGGACAAAAGGGAAGCGAAAAGATATATAAGATCAAAAATTAACCCTAAAAATCCATCTATTTTTTTTTCTAAAAAGGGACTTGCCATTTTCATAGTTATGTAACCCTGTCCGAAAAGGATTCGGTTTTTCTTTTGTTCAACTGTATTTTTTTATATACGTGCCAGGAATAGCTCACAGGCCTGTTGTGTTGTGCTGCACTAAATCAAATGACCAGTCATCCATAAACATCATTAAGTGTTGCTTAATTTGTCTTTACCGCATTATTCCCAGGACTTTGAGTAAAATACGAACCAATTTGAATATTCCCAACTGAGCTGGATGATTCGAAACAGACAAATTAACATTAAGAAAGGTGCACACAGCATCTGTGTATCTTTTTACCCCCTCTCAACCTCAAGATGTTTGGTGACATCAAACTCGTGGCAGAGGGCGCTCGAAAAGGCCCCCATCCCTTTCACCCTTGACACCATCCGCCTAATTTAATTGCTCACTTAGTCCACATAACACTTGGAGGCTGCAAAACAAATTCAGTCTGTTAACTAAACGAGCACAGTTTCGAACCAACATGCAGTGCCATCGACTGTGGAATCGGAAATCGATTCGTAAATAATAAAGCCATATCGATTTCTAGCCGCAGATGTCCGCAACACACTTCGCACATAATAGTGTTGCTTTGTTAGAACAACCACAGATGTATCATTTCATGAGGTTGTGAGTGCACATCCTACACCAACATGGCATCCGGTCTCTACTACACGGATGGTGCAGGGAGCATCCAAGACGATGACTCCGATGAAGAGCAGGAGATTTTCTCGGTCAGCGGACGTAATGGGGGACTTGCATTCAGCCGGGCGGATGCCAAGTCCCCTGGCTTTGGCGCGATGGACGATGACATCGAATTGAGCATTGATGCTCAGGAAGACATCAATGCCATCTCAGAGCAGAACTCTAGACCGGCAAGAGACGGGCAGGATCTCAGACGAGGCGCAGATCCCCCCTCCTATCAGACTGACATCACAACCACCTCGATACCCAGAGGGTCACAAGAGGGAGCGGACGAGATAGAGGCAATGGTGGACAAACTTTTAACCGTGATCGGCTTGGGAAGGTTTCACCTGCTCTTGCTCTGTGTGTCTGGTTGTGGGCTTTTCTTTGCCTGTGTGCAGCTGGCGTTTGTGGGGTCTCTTATGCCTGATATCGCCCGTGATATGTGTCTCAGCGATTCGACAACTGGATGGCTGAGTAAATAAGATTTTGTTCATGAACAGAAATAAATTGATTTTGGGGGGAAATTTTACTCATATTTTTGGTACTGTACGGGAAGAAAAATCACGAGATGAAAAATGATTGTGATAAGAGTGAGTGATATGCCAAATATTTTGATATTTGAAGGCAGTGGTGATAGTGAGGAAGGTGAAATTAGTGAAGCATATGGTGGTGATGTGGTCCGATGTTCCCCGATACCTATGTTCCCCAAAATCCTTAGGGTAAGAGGTAGGGTTAGGGTAAGGGGAATATAGTTTTGGGAACATATGGGAATGTACACCCGGTGGTGATGATGATAATGGTGATGGTGATGGGGAATTGACGGTAAAGATTTTGTGGTGATTGTAATATTGATGATGGTAATGATTGTAATAGTGGTGATAACGGAAACGTCTCATCTGTATTCTCCAGGAGGGTCGGTCTTCATCGGAGTCATCTTGGCCAGTGTCTTGTGGGGGTGTGCTGCCGACCTCGGCTCCAGACGTACATCCCTCGGAGTATGCCTTGCGATTGCCGGTCTCTCGATGGCAATAGCAGCTGGCTTCGCCCAAAGCCGCGACGCACTCCTCGTGTTCCTCACCATCGCTAGTATTGGGTTCGTATACGCAATTGTGGACCGGAAAGGAGGGGTATAGGGCTGACTGATGTTTTCCTCCCTGATTTTGCCTTATATGGACCCGTTTAGCCTCGTCCATTCAGCCAAAATTGTTGTTTCCAGAATGTTGAAGTGGCATCCAAGACGATAGAGAATTGCGGTTGTTTTCATTTATTTGTTATATATTTATTTCTTTTGTCTTCTGCCGTCTTTAAAGATGCATACGCCGTGCTCTTCAAATGTTGGGTTTTATCTCCCAACGAATTTTTTCAATTTGTATGTTTTGTTTTAACGAAAAATCTACTTAAATCCGATTTTGGGCGTCTGTAACCCTCTACAAACGAGCTTTCATATTGTGCAAAAATGACCCAGCCCTCCGAGAGCCGAATTTAATATCTGGCAGCCAATAATTCGAATTTTGTGAAAAAAAGTAATTCAACAATAACTAAACGTCAATCTCATTCAAACGTATATAACTGTTATATTGCTATGAAATTGAAAAAGAAAATATATTTTCGATTCGAAATTCGAAAATAGCCAGGAATCTCATTTTTAAAAGTCTACCCTCCCGCTCAAACTTTGTTTTTGTTCCCCAAGTATAAAAAGGGGCACTTGTCAAGTAGCATATTACAGCATGCGGACAGCTCGCCTGACCATTCTATGCCGAGGGCGCCCTCTATTAACTTTTGGCAATTTTCGTTTAATATTTTCTCCAACGTTGGGCTTAACACGTGTACTCCTTGTATTCCACGGTAGCCATTTCCTTCTTAATAAGTCATGTGACAGAAAAAAAACACGATGTTGTGGTGCATATGATCTAAGAAATACCTTTGGCAATGAAATTACAGTTTGGAAATGAGTTGCTAAAAATTAAGGAATATTCATCATCTTGCTATTTATTTAGCACTATCATGTCTTGTTAAATATAACGTACTCTCTGGACATCCCAATAATTCCCCCTTCTTAGTGGTCTAGTTTCCTTCGTTCTTGGTTTCCCACAGTACCGGTGGCGTCATTTCCATCCCCTTCGCGTACGTCTTCGAATTCCTGCCCAGACGGACGGCGCAGAAGACGGCGTGTGCCCTGCTGGCCTTCACGGTCTTTGGAGCCATGTTTGTTCCCCTGGTGACACCAGCCTTCACCTCGAGTGTTACAAGAATGGGTAAGTCAGTGTCATCCCCCAACCACCGCCACGCCCCCACCCCCACCCCTACCCCCACCTCACCCCATTTAATTGATTTAAGATGAACTGTCCATGCTCTTCTATCACTTCGATTTTTTTTTTGTCGATTCGCAAATTTTCAAATAAATAAAGTATGATTTCTGTTTGGGGCGTCTGCAGCCCTTTGAAAAGGGCTTTTATTGTGGGTTGCGATAAGGGTGTCGAATGAGGGTGCTTTTACCATCAGCCTGTACCGGCACCCTCGATTCGCGGTGCGCTAGTGTACAATGATTGCTTTCACTGTGCAATTATCGTTTGTGGTTAAATTTTGATCGTTATTTTAACCTCGTTCTCTTTGCGAAGTTTCCTCCGGAGATTTTTCCCCAAGCACCTTCGCTGATTGGCGCATCTTCTGTATGGTGTTATCACTTCTGCCACTGTCCTCCGCGATGCTACTGGCCGCAGCCATTCTGCCAAGAAGTCCACATATTCTGCTAGAGGTAAAAACAAAATTAGTTATTACATGTATCGCTTTATCAATAGAGGGCTTTTGTAATCGCCACTTACAAAGCGTTTTGCTAGAGACGCTTACCTTGAATTATGAACAGTTATTTGAGTACAAATGATCTAAAATCTTTCGGATGTCTTCGATTTGCTTTTAGTGTTATAATTATTGCCAAATAGTATAGATAACTGTATTCTTCGTCCACCCGAAGAAAAATCCAGGCTGATTAAAAGGTGACAATTTATTCTAAGAAAGAAAAAGTGTCCAGAGAGCTTAAACTCGCCATGATGCCATTCTTCTTTATAGTTTATATATCGTTCGTAATAATTTTGCATTTTCTATTTTTTTTTTTGTTACTTCTAGAAAAGACTTTGGGCCAATGCGATCCAGACACTGGCAAAAGTTTACTCATTCAACCACGGTGAAGCAGGAGTTGAAATGTTCAAAGACAGAGTAAGGAGATAATAAATATCACAAAACGTTTACAATACACCCACGTTCGGGCCAACAATATGTTGATATTCACAAAGCAGCCATCTTTGTATAGTTCCCTGACGTGATGGTATAATATCACTATGGTCCCACACAACACTGGACGCACCATACCATTCTCAACATGAGGTAAACTTTTACCTTGTACTTTATCCTTAATTAATGTTTTCTGGTCGTGTTCTTGTTCTGTCTTAATTTCGTCATGAAAACTTTTGTTTCAGGCTAATGGTTTGTACCGTCTGAAGCGGCATATCAGAGATCGACAGCCGCCCGCCCCGAGCACTCACCTCCAGAGCTGCATGAGACTATTGAACACGGTAGGCCGGATTTCTCAACAACATAAAACAGAGATATCCTGCTAAAAATTAAAAAGAAAATATGAATCTCACACAGATCTCATTTGTAAGGTTTTGTATTTGAAATGACTCTGTTTTCATGCCGATCACGTCATCCATGGTGATCAAAAGAAAGGAGGACGGCGGCACAAACATGATCATATTTACATATCAAAAAGAGGCGTGCGTTGATGTAACTAGGTTTATTATACTTCAGGGAACTGAGCCGTCTATCAATATTTTGGGAAATTTAAGACAGTGTGGCACTCATTTCATTTTTTGCCGGGAGGAAGTATAATATGTTGACCAATTAAGTGTGGCTGTGGCATGCACCCGCCGGTGTCCCGTTAAGTCTCACTACCCATTTTTTTAATGCTCTCTTCTCTCCTGCCAGGGTGTCAAGAATGTGACGTCCATCTTGGACAAGAAGACTTTGGTCATGATGGCGGGTGCCTTCTCCTTCGCATTCGGGTATGTGCATGAACTGGAGGTGGCGCTGTGAGGCTTACTCATGCAAGCCAGTGAGGGACAAATCGCGTCCGCGGGCGCGGAAATTACGTCGTATGGAGTCCTCCAATACCCACAATCTTCTGCAAATTGTTTTTTTTCTCTCTCCGAACCTAACTTTTGCCATTTACATGGTGTACATTTCCAAACCTCAAATCACATTTCTGCTCAGTTTATCGCCGTAGGCGTTGTCGAGCATAGTTTAATTTTGCAAGGAATCCATACCTACATTAAGCCCTGCGGATTGTTTTTATTGCTCCATGTTTGACCTTCGGTCAGCGGCAGGAGTACAGAGTAAGCATTGGTTTCTCTCCCGAGGTGGACAGTTTTATGTTCGAATGTTACGTATCAAAATGGAAAAGAAAGCTAGCGCTGCAATGCGCTCTCTTGGGATGGGTGAACTCTGACTGGATGGAAAATCCAATTGATTACATAGGATCATGTCACAATTGCGATTATTATTGTTTCTTTTCAACTGGCTTTAGCTTCCGAATTGGCACAGTGTTGTGTCGCAAATTGTTGAAAAAACACGACCGATACTTTTTCATGAAAAAAAAACAAGTGCCGCGGGCCTGTTTCAAATGTACTCCTTGTTATACAACCACACACACGCACACATCCACATTTTGTTATTCGGACCGAGTTCAAATGACAGGGGTTTTTTTTAAACTCAAAAACTTGAAGAATGTTACAATATTGAAGGTTTTTGTGTCCGATGTCCAAAACGTTTACTACATTGTTCTCGTTACTACAGTACGACAGCTTCATATTCGTTGAAGAGTAGCGACATTGGCTTCATCCTAATCCCCTAGGCCCTTTTGGCTAGGAACCATCCTCAATCCTCCATGTAAACATTTGATTCAGCCTCAATCCTCCAAAATCATCCATTATTTCTTGAATTTGTTCAGTGGAGGGTTGACCATTGCCTCAATCCTTCAAAATCCTCCAACAATTACTGTTAACGGGTTAAGGCAGTGCGGATGACATTCAGAGGCATGGCCGATGATATCCAGCATCAATAAATGCACGACTGAACGTACTAAACAATGCTCGGTACAGCTTACGAACTCCACACAATGCATCCTCTAAAATCAACCAACCCTTCTTTTTGCCATTAAGCCTCAATCCTCCAGACTTCTCCAAATCCGCCTGGATGATGGAGGATTGAGGCAGGTTAAGACCTTCGTACCATTTATTTATTTTTTGTTAATGTCACAAGAATCCTTTTCAGAGAAGGTAATCATTTAGGCTGCTTTGTGGGATGAAAAAAACTGCAGAGTATAATTTCTGAAAAGTAAAAAGGAGAAACTGAAAACTTAAGCCAAATTGTTCACGTAGCGGAAGGCGTGAACATATCGATGCGCTAAGCTATCCGTTTTATCTTCTTTCACAGTTACTGTGCGTGGACACTATGGATGACAGATTTCATCATTGCGGATGGACGCAGATATAACGCCAGCATCGTCGCAAATGCCACCTTCAGCGACACGACATTCACGAAATTACTGGAGAAGCAGATATTCATCAACACAAGTTTTCAGAATGTCACTTTCCTCGGCATCCATCTCCGCGACTTGTCGTACACGGGATGCTCCTTCACCGAGTGCGTCTTCGAAAACGTGGCCAGCGATGCGACGCTCTTCACCCGCTGTCTCTTCGTGAACACGCGCTTCCGTAACACGGACTTCCAGCCGCCACGCCAGTTCGTGGGTGGTACGGAGCTGGTGAATTCCAGCCTAGCAGCACCGGGGGTTAGGGACCGTGGATGTTCGGTGGATGTGCCCTTCGCCCCGGACCGGGCTTACTGGCGGGTACTCTCCGGGCACTGTGGTGGTTTCTTGGGCCTCTTTCTGTCAGTTCTCGTTAGCCGAGTAATTGAGACATGGCGACTATTCAGTAAGTAAGCCGATAAAACCGACTCGCTAACCGGCAATTTGAGAATTGTATTAATATCTGTACAATTTGTCCCAATTGATATCCGTGGGTATCGCAACAATTCTGGTTTAATATGAAATTACAAGGTGAAGTCCAGTTTACTATTCTGCTCCGCTTCAGTGTAAACAAACTAATCTTGAAAATAAATGAATTCTAGTTACAATAAAAAGCAGTCACCTCTTTACTCTTACAAAGATTATTTCCATCATATTGGCATCTAAAAGGTATTAACAGTTGAAGCACACCCTCATTGTTGTGCATTTTGAGAAGTCCTACAACCCAAACGAGTCCAGGTATCTCACTTCGGGTTGTATACAACCATAATGCAGATTCGTTCAAAATCAAAAGGCCTGTCCATGTCATGGAGAGTAGGCCGACCATTAGTAGTGACCATTACTGTGGCCACTTTCCATAGACTTGAGTATTATTTCCAGCCATAACGAAGTAATTCGGACGCGGTCTAAGATACTGCATTTTGCATAACTGTAGCCAAACATGCACGCTCAATTCGTATACGGGCCCTCACCATTCCTTTTCGTCATTTTTCCCCCCAGTGTGTGGCGCCCTCATCACAGCCGTGACAATACTCTTCGGATTCTTTCCGCTGACGGGCTGGACTGCGGCTGCGCACCTCTTCTGCCTCCAGTTTGGCGGGTTTATGGCCTGGAGCGCCCTCACCGTCCAAGCAGCAATGTCATTCCCAACCAACAAAAGGTAGTGACAATTTACCACAAAAAAAATAACAAACAAAAGTTTAAAAGCCGAAGCTGACGGACGTGTTGCAACAAAAAGACAGAAGTTTCTCATTCAGACCAGATAATGATAGCTTAATTTTTAATAACCCCTATCTGAAAGGTATCTGAAAGGTTGGTGTTATTTTCGAGTTTCACCCCGAAAACAGATTTGATTTTTATTTGTTTGTTTTTAGCAATACAAAAGTTTTTAACTTTTGAATGAGAGATCGAACGACCAAAAAAACCATTAAGTTACTATTTCCCAAATTTTGATTTATTTGCGGCCCTACAATAAATCCAATTCTCGCAAGCCGGAGAACAAAAATCAGCCTTGAGGTTTCACTTTTTTCCCCCAAATAATGTTCCGATTGAATTTTTGGTCATCTTTTCAACTTTGAAAGCTAAAAGGGTGCATTCTTGGGCATTTCATTCAGCAAATTGTGATAATCGTTTAGCTTATATCTCAGTGCACGACATAGGTGCAATCGCTCCAAAACATAGCAATTTTTCAGGGCTGTACAAATTAATTTTTTCCTCCTGAAGTTACCATGTAAACGATTTAACTTGAGGCCTCTTGGTGTGTGGACTTTACAATGAATAAAACCCAGGCTTATGTAGGCCGGTTATTGCAATTCCAAATCTAAACTGTTGTTCGCCTGTTGTCCTTGGAGTTCGATCCTGATAATCCTCCCCGCTGGCTGCAGACATTTCACTTCCATATGCACCATAACACGAGCCAAATTGAACTTGTTGTTGACTAGTTCCAGACGTAGAAAAGGCTTTTGCTTGGGGGTGAAAGACTGAATCCTAAGTTAAAATCATAAACAATTTTGTACATGTGATAATGTACACTTGTTATTTATTTCTCTATACATACACAGGGCGACTGGATTGGCTATACTAGTTTCTGCGGTTACAACGGGCGGTCTGCTAGGTTTTGTTGCCGTGGTGGCGCTGCCGAAGGTTGCTGACGTCATCGTGACGGCAGTGGCTGTCCTAACCAGTGCAGCGTGTATGTACAAATTAGCTGTTAATAGTCATATGAGACCTTTATAGTTTATGGAGCTGTGGGTGGTCTTTTGCCAAAATCATACTTCTCTAATGCCGCAAAAATAAATGATTGTATAAGCGGCAATATTCCCCCGGGCAAATTTTACGGTTACTGCAGTAGTGCATCGGGGGGGGGGTACCCCACCCCTGTTCAACCGCTGACGAATGTTATGATACGAGTAAAATGGGCCAATATAGTAAATGGAATGTTAAAGTTCCTAAATTTATTCTCAAATTGCCTTAGAATGCAGAGGGCATGCCCTGGATCCCATTACCAAGGCACGCTTTCACTCAACCACCCCCCGCCCACACCCCATATCATCAACAACAACCCCACACCCCCATATCAACCCCTCCCCCTCCCGTTTCCAGTAAGCTAGATCCGCCCCTGTGCTGCGCGAATATAAAATTTAAGCAGGGCTTTCTCTCTATGATGATGGGTGTTTTCTTTTTGCACTCTGTAAATCGTAGGCACTATCCATGTTCCTATTTGTTTTAATGTCTAAACTAATTCAGCACATCCATTTTAAAAAATTGACTTATTTCTTGCAATTGATTTTGGTGATAGTCGGGATAATGCGTCCATAATGCAGTAGTACGATTTTTGCTTTCTTTTTCCTACGTTGCAGGTTCATATTTCTTCCAACGCCGTTCCCAAGACGAGAGACAGCATTCATAACTACAGTTGAGAAAGAAGTGTGGTCGAGTGTGAATTAAAATCACCTTCCCACGATTGTTAATTTTAACACTGGTAGAAGGAACGATTTTCAGGAGTATTTGGGCTGTACGTTACAAACTCTTTAATTTCAAATAATATCACAGAAAAGACTGTAGGTTTCTTTTAATGATGATACAAAATGACTTCTCCAACTGTAACACCCAAGTCCTAATTTGTAGCTCCGTCCAAATTCAGATCTCTATAACTATAAGAATATTTACGCTGACATGCCTACATACTAGATTCGAGGCATAGGAATGCATGTCCTGTTAACTTTCTCTGGCCCCTGTATGCGATCGAGAGAAGCGGACGATTTAATCATGTAAACATGGGTTCATCACTCCAAAAGGCGGCTCCGATTCCTGATCGGACCGGAAAGATTCCGGAAACAATGGCAATCAGGAATCTAGCAGACTTCTGCTGGGGGAAAAATGCCCTATGAAGACACAGGTCAGAGGTCAATGTGGCCACTGAGTATTTTGTACATGTGCATATCAGGATTCTTATCATTTCATTACCTGACATTATGCAGTCATGGCTTCCGGAATGACACAACGTGGGTTCGCACTGATTTGTAGCTCAATTGTAGGTCACTGATGCTGACTGAGGTTAGTACAAGCGTAAAAAAAACATCGATTGATTTGACACTCGAAATGCACAGTTTCATCAACAAAACAGTTTCATCGAAGATGAAGGTCGATCAAGTCAAGGTAAATGTTGTTAAATCGATCAAATTGCTGTAATAAGTGCACGGTTATGTCACTTGTAAAAACGTGTGAGTGTGTTTTTTTTTGCACCGTTAGTTGTTATTTATTCACCACGATTATAGACTGATATTTTTTCGGGCCGTTTATACATATAAGACCTAATACAAAACTCAGTCCTTTAGAAATGTTTCTCTTTTTTTTCGGAAGACGAACTCTGAATCTGTTTGCGACACCTAGATGAATGCTTTTAACGTTTGTATGTACCATATTGCAGTATCCATGCGCAATAAATTAAAAGAGTTTAGTACAAAAGTATTACCTCCGGATATTGAGATGTCGTTTATTGCCCCTTCTATTTAAAAGCTCAAGTTTACATTGTCTGGAAAAAAATCGACAGACACTTCAGTTCCTCGAACTTTGATGCTTCTGCACTGCCTCATGAACCCGTCTCCCTTTAGTCGATGGGTTATAAACTATAATGTAATGTAATCCAGTTATGTGATTTTTATTGATATACACAAAATAATAGAGAAAGGTCAGGGGTTACGCTGTAAGCACACTCCAGCGGCTGTCTGGCACTCGTCTACGGTAATAAATAGTCTTTCAGCCCGCTACCCTGTGTCCGTGGACGTGGTACGCTATTTCCCTTTTTTCACACCTTCAATTCACCCTCGCAACGAGTTGGGGAAAAAAAGATGCACTTTTGCCCCGTGGGACTGACAAATCTAAAGCTAAAAGCTTTCAAATATTGTTCAGCTGGAGGACATTCTACGAGGGGATTGACTCTAGTAAACCTTCTCGCATGCATACACCGAGTTGTTCTGTACCGGTGTTATTTCTAGGGTTTAGCACAGCCGGTCGTGTGGGCGGGAATCGCACAGTGACACGGCTGACTTTGATACCCTATAACGTGACGTCATATCGTCTTCTGGAGGACATTATGAATATATGAAGTTGCGCAGTATGCATTCCAATCTTCTGTACGTGTACATGTATAATGTACATACAGGCCTAGCAGACTTGCAATTGAGAGAGGATAAGAAAATAAGGGATACGTACACCAGGCTAGCTGATACGAATGTCTAGTCTGACATGGGCGAGCTACCGAGCGACCTCGATGGTTAATACCGTCCGTGCGTTTTACAAGTCCCAGGCTTCTGGAGAAAATCCCTGCTACCGTGACCTTGCTATTTCTTCCGGTCGACATTTCTCGCTCTGTCTGCATCCGTATCCAACTTCGTACACATTCTCGGAGTGAGCAGATTTATCTTCTTACTGTGCTCGTGGAGGCAAACGCAATCCGTGCATGGCGACACTTTTTTCGGTCTTTTTGAAGACATTAAAGTGCTGCTTTGAATCTGTTTTATAGAAATTGGATTTCATTTAAACATCTTCGTTGCTCAAGTGTGATACAAGAAAGAAAACAACTGAATAAATTCTGTTGCCTTAGACGGATTGTCGGGTGATCGTGTGTGTGTGTGTCAGTTTTGGGGGATATTAATGGGTGGTAGAATTAAAGTGAAGATGGTTTGGACACGATCAAACTTGTCACTCATTCTGGTGATGGTGTGTGCAATCTGCAAGCTCAGTGCGATCCCTTCCCAGGCGTGCATGATGAGGAACGAAGCATGGACGCCCAAATCGCTGGAGAATCGTACCGTGCTTGCTCCGTTGGTGATCGCCGGGACTGTGCTGCGACTGCGGGACCGGGCCCTGACGCCGCCCGGAGGCAGCGGCGTGTACTCCGCCGAGGTCGAGGTGGATGAGGTATACAAGGGTTACCCGTTCTTCAACAAAGTCTCGGCTCTGACAGACTCCGAGTCAGACGGCAAGGTGTATCTGATCGGGGGGTTTGGGTCTAGGGAGAGATGTCTGGCACAGGTGGAACCTGGAGGCAAGTACATCATGTTCCTGACTGCTGTTCCCGTGAGGAACGGGCGAGAGGAGGACGGCATGAGGCTTCTGGCAAGATACGATGACATCTTTGGAGCAGTGGTGGAATTTGACGCAGAACAAGAGGCAAGGGTGCACAAGGTTGTAGGTGAGTAAGGATTTTTATTTGAGTTATAATATCTCCCCACTGTTTCTATCAAAGCGCTGTTACGTCTTACCCGAGGAAGATCGTTAAGTTTCAGGGTTAGTAGTTTGGTAAGCTTAAGACAAAAAGTAAGAACATACCTCTTTTGGAACACTGCGCGCAAAGTGAGTCAAAGGAGTATATCAGAGAAAGATGGGCGTGACTCTAGAGACTTGGGTTGTTGGAGAATGAGCATGCAATTCTTTGTCTACATCATAACCTAGGGCCGAATGAACCATCAACTCCAACGGGGATAGGCATGTTTCAATATAGCTCTGTGTACATGAGGGCAGCGTTAGCTTTATTCTCGTCTCTATACCTCCCCCCCCCCCCCCCCTCGAAGGATATTAAAACTCCGAGTCATAATTTCCTCACGGAGATCGGAGACACGTTTTACTTTTGCTTTCAGTTTTGTGATTTCTATCCACCTGAGCTTAAGCCTGGGCTAAAGCAGCGTTCGGTGAAAAAAAAAATTCAAGGAACCAATCTTCGCATGTACTTATTTCGCAATCACTGGAAAGTAATATCGGGTTGAACTTAGATCGAACAAAACGTCTCTTTCTTCCCAGGCCTGTCCAGGCATAGCACCTGTTAGCGTTTTGTCTCTGCCAGTGCGAATAGGGGACCTGTAATCTTTGAAACACACACATTCACACAGGGGCAAGTTTCGATTCAGCTCTTTGAAGTTTCAAACTCGCCAGATTGTCTTGAATTCCAACCAAACGCACATCTGCTATGTGCATCACCGTTTTTCTCCAGTGTCTCGGGCAATTTCAAGGCCCCCGAATTCCTGACATTTGGGGAGATTTATCGACGAAAAAGGGGAAAAGGAGGAAATTGATTTGACTTCAGGGGAAAGTCCCCCGCGACCGTGGCCCCTCAGTAGGGAACTAAGTTCCCACGCACGTTGCTGATATTTTCAGTATGTGACACATTGCATTACTTAATTTCCTTGTAAACAAGTTTTTTTATTATCGTTTAAGACGAAATGTTCCGGTTCTCAGCGTTTAAAACCCCACATTCGCCTCGCCAGATCGTAATCTAATCCTCAACCAATTCATCAATAGAGTTTCCTAGAAGAGTCTTTTCAGAGAGCACCTCTACGTGATTTTTGAGGTTTTAAGAACCCGTTTTGTTATAGTGCGGTTGCGATCGCCAAGAGTCATTTTTTTTTCCAGCATTATTTTTGTATGTCTATGGTTTTTAGACTGTTGAGCGGATGGGGGCGCTCTTTAGACGCCATATTAGGGGTTGCAAAAGAATTTGATCAGAGGTTGATGTACGTTTGCAGCTTGCTATTTACCCAATTTTACAAAAAATTGATACCAGACTGAAGAGAAGTTGAAAAATTGCTTCGGTTAATGTTACAAAGGACCATTTGCTTTTTGCGTGCATATTTTCATTTGAAGGAAGAACATTGCTCAAAATGTTAATTAATAAGGGTGCATTACAACTATCTTGCTAATTCGGTTTCAGCTCAGTGGATTATACATTATTGTTGGGGTCTTGTAATGGATTCCGTTGCTAACGCACGTGGTAAATAAATGTGCCCGAGGGCACATTTTTTTTCAAACCATCTTCAATGATTGTTTTCTTCCGAATGAAAAAGGACAAAGACAAACTGAAAAGGGTTGTGAAACAAGCATCAAAGATTCTGGGAATGGGAATAAATTTGGATGAAGTCTGCAGGGAGAGGGTACTAACTAAGGCTCGAAGTCTAAGTGTGGTGGAAAATGGTGCGCATCCCCTCAACACATACTTTAAAATACTTAGTAGTGGTAGGAGATTTCAGTCGGTAAGGGCAAGAACAAACCGGTATCTCAATTCATTTGTACCATTGTCCACACGTCTCCCTAATGATCAGCACTGATGCAACAAACATGTTCAACTACACGTATCTTATCATTATTCCCATCTCCAACGCAGTCAGGTTTTTCATTTTGATACTGTTTTTCCGGATCTGTCATTTTGACTGATATGCTTAAATATTTATTTTCATAGTAATCGTAAGTATTATTTTAGTAATTTGCTTATTTAAATTTTCTGGATTATATTAATGAATTATCTGTTTATGTATTGCATGTGACAAATCAAATTTCCTGGAAGGACCAATGAATTGAAATTGAATTGAAATTGAAATTGAAAAAGAAATTGAATTGAATTGAATTGAATTGAATTGAATTGAATTGAATTGAATTGAATTGAATTGAATTGAATTGAATTGATACCATTTCAGGTGGAGGAATTTCTCAAGGTATTTGGCTCAAGTCCTATCTTCACTTTGAGCGATGATTGTCTTGTTAAATTGCAGCCTTCAACGTGGATTTCTGCCCTTTGTTCACATAAAATTGCGCTGAATTTGGTCTTTTCCACGACCTGTCAAATCGAACTAACTCATGCCACTTAACGGAACTACTCTCCCGTCTGATGCAGATGACGACCAGGCAAGGGGCATAGCAGCGTGCCTGTAGCCTAGGTGTCGTGGCGGCCTGTCATGTCACATTTCACGGCATACCTCCGACATGATTGACGCGCCAAACCACAGTCTCCCGGAGAACTCATTCCACGAATCTATTAGCTGCCTTTATTCCATCTAGCGAACATTTCGCGCACATGTTCACTTTTGATGCCATACGAAACGCCGCTCATTTTATTCTCTACCCCGATGAACAGCAGGAGTCAACGGTAGCTCATAAGTGACATTCCGACTATCAGTTAGTGTTAGGTTCAATGTCGACCGCCCGCGGACGACAAGCTTCACAGGTGCTTGGTAATTAATAGACCATGTCGTCCTTTGAAATCGACATTACCCACATTTCAAAAGTGGAGTTTCTATTATGCTTACAAACAGAAAGACTGTCACAACATCAAAACAGTGGGATGTATAGATACATTCTTGAAAATGTATACTAACATTAAGGAGTTTAAAGGTTTGTGTCAGTTGTCGACATTATTTTCTAACATTCACGACAGGCTTGGGACTTGGCCAAACGGATTTTCTTTTATATTATACGAGAAATTTTCAGCAGATATAGAAATTGGCAGCTATCAAACTGCGGCATATAGTATCACTTCAACTCAAGGTAGATACCTGGCAGATTTTCTCATGAGAAAAATCAACAGAAGTAGAAATTCAACAGAAGCAGACTCAGCATGTTGCAGGTTCTCCTGGTCCAACTCTGACCGTGAAATCCAGGACTTTTCACCGCCCCGGGCTGAGTTTGTTCCCGGGAGTAAACGGGTCAATTTCACCGCCATGTCACAGATACTGACACCTCCAATCCGTTACAGGCTGGACGTTACACTGGGGACGATATAAAGGGTAAACACCTCTGGAAGGCGGACAGAAAAGAACTTGGATGGACGTTTAGCTACCAAACAACCTCGGTTAACCCTTTCGGTTCTTCGGGAAGGAAATGACGCAATCAGGTGGTATGTGCAAAGACGATCGAACCAAGAATGTGACTAAGTCGGATGCCCCCGTCAAGAGCAATTAATATGAGTAAAGTTTGAAGTATAGCAAATGTTTCCGGTCTTGTTCATCCGCAAATTGTTCCAGATCTTAATATTCCCCTTTGAAAGCTTTTATTCCGTTGCGACGGGAGATGATTGCGAGGAGTTGACTGCGAGGAGTGTTGACTTTATACCGCAGTAGTGAATTGTCGTGCCCTGGGTTCGAATCCCAGCTATATTCCGACACGTGGATCGAGTTTTCAGACACTACGTTTCCATTTGTTTCCCTAAAGCTAAACATGTCTCTAAATTTCGTAAAGCGTCAGAGCCACAGTATTTATTGTGCATTACTGAGAAGAGAACCGGTTTCTTTATTACAAGAAACAATTCGTTAAAATAAATTTAAAATGAAACAAACAGTCAATGTCAATTATGTCATTGTGTGATTATACAGATATGTATGACAAGGCAATTCATCTTCGCCTTTCCCTGATGTTTTGGTCATGACGTCAAATAAACCTTTTTTTCTGCATCTGAGCTTGAAGATGCTGGAAGGTGCATCTCCCCTTGATGGCCGGCATCAACATTAATCTTGACTCGTGCCAGAGCGAGATGTGGATGTGCGCAGCTGTCAAACGTCTGTGCCACAGAATCAGCAAACACTGCGTGAAGTAAATCATTATTTGCTCAGCGTCCCCTGGGATTTAATTGAAAGCATCTGGGTTGGAATTTATGTCAAGGTGCGCGTCTGCGCGAGCCAGCAGCGCGAAGACACGACGTCACCGGGCGCCTAGCGTGTCTCTCGGGCCGTCTTCAAGGGGCGATCTCGGGTAGGGGATCCTCACTTCGCCCGCTGGTCGCTGTGGGTGACTATGTTTTGAAAGGTTGCTACCAAGTTTGGGCAGGTTTTGACTCTCGCAACAAACGGACCAAACTTTTTTTTATCCAATAACTCCTCATTCCACATTTATTGAACATTTGAAAGTCCAACTATTTCAAATGAATTTCCCAACGTTCGTCTGCTTACAATCATTGATGTTTTGTCGACAGACATGAGTGTTTTTATGTATACCAGTTAAAAGTATGAACTTTTTATGCATTTTTTCTTTGATCATAATTCTATGTGATAACTGAAGGCGCGGCGTGTAAAATATAAAATGTCAATAAAGTTTTCTAACGTACACTTTTACTCAGCTGTTTAAAAAGTGCACGACCACAGGGAGTCGTCGTGAGTTCTGAAGACATTTAAATTTATTCCCGAAACAGCAGGCACATTTGCTGAGTATTGACCCCAAAATTCCTTCGGGTGCCATAATTGAAAGGAAAGCCACACGATCGTCTGGGGTATACAATTTACGCGCACTTCGTTCTATCCCAAAAGCCCATGTGGGAGCATTAATGTTGCTACTTTTCTTGCGAGGAGGGAGTTTTACCAGCTGAAAGTATGCCACGACCGTAGATATATAGCTGGAAACAGAAACCACGCTGCGTATAAACACGTACACATCTGAAAGCTCTCAGATGCCCTGGCTGTCATAATTTGATAATTGAAGATAAACACTGAAAAGTGGGTTCACCAGGAGTGCAAGCCAACGCAGCGCTACTTGCATCTACTTCGCCCGGAATTTCTCCATGATGAAACCAACTCTGAAGTGTATTCAGAGTGTGACGTCATTGACCTCCGCCATTTTGTAGGAATATTTGGGCCTATTCCTTCTTCAAATCCCAAATGACTTTTTAAGTCTAATTCCATGTCAGGGAAGGAAATACAGCAATTTATTACTTGAGCGCAACAATAAATTGCACGCGTGTTTCGTTACTTGAATGACGTTTCATGCGTACTCCGTCTGTCCAGTAAAGTTTCCTTCTTGGGTTGTGTATAGCGCCCTCAGCGGTTCGTTTCCGTACGTGTAGTGCGGGCTGTTTTTGTTTTCGGTATGCACTCGACAAGAAAAACATGCTTTTCGCTGAGGTTTCCAAATTCAGAATCTGTTCTCTGAATGTGTCGTCAAATCCACGATAGTATCTGGCTACCGGCACTTGTTAGAAAAATATGTCCAACTTACGGGAAATGTTTTACTGTGAATGGTGCAACAAGTTTAGCTTTTTTAATTCCAAGCCGAACGATGATAAATTGCAACCACGGAAATTGAATTATCGCTGATTTCCCTCGGTGTACATATTGAATTAACCATGCATCCTTTACGAGTAAATTAGCAATCTTAAGTAATCCTTAATAAAATGGTTTGTGAAATTCTGTTTGGCTACCTCTTTGGAAATCACGCGAGTCGTTTGCTGAAGGGTGTTGTTCCCAAAATGTTCCTCAAAATTGCAGAGGAACCGAAGCTATAGCACTCCTAAAGAGATGCGTTTATTATTAGTGAGTTTTTTTTTTAGCTTTTCCAGAGAAATCTGCTGGGTCTGGGACTCTGGGTGAGATGCGAACCCGGCACATGTGAAAGGCGAGGAAAGTACCACTGCGTGAAATTGAGCACCAGAACTGATTAAAAGCTATGGGCTGTGTGACTGTTTGGATCGATTTAATTAAGCGATTTAACTGAGCTTACATTTTGCCATGAGACACTGTCCTGCTTCCACCATCGGTCATTCTAGATTTACTGCTCTAAACAACCAGAGAGCACCAGACTAGTCACCTGCTAGGGTCACGACATCGAACGGGCTGGACTCACTGCAGTAAATTAAACCTTACCCTAGATTTATACACAGGAAGTTGTATTCTCTGACCAGGGTTGAATTATTGCATTTCAAAATACATTGGACACAGGAAGTAGTTCTCACAGGTTTACTGTTCGTGATGTCTGGAGTTATAGCTTTAAAGATATCCTTCAGCATTCGCAATTGGGTTTATATCTCAATTTGGGAAGATGTCCACGAAAGGCTGGACATTTGTGTCCAATCGTTTCAAAATGAACATAATATCCACAAATTTTGACGATCTATTTGAATTATTTTATATACTTATGGTTTTGCATTTGCTTGAAATATTGCGATGTATTCGATATAATGTCCTGTTAATTTACATGGAGTTGGGGGAATCGTTTTGGTAAAAAAATCCGGCCATTCTTCAGCAGAACCACGCGCACATGCAATTGGGACGAGTGTAATCGTTCAACGTCGTTGACACCACGCATAAATGTCACATACCATTCGGCAGTCCTTATAAGAGGGTAACTCCACCTATATACTTTCCTCTTATCACGTCAGTACCCGCCATTGTAAATAAACTATGGAGGTTTAGGGTCAGGGAGTGTGTGGAGTGCTCGTTAATCGCTAGTAATGTTGAAAAGCAGCAGCGGGCAAGAATTAATTTGGACGGCTCTTCCGTTTAGCTAACAAACTCGGTACGTTACCACCATAACTAGGGGCCAATTTGTGAGAGATGGCTACTCGGGCTTCTAATTTTGGAAGTGGGGTTCAATTGGCCTGCCCACGAGTTTCAACAATATCATTAATGGCTTCTCAAAATTCGGAGGGGGCGCGCGCTGGGGGTACAGGCCTGGGGCGAGGGGACTGGGGGCTGTGCCTTGATTTGATTTGAAGTTTGATTTGAAATGATTGATTGATTGATTTGCTGATTCGGGTATCTCTTTTGAAAAAAAGACAGCTTGGACGGATCCCAGCATTATAGTTTCCCTTTCTAAACACTGTAAACACGTTGGGCAAAATGGGTTGATATGTAGACCAACGTTGGTCAACATATCAACAGGTTAAACTCTTGGGCGAATTTTTCCCATTATTGTTGGAAAAGTTTTACCCAAATTTAGTAATTTCAAACCAATGTTGGGTAAAATTATATTGCCCAACAGTGTTTTACCCATTATTTTTTACAGTGAAGGCATAATGTAATGTCCCTCCTCGGTGCTCAGACAATCATTTTCTGTTTTGTGAAGAAAAAATCTGTCAAAATCTCAGAAATCATGATGAACCGATTACCATTAAAGTATTCAGGAACCATTTAAAGGAGAAATTGGCGGTTGAGTGAAACTAACACGCCAGCGTAATAAATGCGTAATAAAGTAAAGTAAAACATCTCTTGGTTTGGTAAAACTCCCCTGGGGGTGATCAATCCTAATCCGATCACAAACTCGGCGTTTCACCTCTCTTCTTTTTATCAATCGCTGCTGTGAATGTTGATCTGGCCTTGGCCTGAAGGGGTCTTGGGTCACCACAGTGTTTGCAAAAGGGCGCTAATGGCTCGGGATGCCCCTGACTCAGACAAATTGAGTGAAATTTATCCAAAACTTGACCCGTTTTCAGTTGTCTTATAGAGGCCCGGTGAAAGTTGATGTGAAACAGCTTGATTTTTTTGTTGAGCACTTTTAGCGAACTGATCATATTTTGCTTTCGGTCTCAAGCCGTGAACGACTCACCTGTTTTATACTGTCATAATAATCCAGTCCTCAAGATGGGTGGACATTTTTCGAGATGCTTTAAAAAAGTTCTTTGACTTTTTAACACTCAAGCATAACGATTGGAACCTTACTGGAACCCTTTTAGAGACTGTGAAAGTCCCTAATAAAAATGAAACTGATGAAAATGCAGAAATTTAGTTCCCTACAATAATTGTTTTGCAGCAGTGAACGGCCAAAACAATGTATAGGCGTTAGGTAGGCTCTGTGCTAAAATAACACGGAAATCAAGACATTTATTTTCACCAGATTTCTCCACCTTTATTTGTAAAAACAAATACAAGGCCTTTGTGAAAAATACTTATATCTCACCATGTTTTGGCCGGAAACCTTTCTTGCAAGACAGATTCATCGGCGCAAGAGATAAAGAAGGGCAACAAACATCTTGGCTCAGGGCAATGTCACATTTATAGACCACACAAAAAATCCAAATATTTCTGACATGTCATCTGACCGAAAGACAATACCTCCGAACGACAAAATGTGTCGTCACTGAGATAATTTACGGCTACCACTTCAACTCGAGATGGCTATGCCGTGCTTTCTGCTCGATTGCCCCATCCGGAAAGCCTGATTCGGTCAAACTGTGGATATCACTATCAGCGTTGTCTTATCGGCTCATTCCACGAATATGATGGGAATCTTTTTGCACCTCCCACGTAGAACAATGCCGTGAATTGTGAGCAATCGTGTTTTTCGTGTCTGGACTGAATGTACGTTTCGGTAAGGATTTGAATTGAGCAACATATTACCATGGAGGAATATTACGAAGTGTATTTCTGTTCTTAACATAATAATATTAATTCTGTGAAGGGTTCAGTTAATAGATATCATCACTTTTGGAATCGCCAACCACGAGGCCAAGGGTATAGAATACAAACAGTAAATACAGGCGCGAGTTAAAGAAAGCGAAGGAATCCGTTGAAATTTCGCTTTAACGTTGATAAATTATAAGAAGGTGGAAAGGAAGATCTTGGCAAGGAGTTCCAGTGTGTGAGGCAATACGAGGAAAGAAACTTATCAAGCCAATAAACAATTATTCATTTAAGCTAATTAGCTCCTTCCTTCCTTAAACAAAATCACTTCCAGCATGTTCAGTTCCCGCTGACTCATAAATTTACTACTTTTATATGTTCAAAGATCTTCAGGCCATAAAATCTTGAACAATCTGCCCCAGTCACTCACCAATATAATGCAACAAAAACAATACACGCTGAAGACATTTCATGAAGCCCATATATAGCTATGGGTGTTGGGCTAACACAAATTCAACGTGGGTACATTTTTAGCTGGCCGCTTTTAATGCTAACAACTGTCACAATGAAATTGAAAAGGAAATCAAGTACTTTTACTGGCCCATATTTCATATTAATTATTTGTACACAAGTTAATAATTTGTAGAAGTTGCGGCATTGTTTTTTAGCTAAAACCAAACCAAACAAAAAAAGGTCACTTACCAAGAAAGGTCTTTTCTTTTCTTTAAAAAAAAAAAAACAATCGTTCACACTAGGCTGACTACGGGCTTGTTCACTAACTAATATAACCATCCATTTTCCTTTTTTTAAATTTCAGGATGGAGAGAATGGGCGCCTTGGTCATCTTGCACACTCACCTGCGGGGATGGCCTTCAACTTAGGCGCCGTATGTGCGTACAGGACGTACCGGACGCCTGTGAAGGCGCCGCGGAGCAGAGCCGGCACTGCAACAGCTTCAAATGCCGAGGTAACCAGAACACCTAAGTAGTAAATATTTATGCGCTGAGCGAAAATTGACTCACAACCCTCTCCAAGCAGTGTACATCACACGACATGTTTTTGGCTTGTAACCGGTAAATTCTATAAGCAAATAATATTATTGTCTCTGCTTGGCAAGTTTCCATGATTAGCAACTACTAGACATTTTGACCCCCGATGACCTATTACTCGAGTAAGTTGTACGCAAACGTGTTTGATTATGTACTTCAGTCAGATACTGTAGCAAGGCGCTGCCTGTGTGGCGTGTTCGGCCTGGGAGAACACGTAAAAGACACCTGGTTTGTACGCACGTTCGCGTACAGCGGTAATAAGAGCGCGAAATCTAGTGGTCATACTGGTGGCTTTTTAGAATTGAAGCCTAAATCCACGATTCTGCAAAAGAGATCCAAACAATAATCCATTCATTACGGTAATAAAATTCACTCTGAGCACTCAGACGGAATGACAAACGTCTCACTTTGTTTATTTGACCATAAAACAACCGACTACTGAAACCAACATGATTGATAAACTTCTTCAACTTGGCGTAGTCGTATACATTTCACGTCGCTCGGCATGCAGTGGGGAATGCTTCCTGTCATAAGTCTTGGTCCGTCATTCCGTGATAGATAAACCTTTCTGTCAATTCTTAAAAATAGCCGAAGTATTCGCATTAATCTCAGAGTAATATGTTTAGATTTCTGTTTACGTTGGCGGCTCTAAAGGTTGAAATACAAGTGTGCTATTCGGGCTTGTGATCATAGTTATCGGCCTACATGTATAAGTTGGACACTTCAAGGTATCTGAAATGATATCACTGTGATACAAAATATTTCGAATACTTCCAGAAAATAACCTGTCCATTAATTTATGAGTTGTAGCATACGCTTGATACGACTAACATAACTCCGTTGTTGTGAACACACCAAATACAGCTTAGACCTACTGGTAATTTTGAGTTCAATATCTGGCTTCTCAAGAGGAAGATCCGATTCAGAGTTTTCAGACTAACAAGAACAGTCATTAATTTTGAATCGATGAATAGTTGGGATGTGACACCACCAAGATGCGGTATCGTGCGGTCTTTAAACCACGCCTGCATCCACTATGTACCTGCACCACCACGTGACTATCCGCTGACCAACCAAATAACCACACAGTCTCAGTTATTCAAGAATCCAGTATATGCGATTTGCATAAAGCTTTGTATTGCTGTCTAAAACCTTCCATTTGAATATTTTCGCAGATGTCAAAGATTTCCTACAGCTCATGTCTCTGTCATCCTTCCCGCCTGGCGTGCGCAGATCTCCCCGCAGGAGGGCGTACCGCATATCCTCCGACGCCATCTTGAAGCTTCCCATCTCGGCAGTCTACCCAGAGGGCTTCCCCGAGGAGTTCTCCGTCCTCCTGATGGTCAAACCCCCTCGGTACTTCTCTAGCCGGCAGAATGGGTACCTGTATGCCATGCTGGTGACTGGACCGGACGGTGGGGTGCAGCTAGGGGTGCAGCTCAGCACCTCCCCGGCGCTGGTCTACAGCCGGCGAGACCGAGTGACGGGGAAAGTCCGTCCAGACGCCGTCACCTTCACCGATTACACAGTGCTGAAGAGGAAATGGAACGCGCTGGCGTTCAGCGTGAGGAAGGGGTCGGTGACGATGTACGCGGAGTGCACCAAGGAATTCCGAGTGGACTTGGAGGAAGGAGAGGGGATACGAGTCGGGTCTGGGTCGGGAGATATCTCGATCGGGAACCCAAAGCCCAATATGATTGACATGTACTTCGAGGTAAATTGGGCTTTGCAGATTTGCCGTAAAAAAAAGCCACATTAAAAAAAGGAAAAAAATAATCTGATCAGATACTACGTTAATGGGACACAAAAGTGCGAAAATCTACAATAAACATCTTGGTTCTACTAGACACTTCTTATTCTTAAAAAAAAGCAATTGTTTTTGCACCTTGGGCCATTTTTTTTCGCCAGTTTCTCATTGTAGAAAAACTAAGTGCTTATGCAAGAAATTTCAATTTACAAACTTTTTTTGATACCACGCCCCAAACCTCGAAGGGAAATACTTAATCCATGACTCCATGACTGTTTCTTGCCTCGTTTCCAGGGCGATCTTGAGCAGCTCATGTTGATTGCTGATCCGGACGCGGCATCTCTTCAATGTTCGTCCCCAGTGGGAACGGTACGTTTTTCCCAGTAGGTATACGCAGTAAATAATTAAAGGTATAAGCTACCATTTTGTTTCCTTTAGAAAAAAAATAATAAACCATTCTTTCTTTCAATATAAATTTTTGTTTTCCTTCCAAAGTTCTTGTCAGACCAAGCTTGGCCCTCCATGAACATCACTGACGATCTCCAGGGAGACATGGACAGTATGCTGATGGTCCCGATACCTGGCGTCAAACAGAAGCCAGACCATCCAATCACAATCGAGGAGCCAGTGACCACGCCCACCGTTCACGCGGTTACAGTTGAGTCCACCAATCTGCTTGGCAATGACGTCGACCTGGCCCCTGAACATGATTTAATTCCACCGACCACTGAGTTGTCCGAAGATCAGGTGACCACGCCGGTACCATTGTACAACGAGAACAATTTCGATTTTGTCGTCGACATCTTCGATAACTTGCTGCCGAATTACGAGGGCATTCCGTCGAGCCCCATTCAGGAACAGCCTCCAGATATCAAATTTGATAGCGGGAATGACGTCCTGTACATGCCCGAGGTGGATTTCGACGCTCTCCCGACTGCACCGATTGAAATTTACACTGGACATGAAACCTGGAAATCTGCTGAAAATGTGTCTCTCGGGTCCCCAGTTACTGAGGAAGAGGTTTTAAAACCCACCACACCAACAACTTTGAAATCAGAAGAATCCCCAACTTACACATCGACACCTGAAACGACTGTATTTACTTCACGACCAACTACTGAAATGACGATAGAACCCACGATAGTACCCACGACCACACCTTCTGCACTACCCACCACAATACCCACGACAGTACCACCAACAGTGTCTACGACAGTACCCGCGACAGTACCCGCGACAGTACCCACAACATCACGAGCGACAAAAGCTCTCAGCTCCACAATTAAGTTCAGGTTGGAGAGTGCGCACCGACCAGAAAGCTTGGAAATTGGGCACCGGCGACCCAATTCCGAATCGGGAAGCGCTGATGAGGTCAAAGAAGGTAACGTCCGAAACGGGTATTTTTGGCTACGGCTCAGCTTCGGTTTTTGCCTATTGACCTGCTGTAGTAGCCGTAGCCTTTGACAACAATGCTATGTTCGGACAGCCTGAATTTTAAAGGCAAATTGATTTTTTTGCAAGGGCCTGTTCATATTTCATTACGTAATAATGATATTGTTTTGATATCATAATTATAGAAGTGTGAAATTTGTTCCTTTGTATGCAGGTGAATTTCATCATATTGCTCGCTGATGGAAGTCGAAATTGAACCGTCGATTTAGCCATTTTCGACAAACAGTCGACACCTGTCGGCGCGTCTATCTTGTTAGCAACCAAACCTTTAAACTCACATTATTTTACACCTGTCTTAACGATCTGTCTTAATGGCTGCAGACTTTATATTTGGCAGCATTTAAGGTCATGCAGACGACAACCAGATCAAAATGTGCAAGGCTCTTAGCCGTACTAGGGTCAACTTTTGTAGTTATACTTTTTGTTGACAGATTGCCCGCCAAAGTCTAACTAACCTAACAAATTTTCATCATTGTATAATGCAATCCTTGTTTTCGTAATTCATGGTTTTATCATTTAACTTGCATGAAACCAATTTCAACATAACCAAACAAAACCAACATCCAGCCCATGTCACTGCTCGCACCCTATTATACCCCCATTTTAACCGACATTACTAACACTCACAAGCGATTATAATGATAACAACCTGCCAATCAGCATTAACAATAACGCAATTTGAAACTGGTTCAGGTGCGCCATTTTGCGTCCGCATTTCTCTGATTTGTGTGCGTTAAACGTGACTGTCTCTGAGAGCGGATACAGTCAGTAGTTGATTTTTGTGGATATTACACATCGAAGAGACATTGTAATATGTAATTATTTTAAGGACAACGCATCACTTTTGAAATTTACAGGTATTGCCACAGTCGTTATTTTGTGTTCGTCAATGGAGGGCGCTTTGGGCCATCGGCCAAAGGCTCCTGCACAGAACATTCGTTACATGGTAAACATTAAAAAAAAAAAGCATTTGTCATTTTCAATAATTGTGATTCATTTTGCAAATACAGCTGTAATGTCTTCAGTTTTAGAAAACTGGTCCACGTGGAGCACGTGCAGCAGAACGTGCGGGACTGGTACCCGCTACCGCTTTTCTCGCTGTCGTCCGGGCTCCAGACTATTGGACTGTAAAACTGGACGGGGCATCGCGGCGCAGACTCAAATATGTCATCTCAATGACTGCAAAGGTACGTGGTACGATCGTCCTTGTTTGGACGAGTCAAACATTTAACAAGATCTTTTTGGGGGAAAGACATTCGATGGAGTTTTTACAGCCACATCCACGTCTGATACCTGGCACGGTTATTCTTGTGTCCAGCCTGTATTTGCTTGTGAACTTCAGTCTGCACGACTAATTAGCTTTCTTTCGATAGGCTTGAAATTAATATATAAAACCAATGATGGATTCGATAAATTATTTCTTAGAATAAATTACCAAAACTTCCCGAATTCAAAGTTCATGGTCAGGTTGAAAAGAAGTCAAAATGTGACAGGAATAAAAATGTCAGTGAAAAGTCATTCCCTGCGGACGAAATAAAGTGCTCTCATCCTGAACATCTCTGCAATATTTGATTAAAGTAAGATGTTGGCTGTAATTAAATGTAATTCCAAGTATCCCCTTATCTGGGAAATCAGGATGTGATGTTAACGATGATCGAGCTCGTAAGAATGCGTAAAACTTTATCAATATCCGGTCCAGATAAATCATTCGAAAGAAATCCTTAAAAATGCTATAATTATCTTGAAACGGCTATTTTACATTTGGGTCAAATTTCTTACTTACATTTGAGAGTGCGGAGGGTTTTTTTCTCAAAAGGTGGGGAACGTAACGACAAAGAGGGTCGCAGTAATTATTTAAATTGTGTTGTTAATTTAATTAAAAGCCGTGTCTACCATATTCGGGTGCAAAGTTTCTTATACATGAATCGCTCGATCTGTTGTTTTGCGACGAAAAAAAAAGCATACAGGGTGAGTAAAAAAAAAAAACCCAAATGGCAAAACCATTTTCTTCATGAAGTTCTGCATGTAGCACTTTCAAAAGCTAGGATATGAAAGCCTATTTGATAAGCTTTCTTTTAGTACATAATCATTCAAATCACTCGTGTACTTTTCAAGTTACGGAATTTTAAACACAAACACCGTTTTAAAAGTTCTGTCCACGGATCACAAAAAAAGTGTAGGGTTTCTTTCAGCAAAACGAAAACAATTCACATACATCCCTATGTGAATTGTTTTCGTTTTGCTGAAAGAACACTTACCTTTTTTGTGATCCGTGGAAAGAACTCTAAAAAGGTTGTTGCGTTTAAAATTCCGTAACTTGAAAAGTACATGATTGATTTGAATGATCCTTGTACTAAAAGAAAGCTTATTAATTGGGCTTTCATTTCCTAGATATTGAAAGTGCTACATGCAGAACTTCATTAACAAAGTGGTCCTGACATTTGGATTTCCCTTTTTTGACTTACCCTGTACAATGTACATGTATATCTGTTTGAGGACTCTAAGCAATATCCTTCCGACAACTAGTTTTATTTAACTTCTCTTACACATGTGCAGACTTATAAAGCCTGGACTTAGTAGCAAGTTTGTGTCAACTATACTAAAAACAATACCCTGCGCAAAATATCCAATCTTTCATTTTATTTCGGTCGCAAGAGAATGATTAAAGTTCCTCTGCTTCTTTTCTCCTCCCGTCTTTTGCGGAATGTCGTACTTTTGTGAAATCGGCGGCCTGTTTTATCTCTCCCCAGTGCCGTGGCTGAAGTGGTCCGCTTGGAGCATGTGCAGCCGAACCTGTGGGGACGGGGTTGAGATGCGAATGGCCTATTGCTATGACAACAAGGTGCCCGGATGCGAGAACGGCCAGAAGATCGTGGTGGAGAGACGAAAGTGCCGCAGACGGCATTGCTTCGGTAACCAAGGCAACATAACATACACAGAGAGAGACATAAGACCCATGTATAGAGCGCCCTCATTGAGAATAGTTTTTTCTTTATCTTTAATTGGCAGGGGTATAGAAACTTTTTACATGTGAATAGAAACCTTGTACAGGGGTAAAGCAACTTTGTACAAGGGTATAAAAACTTTGTGCTCTAACAGAGGGCGCTCTGTGCAATGTGTCTATTCGAATAAAATATTCTGGTTTAAACTTCCTACTGGTTTACAAACAGATTTCCCAATTTATTAAATACTATTTTCATTGTCACCGAAGATGTCTGCACTCCAAGCTGCCAAAATGGAGGCGTCTGCGGTTTTGATAGGAAATGCAACTGTCCGACTGGTTACCTCGGGGCTACGTGTGAAATTGGTAAAAACAACAAACAAAATATGTAACATTAAATTTAATTTGCATTCGCACACCTGACTTTCACGCGGTTTATTGGTATTGTAAGTTTGACCACAAATTTGCTCCCCAGTTTAGAAACAATTGTGTTTCAATAAAGTAGTGAGAAAGCCAATGTAGTTGTTTGTCATCTGGATGTAATATTGATAGTTTTTCCCATTCTTTGTGTCGCTTTCCAGGATTTATTTCTTTGCATTCTCATGTGAGTTGTGCATGTGATGGATAGTTGGGGGAGAGATCTTTCACAAAATCTGAATCACTACAACAACAGTTATACTTTTCACAAAACAGAAATGAAACGAACTAGTCATTCGACAGTTCATTTATCATGTTTACGACCAACGTTCCACATGCTGCGTAGAAAAAAATTATCAGAAAAACATCTTGGGTATTTTTTTTCTCTATCCGATTGTCAAGGTCACCGAATTTATCATCATTACCTAATTATCTAGCTTCCTGTCAAGGTGCAAAATGCGCGGTTTCTGTATCTAACGCCATTTGTTACTTGTCCCGCAGAATTGTGCCGTCATCCTTGTCAGAACGGAGGGCAATGCGTGGCCAAGGACTACTGCCAGTGCCCGGCCGGCTACGCGCCGCCTAGGTGCTCACGTGAGTCGTAAAATACAGATTAATATTCATTCTGTTATTTCCTCCGCGGATATGTAGCCGTTACTTCAACACTAAATGTCACAATTCCTTTCCTGGGCAGCCCTGATCGGGCCAGGATGTTGTGGTAGAAAGTGTTAACAGACAGGGTCTAAAAACTCATCAAACATGGACTTGTAATTAGCTGCACGTTCCAATTTACACGTAGGCCTACTGCCTACAGGCAGTTTATTGGGGGAGTCTGTGTCAATGATAGGTCGCCCTCTTGTGTTACTATTTGGAATGTCAGGGAAGTTGGGGGCGCTGTACACACCTATCATTGTAAAAATTGAGTGAAACTAAAACTTGATGATGATTTTGTTTTCATGAAACAGCCGTCTGCAACCCAAGATGCCGGAATGGCGGAACCTGCAGAGCACCCAATGAGTGCGCATGCCCTTCTGCCTACACAGGCTTAACATGTGAAAGAGGTAAAAGGGAAGACTGAACTTGACATATGAATATGGCATGAATTTCTAAATCTTCAGATAATGTTGTGATGTGTAATAAGACCCCCCATCAACTTCTGGATAAAAGCAACTGTTACGGTCATGCACTTGTCGGCCTAATGATTTGTTGAATTTCACTATTTTGGTTGCATGCACGCATTCTAAACGAACAAAAAAGGCCCAAAGTTTTTATCATTGTCATGTTTTCCTTTAGGTATTAGAAGATCAACATTTTATTGACGATATTCTCAGATGAAAATTCCCGGGGAAAAATCCTATGACCTTTATAGAGGGCATGTTCCATAACCAACCAAGATAACAAAGTGAAGGCACTTGCATTTCACTTGCATGGTCTGCGCGCGCAATTCAGTCACTCATTTACATTTAAAAACTGTTGCGTATCGATTGCTGAGTACGAGGATGGGGTGGGTAGGCGTTCCTATCGAAGCGTGAGATACAGCCAAACTACCTTCAGATAAATCTCTTTCGATTGTGAAATGAGAATTTTCTCAATTTCTTTCCTCTGTTTATAGCTGCCTGCAGTCAACCCTGTCAAAATGGCGGCACCTGCAGTGGCCCCAACACGTGTTCCTGTAGGTTAGGATACCATGGAACTTACTGCGAGCAGGGTAAGAACAGAAGTCTAGCCCTAAGTTGTATCTCGTTCTGATGGTGCAGAATCTGGGGGAGGGGTAACTTAAAAACTATTTCAACGCCTTTAGCTTCGTAAGACTCTGCGCGCCAATTAACAGAATGAACAAAAATGACAAGGACGAAATCCGGTTAATTTCCAAAATCGTTTCAAGGTGGAAATGCTTAAGCAATCAGAAGTATGTCTCTCTTGGCGGTATGTTATTCTCGAGAGCTACAGTCGATTGACTGACTGATTTACATCCTACAATAGATGAGTTTATATAGGAATTCAATTTCCTTGCTCCATATCAGCTACCTGCTCCCCATCTTGCGCAAATGGGGGGACGTGTGTCCGGCCAGGATTCTGTCGATGTCCACCCGCCTACAGAGGGCCTACTTGTGAAATAGGTGAGCTGGCTAGAAAACCAGACAAGCTACAGAAGGCAACACTCCTAACAGACAGACAACTATTTGACTCATTATTTTACGACCAACTGGGAATTACTCTGACAGTACATTCTAGTTTGATGTTATTCAGATGACAGTCAAGAACAACATACATTCACGTAATGCAAAGATAAGAAATCAAATTTGATTTTATTTGGAATAGCCCAAAAAGCCAATTGCACAGGCTTATTTCCATGCATTTGGGTCCCATTATTCCCACATTTTGACTTACTGTGGACTGACTTACTGCTGACGAGCAGACCGCTTGACTAATCGACTGATCAACAACACAACACAATCTGCCAGTGTATTCTGATACATGCACTGAATGACAGAGTGGCAAAATGTCAGCGCTTACGGACTGCTCAAACTGCCATAGTAAACTGTGAAAGCCTCAGCATGGCTACGTGTTGCGTTATTAAAACCAAATGATGATATGTCCGTGATAAGATCATTCAGAAAAATCAAAGCTTTTTGAGCCCTGTACGTCTGACTTAAACAAGAGGGATTCTGGTACCCATTTTGAAATTCTTTTACTTTCCCTACCCTTTTCCTGTTCCCCCTCCACAACTCCTGGCTCCACCCCTGCTGACTCCATAGGCTACTGTCGCGTAACTTGCCGTAATGGAGGGCGCTGTATTGGCCCAGACACCTGTATGTGTGCGCCGGGATTCCGAGGAGCGTTCTGTCAGAGACGTGAGATATTAGTAGACGCATAAGATGACTCCAGAGGGCGTGCTTGATAACGCTAGAGGGCGCGCTTGATAATGCATAGGTTGCGCTTAAACTTCATTAGAGTAATTAGTACGGTTAGTATGTTGCCCCAGGCTCTGTGTCGCGCCGATAAGAAAAGAACATTAGGAGTTAGTGCCGTATACTTTGAACAACCCGCGATTTGGTCAAATAAATTAAATACCGAGAGGGCGCCCTCATGCGTCGTCGGAGCTCATTCTCTGATTTTCACCACCCATCCGAACAAAAATTAATGTTGAAGTAGCTAGGTAGATCTTCTAGTCACGTGTGTATCATGGTTTGTCGTAGATCTTTGAAATATATTAAGTTGTATAAAACGACATGCGATCTTCATTTGAACCAGAAAAAAACACCCTTTTGATGCCTCTTAAAATTCGTATTGTTCATTTCTATGATTAATACATGTAATTCTATGTTTAAAAAGTAACCTGGTAACCTCTTTGTACTTATCGGTTCAGGGTCCAGTAGTTTGCGTTACGTACCCAGAGGGAACCAGCCAAGCCCCATATTACCCTCAAATTTTGCCAGGACCCATCCAGGTCAGAGGTAAGTCATAATAAGAAAGGAAAACCTAAAGCAAAAGTTATAAAATTCCGTCCCATTGATATTGTGCGCACAAATCTTTGGCTCAGTTAAAAAAAGAAAAAAATACCATCCTATAGGCGAATTTGCGAATTGGAAAGGATAAGCTGGGGAATAAAACAGAATACTGAATCTTTCCTTTTTGTGTTGGGCATCCTTGTCTATAACTTTTGCAGGAGGAGACGCCATTGTACAATACAGACGTCTTTAGTCAGTTACCAGCGAAGTTACATCAAGCCTGTTGCCATGACAACGAAGGTGCAATGTGGCCACTGGCAGCCTGTGCTTTGCACGCAGACAAGGTAGACCAATCGCATTGCACCCTGCGACTGTTGCGTGGGAGGAATTTGATAATTAACTTTGGGCTTATAACTTTAGACGTCTCATATCAATTGTATACATCACTTTATGTCGTTTGCATACATTGATTTCTCTTTTCTTTTCTTTTCTTTTTTTTTCTTCTTTTTTTTTTTTGGGGGGGGGGTATTCCCAGACATTGTATGCCTTCAAAACAATACAACATAATAATACATAATGGCGGAATATATTGCGCGCACATCAGTTATTCACAACCAGATATATTTTATAACCGCTTTGTACGGTAGGATTCCATGAAATTCACAATCTTTAAATATGAGTGTTGTTAAATTTTGATTCTCTGTAATTTTGTTCGCAGAATGGGCTATAAGGCAGCCTTCAGAACGTTCTACAGAATAGCATATCGGAGGGAGTGCTTATCTGATGAACAGTGATCATAGAGGTGACAAGTCTTGAAAGGCTAGGTCGGCGGACAGTAAATCGAGGAAAAACAAAATGGTGACATTTTAAACCGACACCACGCCGAAATTCTATTCTATTTTTAAGTGAGACTGCTGAGTATTAGTAAGTACTTCGCCACCTTCTAGATAATCGACAATTCGGTAATACTGGATTTGGATAAGGCTCAGTTAGCCTCACTTGACCAGAAATGAGAATCCATATTTGGTTCCCCCGTCAAGACTTTATCATGAGCCCGTCTTATTTTTTATGATTGTTAATGCTTACTGCGTTTGGAGCTAAAACTGCGAAATGCACGAGACTAAATTATCAAATTAGTTTATCTTCAGAATTACGTCGCTTGTACCTGAAGAAGTTTAGTGGGTTTTTTATTGAAGTAATGGTGACTTGGAGCATATTTTATCTGCGTGTAAAAGTCACTAAGCAATAATGTGCTTTTTTAATGTGTTTGTGCTGTTCCGATTTTTTTTAATTTCGTTTTCAATTTTTTTCCAGAGTTGTTGGGGTGTAACTGATTTTTTCTTAACTGAGTGTTTGCTTTAGATTTTGCCTTGATGCCTTCCTTATCATGTAGTTTGCGCAAGCGCACGCATGCGCAGTTACATTCTTGCATTTGGGTCCGAGGGAATACAAGAAAATCCCCGTGGTGCCGTTTCAGCCGAGTGTATACCCTTGCTGTGTAGACTTGTAAATAATAATATTACTGAACTTTTTTCTCTTTCTTGCTACTTTTCATAAATTATCTTCACTTTTTAATGCGTTTTTGTAAAACCGCCCAGATTTGTTTGTATCGGATGTAGCATAATTTCTAGGGCAGATTTTGTCAATAATCGTTGCAGTTTAATCATGAAAAAGAACGTTACAAGCAAAAATGTATGGATACCCAGCAGTTGTTTCTAACTCAACGAGTTTAGACATCTTCGTTTGTTCACCTTTAAGGATAAGAAAGTATAATAAAAACTCTCTGAAGACAAATCTCCATTAATCTCGTATGTTCTAAAGGTTAACCATACCTTTACTTAAGTGCGTAAACTCAACACATATTATGAACTTTTCTATCAACATTAGCTCGACCAAGAAAATCGGCTGAAATCTTATGAAACAAATTTAACAATATCACTTCCGATGTCGGTCATTAAAAAAAAAATAATATACCAGCCTCGTTTCACACAAAAAAACACGATTGCACTTTAATAAACAAAATTAGCAAAATATATATCGTGAACATTTTTCAAAACAAAAGTGCAAATAAATGTTATTTTGTTTACAACAAAGCACGTTGAATTTCAAGAATATTTAGCGTCTTGTGAGTTTGATTTTGTTTGTGTCTCGGACTACAAGTCGACAGCAAGCGGGGTGATGATGACAATGGGGACTATTGAAAATTCGAAAAGCCAAGGCGGGCGTCGGGGATTATTGGGGGGCCGGAGGGGGGTTCTAGACTAGGGGATAGCATGCCCTGGTAGCGATGCCGCACTGATTGTCCTTGGAGCGGGACATCCGTACAAAGCCATTCATTCCCCAGTCAGCGCCCCAGCTACAAGAAAAACAAACAAATAAAGAAAACGATAATAACTTAATCAAGTAAGATTCATGAAAGGCAGGGAAAGACCGCTGGAAAGCCAGTTATATTGAAAAGAGTTAACAGATGCTAAAAGTCCCAGTGTCAAAGCAGTGAACTGAGAAAGTCCAAGTTCATTTTATCCATACTTAGGCGTTTTCTTTGGATGTTCGCATCCAAATTACAAATTTTGGCTTCAGCCAGTAGTAAAACACGACCCTATAAAAGTGTCTAGTCAGACGCTTCCAAAAGCGTCTGTGCAAGCCGTGGCAAAGTAATCCAGACATGTCAATCTGTCCAGGGTTAAGTTGCCTCAATCTTTAGATTATTGCATGGCCTTCCAAATGGTATCTATTTTTGAGACTCGAGGGGGCGCACTACTTACCTGTTCTTTACTAGCCAATAGGGATTTCCGTTTTCAATTGCGTAACCGATTATAAGAACATTGTGCGCCAATGCCGTCTGGCTGCACTGGGGCTCATCATAAATGCCTGCAAGTAATAAGAGGACGTGCAGGAGCAAATTAGAATTACATCTCTTTAAAAATAAATAAAGTTATACTCAACCGTATGGATTTTTTTCAACTGCACCTAACGGCAGAAGTTCAAAGTGACAGACGATGAAAACTAAAGCTCGCAACACATCATATCATCCGGTAAATAAGTGAGACAAAATTACTCAGTCAAGTAATGAACGAATAAAGTAACCAATCATCAAGTCTTCCAACAAACGCTCACCTGATTGGTAGAGCTGGAAGGTCACGTGACTGGCGGCAATGGCGGCACTGATTGGTCCAACGGTTGCCACAGCTCTCTGGAGGGCCTTTTCATCCCCGCTGGGAAGAACAACATAAGTCTTTTCTGTGGCGACAACGTTTGCTGCATTGAAGCGACACTTCATGTCCTAAAAAGCATTACATTCAAAAGTTCGCATTTTGATAAATGATCTTTCGCTAATAAGGATATCAATATTCACGCTGTTGTCTTCTCAAAATTAAAAGCAAATTTGCAAGGGGTATGGAATAGAGGGTGCTTCCTTTATAAGAATCAGTAAAAAGTAATAGAAAGCGCAATGTTGTCTTCCCGGCCCCAAAATTCTAAGCGGGGGCACCGGAGGGGAGTGGGGCGTTCACAGGCACCCCCATCAATCCCCTCACATGCTCCCATGACCCGTTCCCAGTGGCGTAACTACAGGGGGATACGGAGGTTCGTGCCCCCCAGCGGCTGCCCCCCGTCCCCCCCCCGTCCCCCCCCCCCTATTTAAAATTTTGAATTTAACAAAAAAATATATAATTTGCCTCCAGTTCCCCCTTGAAAAATGTATGCACCCCGGGTGTCCCCCTAGAAGTTTACCCCTAGTTATACGCCACTGCCCCTACCCCCTCCCCCACTTACGCCTCTGTTAAAAATGGTAAGACATTGCTTTTTTGTCAAGTTGCAATCTCCATTAGTTTTATTATAATTCCTTCTTTATTAATGATCGTACTTGTGCTTGGTATGGGTACGAGGATTCAGAATCGATTCCCATGTTGTCGATGACATACTGGAAGGCCCCCAACATAGTTCCGCCGTTGCAGCCGGCGCAGTCGTATTTTGGCGCCGTGGCGCAGTCTACCAGGTTCTGCTCGCTGATCTCCGGCAGTTTGCCCGTCTTGTTGAAGGTTTGGCCTTCAAGTGCTCCCGTAGCACTGAAGGCCCATGCAGACCCACACTGACCCTATAATAAGAAACGGAGGCGAGCATTGAGAATAGGCCGCATCATGAGGGGTGAAGGAAGTATCATCAGTAAGTGGTTGAGCTATCCTCTCTTGGTGTCAGGGAAGTACTAAGGTGGGCTAAGGGATCTTTTGGAAGATAATGCATCATACAAATTGAGTCAGTTGTGGCAGGATCGCTACCTGGTTTTTGACAGGGGTGACCCATCCCTTTGAGTTCCAGTCCACGAAATCTGGGAGTGGGCTAACATCGATGCGGCTCTGTGTCGTTTCCAATGGGGCAATGGCTGAAACAAAGCCGTTCATGCGTTTCCTGAACTCAACATTCGTCTGAAAAGACACCAAAATAATGGTATTCATTAAAACATCATCAGTGACCTATTTGAAAGGTAGTTTGCTAAAGGTTATTACTTGATCTGTAACGGTCATCATTAATGTTTGCGAATGTACTGAAACTCATACTTGTACAGATTAATTTGTTTAGACGATCAAATACAAATGGCCGCCATTCATGCTCGAAGTAGAATTTGACCTTTGATATTAAAATTTCAAAAGATTTGTGATTCCCAACTGGAAGCAAGTAATAAAAAAACATTTGGCTCGACGTTTAAAAAATTATAATACATATTTCTCCGCCAAGCCCAATACAGAATATCTCAAATATCTAGTGATAAAGGTGTAGGCCTCATACAGTAAACCAGAAAAAAGCTCTGTTTTGGATAAGCACTGGTTATCTGTATTGGAGATTTTATATTGCCCACGCACCATGTCAGCGAACTGGTTCATGGCCATGGTGTAGGTGGTGTGGCCCAGGGCGTATCGCTGGTTGTGCTCGGTCACTATCTTGTAGTTGTACTCCCAGACAAATCGACGGTAGTCCTCCTCTTCAACCTCGTACTTCCTCTGGTTGTTGTCCTTCCACATCTGCCATTCTTGGTCCAGGTCAGGGCTGGTGGCTAGAGCCGCTGCCACGCACAGGGCAAGGATCAGGAACTTCATGGTCAGAGTACTCAATCTCGTCTGGATAAAAGATGAAGGAAAATAAAGTATTCTATTTTACCCAGATTTTCTTGGAAAGAACTCTTCCCCAGTAAGTTAATTAATAAAGGTTTGTTTTTCATCCATGTTTTCTCGAAGTTAGCAAAGAATCGGGTAAGATTTTAGAACATGTTTTGCACAGGTTCCGTTTTCTTCGAAGTTCAATTTTTCGGTACTTTCAATTTCTACATCAAGCCAACATTTCTCATGCAGCAAACTTTTCTCTCGCTTCACAATAAAACTCCTTCAATTCTGAGACAGCGGAGAATGAGTGTCCAGTTTTCCTTGAGATAGGAGAACCCACGAAATAATTTCTAGTATTTTGGAAAACCACATAAGCAAGGTCGAGAACGTAATCCACAGAGCATTAATGGTGGGATTTATACTGAGCATTAACAGTTGGAAAAGGGTATTGAGTTTACAATGCATTACTCACCAAATGAATGGCTAAAATTCAACCCATAATCTTGTGGAAATCACGTAGAATATGCACAGTCGCGTAAAACTGTGACCCGCAACGCTGGTTTGGTTATGTTTGCTTGCGATTCGCCTCACTTCTTCCCGCGAGATAACGTAATGTTTTAGTATACTTAGCCCTGGTGCAATAGGCTTTACGATTTGATTCAGGGTACATGGCGGGATCGCCCACAAGGGGACGGGGTTGCTAGTGGTCTTTGATAGCAAGTCTACTTGAACCTTGACATGCTTTGTGTGATCATCATGGCGGTGTGTCAGACGTTGAACTTTAAACTAGAGCTTTTATAATAAGTCTTGTTATTTTGTAAAATATTACTTCTTTACATTAAGAGCGATTGGTCACAATCCTGTTCAATTTACGCAGAGAATGCCTAACCTAAACCTGGACAACTTTTCTTTGGCGATTTTTATTTTAATGTTGTGCTTTTTAGAGGAAGTTAAGTAGCTGTAGGGGGCCATTTGGAGGAAAAGTTTGTTGTTGGGTTTTTTTTGGGGGGGGGGGGGTTGGGGGGCTGTTATTTGTTTACAATATGACGGTGGGGACATCAGCGGTTCTATATTAATTACCTTTTTTAATATAACCGTCATGCTGTGCATTGTAGGCCTAGTCAGAATCACCAATGGGATACAATTGGCCAGAGTCTTATCTGAGACACCATTTTGTATGTAATGATCAACAAACAGCTATCAAAACGAAACAATTGCTTCTCATCAATTTAATTAAAGATACAATTTCATATTTATTTACAGCGAAAAAAAGCCCATTCACATAATACTTCTAATTACATTTCAATTTACCATTGGGAGTTGAACAAGGGGAAAATATCTTTGTTTGGCATATCAAGCCAAAGGGACAAATTGTCAAATTTTCTGAAAAATTTCCAGAACGCGGGGAAAGGGTAGCAAAGTATACCTGTGTATTATTGTGCTTTAAATACATCTTCTAGATTAATGAAATGTGAAAACTCCTCCCCTCCTCAAAAAGGTAAACTTTTTGTGATACAAGGTTGCAGTTATCTTCCAAAATATTTTACTACAAAGAAAAGTATTCGTATCGTTTTAAATATTCTGATATTATACAGCAAAGAAACACAATCAACGACACACTTCATTCCTACCCGGAGACTTAAGGTAAGTCAATGCATTCACAAAATAATACTGATTTGAGTACAAAGTATGTAAAAAAAATTGGTACTTTTACAAAATTGCATATTGATGGATGACTTGCATCCCTTGCAAGGTAAAATAAATGCAATTCATTCTATCTGAGAGAGCCAATTTTTGTCATTTTGGTTTTCAACGTTTTATACAGATACATTTTGTCAATAAATAAATTTGATACAATGAACTCTTGAGAGCCGAGTATAAGATCGGTGCATTCTCTAAGTATAGAGTAGTACATGTATTGCTGTTTTCTCTAGGCTAACTAATTTGTTACTAGTAAATAACGAGAGAGTAAAGCTTTGGATTATTAAATTTGTTGTCATATAGCTTCAATGCTGAAAGGAGAGCAGTACAGAGGAAGCAAAATTTGCGAGAATATCTTAGCTGGTTATTGAAAGCTGCTTTATTTTTTATGTTTTTATATTGCGGTCGAAACAGAAGCTTATTGCACTGATTTAAACTATAGGATAGGAGGCGTCAGTCGCGATGCCGCACTGGTTGTTCTTGAAACGAGACATCATGATGTAGCCCTTCAGGCCCCACTTCGGACCCCAACTGAAACGAGAGAGAAAAACATTGCATTTCAAGCCTTCGAACCACTACTTTTTGCTCCTTGTAACTAACTCTTTGAAGAATTAAAATCTTTACAAGTACATTAAACTGTCACAGATTTTCAGAAAAAGGCTGGATTTTTTAATAAGAACAGCTTCCAGAGTTTGGATATCCGAGCAGCCAAAAAGGTAGTCCATCCCAATATCGGTTACAAGAGAATAACAAGGTAGCAGGAGATGAACAATAAAAAAGAGTAATGGCTTTGTCACAGTTTATTGGAATTTGAATTAGTACTAAAGGACTTGTGATGGACTCGACTACAACACTGTTATATGTTTTTAAATGAGCTGGGCAAAACTAGATAACGGTCACCAACTGAGGGCGTGATGTAGCTCACCTGTTCTTAACCAGCCAATAGTCTTTGCCATCTAGTGCGCCGTAGCCAACAACAAGCACACCGTGGTCCAGTTCAGTCTGGCTACATGCTGGCTCATCGTAAACACCTGTTTAAAACGACCAACAGAGACATTATTTTATAAACTATTTTCAAAATCTCGGGGGTTTTCGTGTGAAGCAGTCAACAAGATGGACAAAGGGCAATGCAAAAACAGACAGTCAGCCACCATGGCAACCAGTTAAACCCATTCACAAACCAGGGTGCTATTGAGAAAACCAAACTGTTTTGGCTGAAACTCCACCAGTCAGTTAGCTAGATAATCAGGGGCTTGTAGGGGCCAGACGGCTTTATAACCTTGACTTCCTGAAAGCAAACCAGTCAGTTAACCAGAGAACAGACCTGGTGACGTGACCAACTTTGGCCAACTAACCAAAAATCAGACCAGCCATCCTGGGTTTGAAAAAAGGTTTTTTTCGGGAGAGGTCAACGTCATGAGTCTAGATGGGTCAGGGAACTAGAGTACTCAATACAATACAATAGGCCACTATGTTTTAACACATAACTTGAAGTCAGCCAACTGCATCTTTCGTTATTACAAACCTAAAATGTCGGCAAGTTTGAGCAAGAACTAACTATGGTTAACCATAGTTCGACTAACTTGGCTGGACCAGTGTAGGACTAGTGTAGTCGTTTGAATACACAATCGCAGTGTGTTTAGTGTGCACGGTTAAGCCTATGTTGCGCCCCGAATGTTCGACCAATGTAACTTGCTTAGCTCCGTGGGTCGACGAGCCCTCCATCAAGTCAAGACACTAAAACGACAAAGTCTTGAAGACAGGAGGGTTCATAGGCCTTACCTCCATCATACATCTGGAAGGACTCGTGACTGGCATCAATGCCCACGCTGATTGGTCCAATGGTTGCTGCAGCCGTCTGTAGGGCCTTTTCATCCATGCTTGGTAGATCTGTATACGAACTGTCTGTTGCAGCAACGTTGGCACGACTGAAGTGGCAAGTCCCATCCTGAAAATAATAACCCCCACAAAAATCATCATGGGAATAATCGATGTCAACGCAACAATTTACTATTTGACATTGCTATTGGTGACTTTTTTTTCAGAAAAAAATATATTTGAGTGCTTATGACTTGTCTGGAAAATATGAGTATACGAACATTCGATATTATCGAGTTTTAAAATTTTGTTTGCATCGACAGAAAGAAACCTGCTTATTATCGATACTCATTAATTATCGATGCCCGTATATTATTGACAGTGTTTATTATCGACACTTCATTTTCGTCTGATAGCTCAACAATCTCCACAAATTCCATTGCATAAATAAATTTACCTTGGCTGTGTACGGATACGATGCTTCGGAATCGATTCCCTTATTATCGCTGATGTACTGGAACGCGCCTTGCATGGTTCCCCCTTCGCAGCCGTTGCAGTTGTACTTGGGATCCTTGGCGCAGTCTACCAGGTTCTGCTCGCTCAGGTTCGGCAGTTTGCCGGTCTTTTTGAAGGTCTGTCCTTCCAGGGAACCAGTGGCACTGAAGGCCCAACACGACCCGCACTGCATCTGTGGGTTTGAAATATTAAAATTGATTACTGAGAGGCGAGTGGTGTTTGGAGTGCCACGGTGACAATGACATTTGATCGACTGAGGGCGCTATATATAAAACGACGTCGTGGACCATTTTACAAGCAAATTAGATTATTGACGTAAGTTTACATAATTATTGCTACTATTCAACAATTATATTTTAATAACAATTGAGGTAACTGTTAGTAAAGTGCTTAAATAAACATATTTCTACGTTTTGAACCAGAACATGGCGTCGTTTAATAAAGCACCCCCTTTGTCCAAAATGATGACATTTTAGGGTGTCAAGAAAATCGACAATGTAAACTAAAATTTATGACGATAACCCAAATGATAGCATTGATGGGTGATGGTCGGTGTTTGGGCTGTGGTTATGAGAGTGAAGCAGTTTTCGGGGACGTTGGTTATGATGACACGGGTGGGGGATAAGTACGATGACAATGACGATGGCAATTTTGTCAACATTAACAATGACAAAAGAATACCATATACACCGTACGTGTGCCACACAATTCCACGCAGTTACTGGTATTTTAATCTGTTCTGCATGCTGGACAGTCATACTGTACAAAGAAACTTTGTATTTAGGAGCATTTCAGAGTCAGGTATGGAGTGCGAAAGCGTCAAATTTACCTGATTTTTCACGGGAGTGACGTAGCCCTTTGTGCGCCAGTCCACGGTAGTTGGGAGGTCGGTGGTTACTGTCGTGGCATTTGACTGCTTCGTTGGGACTTTTCGCGTGAGGTAGCCATTCATTTGTTTTCTGAATTCAACATTAGTCTGCGTATTGAAACAACAGAAATAGATACAGTCATTAGAATAAGGTAATAAAAGTTAACGTCAAGGATAATCAAGTGTCCATGTAAATTAAAAAGGTTCGATGTAAGCAAATCACATTTGATCAAAGGGCTCTGCCCGAACTGCAAATTGTTATTACCTTGACATAACGAATTCGTGAAAACAATTCAGTGTTCCAACTGTGTGAACTTCACCCCCCCCCCCCCCAAAAAAAAAATACATCTTGCTTACCAGGTCAGCGAACTGGTTCATGGCCATGGTGTAGGTGGTGTGGCCCAGGGCGTATCGCTGGTTGTGCTCGGTCACTACCTTGTAGTTGTACTCCCAGACGAATCGACGGTAGTCCTCCTCTTCAACCTCGTACTTCCTCTGGTTGTTGTCCTTCCACATCTGCCATTCTTGGTCCAGGTCAGGGCTGGTGGCTAGAGCCGCTGCCACGCACAGGGCAAGGATCAGGAACTTCATGGTGGGTGCTCAATTTGATTCTGATGTAAAATCAACAAAACACAACAAAAAGTTATGGAGAAACAGTAGTCCTGCATTGTATATATATAAATGTTGATAGTTAAAAAGATTATTTGTTAAAAAGGTGCCTAAAACAATATTCGTGGTTCAAATAAACTGAGAGAATGTCGGTTACTTCGGCACCTAGCCAACTCGGACCCTGCCAACTCGGCACCTTGCCGACTCGGCACCATGCCAACTCGGCACCTAGAATACAGTATAGTAATATACTGAGAAAATGGTATACCTTTATCGAGCAACAGCGTATGGTTCAATATGCCCGCTGCTATAAAATAGATATACATCTACTTACTTGTGTTTCGAGTGCTGAAAACGACAATGGAAAAACCTCTGAAATGGTGGCGGCTTTTATCTCTTTTTTGTACTCCTGAAAGTTAATTTGGATGCCTCACGTGAGGGCTCTTGATGGTGGACTTTGAATTACTTCCAGTTTACAGTATTTGCCAAGTTTGACGTAAGTAAATGATATCAACAAAAGTAAATACAAATTCTTGTCGACTCATTTTTGTTCTCAAATAATCTGTTGTCAAATAATCAATCAAATGTGGGTACTTTGGACCACCGGTACCACTTTTCAAGTGGCGTCCCTTAACTCTCTTCCCAAAGTTCACGTGCAAACAAGAGACACAGTTTTGGCCAATCGATGTGCAGCATTAATACCAGCAACAGATTAGGCATAGGTGCAGATTTTAAATATGATGAAAGACATTTTTAAGTTAGAGTTTTCGTTGACTGAAACTCCTTTTTGCTATGAGTATCAGCATTTGGATTGCAATGTGTGCTTATACACACGCTTACTTGCGAATGCAGTAGGCCCAGGTATCCTGTCTCAATGTTTTTGAGGCATTTCTGGAGTGAGGGTCGTTCGAGTCCATCTTGAGTATATTAACATTATTTCATACATATATAGTTTTTACAACACTCTACAGTCGACCAATCACAGTCAATCACGCGGATTGCGTCTCGTGACTATGTGACAGGTGTTTAACTAGGGAAAAGTGTAAAAATAGCCCAGACTGATTCTGCAGCTTTGATAAAACGCTGAATAAAGGAAAACTCACATGACTGAACGTGATATAAAGTGGACAGCAGTAGCGTATTCGGACCCCGTTCCCGCGTTGAATGAATGCGGGAACGGGGTTTCGAATAACGAGAACCAACACACGAACAGTGTTCTCGAACAGGATTTTCACTCCCCACTTACTCCTGGTGGGGGAGTAGATGAAGAAGGTCAAGAACGTCCAGATTTAGGCCGCTACCGGCCCGCAACTTGCGCTATTTTCTTTACATAAAATTGAAAGCAACCATTCAGTGTAGGAGTATTAATGATTAAAAAATAAAATTACGTGACCACAGAGTGGGCTTGACTTTACCAATTTTATAGCCATTCGATATTTAAATGATTTACGTAAGATGGTTAGTTTTCATTTCTTTTCAGTCGGTGTATCATGGCGGCTGCCATCTTCAATTTTCGCCCAGCTGCACTCCACACGCACTTGGACGTTCGTAATCGGCGGATCACTCGAGAACAGGGTTTCGAATACGCCCCAGGAGGGCCATGTCCGAAATGGGCAGTAATGCCTACGGCTACGACTGCTTGTCGTACCTCGATTATTAAAATTAAAAACCCGAAGCTGTAGCCGCAATATGTCTTTTTTACACTTCCATTGTTTACACTTCCATTGTTTTTTTTTCAATTTTCCTGTCTTACCATGTATAGACCTGACCTGCATAGTCTTGGGTTTTTTTTAAGGGGCTTCGTTGTTGTATATTTTCTTATGTTTTTGTACTTTTAAGGACTAAAATTAATAATAATCCCTTGTCGTCATCCTGTGACGTTTATGCGCGAAGTGTTTGCGCAGTGCACACCACACATTACAGTAATACACAGCAAGTTCAAAAGAAATCGAGGTCACAACGGCTTTGAAAAATAACTTGAACCTTGTATTTCTAGATTTCTAAACAAGTGTTGGACAAGATTATACACATAAATAGTGTTTGTGTTTACATTGTGAGCACGTGAACCTGTCACGGGACAGGATCTAGTTTACACTGGAGATAAAAATAGCACTTGAAGCTCTTTGTTTGAGCCACGAGGCGTGTGGGACCCAAAAGAGGAGTCATGCCAAAAAGCTATTGTTAAAATAAAGAGTACTGATTTCAGTTTGTTTAAATTCAAAAATATGGTTTTATCTGGATATTTTGGCAGTCATGTGCGGGATGGGAAGTTAATTACACAGTCACGAGTCGGGACATAGTATATGACCCAAAATTAGTAAAACTTAACATTTACAAGAAGGGATGTATTTCAGTCTTTTTCCCCCGAGTCTCTCGAACATACTGAAAAGTCAGTTGGCACAGCGAAAATAAGCGGAAATATACGTCGAAATTTTCAGCATATTCGAAAACTCAAAGTCAGTTATCGAAATCCTGAAACTCAGACCGCGCCCTCTAGTTTCTTAGGCTTAAATTCTTACAACCCCAAGGGTGCATGCCACACACCAACCCTTATGTTTCATGAAAAACGGAGAAAACCATTGTATGTAAATAATTGGTGATTTATAAATAACTGTTGTTAGAAATCAAGTTTAGCTTTAAGATTACACAGCAGTTTTGGTCCACTCGAATTTGTTTATTGATTCCAAGTCCAAGTGCGTTGTGTAATGCAGGTCAACAAAACCTCGTTCTGCGATGAGCGACCGCATTTTGTAAAGTACCTAGGGATACGGCAATGTATAGCTTGGATCAGGGGTCGAGTATGGAGCCTAGTTCCCTGGACACGAGGATTGAAGCCGGGTAGTCACGAGTTAAGAGACCAAAAGCCGGCATCACCTGATGTGGTCCTCACTTGTCAGACGAACGCAGCTCAAGTAAGTACGTATTTTTCTCTAGCTGATGTTGTGCCTATCCGTTTCCTCAACCCAAAACAATATTAGTATAATTTTCCGCCAGATTCGAAGTATGACCCATCATCGGGTACATTATTGACCAAAATCACATCATCGATACTCTCGTTTTGGGGGGTTTTTTTTGGTTTTATTTTTATAGTTAGCTTGGGGTGCAGAAGTGAGTCGGGGATTTTTTTTCGTCCGATGAATAACTATAATAATTGCCGATTTGGGGAGACAGTTGAAGGCCATATTTATGCCAATCGAGATTTTGAGAACATACCGCTCTCGTTATCTAATCATATCTGATCATTCGTGTCACCATCGCTGTTTTTTCTGAGGGTTTCTTTCTCGATCTTTCTCTTTGATCAATTTATTTAATTTGCAGACAAACTGTCAAACTAAGCGTTGTTAATGCCACTTGCCAATCAGGGTGTATTATTTCGTGTAGTCCATCCACCCATGACATTGCACTACATCCTTAGCACTTGAACAACGGATACGGTCTCAGCTGTTAACCTTTTACTTCGTTGGCAATTGAGCGCATGCAATAATATACCTGTTTCTTTTATTTTTAAGCCTAATCTTCTCACCCAAACTCAATTGAGCACCCACCATGAAGTTTCTGATCCTTGCCCTGTGCGTGGCAGCGGCTCTAGCCACCAGCCCTGACCTGGACCAAGAATGGCAGATGTGGAAGGACAACAACCAGAGGAAGTACGGAGCTGAGGAGGAGGACTTCCGGCGATTCGTCTGGGAGTACAACTACAAGATAGTGACCGAGCACAACCAGCGATACGCCCTGGGCCACACCACCTACACCATGGCCATGAACGAGTTCGCCGACCTGGTAGATTAAATTTATATTTTCTTGCTCCTTATTATTCAGTAGATTGTAAAGTAGTTGAAAGTCGATTACTGTTGTCAACGTTCGAAAACATGTCATTGTAAACTTGTTACTTAATTCATTCTGAAAAAGACGCATATGATTTTGATTGGCTGCTGGGTGCGTGTAAATGTAGGCATATATCAACGTGATGGTAATTACTCCACTGAATATTTTTATGAATTTTCTTCATCTCTTCAGTGGTTTTAAAGAGATGCAATTTACATCAAGGTGACTAGTTTCTGCTTCTTTATGACAAAGTGTTGCAGTTCTTACAGGACCCTCCGATTTCAATCCCTCTATTAACATGGCACGATATTAATTTTGAGACATCGATTTCTACCAAAGATCAGTTAAATTTAACACATTTCTCTAAATTCATTTCAGACATCAGGCGAGTTCACGAAGAAAATGAACGGCTTTGTGATGGACAAAGTGCCGCCAACCCCAGCCAATTCCTTCACCGATGTCAGCGCCCTTCCAACCATGGTAGATTGGCGTACCAAGGGATGGGTAACTGGTGTCAAGAATCAGGTACATCAATAATTGGTTCCTTGACAAACTCAAAACAAAGACAAACAACGGTCACAACAATTCCTTAAAGCAAAAACAGACAGGTAATAAAACAACCACCAAAATCAACCAAACACCAAAATCTGCTTAATTTGCTAAGCATTATTGGCTTAGAAAGCACAGGTTACAAGCTAAAATGTCATGCAGGTGATTTGCATGTGACCGGTTAGCATTAATTTTCCACTCACTAGATAAAAATTGCCTAGCATTTTTCTCTCCGGACTATCTCCATGGAATGGGGCCCAGAGCGATAACAAAGATGTGTGTGTGTTAAGACTGTCATGCATATTAACTAAATGAAGACGAAATACATTTTTTTTTCAAATATCAAATTTCTACTTTTTGCCCCATTCTGTGATGATTGTATAGATGCAATGCGGTTCATGCTGGGCCTTCAGTGCTACGGGATCCCTGGAAGGACAAACCTTCAACAAGACGGGTAAACTGCCGGACATCAGCGAGCAGAACCTGGTAGACTGCGCCATGAAGCCCTCTTACAACTGCCACGGCTGCGAAGGAGGCACCATGAACGGTGCCTTCCAGTACGTCCACGACAACATGGGAATCGATTCCGAATCGTCCTATCCATACCAAGCAGAGGTAGGATGAATATTCATTTGTATTCTCAATTGCTCAGATATTGCTACCAAATAATAGTCAGGTTAACTGTATGATCTTCCTATATTCTTATTATTTTTGTTATATCTGATCAGATTTGAATGAATGGTTTACTTTTGATGGGAGCTAAACAGGCAATTTTGTATATGTTATTTGTGGCAAGTGAAATGGTGGAAATCCGTTAATACTTTGCACACTTTTGTGCATTTAATGATACTTTGAATATTCGTTGCTTTTCTTTTCAGGATAAGAAATGCCGTTTCAACCCAGCCAACGTAGTGGCCACTGACAAGACGCACACGCTCCTTCCCGCCATGGACGAAAAGGCACTCCAGATGGCCGTGGCAATGGTTGGACCAATCAGCGTGGCGATCGACGCCAGTCATGAGTCCTTCCAGATGTACCACAAAGGTTAGTAGAAGAGTAAACCTCTATATTCCGTTCATTATTTATTGTCATTCTTGCTATTGGCGATGTTGTCGCCAATGCTGTCATTTATGTTGTCATCACTCAATTTAGATGTCGTAATCTTATCGTCGTTTCCATTGTTAAATCTACTGGAGTCATTTGTCGTGTTAACAGTCAGGTGTCGCTTTGCTGTTGCTATTTATTCTTGCTCTTTTCGTAAATGTGTCGTTGTAATAGTTCTTCGTCATTGTCGTTACATAACCGTTGTTGCTGCTACTGTCATTGATGTCGTTGATATGGTGTCGTTGATGTCGTTGTCATCACTATCGCGGTGTCGTAATCATCGCTACCGTTGTCGGCGATTTCTGCTATTGCTGTCGCTGCTTATGATTTTGGAAGTTGTCACCATTCATCATGGTCGTCCCATTACCGTATTTTTTTCTTACCGACCCTCAGGTGTTTATGATGAGCCAATGTGTAGCCAGACCCTGCTTGATCATGGTGTGCTTGCCGTTGGCTACGGCATGGAAGACGACAAAGCCTATTGGCTGGTCAAGAACAGGTGAGTCTAACGCCCTCTGGAGGTTTCATCTTCGTTTCAGTCCGGATGGAAGGGGAAACCCATTTACCCACTATCCAAGATCTCTGGTTACCTCTAATTTCTTTGAGCCCTAAAATAGAGCCAAAATGGGGCCAAAACTAATGGAATGCTAAAGTTCCTAAACGTAGTCTAAAATTGCCTTAGAAACATCGTAGATTTAAAAAAAAATCCGGGGGCATGCCCCGGAGAAGGGTGTTCCTTCAGCACGCCTTCACTCAACCCCCCCCCCCCCTCCCCACCCTCATATCAAACCCACCCCCATTTCACGAAAGCTAGATCCGCCCCTGAGGCGGTCCATTCTTTATGACACTGGTGTTTCCTTCACAAGTTCGTCTGATTTAGTGGTACGTCACCAAGCCAGTGCCCCTGGTTAGGGCTGTGGGAAACAACTCACATGAAGTAATTTGTACAAACTACCCTACCTTAATGCCAACATTTCTACTCTTTTGTCTCGTTTTAATACAGTTGGGGCAAGAAGTGGGGCATGAAGGGCTACATCATGATGTCTCGCTTCAACAACAACCAGTGCGGCATCGCGACCAACGCCAGCTACCCGCTTGTCTAAGGTGCTAAAGAGATGAGAGCGCCCCCTCTGATGGCATATATTACAAAAGCAGTCACGCCATCCTTTTCAGTATTAATGTTGTATGACCAAAGGTCGCCCTCTATTGACTAAGTAGTACATCCTGTCTACTTAGGGCCGCATTTTCGGTACATATTTGTTAATCAAAGTCATAGAACCCATCTGTGCAAACCAATGAACAATTTTCATAGTTTTAGTAAAAGCGCCCCCACGGGGCAGCATATTGGCCAATATAATCCAACTAAGTGTCAATTACTAGATAACCAGCAGCGCACTCTAATGCTACCTCGATAGATTCTGAGCCAGACTTATCATTACTAATCGACTAACGACCTCCAGTTATTCACTGTAACCACACCAAAAATGATAGCTTTTATTCCAAACGTCTATTTTATCTCGTTATATAGCTTAAAATCATTGAACTAATTGAGCTTTGAATAGATTCTTTCATTTTGTTTTACCGTTTAATTTGCAATTAATTTTAATGAACTTGAAGCAAACGTTATAGAGTTTCTTATATATTGACCAAGAGGCTGTACATTTCACGAATCTTCTCTAATAAAACAATTAATAAAAGATAGATATTACATAATATTCATCAAACAATTATGTTGAATATGTACTTTTTTTTAACTCTATGCAAAGGCTACTTTTCGACCGTATTGCCTGCGTCCAGTGAAACATTTTAAATGCTTCTAAAGGCTGAGAACTCGGAAAATTTAGACTGATTCCTGGTTTCCCCCCCCCCCCCCCCCCATCTCCGCTCTGACTTCAAGGGATGGGAAAAGTATAAACTGGGAACAATTGGGACCGAATGAGGGCGCCATTCAAGATCAATTCGAGGGGAATATGTTGTGGAGCAGTTACGTTTATTGTGCCTCATTGCCGCATCCAAGCGACTCTGTTTCCGTTTCCCAACATTTTCCGAACGCGTCTTGACGGCATTTGGGAAACAGAACAGCTTGGGTCCTTTTCTCTCTCCGATTGTTGTTTCTCACCACGGCACAGCAGCCCGGTATTATGATGCAAATTAAGAATAGACCTTTATCATGCTGCCACTATTTCAGTTATGCTCCCCGTATTCAATAACAGTACTGATTGATAATGTTTTTGTGCAAAAAGGAGCCACACTATTTTTTCTTCCAGCCTCGCTTTGGTTACGTTGATTTGAATGGGAAAAAATCAAGATGGCCGCAACATGATAATGGTATATACCACTAATATTGCAGCATCGTACATAAAAACACGTACGCCGACAATTGGGTTTTGACTCAAAATGGCGTCCATAGACCACGTGACCAGAAACAAACGGTACTACCCATGTCCCGACTCTCTCTCTCTCTCTCTCTCTCTCTTTGTTTTCTGGAATTCTGAAACCAAATTTTGTGCGTGGGAGTGGCAGGGGTGGGGCGAATACAGTTAAAAAAGGAAGTCTGCTTCGACCACGAGATGACTAATTAGTAATAAATAAGAATGTCACTGGCACTGATATAAATCTTGTTTGTTGGATTTGTTTATTGTCTTTCTTTTACACCACACCAGAGAGGCATCAGCCCATCTAATTATTCCAGGAATTACTACTTCAATTTTTTTGTATACATTACAGGGCATGGACACAACACGGATAGTGATAAGTAATAATTGGAGATTTGTAGTCATATTCGTCAAAATGAGTCTCCTCTAGACAACTTGTTTTTCTCCATGGTTACGTCAGGCAAATCTTCATTGTTTTACAGAGCAGCTTGCAATTTCGATTTAATGAAAAACGGAATTCTAGGTTGTACAGAAAATAAGGAAGTCGGATAAGCATGAGGATAAGAACCAAATATATGATTGATTTCATGAGACAGGATTTCATGGGAGTTTTTGATAGAATTTTTAAGTGACATTAAAACCATTTGGACCAAAAACCATTTGGACCTGGCTGCTATAAAACAAAAGAGGGCGTCCTATGGTATTCAGATAACGTCTTAAATACTTACCGTTTACTGCGATTCATCTACATAATGTGTCCACGACTGAAGTTTGTTGGGTCATGTTTAATAGTAAAAGGTCCAGATTACAGTAAAAACAAACAGCTCTCTTACAATATAAAGCAAGATTAAAATACTTGAATTACAAAAAACCAAGCTGAATACTAACTAGTGACAAGGACAAAATGTCTCTTAACGGTATAAAATAAACAATATTAGACAACTTTTATTTCGAGTTAAAGTCGAAAGTCATGGAAGATATCTCATAACTTCCATTTTCACCACTTGATGACTTTGCTTTCCGTCAAGATGGCGATAGTCATAAACACGGCGTAAAAGATGTACAGAAGAACGGAATAGACTTTTGTGGCCCGGAACCTGGCTGCTATCATAAAGAACATGGAGGTGAAGAGACTGATACCTAGACCGGCAGCCAACACGAACTGCAGCGTGTCTGTCTTTAACTGAAATAAAGGCGGTAAAAAAGGGAGTTTTAGAGCCCGTTCACTCATAACGTTTAAATCGAAAACATCTCTCGCAACGATACACACTGCTTCAGCACATCACAAAAGACAGTAACCATCTCAATTGTCATACGGTGAGAAAAATAATTATCCAAGTTTTAAGAGTCAAACTCAGCTGCTATATATTTGTGGGTAAATTGAAAAAAAAAGTCTAACTTCTTTAAGCCGATTTCATAAGTTGATTTTGTGCCAACGTTTTAGATCCCTGACAATTAAGACTTTCAAAACAAATCAGACAACATTTTAAAATATCAAGTTCTATTTAATCTTCCTGTATACGTTGTACCTATGCATATAGAGTAAAGGAGTCGAGGTATGTAAGAGAAAGGACAATTTTGTACAACTTACTTTAAAAATTCCCCCGTTCTCTGCAGTCGCAATGGTGGTTGCAACTCCTATCCCAATCAACATATCTGATTGGGAACGTGTTAAAGAATAATGCTATATATTTCTCCAATGGGAAATCAGTCAGATAACATCATGCTGTTTAGACATCGGACTCAGTCTTAGCAAAATTCGTTCAAGCTAATTAGTCACTCAAAAAGGTACTTACCCTTTCAACTCATCTGTATGCATCTGAAATCAATTCGGCAGTATATGCGCTCTTATAAAGTGCTTCAGAGTGCGATAAAAACGTAATCAAACGCACACGCCAAATATTCCTCATTTGAGGAACGCGGGAAAGCCTTCAAATGATAGCTCGAGCGAGATTCAAACTCACGACTAGTGGAAGGAACTAGTTCTACTACCACCCGAGCAAACCTCTGAATATTTTCTCCTCCTTTGCTCTAGAAAGCACTGAGTTTAAGATGTTTACATAAATGATTGTAAACTCTCTTTGGTTAATAAGTAGGTTTTTTTTTAATAATGCTTATATTTTAGAGGATACTGAATACAGGACCTCCAAAACAAGCGGAGATGGCCATCTTTGGGGCTCCCTGTTGGGCCATAGCTGTGTCGGCCACCAGGTCTAGACGAACACAATGAGTAAAATAATAACATAAGGGTTGTATAATGTCAAAGATGCACGGAAATAAGAATCAAGAGGACTTTAGGTAATGAAATTCACCTACGAATAGAAAAACCATGTCATTCGCTTATTCAGGTTTGGGGATAAATGGCTTACTTTAATGACAATTGACAGCCATTGCACAAGAAAATTGTTTTTTCCAAACCTGAGAAAAACAATTGCTCAGTTTGAGACAGAATTTGAAATGTTAAGTTGCGTCTCAATATATATGTCTATTTTCAAGTGCATCGTGGAGTGGCCTTCCTCGACCTTTGACGGGTTTTGTTTGAAATAGTTGTATCCTTTAACCATAATTTGTGACTTTACCTCCTATACAGTTGCCCCATGCCAGAAATGTCAGGCCCAAGATGGCGTCACTCAGATCAAACACCTCACCATACATCTAGAAAGTTAAAATAATGACAGAAAATAAATGACTTGTTTCCCAGACAAAACACCGATGCACCAATTTCTCAAAAAATAATTAAATTTACGTCTGTTTTTTTTTCTTTCTTGAAAATGTCCTATAGCGTACGATAGTCTCCTTTCGATACTTCGAAAATTATCTTTAAAAATATTCCAGCAATTGAAAATAATACTCACTCTTAAAAGATTGACAATTTCGTTCGCGATGGCATAGATCCAACACACGGAAATAACAAAACCGAGAAATGCAAACGCCTGTATACAGAGATAAGAAAAAAAAAATGAATATAATTCAAATATTTGAACAAAAAGCCCCCGCCCAAAAAAAAAAAAAATAATGTGTTGTTTTTATGTGATAAATCGTGATTGTTCATATCAACGTTATCAATGTCAATACTGTTCACTCTAAAAACTGTGTTTTATCTTGCAATCACTTTGTCTGTGCATAACATTTTTAGATGCTTTTAAACATTTTGTGTCCAATTCCTAAACATTAATGTTCAATAGCTAAACACTACCCATCCTTACTCTGAACATGTTTAGCATTTAAACATGTTTACAAACTGATAGCAAGAAAGTGTTCAGAAAAGTGTATAATTGCTAAACACAGTTTTTGCAGTGCTTTTTTAATATTCAACACAATCCTGTGATATTTTTTGTTTAAAAATGTGAGCACCATTTTAAAGATTTAACGAAGAGCTCGAATACAGGCGTGCTTACTATGTAGTAGACCGGAGGCTGGCTTGGTTTGGATGTGAGTAAGGCGAGGATGGCTAGCACAGCTCCAAAACACAACACCAGATGCCACAGATAGAACTCACCCGATATGACCGTCCCGTAAACTGGTGACAAAGAAGGCATACATTAAAAAGGTTCACATTATTGTCTCTTTTAACTTCAAATATTCCTCCTTCTTGCGATTCATCAATTAGCGAAGTGTTTAATGCAATCATTAGCATTACGATATCACAGATGTACATGTTTTGTCGGATTAAATAGTATCGCCGTCCGATGAGCTCCGTGCGCCGACGAAAGAGGGCACCCTTTTACCTAGCAACGACGTCCCATGGGCGGGGCATTTCGCTGGTTGACGCGCACTGTTCCTTGTGTGTGACGCACGTACAGCAGGGGATTTGAACTATGTACACGCTTCGCAGCAAATGAATTGCAGTCAGGCAAGATGGCGTCGGTCGGTCACCCCCAACTGTACTCTCTTTGCCGGTGAGGGGGTACTTGTGAACGAAGCGGATACAGTCACCTGTATCAATGTGTTGACATATCGATGTCATTATCAGAAATACTTTCATCACCATCAAAACCAAAACAATCACACACCCCTTTTTTTTAGATTTCAGATTTCCAGAAAAGTTATAAAACCAAAATTCCCAAACGTATAGGAGCCTTCTCTAAAACATAGCGACCCACCCCAAACATTTGGTCTAAAACCCCGTCTAACTCTATTGAATATCCCGCTTACTGTTTGTGATGAGGACGCACCAGACTGGTCCAATAAGTAGTTGGATGCAGTTGAGAAGGCGATTCCAGCTACACTTGTCGTGAAGGACAAGGGGGACTGAGATTTGCAGCAACAGTTGAATCGGAGACTTGAAAAGAAAGTAAAACAAAAATGTATTTATTGCAAACCTCTAACATCCCATCACAGTTGTTATCAATTAATAACTTCAATAGAGGTTTTCTAGAAATTTCTGAACATTCTTTGTGCATATTATTGATGATGACAAGGAAACTTAAAACAAGGCTCAACGAGGACTTTTTTTTTCATATAAAAATTTGGAACATGAAAGAGGAATTTTTTATACGGATGCTGAAACAAGAATTACTGGAATGTTGTCTTACCCTGTTGTATTTTGATTGATTTTAAAATTGTTAATTTTGGTGTGTTTCTAATTAACTTATCTTTTGATTTTTTTCTTTAGTTTTCGTATTATTTAAGGGGAGGGTCACCCCAAGCCTGGGTTTATGGTGCACTTCATTTTTCCAGTTTTCAGTTTCATAATTTGCTTTTGAGGAACAAAATGGTGAGTACCTTATAGATTTCAAAGATTCTCATGATATAACCCTTGTTCTTCCATCCTTCTACGTCGATGGGGTTGATGTCTCTAAACAGCGCCCTCAATTGGTATCCCAAGCTGCCTGGTTTCTTCGTCCGAGGAAGCAGCGGCTCCTCCTCAGAGTTCCCGCCCGTGAATTCTTCGGTCTTCGCAGCGACCATTTCAGTGGAGTGAGTCACATTATTGTCCTGGACTTCTACTTGTTTTTCACCGAGATCCATCGTCCCAAAGTTTGTCCGCTTAGTTGCACGCTGTTGATTGTCAGTAGTCCTGGCTTCCAGCTCGTCCGAGCAAGTCTCGGCGGGTTTTGGTGGCCCTTTGCGGTCTGCCGAGGGCTTTAAAATTTCCTCCATGACTTCTTTTTCGGGTACGTTTTCGGCCTGGACGTCTTTTGGTACGTCTTGGTTTGTTTCTCCCGTTTCCGCTTTGTTGTCCGTATCTGTACATTCTGTTGGTTTTTCGTCGACTTTCGATGCCGGGTGGGGCTTGTCGTTTTGAGGGTTTTCGGTTGGCTTGTCGATGTTGCTAGTCACGTCTTGGGACTCAGCGCTCAGACCGTCTTCCAGACGCGCGTAGGACCCTTCGCCGTCTACGACTGGCGTAGTCACGGTAACAGGCCTCTCGAACTTTCTTGATATCAGCACGACGCAGACGTAAAACACGTACAGCAAAATAAAACCTGAAAGCAATTTCCAGTTAGGGGCGTTTATTTTCACATTCATTGCTTTATCAGTTTTACCTGTAGCTATTTTTTAAATTAACAATCGAATGTTCTTTAATTAGATTTTCGCATTAACTGCATTTAGTTTTTCCCATAAATATTTATATAAGAAAATCGATTCTTTTGTTCATGTTTCCAGAAATTCAGAACGATCACCTCATAAGTCGCCATCGGATTTTAAGGAAAGGTGATGGAACGAATGTTCTTGCTTATTATATATAACTGATGCAAAGTTTTTCCCTATACCCAGACCAAGCGTTCTCGAAAGCCTTCTGCTATATTTTTTAAATAGCCAGCCTAGAACATATATTTTGTGAAACTATAACAAACAATTATTTATACAAAATCAACATTAATAGATAGTAATGCAACTTATGGGGAACTCGTCTCAAGGTTAGTTCTCTTCACCAGCGAAATCGCAACAAGAAGATTATCAACTACACCCGACCATTAATGATACATTCTCTCTTACCTATGGCCTCTTCGGTCAATATCTGGCCCGTATACAAAATGTAGAAGGTCCAGTAGGCCACGCCTACTACAAAGATGGCGTCTCGAAGGAACGGTATCTGGGCCACCTCAAAGGGTTTAAGAGCGGACACAGTGCCGGCAACGAAGGTAGTGATGAACACAGCGGCACCTGAAATAGAGAGCAGATGTTACAGATGATGGACGCTGAGCACAGCTGACTATTATTTCTTACGGAAAGACTTGCGTGGGAATGATAAAAATACCGGCGACTGATGCATTAGAGGCAAATGCGCTTAAGTTTCAAATTGCTCTCCCATCGCTGTTTTTCATTTGATCTATATCCTAATTAAATTTCAAATTTCAAGTTTGCAACCCTCGGAAAATAATTTGAAATTTTTGAAGTACCAATTCTAGTACTTTAAAGTGGGCGGCTTTTTTCCTGTTAAATTTGGGGGTTTCATTCACAAGTGGATAACTTGTGCCAAAATGGCCCTCTAATGACGGCTTTGACTCCGGAAATAGCGTTTGGTTCGGAGAATCCCATCTCGGTGGCCTTAACCCATGACGATAAAACCTGAAGCCAAGATGGAAACGAAGGCGAGGTTTTGTTTAAAATAAAAATCCGCAGTATTTTTACTCACCAAACAGTGCTCCGATAGCCAAGCCCGCGTCTCCATCTTTGGCGTGTGTGATAGCCGCTATGGCGCTGAACACATCGGGGGCACCATTACCAAAAGCTAGGAACGTCACCCCGTGTAGGCGTCAAAATAGTTAAGATGGCAAAACGGTTCCATATACAGTAACAATAAACGTGGTGCTTATATAGCACTTTATACCTAAGGTCTCAAGTTCTACATAACTATTACCCCTGTTCATCAGGCCACGATATATTTTCTCCTTTTTTCGAGATCAATGCAATCTGGTCTCTACCTTCACAGGTACCCATTTATGCTCTTTGGTGGACAGAGCCAAATTGGTCTCGAAATATAATATTCATATGACTGTGATAAACAAATATTAACGAACACTTGTATGGAGCGTCGTGAGAAAGCAAGTAATAATTCCATGCATTTTTTTTTTTCAAATTTGAGATGACACTTGCTAATTTGAGATGACACTTGCTAATTGCATCTTGTTTCTGAGAAATCATTTTTAAGTTTTAAAACGATTTTCTTCTTTGTACTTCTGACTTTAACTCGAGTTTGTAAAGATGCCGCTGCAAACTTTACTTATCGTTTCTTTTTCATACTTGCAGAAATGTTTAGTGTTTTTTAGTACTTCCATAAATAAAAAAATATAATTTAAACAAACTTCCAATTCCATTCACGCCTGCTTATGGAACGTGTAAAAAGGATATTGCAACGTTATCACTCAGTTTCAGTGTCTTGGAAATTGTTAACAGTGTCGGACAAAAGCTGGAGAAGACAAAGAGAGAAAAAAAAGGCAACCAAGATTGATTTATTAACGAATGGTTATATACCATTGTTTCAGATATAGAAAATACAGAAAGGAAAAAATAAATTTCAATGAACAAGAAATATGGTAAATATTATGATGTTCAGTTTGAGTGTGTTACAGGAAAATAATTAGCCGTGTGTTAAAGTCTGTCTGGTTCAGACTTTGCACTTTGACCTCAAGCTAAATATTTCAGCTGAGTTTATCAACAAGTCAACATTAAAAGCCTATTGTGGTTTGGTATTTTGATAATTTTTTTGTCACTGCAAATACAAAACCCTGCTGTTTAACATTTGACCCTGTCACCGACATTCATTCTGCTACGTGCAGTTTCACGTTCAAATGAAAATAATCGAAATGTTCATCTAAAGTCTAGAACATTATTCTCTTGACACAAATATTTCGGCAGTACTCACAAGTTCTTAGCTGTCACTCCGAGACAAACAAACAAGAAAGTAAGCCACACGAACTGGAAGGACAAACAGATGGGATGAAAAAAATTACATAGAATCGTCAGCATTGTCTTCTTAACAATTTCAAAAGCAATGGTTTAATTGGGTATAATTTCTTTAATAAATCGCCCATAACTAACCTCATATACTTGACTAGCAAACCGAGATTTTATTTTAAAATTTTGCGCGGCAAGACAAATACATCGATTGAAACATTGAAGGTCATGTGTGGAAATTTATTGTTGAAATCTTAAAAACAAAATTGGGCTTTAAATAGAGGATAGAGGTTCCTTTGATTTACCATTGAATACCCCTTCACGTGATCAGTCATCATTACACTGATTGGAAGAGTTAATGGCTCTTTCTTCTAACAAACCTCAGTTTAACTCATCCTCCTTATCATCTCAACTTACCAGTATTACCAATGCAAGGGGTTGAAGATTGGGAGAAAAAGCACAGTAAGTAAATTCCAAGTAGTTGATGAAGCCATTCTCAGGTTTGCAATCCTCAGTTTTCTGAATGAAATCGCACTGTTTGTCAGAGCCCAATTCGTGGTAAAAGATGCACTGCAGGGAAAGGCAATCGGGAAAAAAACATAATGACAAGCATGAGAAAGAAACAACAGCGATAGCAACGACAGTAGTATAAAGAAAAACGCGCCAAACGTGACGAACGCAATGCTGTTTACGCGCACAATGCGCTGTGCATCGGCACCCTGGTCTACATGTGGATTGGGTTTTCAGTACCTACCTGATTCCGTGGGTTTTCCCCAGACTGTTCTTCGGGGGTTTTCCTCCCACCCCTAAAACTGTAATTTCTTCTCATTGTCTTCTTTCTACAGGATTTTTTTTTCGGGGTTTGCGAGCTACAAGTGCCTGGGGCATGCACTTTTGAGGAATCCTTGGTTCATTACCAGAAATAAAAATTTAAAAAATGCAATAATCGTTAACTTCGTTTCGTATGAATAAAAAGGAGTAAATGCTTCAGATTTCAAATATGCACTTGCCATTTACAAGGCTTGGTTGGGGCAACCTTGAAATTATACATGTATAATTATGCGCAAAATTACTGCATTTATTAATGTTAATCGCGAAAAATTAATATTAACAAAGTTCATTAAGTACAGATGATAATTCAGATTCGTATGAATAAAACATGGCATTTATAATTATAATAACAGATGATACTATGTTCGAATGAATAAAACATGGCATTTATAATAACAGATGATACTGTTCGTATGAATAAAACATGGCATTTATAATTGTGTAATGATGGTGACTGAATTAAATGAAACTCATAGGGGTTGAGGCCGAGACTTAGGAGTATCTGCACAGTCACAATTTTCAAAATTAACTCCATGAGTTTTGTAGTTATTTTTTTTTTAAATAGTCCGACGGACACTTTTTGGGACATACTGTAGAAAGCTTGCCTTTGCAAGCTATATTTGTCATTACTATGATCCACGTGTTGCACGCCTCCAGTCTTGAGCATGAGAGATCATGGTACGAATTCCGTGTTAGGATAAAAGTATTTTTCATTACCGTTTAGTCTCAACTACAACTTGCTCATTGGTGTAGGCCCCTATGGCAATCATGATCATGAATCTGTATGACGGGCACCATTGATGGCAGACACCTGACTAGTCGAGGAATTATAGGCCGGGTTTGTGTGTATTGGATGACTCTGTAATAATAGCCTAGTCAAACAAAAACTGATATTTTGCATGTTATCGCACAGGTCTCACCGATACACATGTGCATGTTAAGCTTCGTTATATCAACACCATCCACGGTAAAAACAAATCTACTGTAGGACTCAAACACCCGTCTCCCTTACAGATATTTTCGAGAGAAACATATCCCAGATAAGAAGAAAACATGTCTAAAATTGTTATTAAAAAAACAAATTCTGATCGGATAATCGATGTAGAGCCGTCTCTGGATAAATTAGGAACCGGTAAAATAATCGAGTCGTCATATCCTCGATTTTTCTAAGTGGCGAATCAATTCTACTGTTATTCTGTTGGTTTGTACTCGATCTGCTACTACCCAGTACCCTTTAATACCCTTTCAACCACGGGCTCAACATAGTGGATTCCAATTTTGTTTGATATTTGTTTTTGTTGTTGTTTTTGTTGTTGTTGGGGTTTTTTTGAGGGGGAATTGGTCTAGTTTTACAAATCAAGAAATTCATGAAATAAATTCCAGTCAACACTTAAGGAGAGACGGCTTTCTACATAGCGGGCTATAGGTGGACGTTTATACTTTTCACAGTGAGTAGCTGTATATACGTCTTCTTTGAAACTACATTGCATAAAAAATATCCATCCCAATCCCCAGAATCTCTTCCTCGGAATATAGCGTTTCCTGGGCTTGAAAGGCATATTCGTTTCGACCTCTTTCGTATGTATAATTTCCGTAACCTAATAGTGTAATAGAAGACAGAAATTACTGCAGTCCTTACCGTGTCGTTCTTACTGGCCTCATTCTCTTGGTTGGTCTGCTGACCATCTCCTTTTACCGATTCAGCAGCAACTCTGGAACAGAACTCTGAGAATACGGCGATCACTGCCACAAATGCGCTCATCAGATGCATGCAACTCGGCCTGCGGTTATCCATGCTGCGGTCGAGATATACAACAGCTACAGGTCGCTGTGGTAGTTCCTGGACATTTTGGAGCTCTGTACCGACACAGTATAATCTGTGAATTCCCGTGCGCTGTTAGCATCACATAGTATATGAATCATGACATGGATTATGATCAAAATTCAGCAGAAATTCCCTGAATTGCGTCGAGAGCTGACAGCCGATACCATTGTCTGATGTTTAATTTGTTTGTTCTCTTTGGTATGTTGGGTGTTTGTTTGTTTGTTTGTTTTGGGGGGGAGGTTAACATCAAAATTATGACCCCGCCAGGCACAGATGAGCTTCCGTACTCCACGTGAGATAAAATCACGAGGTACAACGAACTTTGGAACATGATAATGATATCGGATAAGTAGTGGTGTATCCAGATGTGGTATTAAGGGAAACTTATCCCCGACCCTTCCCCCTGGCGACATGTGACCAATTTTTAAATATTTGTTTTATATTATTTTCTTCAAGAAATGAAAGCACCAACACACATCACATGTAAGTAACGAAACCCCTGCTTACATCAATTTAGACGAACGCAAAATAGAGGCCACATTTCCAGAGAAAAAAATTACCCATTCGCTCCCAAGACTCAACCCTGGGTACACTACTGCAAATAGGGGGCATTTTACAAGCGTTCGGTACTTGCCATCGACCGTGATGATTACCCACAGGTTTAAACTGTTTTCCGTTAAAAAGCAAACTGTTCAAAAGGAAATAAGCTCGGTGAGTACCAATGTGACCTGTGCCCAGTTTTATAAACCAGTTAAGCGAGAATTCGCTGAGAGCTAGTCGCAAGTAATACACACCACATGTCATTTTTTTATCATTTCGGTTGGTAATCTATATTTTAACAAAGCAAATATTTACTTGCTGTGCATTGTACAGCTCGATGAAATCACCAGCCTAGGCTGCGCAGCCGCGGATCCAGGGGGGGGGGGGGGATAAAAAACAGCTCTGACAAAAACTGGGGTTTTTTTCATAGAAATACAAATCTGAACCCCCCCCCCCCCTTCTCTGACACCCCAATAATTGCATGACAATTAGTTTATGCTGGTAATAATATCCACCTGTGCACAAAATTCGGTCAGAGCCAGCTGGGTTACGGGTGTATTTGTACAATATTCTGTAATTATAGTGTTGATGATCGTCGGATTTGAATAGCGCCACGATTGAAAGTATGGTACGAGTCTCCCCCGTCCCCCACCCCCTCCCCCCCCCCCCCCCCCCCACCCACCTTTTGATTTTACGGAGGCCAAATGTCCGGAGAAAAAAAAAGGTTTACATTTCAGCATTGATCATGGGCGTCGCCAGGATTTTTTCTTGAGGGGGGCAAAAAAAAAATGGGCAAAAAATGCTTGTATTTCTCAACACATTCTCGATTTATCAGTTTTAGAGGGGGCAGGGACATTCCCCGCCCCCCAACTCATTAAATTTACACCAATTTGTCTTCGCGCCTCTTTTTCTTCTTTTTTTTTTCTTCTTTTTTTCCTTCCTTTTTTTTTCTTTTTGCTTTTCCGGGGGGGGGGCAAGTGCCCCCCCTTGCCCCCCCCCCTTGCGACGCCCACCCCGAAAAAAATGCCTGGATCCGCCCTGCTACGACAACACAAACCAGGGCTCTTATTTCTGCTTACTCGTAGTAAGCAAGTTGTCATGAGCTTGGGTACAAATAGTGTGGGGGCGTCAAACTAGACACACAAAAACATTCATCACAATTGAGTGCGTTCGTTGCTTGCAGTTAAAAGTAATTATTTTATTTAAATTTCAAATGTCGTTTAACTTTTGTTTCTGTAAGCTCAACATTTGGAACAATTTTTGTACAGTCTATATAAGATAATAATTCCATCACTAATTCTATGGCACAAATTCCCATTCTATATTAAGGTTTTTTTTAAGCAGCCAAAAAATGCATCCGTATCACAAACGAAAAATGCTTCTGTGGTAAAAATTTGGTAAAATTTGTGGTCCAAAAACTTCCGTAAATTTCACTCGTAATTTAAGATTACCAGTTGAACCTATGCCAATAAATGCTTAAAAATCTTCTACGTCATCAATCCTATTGTTTTCCTCAAAAGACATATCTAAAGGCTATGTCGTCTACAAGTATATTTACCAACAATTCTTACATCACGTGTTATTATACACATCTGCATAAAAGGCTGTAACATTGGTGATTAAGCAAAGTCTCAATGGCGCGTGTCACGTCTCTCTAATTTTACTAACCAAATCAGTGCAATGTCACAATGAGATTTAAAGGGTTTGCCAGGTAACATTGCATGCAGCTGAATCACTAGGGGAAAGAGAAATACTGCGACAAAACGTGTGACTCCAGAGGGCGCCCTAGGTGTGATTTGAAATCACGTGATCAGAACTGAGAAGCGCAGGAGCTCCGTGTGATTATATCAGTGAATAAAGCATTGGAGTCTAGTCCCAAGTTAATTCAAAAATGCCGTTTATACGAGCAAAGGTACGATATATAATAATCTCACCGGATTTCTTCTAATACTAATCAAAAAAAAAATTACTGTCCCTTTTTTCCTCACAAATTATTAACAACCAACTTTCATTATTAGAATGAATGGATATAGTTTATTATAATTACTTCTTGTAAGTTTTAATAATGACACCTATATCTGCCTTCATAATCGTGCTGAAAGAGTAGTTGCATTGTTGAATTCGCAGGATATATGATGAAGAAAATAAAATAAATTAATAAATTGTCATTAACATATTGTCATGTTAATAAAGACAGTATATTGGGGCCATTAGAAATGATTTGAGTATGGGAGACATTGGCGGCGCCGGTCCTTGGGATAATTTTTCGTTTGTGAACGTGAATGGCTGATGAAATCACAACACAAAATCAGTAGCAGGTCCAGAGGGGGTTGGAGGTTGCACCCCCCCCCCCCCCCCCCCCTTCAACCGCTGACTAATGTTATGATCCCAGTAAAACTGGGCCAAAATAATAAATGGAATGTTAAAGTTCCTATATTTATTCTTGAATTGCCTTAGAATGCTTCGTAGATGTCAACATTTTCCGGGGTGCATGCCCCAGACCACTCTTAAAACAAATTGGTTGAAATAACCAATATTGGTTAAAAACCTGTGTCCAACCAATCCGGTTGGTTAAACACATATTAATCAATTTGTGGTTGTTTCAACCAAATATTGGTTATTTCAGCCAATCTTCAACCAATCTATTTTTAGAGTGTAGCATGGCGTGCCCTCGGCACGCCTTAGACTCAACCCCTCCTTTTATATCAACCCACCCCTGTTTCCTGAAAGCTAGATCCGCCCCTGAAAATTGTGATGCAATCAGATTTTTTTTTCTGGGTCATATAGGTCTCCCTCTCTTCATCTCTAATGGTCCCCTGAGTTGTAAATATTGGGGTAGGCGTATAAAGCGTTGACGCTGGATCAGGTATCCCATGAAACACGTCAAAATTGTCTACAAAATGTCAATGTTGATACTGGTCTCCTGAAAGAGCTAACGGTGATTCGGAGATATGTATTCCATTTGCCCCACGGCACAGTTGAATACATGCATCACAATGCGATCCATTTCTGTCTCGAATTCCTGGTTCCCGTGCTATATTTCCCAGGGGGTCTTTATATAACTCTTGCAGATGATGTGTTTTTTTACTAGTTTACCGCGTATGAGATACAATTCGACTGCATGACAGTGACACTTCGCACCTTTTAAGGTCAAACAGTAACAACAGAATCCCTAAGGACATGGGAATCTTGTATCAAGTATCTAGTTCAAAGCTCCACTTTTATTCGAAAAATAAAATGCTTCGAAAAAAAAAGGTTCATTTCAAAACTTGTCGTATTTACACAATAGTCGTATCACAAAGTAAATTGTGTGGAACCGTTTTGTGATTGCGAAAGCTGTTTAGCCTAAGAGCTCGGCGTGGTATCCTACATAAAACTAACAAGTCTTTTTTTTCTGAAACAACCGGTAAACTGGCTTTTAACTGAACCCTTTAGAGCAGACAGAGAAATAATATATAACAAATTATTATCGATTTTCGTTTTTTTCTGGCTGCACATTTAATAATAAGCAATGATGTTTCAGCACCGTAAAATGAAGAGTATATTTTGAAAACGCAATAAACGTCATTTTGTTGACATTTTAGAATCCAGGTCTCTCCCTGGGCTTCCCAAAGTCAAATGCGGCAGCTATTTGACAGTTAAATACAATTTGAGAATGCAATAAGGCGAAGAATAAAGTTTAGAAACAGCTATTATAATGTCTTAATTCTTTAAAAGTGCGATAACCGTGCACAATTTTCACTTTTTTAAACAGATAGCCTATATTGCGTTCTGGAAATAAACTCTTCAAGTATTCATCAATTATCTCGAGTCCATCGATTTTGGCGAGGAATTCTGCCATGATCCCAAGTACGCTGGGAAATCATAAGTTCTTGTCAATGGCGCGGCTTATCAGTGGCGGATCAGGAGGGGCGGGACGAAGCCCCCTCCCCTCCCCACCTAGCGCCTTGCCAAAACCAGCCTTTAAAAAGTGCATTAATCGGTGAAGGCGCCTACATTTCCCAGCAGACCTGAGCATGAACCCAATTGAGTACAAAACTACCTGGGAATAGAATTGACTTAAATTCCCGGCCTCAACCCAAATCTTCCAGAGATCTTGAACTTAAGATTCTGATAAGTCCAACCCCTTTTTTACAGACTCCTGACCCGCCAGTGGTTGTATCGTTATATGTATATTTTTGCTTCGGCCTAGCCGTGAATCTGTCTCTTACAATCCCGCTCTAGTCTCTCCAATCTCAGCAGGAAAGTGTCTTCCACCTCACTGACTAGTTGATCGATGTCTTGGGCCTCATCTCGCACCTCCCGGAGCCGGTAGAACATCCGTACCAGTCGGTTGACGCCGTGGGGCGGCGTGAGCTCCGTTCCGTAGTGCCGGCTGTACGTGTCGGCCACCCGGTCCTGGTACTCGCGCACCGTGTAGATGAACAGTGAGTTTGTGCCGCTGTCCATGTCGCGGCAGTGGGCCGCGTAGTTGAATGGCGCCCCCGACGACTGCCGCGGCAGCTCGAAGAGCAAAGGCACGAGGAGAACCAAGATGGCGGGCCAGCCTAGAAAGAGTCGCCGCTCCATTTCGCTTATCTGTGGGAATACAAACATGAAGCCAATCAAATTACTGCCAATGCCGCGTTTTGAAAGAAATATGATGTTATGTTCATTTTGCTTGTACGACTCACTGGTCGCTCGTTAAACGGTCTTGTTATCAGCTCAAGATTCTATTTCCTTTAATTTTGGAACCTTGATTCGTTATTTTCTTCTGGCTCCGGGGAGGGTTCAGCAAACAAAGCGGATGTCGTCAACTCACACGCCGTTAAACTTAGCTAAGGGCGTAAAAACTTCGGGACTCGACGCAGTGTTCTTCCAGCTCTATATGACTCGGGTTCACATCCAACCGAAGCCGAAAAGTGTCAACCCCCCCACCCCACATTTGTCGGTTTTGTAGGCAAAATCATGGTGCTGTCGGCAAAATCGAAAATGAAGAATGGAGAAGGAAGGGGAAAGGAAGAGGGAAGAAGAAAAAATGGAGAGTGTAAATAATAAATACTGCTGCTCAAAACCCCGTGTCATGTCGGCACGAGCTGCCGCGCGAGGTCGCTTCATACACGGCCGTTGACAGCTACAGCTCTGCAAAACGCAAGCACGCACAGGCTCGCAGGCTCTGAAAGGTTCAGAGTCTTTCAGACAGCACTTGGACAGCGTAATGTGATGATGGCCATTTACCTAATGCCGACGATCATTTCCCCCATAATCCATAATTCAGGGGTAATCAACTTGCGTTGGTGCGTTCCAACGTTTGTACGAACGTTAGCAACGCCCCCTTTGAACGTTCCAGCCCCGGGTGGAACGAAAATACCGTCGATTTTTTTTTATGTTGTAAGTTTCAGTACCAACAGCTTATTTTGTGTGAGTCCACCCATCTTGGAAAACATACACAGCGAATGACTCAGACTGACATTTTATCCCAAAAATTCACTTACCGAAATATTATCATAACGGTTACTTGAATTAAAGATCTTAGTACCCCGTGAAATAAATGCGAAATCGTCTTTCGTGATCAAAAGGAAGTGCATAGTTTTTTTCTCACTGTTTTCTCGTAAAATGTAATATCCACTGAGCTGAAACTTACACAGCGTTCGAACATTCTTCTTTTGATGTTAATGGTGTTATTTTTGGAAACGAACAAACTGCATGAAAAACACATGATCATATACATGCCTGTAAATGTTCGTGCATATTGGTGGTGAACAGTCGGTCCCGCTTACACGAAAGTTTCAATGTTGGCATAAACGTTAGCATTTGATCGCGTAAGAATAGCGGAACGTGCTCCAAGCGTCTGATCTACCACTTTAAATTGAAGGCAGATCTGAGATCTCTGACACACCTAAGTAATGCCCGCATCGGGCAATAGCGGCAACAGCTTTGGATTTCACCAATGTCACCGTCTGTTACCATAGATACCAGAATTATTAACACGAGCCGTGGCAATTTCAGCAAACAGCGCCAAGTAACTGGAACAGATTTCCAAGACAAACGAACTATGTCACGAGTAAATAATATAGAGCACCATTTGGTGTTTTATGGCGGACGGTCGGCGCCCGACGTGGTTTGGCGATAGGTCATTGATCTCCGCTGTTAAGAATATTCTTTTTCAATTGTCACAAAAGAGCGAAAACTAATCTACACGATGGAACGTTTTTAAGATCAAAGTTGGGCCCGGGAGGGTTGTTACGTTCAAGGCACACGTAACGCTGCAGCGAGACGATAATGAGAATCAGAACTTTTCGCAAATTTTCATTATACTTAAGAAAGGATTTACGCAGCACGTCATTACTTTAGAACGAGCTTACGTCAACGACGATGTACATTTGTTTAATTGATTTTGATTTTGGTATTTTTTAGGGGGGTGTTTCTGAAAGTTTACTTTCGATATCAACTGGAACAATCGAAATATATGATTATCGCCATTTTTATAGCAAAGTTAAAACAAATGCCCGAGGGTGAACGGAATCCAAATCTGAAGAATTTGGAAGACGTTTAAAAGAGAAAAAAATAAAAGAGCCCTAAATACACCGATAAATAAATACTCAATCCGCAAATACACTGTTAATTATTTGATCGTGTAATTTGTAAGAGTCAGAAGAAAATAGCAGTTTCGGGTAAAAAAAAAGTGTCATAAACCTTGCCCATTCCCTGATCAGTAAAAAAAATTGAGGAAAGTAGGACACCATAATAATTGTTTAACTGTAAATGCGAGACAATATTTCATGTTACCTTTTATGTCAACCAGGTGTTTAATTTTACCATAACTGACGAATTTTAATTTTGATCACCCTTAGATCCGGTTAATAGTTCCTCAAATACGAACGTACAAAATACTGTTGAGATATTACAAATCGCCATATAAGTAAGTTTACATCCTCAGATTGTCTTTAATTATTTTTTCTCGATGACTGTGATTGTTTGTTGTTTCCCTTCTTTCTAATTAACCTTTTTTGAGACGCTCTATAATCACACACAAATATTACTTTAAGGATTCGTTATATACTGCGACTTTTGAGTAGACACGTCTTCGAATCTCACTGATATAATGATGATGGGCCTTTAACAAAACCGGTAGCGACTGGAGATGACGGTGTGTCTATAAGACGTCAAACTTTATTCCTAATTAATCTGCGTATTCGGTGAGTGCGTGTATTGTTTTTTGATCCAGCCTGACAAGATTGCTGTGCATCGAATTTAAAATAGGAAATGTCATCAAGCGGAATCCTCACATCGAAAAAATCAGCGATATTCAGAGTTGTAACGAGTCACTGATATCTGTGATTCGAGTCGAGTAATTTTTAAGTTGAGTCATTACGTCAAGAAGGTCGAGTCCAGTAGAGTCGAGTCAAATATTTAACTCGATTCAATTCCAAATTCCAAAAAACCAAACTGCATCATACAAAACTGTTTCTGATTATTTTAAAAGTGGCCATATATAGTGTTTAATTTTTATTAGGAGGACATAAATTTAGCCGCCTTTCGAATCCAAGAGCTTTGTAAGAAATCACCCGTTACAACTCTGGCGATATTGAAACAGGTCTTAAGCTACTCATCTTGATAAATTAATGTTCAATGTTAAAACATATATTAGATGAGTTCAATGACACTGACTGAGAGTGCCAATTCGTACGTCAATGTTGTGCATCTGGATATGTTAACGAATTGAAATATTATGGTCGAGTCCAGTAGAGTCGAGTCAAATATTTAACTCAATTCAATTCGAGTCATGAAAATGTGAGCACTAAAGACAAGAGAGAAAGTCGTTTGTTTCACTAACAGTTAACAAGATCGTAGCTATCTGGTGTGGCTTCGGGTCTAGAATTTGTTCGCTGATCGCTGACAACATCCAAACCAAACTGCATCATACAAAACTGTTTCTGTTTATTTTAAAAGTGGGCATGTATCTACTATATCGTGTTTAATTTTTATTAGGAGGACATAAATTTAGCCGCCGTTCAAATCCAAGAGCTTTGTAAGAAATCGCCCAAAGCCAATGACGGAACGACGAATTGGCAAATGTGTTTAAAATCCGGTTCCTGGATAGTATATTATTTTGTGCGTTCCAGAACCATGAAGCCCGGTTCATACTTCATGCAAAAGCGAATGCGAAGCGAATTTGACGTCATAAAACATTCGTTGCGAAATTCGTCCGAGTTGAAAGATGTTCAACTTTTACGAATTCGCAGCGAAAATACTTGCCACGGCGTCACAAATTGGCGTTCGTTTTCGCTTTCGCGCAGAGTATGAACCGGGCTTCAGGTGGGGGTCTGTGACACGTTGTATGTTCGTACATGACAAGTGGCCGCTGTACCGTACGTACTGTATTCGCAAAGTAGCGTGAACATAAATTGTGCACCCGTCATTGCAAATATTTTTTTGTGCAAAGTTTGCTTTTATTTTTTGGGACTCGAGTCTTATTAGCCTTCGTCGAGTCGAGTCGAGTCGAGTCTTCTGATGCGAGAGTCGAGTCAAGTCATTTGCCCTTAGGGACTCGAGTCGAATCATTAGTCTTTGCAACTCTAGCGGTATTGGAACAGGTCTTAAGCTATTCATCTTGATAAATTAATGTTCAATGTTAAAACATATATTAGATGAGTTCAATGACACTGACTGAGAGTGCCAATTCGTACGTCAATGTAGTGCATCTGGATATGTTAACGAATTGAAAATATTATGCTTAGACCTCCGCTGAAATGAAATGGCAAGACATCAATGAGCATTGTCGCAATGAATTAACATCCTGTCTCTGCCAGTCTGCGTTTCTTTCGTTAACAATACAGTGACTCAAATAGAGGTTTCTTTGGCGCCAACTTCCTGTGCTAGAGGGTTCGAATCCGGTAAGTTAAAAACTCAGGCTTTGTTGATAATATACCCGATATTATTTTTTTTTCAAACTATTTCCGATGGCATAGGGTATCGTTAAATTACTAAATACCGCAAGGACATTTACTCATTTCAAAGTGAAAGTTTAATTTTGCTAAGGTTTTTTCCGTCTTAAATTAACCCAAAAAAAGAGGGCTAAAACGGAAAAAAAGAGGGGAAAAAGAATTAAAAGTAAAAGTCAAAAAGATAGAGAAAAAAGAACATCGTCGCACTTAAAATATTCCATCCAGGTGTTTACATGTAGATAACTTTCCCTTTAATTTCAGGAAAAGTTTACAATGTGCCGTATCCGCGAACTTTAAATTAAGCTTGGAAATGTACTGAGTTACTCAAAACTCTGAAATGTTATAGAAAACGGTGACTCTTACCTTCAGTTACAGAAAGTGTTCCCCTGTCGGTATTGTGATACAATCAGATTGACGCGGTAGTAGCTGCAAATAGTGAGGCAGGAGTCTGATCAATACGAGTCTGTTGCCTGAAGGATCCTCCAAAATCAACCCCTGAGGACTCTACTTGAAGTTACGTGCCTGCCGCTCAAAAGTGCGATATGCTCTGTGCAATCTCCGCTCAAACCAAGTAGCTTTTATACACAACCGCAGGTGATGAGCACACAATCATTCCCATAGACTCAGAATCATCCATTGACAAAGATCAAAAAATGCTTCAGAGACAGACAACAAAATGTGATGTTTTGTGATGGCCAGCTACGCAACAGGCTCCCCGTCCCCGCGTTTTCTTTGTGTCGATAGTCCCTCGTGGGAGGATGGCTCTCAAGGGGATGTTCACAAACTCCCAACCCTCCACTCGTTCTGTGCTCGATCTTTTGTCACCGGTGCAGGCCCGGGTTGCCGTGAAATTCAATCACAGTCCTTTCTATCGGGACGAAGTATTAAACGATTGTGAGGGAAAACTTCTAAACGGGGATCGTATATCTCGCTTCCGATTGCCCACAGACCGAGTTCATTTTTTGTTTTGCTTCTTTGGACATCACCGATTTCCAGCCAATAAGCACGTCACATGGTCAGACGGAAGATGATTGCATTCTGCTGTTTGCGCGCTCTTGAAAAAGCCACGAACGTGGTCGCGCAGACATTTAATTAATGGGGTGCTATCACATGCACAACTGACGTGAAAAGGTATATTGTTACCAAGGCAACACAAAGTATGATTTGTGGCAAATGAGTTGTAATGAACCCGGCTGGATAAAAGGCAGGTCGTTATCTATAGGATAATGCGTCAGGACTTGACACGTATAGGAGCAATACAAACTGGTGGTACATGTTCAGGGCTTGTTCATTATTATTGACTGGACGGAAGAAAGGGGTAGTTGAATCGACCATTGAATCAACTTAGTCACTTTGTGCTGGATGATGCTGGCTGTCAGTCGGTCTGTCATTCAGTGGTCAGTCTGTCAGTCAGTCAGATGGTCAGTCTGTGTGTCACTGAATGTTGTGACTCGAGTCGAGCGGAGTCATGAGGTTAACGAGGTCGAGTCGAGTCTCGAATCCGTCCAAGTCCCTATCGCCGAGCACCTTATTCAGACACAAACTGAAACTGTGTTATGCTTTAGCATTTTGTTTTTCAAACTTTTGGTTGAGGGATACCAGGGTGATACTCTGTCTGACGAAAGCCGGAGTTAGGAGCCGGCTTGCAAAGGCAAGACTGTTTGTAGCTTGTTAGCAGTCACTGCAGTTATTTCCCATGTCTTTAAGGACTCCTGTGTTGAGTTTTTGACCTGAGTCGAGTCATTTGCTGGCAGTGACTCGAGTTGAGTCGACTTATTGAAGATAGCGACCCGATTCGCGCTCGAGTGAAGTCATTGTCGCGAGTCATGACAAAATGAGTCAGTCAGTCAGTCAGTTAATAGTCAATCTGTTCAGTAAGCACGTCAGCCAGTCAAATATTTCTTTCTTGACCTTCCAGACCAAAGGTAGCCATATTTTAAGCATATGTTCTTTCGTATTAATGTGGACCACAAAAAGAACAAGCTCAAGTACCCTAAACTTTATTGCGAAGATTTTGTCAGTCACCCTTCAGATTAGTTTCTAATACTGCGCATGCGCGCGCTGCTATGACGTCATTCTATAGAGAGACCCTCCTCACCAAACTCTGGTCACGGTTGTCACAACCTCCCCCACTCCACCACGCCCCCTCCACCCCCTCCATGATCGATTCGTTTCCAGACCAGTTGCAAAATACTTGTGCGAAAGCAAAATCCGACAATAATCAAGAATGGATGACACATCTTTACCGAACCATAGGCGTCTTGCGAAACATACACTTATGGTGTCCCAACTCCCATGGTATATTGGTTGGCATTTTGCTCGAATGTCTGTGTTTTCTTCCAATCGATAGTTGCGTGAGGTTTGAGGTTTTCTAGAGATCCTAAACATTAATGACAATGTTGTACAAAGGCCTCCGAGCCGTCTGGGGTGATTTAAAACAATTGCTGTGATTAAAATCTTATAATGTAGCTCACCAAAAGACCATTCCATCATTCATTTATGTCCCAGGTCGTTTCCTGTTCAAAAAAAAAACAAAGATGGACCGACTTGGGTTCAGATTACTCCTAAAACGATCTGCCCAATAATTATTCCAATTACAGTGCGACTCTACACTAGAGTCCCACGTAGCAGCACCCCACGGCAAGAGGCACGGAATCACACCGTCTCTGATGTCACAGGAAGATCGCTGAGTATCGTTTTCGACATGATTTACCGGAGGATTGGGTTTCTAGAACGTGTGGGCTTTGCGTATTGTGTGAAGGAAAACAAAATCCTATTGGTATGGTCGGGACTTCAGCGCCCCTCGGAAGATGTCAGTCATCTTGTTATTTGTTGTGTATCATATTTTTGTTTGGTTGGGAAAAAAAGGAGCTCAAATCTGTCACTGTTTAATTCAGTTTAAACTTCGATTCGGTTTCGAAGCTAGAAATAATGACCTTTGAGATTTTACATTGCTGTTATCTGCCTCCTCTCCACACCTGCCTTTTACGGGCAACTTCTGAACCGCACCGTTCCCTTCATGGTCTGCTCATCAGAGGCATAAATCATGCTGAATATTCTTATTCACTTTTTACCGGCGATGATGCTCGGCAAACATGAACAGAAACATGGCAAGCATGAACATGATTCAATGTGCCGTTGTCTTAATTTGTAAATAAATATCAATACAAATATCTGTTGTGAAAGAGTGTAATTGTTAGGCCAGAGAAAACTTACGATGTGGGGATTTTCAATCCGTAATTACTTGGACTTTAAAAAGTGTAAAGGAAAACATTATCGATTTCTTTATGCAAAATAAACTAGCTTTTAATTATGAGCCTATACATTATTGTCTGGGATACCCTGTTTTGTCCACAAAAAAACATCGTTTTACCTTATTTCCATGTCTCGCGTTTTTCACTTGCACCAAATGTTTCTTAAAGTTTCGTCCAAATTCCAATGAATTTCACAAATCTGAACTCCATACCAAATTACCAACGTTATTTGGCAACAACATTTTCGCATTTTTCTCCTTTGCCTCATCTACAATATCAGGCACACATCAATATACATTTAGTAGTCAACTCGACAAAAATGACCGACAAAGCATAGTGCATAACGCTAACGATATTTCTCTTTCTGCTAACGATAATATACATGTACAACCCAAAAAAAATAACTGTAAAGGAGTAGAATATTGCATAAAAGGAGAAAGTCAATCTTAAAAAAAAACCTTTGGCTGTAGATATACCAAACGTCATTACCATTTTCTGGCTGATCAGACGTTTTGAATGCCCAGTGTGATTTTGCTAAGTGTAGATTATCATCCCGACAAGGATTTCCTGGATGGGTAAATTCATCCCACAGATCATTATATCCATACGTACCGGGACAATTTTATTTCTTTTATAATTGTCACTGCCCAGAATATTCGAGTTAATTTCTCTATTTTGGTTCAAATGCGTTTCCCGCGTACCTTAATGTACCATCGCAAATAAGCAAAACGCACATGTCTACGATCTAAGTGAAACGTTATGTGCAATATATTTTACTGCTAATGGGCTAGCCGACGGCTACACGACAGGTTCGCAAAGGCAAAAAAATGCTAACTGGGAGAAAAAAATGATATTTATGGATGCCACGGACCTTTTTTTTATATTGAAGATTCCAATAATATATCAGATGATGTGTAATAATGGACGAAATCACATTGCAATATTTGGCAATTTGCGTTATTAGAAAAGGTTGGTGGAGAGGACACCGTGCGGACACAGGGGGGGGGAAAGAATCGTATGAAAATAAAGTCGGCTCCTTATCTTTTCCACTCTTTTAGAAACAAATCTTTTTCTGTTCTGCGAAGGATATCCATGAGTTATTGTTACCTTAAATCCGCACCTGCTTCGAAGCATTAAAGTATCAAGATTCTCACTGGCTTGCATTGTACACTCTGACACGAAGTATAGAAAATATGAAAAGAAATGACAAAAAAATGATGGCTTCCGTGTGTTGCCATCTGTCATCGTACGAAAATCCCACTTTATGTCATTTTTATCAGTGCACCGAACTCTAAATTTGGACGTCCACTGCTACTTTGAAATGTCAACGTTATTCACAGTACAGGGTGAGTAAAAAAACCAAACCCAAATGTCGGTAGTATTGTTGAATTTCTGCATGTAGCACTTTCAAAATCTAGGACATGAAAGCCCAATTCAAAAGCTTTCTTATGCACTTTTCAAGTTACGGAATTTTTAAACACAACCACCGTTTAAAGTTCTGTCCACGGATCACAAAAAAATGTGTGCATTCTTTCAGCAAACCGAAAACAATTGTGATTTTTTTCGTTTTGCTAAAAGAACACTGAACTTTTTTTGTGATCCGTAGACAGAACCTTAAAACAGTGGTTGTGTTTTAAATTCCATAACTTGAAAAGTGCATGAGTGATTTGAATGATTCTTGTACTAAAAGAAAGCTTATGAATGGGGCTTTAATTTCCTAGATTTTGAAAGTGCTACATGTAGAACTTCACTAAAAGAATTGTCCCAACATTTGGGTTTCGGGTTTTTTTTACTCACCCGGTATAGAGTTGTTTCTCTACCACACAGTTTAATTTAATACAGTCGCCATGTGGAGTCATTGTGTTGGTGGTTTTCATAATACAAATCAATAATTCTAATTGGAGAGCGTTAAAAGCAACTTTTCGACTTCTCGCAAAATACAAAATCAGACACATGAAGAGAACTACTGAAAGCAACACAAGTGACCATGAACCTGTTCGTGTTTATTTTGCAAAATAAAACGAACACTTGAAGCAAAAAGAAAAGTTATGCTGAAAATATACTTAGAAAATATAGTGTTCGTGACTTTAAGAAGAGAGTGGTTGTCGCAAAACAAGAATTTAATTACAAATGATGATGATGATTCAATTCAATTCAATCAACATTTAGTTCCATATTACCACAACGTTTAAAAAACAATGTAACACAGTGAAGCAATAAATACATGTATTATTAAGATTATACATGTAGATAGATAAGACAAAAGGAACAATCAATCAATAAGCAATCATGGAGGCATCTCACGAAGCCGGGGGTTTATATGAAGATGCCTTGACCAAACAAAACCATCAAATGACAACTCATCAGACACAGAG